TTCTCGGTGTTTTTGCACATCATTGTCCGTAAAGATAAGTAAATCGTCTAAATAAATAACTACAAGGCCTTCGTCAATTAGTTCTTTGAAAAGTTCGTTCATCATTGTTTGGAAAGTGGAGGGGGAATTGCTAAGTCCGAAGTACATGACCATTGGTTCAAACGCCCCTCGTGGCGTTTGGAACGCTGCCTTCCACTGGTCTCCTTCTTTTATTCGTACATTGTTATACCCCCAGCGGAGGTCCATTTTGGTAAATAAGCGAGCCTTAGATACTTTGTCTACTAGTTGCGAAATGAGAGGTAATGGATATGCGTTTTTTATGGTGTATTTGTTTAGGTATCGGTAGTCCTGTACCAATCGTTTTTTTCCATCCTTTTTTTGCACGAAGAATACTGGTGAGGTTTGCGGGGATTTGGAGGGTCTAATGTACCCTTTTCTTAGGTTGCCATCGAGGAAGTCGTTGAGTTCTTGTTGTTCGATTGGCGACAGTGGGTACACCTTTGAGGCCTTTGGCACAAAGTCCGGCGTAAGCTCGATCGCGTGGTCCCATGGTCTTGCCGCCGGCATCCTTTCTGAGTCCCGTTTTCGAAATACTTTCATGAAATCATGATAGTAGTTCGGTACCATTTCTTCTTCGGTTTTTTCCTTTTTGCTTTCTATTTTCTCCCGATCGTGCTCAATGACGTAGTCGTATTTTCCTACTGCTTTCAGATGCATTTCCTCCTCCTTGTCTTCCGTTTCCACCTGCATGTGTTTTTTCCACATTCGGTTAATGTACATCCGGGCTACCGACTCGTGATACTGGTTGGTTAAGTCGTCCAAGTCCCGTAAATAACCGCTTCTCAGCCTATTCCACTGTCTTACTCCTGCTACTGAAATGTTCCTCGGTTCCATTTTCCGCACTTCCTTCACCTCTTCCTCGTCTTCCTCAATTTCTACTTCCCCTGGGTACGGTTCGTCCTGCAAGTCTTCTGCCTCCTTGTTCATCCTTCTCTTGCACTCCCTTGGGCATCTGGTCATTACCACATCTCCTGTTTTCCAGTTTACTTCTGGGTTGTGTCGTCTGAGCCAGGTGAGACCTATGATGACGTCTACGTTTCCTAGGTTGGTTACGTAGAACGTGGCCCATTCCGCGTGTCCTTTGAAACCCATTCTTAGTTCTACCTTTTCCTCTACTCTTCCCGCGTTGTTGGGGGTGCCGTCTGCGTTTCTTATGATTGCTGGTCTAGTCAGTTTCTTGGTTTTCAGTCCGTGCTTTCTGACGTATTCGCGATCGATGAACGAATCTGAGGCACCACAGTCCAACATTGCTTTGGGGTCGAGAGTTTTCAGGGTATCTAGGGACGTAATGGTGATTTTTATGGGGACATAATTTTTCTCATTGCCCGTCCGGTACAAGTACTCTTCCTTGGTTTTGTTTTGCGTCTTAGTTTCCGTCTCGTTGGCTTTAGTAGTCGAATCCTCATTATAAATAGCTACTGGTACATCAGATTCTACTAGTGACGAGTCCGGCTCCTGGGTGAGTACGGAAAAAGAATTCTTGGAGCTCAGGTCGACGCTTCCTGAGTTCCTTCGGAAAAACCCTGACGGGTCAACTCCTCCCGCCAGTATTGCAACTGCTCATCGTAATTCATGGCCCTAATGTCCAATCTCCTTTGACAATTTCGGGCGATGTGTCCCAGTCCTCCGCACTTAAAGCACTTGACCGGGGTTCTCTGTGTTCTGTCTACGTCCATCGCGTTTGGATCCTTCGGACGTGGTTGTTGATTCTGTTGTGGGGCCGGCTGCTGCTGCCCTTGTCCCCTCCCTTGCCATTGGCCTTGCTTTTGGCCTTGCTGCTTCTGCTGGGACTGTCCCTGTTGTCGTCCCTGTCCATGCCCCTTGGCATAGGACTGCGCTTCGCGCCACTGCCTGTCAAACCGGATTGCTTCTTCGCTCCATGCCTGGTAGTCTGCGGGGAGCGGGTGGAGGCTGTAAAGCCGGTTCAACAGTCCGGGGTTCATTCCTCGTTTGAATAGTTCTACCAATGCTACGTCGTTGTAGCCGGTATCTGCTCGTAGCGCCTCGAATTTCATTACGTACTCTTCGGCTGGTTCGTTGCCCTGCCTGAGGGCGGATAGAGTGGAGATAGCCGTTTCCCTAGGGTTTGGGTCTCCGAACATTCTTTCCAGTTCGTCAGAGAACCTTCGGAAGTCAGAGACTACGGGATCGTATCCTCCCTGGTCCCGCCAGTTGAGTGCTCGGTTGATGACCTCGTTTTTCCAGTTATCGACTTTTCGTCCCTGGATGAACGAGAGGGCGTATAGGACTTTGGTATTCTCGTTGGTAAACTGCCACTGATTGACCGCGATGTACATTCGGATACTTCTGAGGAATGAGCGGCATTTGGCACGTTCGCCGTCGAATATCTCGGGTTTGGCCAGCTTAGGGCCTACTGGTCGTGCGGGTTCGGCGGGTTGGGGAATCGGAGCGGGAGCGGGAACGGGGGCTGGTGCTGGGGTTGTTGGTGGCGGACGGGTTCGTACGTATTGGGCTAGTTGTTCGTATCGGGCTTCCATCTGAGCCAGCCGGTCCATCATCATCATCATCATTTCTTGTGTCGATGGTTGTGGAGGTGGTGCGGGTTGATCTGAAGGGCCGGGCATGTTCTGGTCTCCGATGTTCTCGAAACTCGATCCGCTGGAGTGGGACATGGTGGATTTGTTGGTGGGGTACCCTGTCAATTGACGTTGAACTTCAAACTAGTGCACGCCGGCACCTGAGCGGACAACGTAAATGAGGAAGGAATTCTTCGGCTTGGCTAAATGCGAAGCTTCACACCGTCTTGCTGAACCGACGAGGTAGAGCCTTCTTTCTTACTCAGCACCTCGCGCGCTGACCCCTCTCCGAGGATTAGTGATCAGTCGGCGCCTTTAGATTCACTCGGGGGGTCGTCTAAACGTTACCCTACTGGAGTATTGAATCTGCGGTTCGAATTGGGTGGGAAGCTATAGGGGTGTGAAACAGACAATCAAAGCCTAACGGGCTTATCGGCGGAAATTGGAAAGAAGTTATGCGGTAGATAAAATGAGGAAGAGAAACGTATCCTGTCTTGAGGTCGAGAGGTCGGTCTTCGCAGTTAGACGCTGCAGAGTAGGATGGATGAGAATGTAGAGCGTAGGAGGGACGTTTGAAGGGATAGCTCGTTCTTCTGTTAGGGCGACACTAGTCAAAGACTAACGTGGCTCCTACAAGAATACTAAAACCAAAAGAATAAATGAAGTAGCTTAGTTGACTTAGTTCTCACTATTACTAGTGGAAATCCCAAGAGAACGAGCTAGCGTTCTAGGGCCTGTTATTGGTACTTAAATACTAAAATACATGCGTAACCCTCATGTACTACTACATGCCTACTGCAGCCGTCTTTCCATGGAACGCGCACCAATTCCATGAGGATGCTTGGTAATGTACTGCGGACATGTGTTATGCGTGAGGATCTTACTAAGGTACCGTAATGTGAATTAGTAATAGGCGCATCCTGCGCGTTTAGATAAGATATCGAAAAGATAGTATTCGGAACAGACCGGACCATAACAAAGGGGGCGGGACAGGGGGAATAGGAGAAAATAGGAGTGTCCCCTTACAAGGGTGGTTGGAATTACAAGTGGTTTGGTGAATTTGGTTTGTATCTGAAGAAGCTCGTGCCTTTTCAGTTGATGTTGATGCTGGTTGGTGACAATCAGCAGGCTCCCGCCATACAATTGTATCTTGGTTGTGTTGCGACAACGTGGGAGGAAGCAGAGAGGGAAGTAGAGAGGAGAGAGGCTGCATCAGCTGATGAGTCATGCAGCAGGGCTGTATTTTCAAACTCAGATGGCCTTGATCACGGCCTCAATCCTTCTGAAAAGGCTTGATATAAGGTTCTGGCATACCTCCACATCAATCCCATCCCATACCTCTGCAACCCTCTCCCATAATTCATGTACTCCCCTAGATGGTGTATTGTAGGTGTTGAGTTGGCGTTTGATGTGCTTCCAGAGGTGTTCAATGGGATTAATGTTAGGAGACTGGGCAGGCCAGTCCATGACCGCAATCTCTTGATCCTCAAACCACTTCTGTGCCAATTTTGAGGTGTGCTTGGGGTCATTATCCTGCTGAAAGATCACATCGTCTGCAGGAATATTACACTCTTCAATGGTGGGAAGAAGACCATCAGCTAGAATGTCCAAGAGGTGATATCGGTGCAAAGGGAGTTGGGAATGGACTTCATTGTTGTAGAGAAGATAAACAACTGACAGAGCTTATATATAGTGCTGGTTGTGCCTGGATGAGTAATATATGACATCATATGTGTCATCCTGATAATACTGAGACTTTATGATGAGTAATAGTCACACACATGTGGCATCATGCTGATTGCCCAATAGGCACATGTCTAAATGGAAAAAGTAAAATAAAATAAAATAAAAAGAATATTAATATTCATGAGTAAGCACTCAATAAGCATCCGTTCAGGGAAAAAATGACTTATCATCAGATAACTCTTGCTAACTCATTTTTGGATGTTCCAAAGTGGAAATTGCCTCAGAAAAGCTTCAATAAATTGTAGAAAATCCAAATAAATTCACAGAAATTGTCTAAAAATTGCAGAATATACATATGTATATACAGTTTTATTATTATCAATTGGTGTTCAAGTGACATTCACTTGGTGTCCAATTGGTGACCACTTGACATTCTACTGAATTTTCAGTTGGACACCAAATGAACACTGATTATTCACTTAGTTCACTTGGTGTTCAACTGGTGTCCAATTGAACTGAACTGAACTGAATTGGTGTTGAACTGAACTTTTGTAGCCATTCCTCAGCTAAATAAAAAAACTCAGAAATTAAGTTGAACACCAACTGAACACCAACTGGACACCAGTGGTGAACTGTCAGGTGCTCTGAGAATGTAATTTAATGATCACAGTCACACTCTTCTGTAAGGATTTCTTTATACCAGCCTGAGGCCCAGATTTACATTACAAAGAGCTTTGCTAAATGTACCTGAAACCTTCTCAAATACTCTACCAGCTCTTCTTGAGGAAGTGAAGAATGCTGAAATGCTTGCTTCAGCTGAATTTGCAGCTATAGGAGAACAAGTTAATCAAGAAACATCAAAGAATATAAAAGACAACCAACATACTCTCAGTAATGCTTGTCTTTGAGCTATAATCTTGCTACTGCTGCTATGATCTGAGCTCTGAGAGTATAACTCATCAAGGTTTTGAGCAACTTGAGATCCTTTGTCGATCAAATCTTTTGGGAAATCAGCTAGCATGGCTAATTGCAATCCTATTGGAAAGTTGATTTTAAGGAAAGAGTCTGTAATCATTTGAAAGTGACAGACCATAGTGCTCATGCTTTTCCAATGGTCCATCTGTTATTCTAAAACAAAGATTAGTATTAGACAAAGTGATCAAGCTCAAAGTTAACATTACCTATACATGAAGTTGAGTCCAAAACTTGATGATGGCTGCTTCTATATAATGTTTATCAGAGATCAACAAGAAGTAGGATAAATCTACCTGCACAGAAAGATGCAAACTGAAATCAAGTTCAGTTGATAGAATAATCATGATGAAACAATGCATTACTTGACCACACCAGGTGCTTTTGAAAGTGTTTGTGCAAGCTCACTGAAATGTCTAAATGAATTGAATTCAATCGCTTGAACAGACTCAATATGTCAAACCAGTCTCACGTGGTGAAAAATGTAAGGCACTATATCAATTAAGCTAGCTGTCACATGAAGTTAACAATGCATTTGCTTACTTTTTGCTTGATTAGTCCTTCTGCAATAGCATGAGCAATGCCAACACCTTCCTGTGGTGATGTTCCTCTTCCTAGTTCATCCACCAGAACAAGGGACTGAGATGTTGACATGCCTAAATAGTACAATAGTTTAAATGATAATAGGCTTCATCAATAACTTACATACCAAGAATCATAGTTGAAGTTGCCATCTCACTTCCAAAAGTGCTAAGACTTTTTTCCATGTCATCATTATTGGACAGCCTGCTTAACAAACAATCATGAACACTGTGATTTATAAGTCTGTTGTTGTTCATTCTCTTATAGATCAACTGATACTTACCGAAAGCTACCATACTCAGCAGGAATGAAGCATCCATTTAGTGCCACAATCACCAATAACCCAACTTGCTGCAAGTAGGTGCTTTTTCCTAGAAATATGCAAGCAATAAGTAGTCAACTTGCACTTTCATGTTCTTATCAATTACCTGACATGCTATCAAGTAAACTCGTTTTAGCAAGAAAATATAGACATGCCAACCTTACTTACTTAAGCCCCTGAATAATTTGAAAGTGAGAAGAATCATCACAATAAATATCATTTGCAACAAGGCTTCCAGCTGGCTGTACCAATTGCAAAATAGGATGGCGACCTGATTTCACAGCTAGAGTACCAGTAAACTCAGGCCGCACTAGGGTAAAAATGTTAATTGACAAGAAATATAAGATTAGTTTGCTAGTCCATACCACAGTTGTGAACTACTCAGAATAAAAAGTAAGTTAGCTTCTTCATTAAAGTGCAAAGGACATACTGATTGAGAAATGTGTGAATGACCACAGCATATCAATTAGAGCAATCTGCACAAGTGTTCAGTAAGTTTATATGATAAAATATGCAAGCTTACTGCTTCAGATGCTTTATAAAGAACCCCAACATCCTCCAAAATACCATCCAATAACTCTTGTATGATTCTAGACAAATATAAGACTAAGGGTCACAATTGCATTAAAGCTTACCTATCACTTAATAACAATGTTTCATCTAAAGCATCTTTCATTCTAGCATTCATTTTTTTCTAGGATGAAAATTATCTCTAATCCTCCTTAGAAGCACATATACACTTACCAACTCCATGCTTGAAAAATACCAGCTTCCTCTCTTTATTGATGCATTGATAAAGCCACTTGGAAGTTCACCCATCAAGTCATCCTTTTTGAGTGCAAAAACAAACCCTGTCTCCTGATAGACAAGTGACAATGATAATGAGTGCACCTCTGACAGTGACCGATTTAGCTGATATATATCTCCAACATTCTCCTTGTAGGTCTCCCGTGCAACATCTAAAAGATGATTCTTGTTTGCCTAACACATATTCACTAAAGGACAGGATACCACAACAGACGTACTCACTTTCAAGGCATAGACTCTTGCATTAACTGCAGCAATACCAGTCTAGTACATAGGGTAAGTATTGTATGCCAATAGTAGGTCGAAAGTACGTGCTTTTGACAAAGATGTGTCATCATTCAAGTGAGAACAAACCAAGCCCTCGATGTGAGCTAGCCGGTCATCAGTGAGCATGTGATGCATGATCTGCATGAGATGACAGTGTCCGCCCGAAAGCGCTTGCGCCAAGACAGGTATACTCTGGATTGCGGTGCGCAAGTCAAGCATGTGCGAGATACGCGCCGCGGCTGACTTTCCCGTACTGACAGGGCGAGCTTCAGACACGGCAAGCTGATCCCCACATCAGTGTTTGCCACGTCTGGGGACAGTCTATACTCACCGAAGCCACTAATTTGTCGAAATCCATCTTCTTGAACGCCTTCAAAGCATCGCGGATATCGGTGAACTTGTCCTCGCAACATATTAACTCTAGAGTGAGTTGTGTCAATAACGATAGGAAGCAAACACTGCCGTACATACCTTCAACGAAATCCAGTCGGGCGTTGATTGCATCTTGCACTGATTCGTCGCGCTTAAGACACGACAATGCCTGACGGTACGATCGGCTCACCAGTGACGGGTGATAGGATATTGGCTCGCAAGAGGCGGGCCGCCATTGCAGTATAAGTATGGTTGAGCACCCTTCGTTCGTAACTTCAGATGGAACATAATGAGAACATAAGAAGACGTACCCAAAGAGCGAATGAGTTGATTTCTTATGCGTCAAACTTGCTACCAGCTCCAGGTTCCGAACAGTATCTGGATCGATCATCAGCGTGCCCTCGATGGGGACGTAACGGATCCGTAAGGAGCGCGAAGCGAAGCGAGCATTCATCTTGATCTCGGCGTACTTGAATAGCGCACAAGTGGCCGATAAAGCATAATACCTGTCAATCCAAGCTCAGCGTGAGGAAGCCACGATCAGAGACACAGGTACGTACTTGGTCGAGACAGCGAGCATGGTCGCAGTTCGCTCGTCATCGTCGACACACAGTTGACCTATGAATTCGAGGCCTGCAACAAGGATATATGCACTTTAGACGATATCGAGGGGGAGTTAGCGTACCTCCAGCTTCGTTCCAAAATTTCCTTCCAATAGGCTCCAGTTGTACGTAGGGGAACTCCTCACGTATGTACTCGACGAGTAACGACGCACCTGGCGCAGGTTGCCCATGAGGCCCCGCGCCTGAGATAAACGTGTCAGGCAGTAAGATGGTGGAAGGGGTATGCAAATGCATTTGATGTAGCGTCTTGACGTAGGTCTGACAGTCAGCGAGCTGGATCGTTCGGGACATATTAGTTAGAGCAAGTATTATATGCCGTGGAGCGCAAGTGCTTACCTGAACCAGTACGACCTTTCCGGTATCCTTATCTAGGGCTGCCAAACCTACTTCCCTAGCTACCCCTCGCCCTTCGATCAGAGCGATCACGTAGCTTCCTTCGTGCCTAATGGAAACAGCCGTCTGAGGGCGACCTGTTTGAGGACGCCCTGTTTGCGGACGCCCTGTGAGGGGTCGACCTGTTTGAGGTCGGCTACTCTGCAGTCGAGTTGGATCACTCGTCGTTCCAAAGCGCTGCAGATGGTCAGTCGTGTAGGCAAAGCTGGAGAGCGACACGGTTGTTGGACGAGAGGCTTGCATGTTAAGAACAGGAGAAAGCGTGAATGCCGAAGTGCATTAGAAGTGACATCGGACGCGTTCCTCACGTGACCGTGACATTTCAGGACATGCCTGCCACCGGAGCCATGGCTATTCGTCATTCTATCCACCGACAACATACTAGTACGACGATGGTCGCCTATACCGATAGTCAGCTATTTCACTCGCCTTGCAACCAGAGCACCCCAGTCCCACATGAGAAACTCGTCGACGCCATGAAAGCGTTTCTTGCTATCGAGCCAGGAATTGAAGAAACGGTCGAGAACAAGAAGTTATTCAAGCTCATAAACAAGTATTTCAACCCCGCCGTTCATCTATCTGCACCAGATATCGGGTACCTTTACAAGCAACTCCACCAGCGACTTCAAGGTTCAGCAATCGGGACTCTGGCTGAAGAATATATCGACGACCTTGGCATCGCGCCGTTCAACAGATACGAGTCTTTCTCCCTCTCCGGGTGGCTGAGCACAGCGTCGACGGAGAAAGCAGGCCTGTGGGAAGACTTATTCTCCGTTGTCGACAAGTCCAGCCTCTTCGCCGACCTGTACAGCGGATCTTCAGATCCTCCAGCGAAAGCCATACAGTACATTGCCGCCGCCATGGCGGAATGCGGAATCACCCCTGGAGTAGGAGCCGATCGCATTAACGCTCTTATACGAGGCTCGAAGCTCGAGCTCGATGGCCCGTGATGAAGAGTCCAGTATGACAGCACGAGTACGGATCCTACATAAACGAGTACGATTGTTGTCAATATCAAGAGTAAACGCAGAGTTACTCGCCTACGAGATATCCATGCCTGTGACACGAATATTAGCATCTCGCTCATTCTCATTCGCCTTATACATCATATCGTCTGGAGACTCGTGCCCCACATAGCTCCCTACAGTGGGGTTCCACACATATTCGTGATTCAGTACGCGGGATAGCACTTGGTAGCCTTGTACGTCGGCGAACGGTACGCCGCTCCTTGGGTCGAGGTATTTAGCCGTCCGTCCGGTGATAGGGCATTTGTGTTTCTGTTTTCCTGTGATAGCCGGTCGTTGAAGACGAGAGCTACGGCAGAGCTAAAGACTCACCTAAAGGCCTATTCCTCCCAGAATACACTTTGAGGTCTTGCCAGCGTACATGATCCCCAAACATGGCTTCCATAGTATCTGCCCACCCAGGCTTGGCGGCACTGTTTCCTTGAGCTATCTCGTGGACGACGTAGCACTTTGTCACTTTCTCGACCTGTTCTACAGTCTGCGTAGTTTTCTCTGGTGCTGGCGGAGTAGGAGGTTGATATGAATACCAGGACGTAGACCCTGGGTAAGGCATGGTGGGAAATGAAGTAGCGTAATTCTGGGTTGACTGTGCCGTTGCTTGGCCATATGATACGTTCGCTGTGTAGGGGTATTGGCCGTAGGGAAACGTACTGGTGGGCTGGGGAGGCTGAGGCTGTCCAGCCGTCAAGGAAGGGTTGGAGTACGGAGCTGACGAGTAGCCGAGTCTCGACGTGGATGTGGATGGTGTCATTGACTGGACAGTCACCAAGACCTTCTCTTCTTCGACACGACTCGTCCATCGGAGTAAAGGTCCAGAAACAGCCGTTCTGACAACTCGAGCCCGCTTCCTCTTCTCATCCTCCAATTGAAGATAATTTCGATGCTCAATTATATTCCCCTCCTCGTTATCCAGGGCTCGTGCAATCAGCTCATCCTGTGTGTAGGATTTAGCTTCGACTTTGCTCTTCCTCGGCGCTGAGGCCTATGTGTATTAATTATTGTAAGTCAACTTGAGGTGAACGAACTTGAACACACTACGCACCCGTTTCTCCTCCTCAAGCTTGAGCCTCGAGACCGTAGCAGACGTATTCAATATCGTGTGTCGACGTTTACTCTTTCGCTCCCCTGCTATGGAAGATGCTGGGATTTCCTCTCCCTGGAGCAATTCGCCTGTCTCCGCATCTACCACGACCCCCAAAGAGACCCGTCTCAGTTTCGGCTTCGGTTTTAGCTTCTTGGATGTAGTAGCCTTGGTTGACTTGTCAGGTTCAAATGTCGCCTTCTGTCTTTCGTGCGCCGCCGCCGTGGCTTTCTCCAAACGAGATTTGACGAGCTTATGATATCATTTAATATAAGACGAATGGAGTAGGAGGGGGAGCCCACCTTCCTGGCTCTCTTTTCCTCCTCTTCTACAAGTTGTTCGCCTGCTTCGACTCCAGTCTGAGGTGCTTCCTCGTCTGTACTGTCGAAATCAGACTCGAATATATCCTCTTCGTCTGTGAAGAAATCGACCAAGGTTCAGACCACTGACGAGTGAGGCGAAAGAGTGTCTACTAACCCTTCTCTACATGAAAATCCCGGTCGTCATCTTGGTCCTTCGAGAAATCATCAATGCCCATTTCTGCTAATGCCATCTCCATTCTTTATCCACGCCTCGTTGTTATTTCGAGCTCTAGCAACAGTAATTATGATCGCATACCTGTTGCCTGCGGTCGACCGCTTGGAGCGACGCGTCGCGAGGAACTCTGTGGGCCCTTCATCGGCCATGGGAGGTATAGATTGAGTTGTATGGAACTTGTTCGGAGTCAAATGCGCCCCTAAGCACAAGCACAACAGTCGTCAACAACCAAACGCTGAATCTCTCAGTAGTGGGCATCCGAGTCTCCGACATTACCATGGCGCGTAAACCCAAGACAATACCCGGTCCTTCACGGCTCTCTAAAATACTCGCCAACCTCAATGCTTCGCCACGGCTAGAGTTGTCCAACCTACAAAGCATCAAGCTCACCTTAGCCTCAAAAAACGATCACTTCGGCGCGCGGTACGTTGTAGCATTCGTTCACTTCCAGTCACCCCAGCTCATCATGCTCTACACTAGTCATTTTCTGAAGGAAGAGCTCCCTCGTATTCGATGGGCGAACCCGACACTGGACATTGAAGTCGAAAAGGTTCCAAAGACTATCAAAGAAGCATGGAAACCTGAGCTCGAATTGCGCTTCAGTACGTTCTTCACCATTTACATATGTGCGAATACCCTGACCAACTCTACCTGTGGTAGCCAATGGACAGGCACAGACCCTTGACCTGCATGGCAAGTGGTCAACAACGATTGTCCGAGAGTTAATGGATACTGCTGGGGCGAGGTCATGGTTCGCGTGGAAGGAAGAGAGTGCGGCCACTGACTCTCCGCTTCTACGCGGAGAAGAGCGTGCACCCGAACCGGTGGAGGCTTCACCGAAACCTCTGCCTTCGCTAGCCGCATTCAGAGCGCGACAAGGACAGGATACATCCACGAAGGTCGAGGGTTCCGCACCAGCAACTCCCCAAGACCCACCACCAGCTACTGAATCTATATCTGCGAATGCTTAGCTTAGTCTTCATAACTCTACTGATATCCGCGCAACGCCAGAACCCACGCAACCGACCATGTCAAACGCAGAAGACTGTATTGAGTGATACAGGTAGGTACGCACAGTCGATGACATGCACTACTGCGTGAATAAATTCGAAAAGAAGATCAAAAACCCTATCCCTACTATCAGTCCAGCAATATCGTCCAAAAACAAAGATGCCATCTGCATGTACTTCATGCCGTTGACTACTACAGACGTAATGGTAGGAGGAAGATGAGGGAGCGCCAACGATAATAGCATTGGCGGCTGCACGGCATCCTATGAGAGCGAAAGGATTGTCAAGCTGAGAAGTCGACAGCAGTGGGCGTTACTCACGAAACCTGACAATATCCTCATCGAATGAAGCACTATCTGAATCGTGGTGAAGGCCCAGAAAAATGGCTACATAGACGTTAAGTTGAAACAGTTATAATAATAATGCAAAGCCGGAACACATACCACCAAGGTGATCCCCCAAGCGCCCGCAACACTGGGGGCGTGGATAAGCTCTGACCACCTGCTCTGTAGGCTAACAGCCTGCGTCAAGTGTGCCCTCTCCTGGAAGAGCTCGGGTTCCTTGTAGAGGACAAAGTAACCGAGAAGCAGCCACATTGCACCCAAGTGAACGAACGGCATAACTTTTTGCAAGCGCGAGGGGGGAGCATTTACCGCGGGTGCCTTTCCGGTGGCTTGAGCCTGTGGATGCGATTGCTGTTGCAGAGACGCCATCATGGTAGCGAAAGGGTCGTCTGGCGGTGTAGGCGGAATGTCTCCTTGAATCGGGGGTACCATCCCTGGGAATTGACCGGGCCCAGGCATCCCACCCATGAGGGCTTGCAGAAGCTGAGCCTGCTGCTCCTGTGACCATACGGAAGGATCGACGTTCGGCGCAACGAACGCGTCGGCAGGAAGGTGCGGAGAAGGGGATGTGCGAGCTGGAGGTGTAGGCATGATACTCTCATCTCCAACGAAAGCCCTGGAATTTGATGCAGGTGCATCTGCCTCTCATCAGTCAACGGCGAGGCTTGGACTGGAGAGAACGACGAACCGGTGTTCAGGTAACTTGACCCGTCTTCTCCTCTGGCAGAGGTAGTGAGCTTCGCCAAGCGGTCACCTCCTCTGCTGAGAATGGCCTTCCGTCGCGCTTCTGCTCGGGCTGCTGCAGACATGTTTTTTGGTGTGGAACGACGTGGATTGATCAACGTGGATGCGACTTGGACATGGTGGCTGTGCATAGTATTGATTCTTACAGCTTTTGCCAAATAGACACTGCATGCACGTAAATGGAACTGTCGCTCAAATTCTTGACCGTCACCTTCACTGCACCATGTCGAGGCAGGATAAAGCAACAACCGAGCGATTCACCAAGACCTTGAGAGAGCTCGTCAAGCAGCCCGAAAATAAAGTATGTGCCGACTGCAAGCGAAATGGTGCGTACACACCGCCTCCAACGACCCTCGTGTTGTTTTCTCAGCTGGTCGCGTTTAGATCCCCGTTGGGCCTCCTGGAATCTGTGAGGACATGCGGCAGAAGCATACTATGGCATCTTACTCAACAAACGTTGATCAGTGGCGTCTTCCTCTGTATCCGATGCTCAGGAATTCATCGCGGAATGGGCACCCATATCAGCAAAGTCAAGTCCGTCGATTTGGATGTATGGACGCCTGAACAGATGGAGGTTTGCTTTCTCCACTACTCACTGACAATCAACGCACTGAACTGTGTTACTCAGTCGATTCAGAAATGGGGCAATCACCGTGCTAACTTATACTGGGAAGCACACCTTAAGGCTGGACACATACCACCTGATCAGTATGTTGAACATACCCATTTCTGCGCCTTACCCTTACCTGTGTTTGACCTCACCTCTTAGCAAGATGGAGTCGTTCATTAGATCGAAGTATGAATCAAGGAGGTGGGCCATGGAAGGTCCGCCACCACGAGATCCCTCGACTCTAGACGGCGGTGCTCCAGCCCCCGCCGCTGCGCCACCACCTACCTTCCCCATACGGACTGCCAGCCCCAGCCATCGTACTTCAGCCAGTATCACTAATCGCCATGCCGTCGCTACCAACCCAACCATCACCCCGCGGCAGCCTGGAGGTCATCAACTATTGTCTGCGAGCCATATGAATCAGCCGGCCCGTTCCATAGCTCCCCCGCAAACGCATCCTGTTACACCTTCTGCACCCGCTCAGCCAGCCCCACCACCACAGCCCCAGAATGACCTCTTTACATTGGATTTCCACGCACCTTCCCCCACGGCTACCTCGTCAGGCCAGTCCGCGCAGCCTAAGAAAGACGTAAAATCCGATATCCTGTCGTTATTTTCTAGCCCCGCAGCGCCTGCCGCTACTCCTGCATTTAATCCACAAGCTACGTCGTCGTTCACTCCGTCACCTTGGGGGACTCCTCAACAGCAACAACAGCCAGTCGCACAACAACCAGGTTTCGTACAAACCACAAGCATGATGGGGTCGAACGGGGCCGGAATGTGGGGCGTGAACTCTGGATGGGCTGCCCCAGCTGCCCCATCTCAGAACAATCTCTGGGGAAATCCTGGCCCGGCACCCGCGCAAACAGGGTTCGCTGTGAATCCCCTCGCCAATACCAACAATGTCTGGGCTGGTTCTGCCGCTCCAAACCCCGGTGGAGATTTATTCAGTACCCCCTTCGCGTCGACCACGACGAATACCCAAAAGAAGGATGATGTATTTGGCGATCTCTGGGGTGGGTTCAAGTAACCTAGATTATCCTATGCATTAGAAGACCCTTCAAGCTGTGGTAGCCTCTATATTTCCCATCCAGTTTATAGAAATACATTTTAAGCGAAACTACTTTACTCCTTAAGCGATCCCGAGGTCCTGCATCGTATACATCAGTGATGTTGCCCCCATTGTGCGTTCTGAAACTGACCTTTTCAATCAGCTTCCTTGCAATCGGATGGAAGGCCGTCTTCGAGCCATCAAACGTTTTCACTGCAAGTTTCTTGTCCACTTTGGCCACAGCCTTGAACACGGGTCGGCAGAACTTCATGCGGCCTTTGATAACACCGGTACCGTCGTCCCCCACGACCCACTTCGCAGCCTCAGGAGCAAAGTGAGTCGCCGCAGAAGATTCGCCATCGCCATCAGACAGCACAACCTCGTAAAAGCGCAGTCGAATCTCCGCGTTGGTAGTTTCCGATAAGTCGTACAACACCGCAAGATGTTTCAGATGCGAGGCCGGTAGGGGAGGATATGACTGCAGCCGCTCCAGGAACACAACTTGACGTAATGACGAAGCGGCATTCATCAGTCAGTGTCAACGTCAATCGGTTGCACTCAAAAGACAAAGACTGACTTTTCTGATTCGAGTCGAAGTCTTTCAGGTCCGAGGCCTTGAAGTCGAGTTGGGCTATATCGGATGTTTCGCGGGCTTTGTCCCATCTTTCCGCAAGTACGTATGCCTTGTCCGCCAATGACATATCATATTGCATGTCGACCGGGAGTGTGGTACCTTCGCCGTGTAACCAAGCCTAGTATAATCTCGATCGATGAATGTTGGACAAATAATTAAGGCACAGTACCTCCCAGTCCACGCTCTCCAGAGCCTTGATCTTGTCCGGTCCGCCGTGCTTCTCGTAGTACCCGAAGAGGTGTGCCTTCCATTGTTCCGTCGTGATGCTTTTACCGAGAAACGTGCTAACATAATCCTTGACGTAGGGCAGGAATACATCTAAGCCTCCGACGGTACGTTCTGTAGAGCGACATTAGAGCAACAGAAGGGGTAGGACGATGCTCATACCAAGATGAAGTATCAGGTTGGCTCCTTTCTCGTAGGGGATGCTACTGTATGCATCATCGGGGTCCTCGCCACGTTCAAAGTCAATCATCAGCCGCTGGTATTTCGGGCGATCTTGATATCCTTTCAGAGCATCGGTCAATGCCTTTGAGCCGATCAAGAAGGAAAACCCTCGGTGGGCAGGGGAGTGCAACTTTTCCTGCAGCACGCGCTCAATGTACGTTGTCCATCCTTCATTCAGCCAGAAGTGGGAGGCATGTGCGTGCCTAATGGATGCCCCCGTGGAATCAGAAGTAGCATGAACAATGTAATAAACTTGAGACCCACGTTACTCCGTTCCCGAACCATGAGTGTGTGAGTTCATGAACAACAACGTCCACAAGGGTTCGATCGCCAGTAAGCAAAGCTAATAGCGGGATTAGCGACTATGTCAAAAAAAGACAGGTGTACTTACTAGGCGTTAGGAAGGTCAGGCAAGCATTTTCCTAGAAAAAGTGAGCTATGCGTACAACGCAAAATACACAGAACGGTGACACACCATGCCTCCATAGGGGAATGATGGCGGTAAGACAAGGAGGTCATAAACGCCGAACCTGTATGGCGTGACGATGGCTTCTTCCGCCGCTAGGAAACTGATTGAATGGTACGTCAGGCGATTGTCTCGGCTATGTATCGAATACTTCACTCGTTGGTATCAGCGCTGAATTCCCAATACGCAGCATCGATCATCGCAGGCTCTGCCCAGATACCGCTCTTCCACGTCTTGCCATCAGGCGGAGGGAAAGGCTTGTATCTTACATCCCCGCAAGCGATGGCAATTAGGTAGGAAGGTATGGGAACGGGCTAGAAAACAAAGCAAGGGGATCACTGTGAGTATTCAGGGTTCGAGACTGAGATGACTGCACGACTTGCTTGTTCGTATGTGTATGTGACAACATCTTTCCCTATTTCCTTGCCATCGTGAGCCGGTCCATCAGAAGGAGGAGATTGACGGATGGCCGAAAGGAGGACGGGGAGGACGCAAGATACACTGGCCGAATACGTCTACGTCCAATTCATTTTGATGCCGTTAGTCCAACGTCAGCCCCACAATCAACCTAAACTTTGCTTCTCACGATTTTTACGGATGGTGTATCTACGCTGCTTGATCAGCTGCTATAGATACAATCCAATTGTTATAGCCCACCTTGTATTGGTGCTAGAGCGCGGGCGTATATGGGTTGGCACTGGCTGAACAAATAAGGGAACGTCTTCCCTTGAGTTTGCCTGAGTGCAATCGTTGTAAATTCTTTCTTCGGCCACCCTGATCAAGCCAGACATACTCTTTGTCTAACCACTGCAGAGCAGTACAGGCCTCTGTCGTGGCATACGATACTTTGACTTTCACCGTCGCGCCAACCCTTAATCCTGCGGGCAGTGGGACGTGGAGGGCAGATCCCATAACCACATGCCTTGCTTTCAATTCGTACTGTCAAGTATCAACATGTCAACTAAGGTCCTGCGCCTTGAATCGGGGCTATTGGAGAACGTACGGCGGAATCATTCCCATCAACCTGAACTCCATGAAGATCAAGGTCTGCAGTGTCGAAGCTGCGTCGTTGCGCGAGTATTCAATCAAAGGAAAGAATAGGAACAAGGCGGAAACTACCCACCTCACTTCCTTTACGCCACTCTCCTTGATCTCTACAGTATGCGTCGCTGATCCGGAGATGATCTGTTTCCGGAAGTCTACCGTCCAATCGAAGGCGACATGAGTAGTTGCGGCCTGAAGATAATTGGTCTGTGTTGTTGGATCCGACATGCTTGATCGCCTGTAGATGATGCTGATGAAAGTGTTCCGTCGATAAGCAAGGAAGTACTCAATGAATCTCAGCGGCAATCATGTGATAACATTTAAAGACCACGAGGCTAGGTGATACAAAACGGGTAACGAGAAAGGGAACGAATGCCGGAAGTCCGTTGTTATCTTTGTGATGATGAAACACTAAACATATAGGTAATGGGGGCCCAAGAAACCGAGAGGACAAAAATACAGTCAAAGACATCCCACCACTTAGAACAAAAGGTATTAGACAATCAGGTGCATATGTTGGCGATTAAATATGGGAAGGAGTGTAGGAGAGTCCATAAACGATAGTCTGGCAGGCATCGACGGCGACATTATAGAACGTTAAGAAGTGGCGTATACACAGTTGTTATTTCGATCAAGGCTGGACCGCAAACTGATATGAGGTATGATAAGAATCAGAAACGATGATTTAGGCAGAAGCTCCTAACCTTGGTACGTTTGCCCGAGACATAAATCTCGGAGGACTTGCGCTTGATGCGGACGGTAGAGACCATCATGTTCTCCTGGGCATAGAAAGGTAAGCGACGAAGCTAGTAGAAGGCAACTGAAAAACGTACCGGCGTCACCGGGCCAATTGATTCATCAGAAGTGCTAGAGTAGACCGAGTTAGCGTCATCCTCCTCCTCAGTCGAAGCCTGAACGTCCATGGGGACGTCAGCCTCTCTCCGGCTGCGAATTTTTTCCAAAATGACCGAGTGATTGGGACCAGTGACAGGGGAAGGTGACCACCTCGAAGAGGTAGCCAGCACAGCTCCCCTACCGTTGCGCCTGTCCGAATTGTGAGCGGGGATGACAATCGTAGGGAGACGTCGATCGCCATTCGCCTCGAGCCCAGCGAACTTGGAGACGGGCAAAGGAGTAGATGAGAGTACGGGGAGGGGGACTTGAGACACATATTTCTGGTCCAATTGGAGTGCCGCCTTGATGTTGAGCTTGAGACCAAGGTCACGGGCACGAAGACGAGCGTGTTGAGTTGGGGTCATGGTCTGACGCATGTTATACGCGATTTGCTGGTAGCGGTAGTTTGCTTGTCGCAAAATGGTGATGAGGTTAGCCAAATGGCGGTCCTCGAGAGTGGAAGCGGAAGCGGTGCGGGATGAAGACATGATCGAAGTCGAAAGGCGTTAGAATGTGGGGATGAAAGGACGATTGACTTTGGTCTCTTTATAGAGATAGTTGTGATCTAGTCGTCTTCGCCTTTCTGTCGTATATCGTCTATAAATGGAATACGCGCTGCGTAGATCCAAAGAATAAAGGAAGGAAGTGAAAGGTACGAAGGGAAGAAAGGAAGAAAGCAGAGTGGAGAAGCATGATTGCCTAGCGTCTCGATCTAAATAGCACCCTGCGCCCACAATGGTCCTCAGTTGGAAAGTCACTCGAATACAAAAGAATAAGAGAAAGCTCTAACCTCGCAAGGCCCATGCTGGGAACTTGTTGTCATACAGGGAAGCCCTGAAGGTCCCTGACAAGAGCCAATTTAGTTTGACCCGAGGGCCGACGGAGGGCGTCTAGTTTGAACGGAACCGTGGCTTGACTACCGTCGAGAACAAAAGAACAAGGATAACGTCGGTGGAGTCGGATGGCGCATGTTTCCCGTTGAATTGAATTACGCAAGTGAAAGAAGTGAAAGGGACTCTCAGGCTTCCTCGTACGCGATGGATCCTGAAATCTATCGAGGGCAACGTAGTTAGTAGCCCACCGTGGCGTCGGTCAAAGGTCTGGAGATATTTCCTTTTCCGGAACTAGGTCTTTTGTTTTCTAGCAGGAAGAAGCCGACCGACTCCAAACGATCAAGCGCCCGGCCGCCTTGCCAAGAACGGGTTGACTAGAACTTTCACTGAGCTCAACTTTGAAGAATACCAAAGAAGATGCTGGCTCACAAGATTGGTTCGTTAGTTTCTCTTCTCTCAAAGGCGACGGACGTGGAGAATGAGCTTACGATCCAGGCTCCTTGCTCTTCTGCCCCACTTGTGGGACGCTGCTCGACTCACCAAAGGACAACGAAAATCATGTCACATGCGAGCAATGCACTCATGAAGAACCCTCAAGTTGTGGGTCCACATTTGTCTGATAGACGCTTGCTTCCGCTGATTTTAGGCCCGTCCTTATGCCCAAAATAATTCAGCATACGATGGCATAGAAGTGATAACTCGCTCACATCCAGACGCCTTCCCATCTGCACTTCGACAAAAGCGTAAAACTCAGACCAAACTCCACGAGGAAGGCGACAAGGGCACTTTGGTGGGTCCAACTGTCTCCCTACAACAAAGGACTCCTTCTATCGCATCGATAATCCGCATCTGATCCGCCCTCATCGCTCTTGCTGCCAGGTTTCAGAGAAATGCCCAGAATGCGGGCACATGGAGGCCTACTCGAAAGACAAACAGGTACATCAGTTTCTTACGAGCTAGAGTGATTTTATAATTATATGTCTGCTTTTTAGCTGCGAAGTGCTGACGAAGGCACGACGGTGTTTTATACCGTACGTCTTCCCTGTCGACCGTCAGCACTATTTCTTACTATCGATTCCTCCGAAGTGTGCCGCCTGCAATCACGGCTGGCGTGTTAACAACTAACCTCGCATATCGTTTCGACCAGCCTTCCCCCACGTAGAAACGTCCAACAAGGCACTCTCAGAATTATATTATTCCACCGGTTGGCATCTAATGAACATGGCTACGGTAGACACCCGTCTCAACGCAATGTTCGCCCATCGCCATTACCTCTTATTCCTACTAAACTATCCTTATACAAGCCTTGCCTTTTTGTTCTCGCGGCCTTGAATCGCTCGAAAGTCCGACGCAATCAATCGACTCCTAAGTGCACCCACAAACACCCAAATCGACCTGCTGTCAGATAGATCGTAATACGCGCGCTTCGTAACATCGCCTAACTGATTTTTTCACCGTCCAAAATCATCGTTTTTCCACCATCGTCTGCCCCATCCCAGACGACGCAGGATTTGCGCTCCTCACCGTTGCACGGCTTGACCCCTCCAAATCAGGGGTCTCAAAGGTCGCCATCGATTTTCCGTTATACCCACAGCCGGGTAGTACCGATAATGTGTGACCCTTGTTGTTTTCCTCTCTTCTCGTGCGCCCTTCATGGACAGGATCTCAGGAATTCCTTCATCCGCACTCGCATCCCATAGATACCACATCGCGCTTGTCCTTATGCTGTATCACACCTTGAATAGATGCATGCCAACCCCGCAAGGTATGACCCATTCTACATAAATACAATAACACTTTCTCAGCCGGTCAACTAGTCCTAAGCCAGCGACTGGGAGTGGGTCGACTGTGCACCTTCTGTGGGCAGTTCTAGCTGTATATCCAGTCATTGCAGCGCCTCGGTCCTCCGGTGCCAGAATGATAACAGTCACGCACGCTGTGCCCCACGGCGTCGAAATGAAATTCCTCGCCAAACCCTAGATTGCATACGTCGAAGAGAAGGAACCATCAGCGATTTAGTCGCCACAGATACAAGCTCTAACAATGCACTCAGACCTGATGTCCTCAAGACAGTAATCCCCATTACTCACAGCCTTCCGTCCAGTGGACGGGAACCAGTCTGGACTCCGTTAAGATTGATGTCGGGGGAATATATCAGCTAGACCCATGGTATTCCTGGTGTCTGATTTCTTCGTACCTCCAAACCCTCTCCAGTTTACTTACACCTCTGGGCGCTCTCCAAGTGCTATGTCACCCTGCGTGCGTTGTGTCGCGAGAAGGCCAATGGCCCTCGCTTGGTTCATTTCCCTTTGAAAACACCATTCTCAATGACGTTGCCTGGGGTTGAGCTGCCGATCTCCCCCGACCGCAGATATACGAGGTTTCGACGAATACAGCACAATTGACATCCATAGCTGTCAGATTGTCTTTATTGTGCCCATCACATCGTTAACATTGCTACATCGTAGAGCCTGACTTCGAATGAACTGTAAATATAACCTCTCCTTGGAAACCGATGCGAGAGTGCAACCTATCCGTGGTATCAAGCAGCAACAGCCTGAGGGTACCGGAATAGACTCGAAGGATTGTATTTCGAGTGGATGGACTGAAGGATGGGGTAGTGGTCCCCGTAGTATTGAGTTTGCCATTGTATGTCAGAGAGTGTTGGATCGGCGTAGCAGGGATAAGCACCAAAAGACCAGTTTGACGGCATGTTTGACGTTATGGAACTAAGGTCAACATCAGTGACTATCTGAGGCAACACGAACATTGTACGTAGAAGGAGAGGATAGCATATACGGACTTATACAAGTTGTTCAGGAAATCTATCCCGTCAATGGGGAATGGGGGTTGTAAATCCAGCGATGAGGCATACATCTGGAAGTTATAGAGGCCCTTACGGTGTGCGTATGCGGTGGAGTTGTGAGGTATGTCGCTGATTATGCTACCTTCGCCGCCGAAGAGATCGGCTAGTACAAACCATTTCTACGATGACGCGTATGAGTGCGAATTATGGACAGAAATTAAACGAATAATACACACGGTGTCAGTTGATACACCTTCAGCCGCAAGATAGTCAAATAGGGCACGGATGGCTGATGGCGTTAGAACAGCATCATGAGGCACCATCAAACTCTTCGCAAAGAATGTATCGCTTGCGTCCAAGCGAAGAGACGTGTCCAGCGTGCCGATTCCGCCTTTTCTCACAAGAGAGGGAATCCATTCAAATTGCGTTACATTCGTTGTTCGCGGCGATACAGGAACGGAAGAAATGAGGGGAGCAATGATTGTGTTGAATGTGGTGAGAGATCCCATGTAGATTCCGATGAGGGATAGGGTTATTATACCGGGCTGGCGAGAGGGAATTACAGAGAGTTGCAGTCCCAGTTCGGGGGGCGCAGAGTATTGGGAGAAGAATTGGAAGGAGGCCAATATTTCAGAGGCAACAGATGGGTCGACGGAGTAAGCGTAGCTGAATACAATGTTCGAAGGAGGTGCTGATTGGGTTCTAACTTTGTACTCCTAGGAGATCATATCCAATGTGAGACGCATTACATGTCAGCAGAGATAACAAACCGTGACTATGCCGAAGGAAGGGGATGCGCCGCGAAGAGCCTAAAGATCAGTTAGATGGTATAAAGAAAAGTGTTATTATTGAACTAACCCAGAATAAATCAGAGTTTATGGACTCAGATGCTCGCAGGACAGTGCCGTTCGCGATGACCACTTCTGCAGATTCGATTTGGTCGAGGACAAGACCCCATGCCCTAGACGCCAAACCAAAGCCACCACACCCCGCATGGCCTCCGATACCCACATACGCTAACAGGTCGAGCTTGAGCTAGCCATTTGTTACAGTCATTAGAACCACATACGACAAGTACCATGGGCCAATGCACGTTCCCCATTTGCAAACAATGCTAAAGCGACGTCGCCAAGTCTGTTGCCCGTCTGAATGTTCGCCGTATAGTCTTGGTTCACGGTGATATTCTTGAGATTGGAGAGATCGATGACCAGGGTTCCGTCTTGTCCACCCAGGCTAAATGCGCCGTAGCTATGTCCGCCCGATCGAGCAGAGACAGGGATAGTACCGTTTACTGATGAGGCGCATTTGACTGCAATCGCTACGTCTTGAGTAGAACGCGGGAATACGATGGCGGCAGGAGTGTACTCGAAGCGCCGGTTGAAAGCGAGCGAGTCCTGGGCAAAAGTTGAAGAGTTGGAGGTTACTGTGGAGATTCCTGAAGATTGCAAACAAGATAACAAGGCGTCCGATATGAGAGCTGCAGTAGCTAGGCGCGCCCAGATCACCACGAGAAGGAAGATTAGAGATAGCGGTCTAAGTGCTGGGGGAGTGATCAACGTTCGAGAAAGGACTACCATCGAGAAGAACGTAGATCTGTAAGTATTTCGTCCTGGTAAAATATTTATTCAGAAGTATCCACTAGACCGCGTGCTGATTCATTGACGGTGCATAGGATGAGACTGATTGTATCGTGAGGAGTGGCACATTGATGTGCGCGTGCTGATGTAGCCGGAAATTTTTGGTGCCTCACAGGGCTTGCATCCATATTTCAGAACCAAGTTTGGATGATAGTCGAACATCGTTTGCCAACATCGATACATGTATCTGATGGAACATGTAGAGAATCTGTGGAGTCTACTCACCAGAGTGAGTCAGTACCCAAATTAAATATACAGACCTTCAGATATACAGAGAACGACCATGCCAGCACGTACCTTCGAATCCCACCATTGACAGCGTTTGCGTTCTGCATCAATTGTGTTAGCCAATCGATACCTTACCGTTAGACCAGGAGCGTGGAACCATTGTTCGGCGTGTTGCGTCTTCTGGATTTCCGTGGAAAGATTACGCCCGTAATTGGTGAGTGCGACACTGAGGACACTACTAAGACACATCATCAATTTCTTGACAGGACTCGGATAGTCCGGTAGGTACTTGTGTTTGCAAATAATACGGACATAGTTCAAGTCCTGAGAGCAAATCTGATCAGTCATTCGACCGGGGGTAATGGAAAGTATTCTCCGTGCAGACGAGTCGTATCACTAGGGGGTTTGGGCAATATAAGTCGAGGCAGCACTGTGGACAGGAGCGGAGAAAGTTGTATCAGAGGGGGTTGTACCGTGCGAATACAACGCCATATCAGTATCATTCTAAGGGACGCGCCGAATCCGCTCACTAATCTCAGGAGCAACCAGTAGCCAAATCCTCTTTAACTCCTTGACTCTTTACCTTCATCTCAACCCCACCTTTGAGCATCCTTGACTCAGCAGCAATGGCAACGCACGTCCTATTGCCTAGAATTCTCATTGCAGCGCTCATGTATCCTTGATGATAGTGGTGATATTGGTTTGATCGGCCTAGCGGTCATGGTATGCATATCTACGCACTCGGGATTCTTCGTTGCGCTGAAGCACGGCGGTAAAGGGTCAAAACCTCATCCTCAACATGAATGACAAGGGCTTCACCGTTGTCGCCTACAATCGTACCACCTCAAAGGTCGATAACTTCCTCGCGAACGAAGCCAAAGGTACGTTGATCTTGAGATCGCGTTTACATTATACTGACGATCGCTCAATAGGAACTAAGGTCCAAGGCGCTTGGTCGATCCAGGAGCTTTGTGCCAAGCTCAAGACCCCACGCAAAATTATCCTCTTGGTAAAGGCCGGGCAGGCCGTTGACGACTTTATCGCCCAGCTCGAGCCATATCTCGAGCCAGGTGACATCGTTATTGACGGTGGTAACTCGCACTTCCCCGACTCTATCCGCCGCACCAAGGAGCTCGAGTCCAAGGGCTTCCTCTTCGTCGGTTCTGGTGTTTCTGGTGGTGAGGAAGGTGCCCGTCATGGCCCATCCCTCATGCCTGGTGGTTCAACCGCTGCCTGGCCTGCCATCAAAGAAATCTTCCAGAAGACTGCTGCTCAAGCGTACGGCGAGCCATGCTGTGACTGGGTGGGTGAGACCGGCTCTGGCCACTACGTGAAAATGGTCCATAATGGTATACACCGCCTGATGCACTGCCGATCTGCGCGTTATAACTCATCACCCGCATTAGGTATCGAATATGGTGACATGCAGTTGATCGCCGAAGCGTACGACATCTTGAAGCGTGGCCTTGGACTCCACGAAGATGAGATCGCCGACATTTTTCTGAAGTGGAATAAAGGTGTCCTCGACTCCTTCCTCATCGACATCACCGCCAACATCCTCAAGTTCAAGGACGACGATGGCGAACCCGTCGTGACTAAGATCCTCGACAAAGCCGGCCAGAAAGGTACCGGTAAATGGACTGCTATTGCGGCGCTTGATGCCGGTACTCCCGGTGAGTATCGTGTATATCTATTGCATTATCATGGTGAATAAATGTCTTGCTTTAGTCACTCTCATTGGTGAAGCCGTTTTCGCCCGTTGCTTGTCGGCTATCAAGGACGAGCGTGTGCGCGCTAGTAAAGTTATTGCTGGCCCACAGAAAGAGCCATTCCGTGGTGACAAACAATTGTTCATCGATGATCTCGAGCAAGCCCTCTACGCTTCCAAAATCATCTCTTATACCCAAGGGTTTATGCTAATGAGAGAAACAGCAAAGGAGGTTAGCCATTGGTATCATCTTAGACACCGGAATCATTGACCATTGCTTCCCCAGCTTGGTTGGAATTTGAACTACGCTGGCATCGCTAGTATGTGGCGAGGAGGCTGCATCATCAAGGCAAGCGCTTCGGGGTAGTTATTCCAAGGCATTACTGATAATCGTGCTCAGAGTGTCTTCTTGAGTGACATCACCGCTGCTTACAGAAAGGACACCAAATTGGAGTCTCTTCTTTTCGACGATTTCTTCAACAAAGGTATTCATCAGTAGTCATCTTAATATTCCGTATGTTGATGCATGCAATGATTAGCCGTACACACCGCTCAACCCGGCTGGAGACGTGTGATTGCTCAGGCCGTCTTGTGGGGTATCCCTACCCCAGCATTCAGCACTGCTCTGGCCTTCTTCGATGGATACCGGAGCGAGATCGTTCCCGCCAACCTTCTCCAGGGTCAGGTATGAGCTCATCCCTACTCAAAATGGCGGATGTCTTCCTAAAGACCTCGCCTTAGCGTGACTACTTCGGTGCCCACACCTTCCGCGTTCTTCCAGGGAAAGAGAACGAAAAGTTCAAGTCTGGCGAGGATATTCGTGAGTGTCATTCCAAGGACGTCTTCCGACCCCACTTATGATTCCCGCACCTAGATGTTAACTGGACTGGCCGTGGTGGAAACGTGTCTGCATCGACCTACATTGCTTAACCGATTGTAGGGTAGGCGTAAGGAAAGGAAAGGATTCAATGTTCAATAGATGTAATCCATATAAATAACCGTGAAGTGCTATGGGAGGACGTGATTGGCTATGAAGTGTGAACCAAATATCATGATGCCCCGATTTAGTAACTTCATCCTACGTACCATAGTGACTAGATCATCAGAACAGTAACGAAATCCCACCCACCATGAAAGAAGGCCTCCCATCGTTTGGCAAAGACATCCACATGGATACCGCCAAAGGACTCACCAACATGGGCGGATTCCCTGACGTGCGGATGGCCACCGCCAAGGGCATGATGACCTACGGACCAGGCGACATCACGATGGACACCGCTCGCGCTGGTACGACAATGAAGCAAGGCGGCGGCCACGCCTTCCAGCTCTGGGAACGCGAACTCCTCGATAGCCCCGAAGTCAAAAGAAAAGCCACCGTCGCCCAACTGTGTGAGCTCCCCAAGCAAGTTCTTGGGCTATAGTTCGCTTAATGCACCCTCGCGGATGTTGATTTCTCAAGTACAGATTTTCTCGATTACTACTTCCAGACACTAGGCTACCTCGCTGCACGCAAGGAGCGACGCGCCAAGTTCGACCAGGACACTTCGGCACGCGGACTGACGCAGCAGGAGTACGCGAAGGAGTTTAAGTCGTACTGTGGGCGGGAGCGTGTGGTGTTGCGGCGACGACGGACCAAGCTACAACTAGAGCAGTTCCACATCATCGCCCAGGTCGGACAAGGAGGATATGGCGAGGTCTTTCTGGCCAGGAAGCAAGAGACAGGTGAGGTGTGTGCTTTGAAGAGGATGAAGAAGCGGACGCTGTTCAAGATGGATGAGGTATGTCTTTTTGTTGTCGCCTTACCCATTGCTTATCATTTCTTCTTGATCGCTTCGATGCATAGGTCCGACACGTCCTCGTTGAGCGCGACATCCTTACAGCAACCAAAACGCCCTGGCTCGTGCGCCTTCTCTACGCCTTCCAAGACAAAGAACACGTCTACCTGGCCATGGAATATGTTCCCGGAGGGGATTTCCGCACTCTACTCAACAACTCGGGCGTCCTTAAGGAAGAACACGCGCGCTACTACATCTGCGAGATGTTTGCCGCCGTGACGGAGTTGCATAAACTTGGATATATTCACCGAGATTTGAAACCGGAGGTACATACACCCCATATCTTGACCGGCGAAGGGACAAAGAAAGATATCGGGAATACTGACTGTGGTTTATGACAGAACTTCCTGGTGGACAGTACGGGCCACGTTAAGCTGACAGATTTTGGTCTCGCCACTGGAGCTCTCAACCCCAAGAGGATCGAATCCCTCAAAGTCAAGGTCTGTCAATTCGGTCCTTGACCTCATACTTGACAAATCTTCCTTACTTCTTCATCTCGCGCGCCGGCAGCTCGACAAAGTCAAAGACAATCAAGTAGTCCATCGATCTACGATCGAACGACGCTCCATATACCGTTCGATCCGAAACGAAGATCCCAGGTACGCCGACTCAATCGTCGGGTCCCCCGATTATATGGTGGGCACTTTCCTACTGATCCATCTCATCCCACACCAACTCACAATCCACCGTTACCTGAATACTAGGCTCCTGAAGTCCTTCGCGGGAAGCCTTACACATATTCCGTCGACTACTGGTCCCTTGGTTGCATCCTCTTCGAATTCTTAGCAGGCTTCCCGCCTTTCAGCGGCTCCACGCCTGAAGAGACGTGGACGAATCTGAAGAACTGGTCCAAAGTTTTGCAGCGGCCGGTTTACGACCGACCCGAGGATTTGATTTTCAATTTAAGCGATATCGCTTGGGATGCTATTACTAGGTTCGACCTCTTGCGATCCTTTCCTGAGTAACCAACGCTCACCCTACGCCTCAGGCTAATCGCCCACTCAACAACGCGCTACTCGACGCTCGACCAAGTGACCGCGCACCCATTCTTTGAGCCCGCACCATGGGACGATCTTCGTGCTTCACGCGCACCATTCGTGCCTGCCTTGGATTCCGAGATCGACACAGGATATTACGACGATTTCACGTCGTTGGAGGACATGGCGAAATATGCCGAGGTGAAGGAGAAGCAGAAGAATGTGGAGGCAGTAAAGGAGAAAGATGGCGGGGCAGGTGGGAGAGGCGTGTGGGTTGGGTTTACGTTTGGGAAGAATGGGATGGGAGTGGGGGCGCGTGGATTGGGGGCTGGAGAAGGGGATGGGGAGGGCGTGTTGGCGACTATATTTTAATTAATCGAGAGGACGGTCGAGATTGAGCGTGTAGTGCGGGTTTCACCATGCTCATGTAGTATGTAATCAGTGTATACCAAGTTTATGGGTTTCCGGATGCTGTACGCAGTTCGTTAGTGTGGATGGAAGGTTCGCAAAGAAATAAATCATGTTCGATACTCATCTCATGCATCATGTGTGAGTCGACGGTCACTAGTCATATATTCCTGAGCATGTTTGAAATTTCGTCGTTGCTTCCGATTAGGTCGATGCCTGCGAAAACGCTCCTCTCCCAGTCTCGAAGTCAACTGCCAAAGATAGGAAGCCATAGGGATTTCATAGGGGGTCAACGCCCTGCCAGCACTATGCCCACAACATCCGTGTAACCGAATAACCGCTCAAGCCGGCCGTGCAACCATGGCCAGGGACACATTTACCTACAGAATATCAAGATCACCGTGCTAGAGAGCTGGTGGTGTTGTACATGGCGTCGTATATAAGGATCGTGAAGTTCAGCAACTTGAAGACAAGAACGGATGACGCCTCAGATCACGCTATACACGAGCAAGGTAAGCACTCGAGCCCATTCATTCGCTTTGCATCGTATACGATGAACGAGCAGGCTGATGGATGTGAATTGTCCAGACTAGTCCTTATGGACACTACGTACGTGCTCGACAAAGCCACGCCGCTCGCGTTGGCGTGTACCATGCTGATGTACTGACATACTTACTGATGACACACCCTCGACGATTATCAGGTCGAGATTGCCCTCCGCGAAGCCAAAGCAGAGTACACCAGGTTCGAGGTGGATCTGCTCAACAAGCCATCTTGGTTCACCGAGCACGTCAACCCCACAGGGCAGGTACGCAAGCCACCACCCTACCGCCGTCGCGAGCTTACCGCATGCCCAGATCCCCGCACTGACATACGGCGGACCCCCCACCGCGCCCGACGCGCCCTCCCCCGCCGCCCACAAACTCACAGAATCCCTCGTCCTCCTCGAATTCCTCGCCGACGTCTTCCCCGCCTCCGCCCTCCTCCCCGCCCCCACCGCCCCCCTCGCGCCGGTCCGCCGCGCCCAAGCGCGTCTCTTCATCACCCTCCTCTCCACCCGCCTCGCCCCCGCGTTCTCCGCCGCGCTGCTCCACCGCGGCACGCCGGGGGCCATCCTCGCCGCGCTCGACGCGCTGCAGCCCTCCATGCCCAGCGGCGCGCCCGGCGCCGGGCCGTTCCTTCTTGGCGCCGCGTTCTGCGCTGCGGACGCGGTGGCGGCGGCGTACCTCGTGCGCGTGGATGGGTGTTTGAAGCGGGATGTCGGCTCGTTCCCTGCGGGGGCGGGCACCGCGACGCACGAGATCCTGCGCACCTCCACGCAGTACGCACGGTATCGCGCGTATCTGTCTGCGTTGGCGGCGCGGGAGTCGGTCAGGGCCACCTTTCACGAGGTGCGTCACACACACACACCCTTTGCCTTGCTGATCGTGCAATTGCGCACGCCCAGCGGAGAGAGGAGCTAACATTGGCTGATTTTGTCAGGACTTACTGTTCGCACCGCACAACGTGCAGTATATCCTCTCAAAGCGGGCCTGAGGGGGAGTGCTAAATCGTTCAATGTTCAATGTTCAATGTTCAATGTTTAATGTGAGCTGCACGTCGCCATTGAAGTAAAACTTGTGGAATGTAGTATGGAGTACGGAGTATGGAGTATACATCCCCTGCCGGGCTTGAACGCACGGAATGCGAGAGTTAGCGGTTGCTGCTTGTGTCTTCGTAGCTCTAGATTAGAAGCGTCGTAACCATCCACACGGGTGATGTTGACAGGGCGGTACGTCGGTCATATCGCTGCCTCCTCCCCCTCCTCCTCGTACTGTGTCTCAGTACGCAAGGTAGACCACAGAAATGCCAGATACTGCTACCGTGACGTAAGCACACAGTGTACATGTCGAGAGCAGGCGCCGCGAGAGCGAGGAGATGGCCTCATCCCATCCATCCCAACCCGATGCACCCAGTCAGTTTATCCAAACTTTTCATCCACGGTCACGATTCAAATACTCAATATTCACGCGCACGAACCAACCACGTACTACACTACATACTACATACTCCACTACTTTCACTCTCTATCATTCTCTATTATTCTCTACTCTCTGTCATTCTTTATTCTCCATCATTCCCTATCACTCAATGGAAACAATGTCCGTAGTCAGCCCCAACGACCTCCAGCAAATACCAAACAACAGAGAGAGAATGTCGACATACTTACACCCTCAGGCCTCAGGCCTCAGCGCTCAGCAATCATCAACACACCAAAACCGCCACGCACGCCAAAAACCAACACGCCAAAAACCAACTAACACGCACGCCAAACCGCGCCAAATGACGACATCCCGACATCCCGGCCTTCCGTCCACATTCCAGTCTGCATTCCACATTCCACATTACAGTCTGAATATACCAAGCAGGTCAAAGAAGGTCAAGGAAGGCTAAGAAGGCTCAAAAGAAGCCCAAAGGAGGGTAAAGTTGCTTCAGACTTTAGCTTCGCTTCGTGTATCATATTGTAACGTGCGTGTGTGTAATGTGCTTTCAATGTGCGTGTAGGAGTGGTGTGTGTACACATGTGCACAAAAACGAAGCAATGATTCTCCAAGTTCATTCACCCATTTTACTCTTTCACAATCCTGCATAACCTTGAATGCTTCTCAAGCTTGAGTTCCAGCGAAAATAGGAGTCAAAAGTCTAGGCAAAGAAGTCGATTCACGTATCACAAATGGCGTTTGACTCGACATAACACCCCGCCAACAAGATATAGAATACCAGGCACTAACGATGAGAGTCAAAGTGAAGAGGGGGAGTGCGCAGGGAAGGGGAGGGAGAAAGGGACACAAAAAGAGAAATCACTCGGATGTGGCGGCCTGGGCGCGATCGCGGAGGTTGTCGGCGGTGGTGTCTGGGTGGGGCGCGACTACCTGAGCATTACCGAGGTTGGACACGATCGGCTTGAGGATGGTGTGATACATCGATTGTGCGCCCTACACATTGGTCAGTAACACGTAAATGAGCGGACACGCGCATACACGCACCCTAAACGCGGGGAGCTGCAGCCAGACAATGAAAACGGTCTTGAAGGCAAAATACCAGGGGACGTAGTAGAGGAGGGCGCGGAGGGCGAAGCTCTCAAGGAAATTGAAAAAGCCGAAGACGGTCCAGTAGGTGAGCCACTGGACGTCGTCCTGTGTCTGTGGGGACTCGATGGCCTTGAAGGAGAGGTAGGCGGGGAGGCCCCAGCCGATGAGGTTTGAGACGGGGGCTGCGAGGGGGTTGATGAGGTGAAGGGCTGCGAGGAGGGCAAAGGCGCCGAGGACGGTGTAGACCTTGGGAATGTCTGTGCGACGCTCGAGGGTGATGAGGACAGGGTACTTGTTGAGCTGCACAGCAAAGAGAGATAAGGTTAGTGGCAGGCGGAATGCAGGATATGGGTGGGAGACTCGCCTCTTTGTCGAGCTGGTTTACGTAGTAGGCGGCCTTGTTCTGGGCATCGACGATGACGGGGTGTTGCTGCACTTTCTGAGCTGCGGACATCTGGATAGTGCGTCAGCGCGCCACTCGACGGAAAAGCCAAAACGCGCAGCAGGCAGGACTGTTTGCACAGCGGCAACGACGACGATAAGGGCAGAAAAGAGACTCACAGTGATTTCGTGGAGCGGGTCGTTTGTCGTTCGTATGTGGGTGGAGGAAAGGAGCGTGTCGGGCGAGGGCCGCTTGATATAGGTTGCTGCTTGCACGTGTTTGGTCGCGGCGCCTTATTGGATGCTCCCACGGGCGGATAGCACACGTCACTCCCAACCACAGAGAAAGAGCAAGAGAATGTCGCTGCAGGTACGCGCATCGATGACGAGCAACGACAGTCACTGACACAACGCAGGCTCTCCACAGGTCGCTTCCGCCGTTTGCACCCGCCATCCCCGTCGCAGCTCTCCCCTTCCTCGCCCTCGTCCTCCTGTCCGCGACGTTTGCCCTCGCTTTCTACTTTACCACGTCCGTCGCCTTTCCTTGCACGCTCACACACACACTGACTCCCACCAGCCTCCCAAAACACACGCTGCCCCTCCGCGAGCTGGCTGTAGCCTCGACAGCCAGTCTGCTGGGCGGCTTTGGCGTCGTCGCCCTCTTCTGCACCGCCGGTGTATACGTATAGATGCACACCTTTGTTCGTTAGTCGTATATGCCTATCAATGGACTCCCATGCACGTCCAGAAGTAGAGTTTCAATTTCAAGTTTTGTAACCAGAGTAACTGTACACGCGAGTCAACTCCTAGCCCCTAGCAACTGCCCAAATCCCGTGAGCGCCTGTTCATGTCATCTACTTTGTCTCTCGTCCAGCAATCATTCGCCATCCTGGGCGGGTCACGCTTCTTCCACGGTTTCTTTACCAAGCGGCGTCCACCGTTCGCTTTTATAACCCTCTCCTCCTCCTCCCTCTCCTCCTCCAACTTCTCCACAATGCCCCCCGTCGCCCCCAACGGCGCCCCCGCGCCCCACAGCTCCAAGATGCACTCCCAAGTCGTGCGCCATCAGATACCGTCCTCACCACACCCCCATCTAACCCATGTCCGCAGGTGATCATCGGATCGGGCCCGGCAGGCCACACAGCAGCCATCTACCTCGCCCGCGCCAACCTCAACCCCGTCCTCTTTGAGGGATTCATGGCCAACGGCTTCGCAGCCGGCGGCCAATTGACCACCACAACCGATGGTCAGTCGATCGCCCCATCCACACACACACTCACCCTCTCTCTCTAACCACCCCCCCCCTCACCCCCCACAGTCGAAAACTTCCCCGGCTTCCCAAGCGGCATCCTCGGCCCCGAGCTCATGGACAAATTCCGCGCCCAGTCCGTGCGCTTCGGCACCCGCATCATCACCGAGACCGTCTCCAAAATCGACCTCTCCTCGCGCCCCTTCCGCTACTGGCGCGAGGGCGCAGAGGGCGGCGACCCCGAGACCGCAGACACCGTCATCATCGCCACCGGCGCCAGCGCGAAGCGCCTCGGCCTCGCGGGCGAGGAGCGCTACTGGCAGAGCGGCATCAGTGCCTGTGCGGTGTGCGACGGCGCCGTCCCCATCTTCAGGTCAGCCCCCCGGTCTTCGCCTCTTCGGGTTCACTGACCTTGGGATTTCCAGAAATAAGCCGTTGGCCGTTATTGGAGGCGGTGACTCGGCAGCAGAGGAGGCCACCTGTACGCCGCCCCCCCCACTCTCCCAAAGCACTCACCCAAACACACCTGACCACAGATCTCACGAAATACGGCTCGCACGTCTACGTGCTCGTGCGCCGCAGCGAGCTGCGTGCGTCGAAGATCATGGCCAAGCGCCTGCTCAACAACCCCAAAATCGTGCGTACCCGCTCCCCCCCACTCACCACTCACCCATCCCACTCACCCACTCACCCACTCACCCCCCCCCCCCCCCCCCACAGACCGTCCTCTGGAACACAGTCGCCATCGAGTGCCAGGGCGACGGCGACCTGCTCACCAACCTGCGCATCAAGAACGTCGTCACCGGCGAGGAAAAGGACCTCCCCGTCAACGGCCTCTTCTACGCCATCGGCCACGAGCCCGCCACCGCCCTCGTGCGCGCGCAGCTCCAGACCGACACCGACGGCTACATCATCACCGTCCCCGGCACGACCCAGACCTCCGTCAGGGGCGTCTTCGCCGCGGGCGACGTGCAGGACAAGCGCTTCAGGCAGGCGATCACGAGCGCCGGCAGTGGGTGCATGGCCGCGCTCGAGGTCGAGAAGCTCATCGCGGAGGAGGAGGAGGGCATGGAGGAGTAATTCAGATAGAGTGGGATATAGGTATCAATCATCATCAAGACACTTGTAACTCGGACCATGGTACTATGTATTCGTTCAACGACATAAACAGTACACACAACAATGCTACTTGGAAGAAAAGCGCGGGTTGACATTTCTATTCGTTACACAAGCCATTCATTCATTCATTCTGCAAGCAATCAGTCATCAAAGTACGTAAGTAAAAATATACACTGTGAAGGCGAAGCAGGGAGCCGGGACGCAGGCAGCAGCGAAGAGGGCCGGTCAACGTGTATACGACCAGCCCTCTCCCACCTCCACCAGCACCCCAACGCAAAAGCGAAAAACAAAAGCAGCAACAGCAGCACAACAAACGTGTAATCGAAACAAATAATCGTGAAGAATAACAAAAGAAATCTCGGATGTCGCGCGCAAGCGGGCGACTCGATGCGTGGGCGGGCGTGTGGGATACGTCAAGTCAGTGGGTCGTGAGGCGGGGGGAACATAGAGCCCGAGGGCGGGGCGGGGCATAGATCAAGAGATGGCAGCATAGGGTGAGTTCATTCATATGTAAGTCGGTCGATGGACAGCAAATGCGCCGTCGATTATACGCGGATTGGTTTCGGGCGCGTCGATGCTGGCGTAGCCCGTCCCCGTGGACGAGGGCGGTTGAGGCGCAGAGTCTCACCCGGCCTACACGATCATATAAATCAGACCGCTATACAGAGAGAGAAGCGACATATTTACTCACGTCATCATAACCATCGACCCTTGCCCGACATTCTCCTTCTGATCGGTCGATAATTTGGCGCTGCCGCTACGCTTTGCCCATCCCAAAGCACTCCGCCTGGCTGCCGACCCGACGCGAGGACGGGCGTTGGGGGCCAAGCCCCATGCATTCTCGCGGTTCTTCTCCGATGCGACGCTGCCTTTCTTCGGGGACCTGACCTTCTTGTCCGCCTGAGGAACTGGCAGAACGGAAAGATCAACAGTAGAGTTTACGTTGAGCTGTTGCAGCGGTGCGAAAGGCCGTGTCTCCTTGGTGAATGGACGCTGGTGTTCGAGTGGTTGCTGTTCCGGGGAGATTGTAACCTTAAATGTGCGACAGGGAGGGTACGGCGAGGCTCGAGACTGCGTGCGCGACCGGACACGGTGCGGTCGAAGCTCCGAAGGAAGGGGCCCGTAGTTCTGCACCGAGTGCTCAAGGAGGGCCTGCATTCCCGACGGATGGTTGGGAGGGTCGAAGGACTGTAGCGCAAAGATAGAAAAGGGCGTATCAATCCACTGTCTCTTGCTCTCTGTCACCGTAACTTCAGCTTCGTCGCGCAGCGCATAGTAGCGTCTGAGGGCAACCAAACCCTGGTCATCGTCCCAGATAGAACTGCGGGGGCTGGAATCGAGGATCGAGGCCATCTCAGGGTCCACGATGTAGACAGCCTGTTGGGCGACTGGTGTGGCTTTCTTATCTGCGCTGGTAGGGTGCGGAGGCGACGATGTGACGGACATCTCCTCCTCGATGGTTTCGTAGACAGAAGAACGGGACATTCTCGCTTGGGATATGCGACGGTGGTGGCCATGTCCGCGAGCTCTTGCTCTTGCATGAGCGCGGGCTCTGCCGATGTTCGACATTGGGTGAGTCGCATTCGACAACATGGTGTTGAGCTGGCTCAAATCGATGCTTGACTGCGAGCCGCCAGAGATTGAAGAACCATCTGAAGCAGAGAGGGGAGGTGTGTCGCCGCCAGAGCTCGAAGTGCAAGTGCTGGAGCGAGATCGGGATGCTGGACCGGGACGAGAGAAAACAGGTACAATGACTGGGAAATGTAAGTCGAAGTTCTAGGTACATAGGAAACTTGCTTACAAGATGCAGACAAGTCTTCTCCATCAGCAATGAGACATGTCTCTTCCAAGCTTTGTCTGGCTAGAAGACCTCGTTGCGCTTTGATCATACGCTCACCGCCGAATTGATAGGACGAGGTCGAAGCAATCGACGGCTTCTCCACAATGCGCGCCTGCCCAGGGGAATCGTAGACCGAATTCAAATCTTTCTTTTTCCTTCCCATGCGAACGCAAGGGGAGCCCTCGATGACAGAACTAATCGACTGTCGACGTACATGACCACCACCGATCATCTAGCAGCAAATCAGAAGAGAACGAGACAGCAAATTCAAATCACAATGACATACCGAAATCATGGTATCATCTTCGCGACTGGGTCCCCGGTCAGTACTGCACACGCTAAGCATAGATAATGGCCTGAATTGATGAGGAAGCAGCAGGTGGCCCGGAATAGGATTGGAGTCGTCGTTACCAAAGATCGATTCCGACGACAAGGAATTCCTGTACCCAGTCTTATCGAACAACGAATCGTCCATCGTGGATACAGGGTCGTTGTCCATGATTGAATCATACTCGTAAGAATCCCGAGTAGCAGAAAGGTTGGATCGACTAGCGACGGCACTGTCGGGGGGCGAGGCGGAAATGGCAGATAGAGGCATTCCTTGGTCGCCGCTTGTCTCGAACATCTTGTCGCCCAAGCCAGGTCGTCCTAATCGCATTGCCGAATATTCGCTCATCATTGAATCCATGGAAGCATCCTGGCGATGTCGAGCCCAGGTTGCCCTGCCTCCACCAACGCCATGCATGGCATAAGACTGAGCCACTGAGCTAGCGCTAGTTGTCGAAGAGTTGCGGCGATGGTGACGAGCTGCAAAGCTTCTGTTGTAAAGACTCACTGGCGGCGCAAGGGAGGCCACAGACATATTCGATTCTTGTCTCCCATGCCCTCTTGCATATGGCTGAATTTGCGAAATCATGGAGGTTCGGAAATAAAAGCTCGACGCATCACTATCAATGCGTCTGCGGCGAGGCTGACGACGAATGAAAGAAAAGGTATCATCCACAGTCATTGACATCGACATCGACATTGAATCAGAGCAGGACATGTCCTCTGATGATGGACGCTCCTGCAGGCTTGGTAGTGCGTAATCGAAGGGATCGGCGACGCCAGCGTTGATAACATGTCCGTAGGAGGAGATCGAAGCAAAGCTCATACCCGATTCTTGTCGTAGATGACTCCGGTTGCTGATCGCTGCCGGCGGGGGATAGAAAGCTGGGCGCGGTCCGCTGAACTCAAAGCCGCGTCGAACCTCGTCAAAGGACTCGAACCCGACGAAACTCATTCTCGCTGAATCTGCTGAGTGCGTACGACTATGTCCTCCAGCCATACAAGTCCCGGCCGTGTCTCGCGCACGCTGTTTGGAACTGCAGTCTGAGTCTAGCCGTTGACGAGGCAGAGGAGGTGCGATGGACACAGGGAGATCCGAAGCTTTCGCCAATATTGAGTGAAGCACTGAATCGTCTTCGGTTGAGAAAGACGAGTTTGAAAGCTTGCGCTGATGAGCAGGTGATGGAATGATGTCGGAGAGGGTCAGAAGCCTTGGTTCGGCAGGCTGAGGCGTAGGACGACCACCGAACTTGAAGTCGACGTTTAACTGACCGATCGATGGTCTAGAACCTGTTGACGAAGTAAACCTGCGAGGATGAGGTATATCCTCTTCTCCTTGGTCAGAGCCTCCGATGGAAGAAATCAAGCTATCTGTGTGTGCTAAGCTATCAGATCCCGGCAACATCATCGGTTCGACGTCCATGATGAACTCGCTTGCACTTTTAAGCATGGCGAGACTGTCCGAATTGACCTGACTTTCGCTTCCTGTGAATGTAGGTTCTCTCACGTCGACGATCTGGTCGGAAGGGTTCGAGTCGAAGCTGAAGAGGTCACTGCTGCTTTGAGAGGTCTCTTCCTGGCTGTGCATCAACTTCGGAAGCGCTGGGACCGGGGGTACGTCGACCTGCAGGAATGCCTCGCCAAATTTGAACTCGAGCTTGGCTGGAGTCTTGAAAGCGTTCTCAAGCTGTTCAACGAAGCTTCTGCGATCGGACGCGCCGCTTTCATTCAGTACTTTGAGCTCTCCTGTGAAGTCGAAGGACTTCTTCGTGTCGTCGTCATCAGAGGAAGATTGACCTGCGTCGATGTCCGTGTGGTTGTCCTCCTCGTCTACGAGATGAGCGCGGAAAGGAGGGTAGTCGCTTGCGGCGGATACATTCAAAACACCCCCGAGACTTGGGGGAGAAGCAGTAGTGATAGCACTTCTCGGGAATTCCATCGTATCTTCCAGGTCGGACTGGCCGGCGAGGAGAACTTGAAGCTCATCCGGGATGTCTGAATCGGGGTCAGATGCGTCCAGTTCAACGGCGTAACCTTCCGCGACTGACGCGCCCATTGTTCCCGTCATCCCAAGGACACGCTTAGCCTCAGGAGGTATGGGCATGCTGTCACTTTGATCGCCGTCATCGTGTGGGTTGAGACTAACTGAGTAAGAGAGCGAAGACTTCTTGCGAGAATGCGATTGCTTGAACACGGAACCCAGTGGACTCGGTTGAGCTTCGTCGAGGACGGAGCCAGACTTCGCCGACGACGACCTGGAATGGGAGCCAAAGGTGAGGCAAGATGGTGCGCGACTTGCTCTGAACTCCTTGGCAGGCTCGGACGGGCTTTGTTGTACGAATGCATCAGCCAGTCTGCCCCTCCCCTTTGCTGGTTTCAGAGGTTGGAAGACGGGCGAAGGTTCTGCAGGCGGAGGACCTGGACTAGGCAACATGGTCGCGCGTTTGTGCTTCAACCGTGATGGAGTGACGGTGGCAGTGGACTGGGTCTTCAGCTGTTCTTTAGGCGCCACGGACTTGAGCGTCGGCCATGGTGCAATCTCTACGCCAATATTGAACTGGTGGCACTGTTGAGACTGTATTGTAGGCTCGTTCGTTCGTCTCTCAAGATCTCGCGATTGGGCGTATGGACGTAACGACGTTATTGAAGCCATGCTTGCCCTCAGCCCTCTGAGTGGGCTCTCAGGGAGAAGGGACCTGGACTGGCCTTCGCGTGATGGGGAGTTGGTGTTCGACTGAGACGGTGTGTTGGTGGCTGACAAGGAAGGCGACGGACGTAGAGGAGTTAGGTCTGGCGTGTTGGGGGTCGCCTCCAGATCTAAATTATTGATGAGCTGTGCCAACTCGTTGGTGGCAGCGCTGAGGATAGACATTGTACCTACCCACCAGAATTAGTGGATCAAACGAGATGAGCGTGATGAAAACTGACCGTCAGTTCCATCGTCACTACCGAAGTAGCCGCCTTTCGGTCTCCCTCCTTGCATTGTGCCAAGGAGCTGCTCCGACATCGGCCGTCTCCTAACCTTCTTTATCGGCGTCTGTGTGTCACTGCTCATACGTTCGTCGTCGGTGACTCCACCGTGGCCGTCGTTCGTGGCCGTCTCTACTTGCACTTGCCAGACGGGCACTTCGACGTCCTCTTCCTCTTCCTCTAGTACTGGTGACTTACGCGCTTGTTCGTATTCCAGTATTGGGTTTTCCTTTGGCGGCGTGAGCGAAACGGCATCGGGGAACACCTCATTGATGGGTGTCCGTTTCCTACCCTCACTGGTCCTCCTACTCTCCCTGCCTTTCTTGCCTCCTTTCTCCTTCTTCTCCTTCTTTCCTTTCTCCTCCTGTTCCCGCTCTCTTTCCTCACCCCTTGTGGCCAAACTCCTCACAGCCTCTCGCTCGCGTTCCCTCTCTTTCCGCCTCTTCTGGAGAGCATCCTCGTCCCACCGGACGCTCGCACTCGCGCAACTTCCGTTGGATATCCTCGAAGTACCGGTTCTCTCGCTCGCGGTGGATGTTCTAGCGCTGTATCCGCTATTACTGGATATACCAGAACTCGTAGACATCGGCCGTAAAGAACTAGCACCGCTCTCCGAACGATCGCGGCCAGTAAGGAAGACTCGTCCGACGGATGCTGTTCCAGGTGCTAGGGTATTTGAGGGCGGATTGTTGCCATTCACCAAAATTGACGAAGCATTGCTACCTCCGCGAACACTCGGCAGACGCATCGTCATCGTCGAGGGCAACCCTAGCCCTAGCAGCGTGCTTCTCTTCTTGCCTAAACTCTTCGGCTCTTTGAGACTCCCGTCATGGGACACTGGAGGACGTAGCGACCTTGCGGGGCTCAGCGCGCCCACTTCGAAGCTGCTCGTCGATACGCGCAAGGTTTGTGACTTCTCCTTGGACTTCTTCTCCTTCTTCTTCTCCTTCTCGGATGCCTTATCCTTGCTCTTCTTCACCGTTCCTTTCTTGTCTTTCTTCTCCTTGTCGCGCTTCTCCTTCTTACCTTCTCCTTTGACGGACTCGCTATTTACAGCAGTCTCCTCGTCATCCCCATTCCTGAGCTGTGCCCAGCTCCCAATTCTAGCCAGGCTACGCACTGACCGCATCGCCCGCAAGGCTATCGAGCCCTGATTCACGTTCGCATTCCCGCTGCTGCCAGACTGCCCCGCCGTCGATGTTGTGGCGAGACCTGGCGGGGCAAGAAACCCACCGAACGTAGGGGTACCGGCTCGCGAATATGTTGGTTCGACAGGCTGTCGGTTCTCCAATTGCGTGGATCGCGATATGCTCAAGGGGACAGGTGACGGATTGGAGGTAGCGCGTAAGCTACCATTGTGGATAGGATTCGTTATAGGTTGAAGCTTAGAGGACGTCAGGAGCGTGGTTGAGTCTAGAGAATTGAATCGTGACCGCTCCGGAGCGGTAGTCGAAGGTTCTGGTGCTACAATGATCCACTTAACCATGTGGCCTAAATACAGCAGAATATGATTCACTTACTGAATGATCGCGGCAAAACCTTCGAGAAGGAATTGAACCGCGTCGTTGAAGTCGTTGTCGAGGCATTGGAGTTCTCGTCGAGAACTTGAGAGAGGGGGGCTGTGCCAACGTCAGCCAGCTGCGAATATCAGACAACGTGTGACTTACACTTGGCCTTGGTTTTCTGTGTTTTGTCCTTTGCCTCCTTCTTTCCCCGGCCGATCGTCCACCACTTCTCCTTCCCTCCCTCCTGCATCTTGCCCCCATTCTGCACGTTGGAATTCTTCTCCTTCAGCGGCCCATCTGCTCTCTCGGCGCCTTCGTCTCCCCACCTCACGCCATCTAGCCCAGCCCGACTCTTCTTCTTCCTAATCATGACTATCTCTCCGAACTCCGGGTCCTCGGTAGGATCCACGTATATCTCGAATCCCCCCTTCCCCTTGCTCGATCCTTCGTGGCCAACGCCCACGCGTCGCAGCACGTCGGAGAGATCTCGATCCTTCTCCGTCGTCTGTCCACCGTTCTGTGACCCATTTTGGCTACTGCTTCCTAGACCAAGCAGTGAAAGCTTCGACTTCTTGGGGACGAGCCGACCTTTATTCGCAGGGTTCAACGAGGAACTAGATGCCTTGGGCTTGAGGGATAAGGATGACGACTTTGCTAGTATTGTAGGTTTAGATGCGAACGTATCGTTGAGTTCGGAACTTGCAAACGAGGTGTTACTCCCTTCCGAAGAAGAGAGGCCAGCTGCTGATGGGGTAGCCGAGATAAGCCGGATTGTGGGGATGGCTTGGGAAGAGGACGCCGGCGCAAGTGGTGTAGCGGTTGAAGATGTTGAGCCAGCACGAACAGAAAGCGTCGCTAAAGTGCTGCGCATGTCGTATGGTAAATCGTTAAGCTTGCGTGAAATTTGAACAAGATGAAGTTGCAAATATGTAACAAATCGTGAAAATCGTTAGAAAATGTTGTTGGTTGTTATTGAAGTTTGAATTGATGTCGTTGGTGCGGTTATTGTCGGGAATATGTTGAAACGTTGAAGACGTGAACGTCGTCGTAGTCAGCGTCGTGGATGGGGGAATGTCGATTGCGTTAATTGAGTACTGTTTTTGATACGAAAGAGTTCTGTTCGACGACAAAGCAACAGTAAAGCTCCGTTAGAGAATGGTTCAAACCAAACGAAGGTAAGAACTCACCTAAATCAGGCTCACCTCTAGCTACGCAAACCCGCTCGTGAAGAGGGGCGCTGCAATTAACCTTCTACAACCGTTGGAACGAAGAAAACTGGTTGCGTCTGGTGGTCACCGCCGTTGAGGAGAACAAGGGACCCGAAGTCGAACTTCGCGCCCAAAACCAGTGTTGTTTGCGCGCATTTACATTTGTGGGCGTCGAGACCTTTACACGTGATCGTGTTTGCCTCATGTTCAAATCGATCAACTGGATCACTGTACCGCGTTGCGCCGTGCACGCGACATCGACGCGTCGTACAACGTACAAATAACTCGGCTCCAGTGTACTATTGTCACTCTGAACGACCTGCTCACGCATACCACTCTTCAATTGCGATGTATCTGTTTTGACATCCGTCGACTGTTTGGGATGAATTTTGACGCTCCTCCCTTCCATTTCCCTTGCGAAAGGAGTAGCTGGGCACCACAGAGTGACTTCGTCGAGTGCCAAGCCAAACCCTATCTCAGCACGCCACTACACACCACAATCCGAGGGCATCGTTGTATATAAACATCCAGTGGCATGCCGTATTTTAACATCATTTAACATCAAAAGGGAATTTCTGATTAGCTGTCTCAGGCCCACCGCTGACCAGTATATAGGTAATAATCTGCCGAACCTTGATCATCATGTCCTGCCAGATCCACACTAATGCTGCCATCATTCGTACGGCGAGGGGAGACGAACCAATCATCAATGCTGCCAATGGACCGCCGTAGGCGTAGCCCCACCACGAGCAGGCGGTCTCGCTACCGAAATGACACAGACATCGCGGCACTGAGGCTAGAGGGAAGACGTCTGGCGAGGGTGCGGATGACACGACGGACATCGGTAAATAGGGTAACAGCTGGGCCACGACAGTGAGCACGAAGAAGGCGTGTGTGAGGTGCGTTCATCGTACAATACAGGAGAGGTTGATCAAAGGTCATTTATTTGCGACATTCCTGCAGTTTTGTACCGCCGTGATGTCGCCAAATCTCTAGAAATACGTGATGACTAAGACTCTGCAACTCCACCTGGTACGGGCCTGTGGATAGTATGAAAACCACAAGGTCCTCGAAGCACACAACGCCAATTCACTGCACCGAGACTCGACGGCTTCGTCAGCACTTCAGACCCAAGCGTACAAGTCTATCTGCTAGATCCTATCCTTGCGCACGAACATACTTTGGCAAAAACAAGGATATTGTAGACCCAGAGTCTGACCCACCCTATGTCCGCATTATTCGCCATCATCACCCAAAATATTTTAGGAATTCCGGAGAATTTGTACCGCCGAGGAATTGCCTGCAGGTTTCAACGCTAACCACAACCTACATGGATCCCAAGTGAGTTTTTCTACCGTCGTTGGATCGCAGTATTGGCCAGCGCAGTTTGTGGAACGGTAGCAGTGACATCATATCATACTCAGCGCTGAGTTCGAAAATAGATCACATTTTGGAAGTAAACACCGCGTCGCTCGCACGCCCCTATCCCTCTTGTGGAGAACTGACCATATTTGCCTTAGCCGACACCAACAAACGTGCGTTGTGCTGGCCTTTTATAGCGTCTTGCCGCCCTGCGCGACCTCCCCAAGTCTCTTGGCCCACAGTCTCCATTATGCCTTCTGACCAAAACCCAGGAACAGAACCCCACAAGGCCAGCCTCGAGGAATTCGAGCGATCGAGCGACAGGAGACCCCCCTTTATCCTGACACGAACGGAAGTTAAATTACTGGGTATTGCAGGGGTACGCTACCTGTGTTCTTTATCGCGTGCAACCCTGATGCATTTCCCAGGTTGGATTTTTCCTCGATGGTATGTATGTCGCGTGACTAAGGCTGATACTCCTTTGACCTGGCCGGAATCGCAGCCTATGATCTTTTCATCATCAACGTAAGTATACAATTCTCTGCAAGCGCTCACTTAGCAAATCCTCGCTTCAAGCCAGTAGCAACCATGCTACAATATCGCCTATATGGCGGCCATTCCTTGCCACCAAACCTCGAAGGTCTGCTCAAAGCCAGCGCAAACATCGGCAGCGTCGTCGGGCAATTCGCATTCGGTACGGCTTCCCGCCGAAGCCTAAGACGCAAATGAGAGCTCACTCCCTTTATGCAGGCTATCTCGCTGATTCCCTTGGACGAAAAGCTGTCTGCAAGTCCACCCACTGACTTGCGTAACAATCAACTCACAAAATATTTCCCAGACGGCAAAGAGTTGATCCTCATAATTCTAGCCACCATCCTCACAATCACCACCCCCACAGGCTCCATCTCTCCAAATGGATCCCTGGTCTACCTCTCCATCTTTCGTATCCTCCTTGGTGTGGGTGTTGGCGGGGACTATCCCATGTCCGCATCCGTAGCATCAGACCGTGCAAACATCCGAAAACGCGGCACCCTTCTCGCTTATATATTCTCCAGCCAGGGATGGGGGAGCTTCGTCGGGAGTTTGGTCACCATCATTGTGCTGCTGTGCTACAAGCACGTAATGGACGTTGAGGGGAAGACTAGCAAGGTCGATGGAGGTTTGTTCTTTCTCATGTGACTCGATATAGTGTGTACTCACTCTTCGTAGCATGGCGTATCATCGTTGGGCTATCCCTTATCCCCGCGTTTGCAACCTTGTACCAACGTTTGACCCTCCCAGAATCTAGCCGGTATCTCGCCACCCAAAAATTGCAGACCGACGAAAATACGGTCGAGGAGTTGAAGAATTACGCTCGAGCTACAGAAGGCGACCATAACAGCAATAATATCGGTAATCAACCTACAGACGAAAAGCCCGGTGTTGGCCTTCAAAGCACCAGTGATGCGTCTTCCCACGAAGGGAAAGTCGAACACTCCGATAAAGGTCATGAAATCGCCGGAGTTGCCGCCAAGAAGGCGCATTTCCGGGGTATGTCAGTCAGAGTCCGTGATTTCCTTGAACTAACGACAGCTCCCAGAATTCTTGCACTACTTCTCAGAATGGAGGCACGCCAAACTGTTGATCGGGACATGCGCGTGCTGGTTCCTTCTTGATGTAGCGTAAGTACTCGTGTTCTCCTCCTCTTTCTTCTCCTTAGCCCCTGCCGGCCCCCGTCTCTTAGTTTCTACGGCATCAACCTAAACCAAAATGTTGTTCTTCAACAAATCGGCTTCGATGGTTCCTCTGGCTCTTCATGGCAACGCCTCTTCAAAATCGCCACGGGAAACATTATCATTACTGCTTTGGGCTTCGTACCTGGTAAATACTGGTCTCACTCAAGCCTTGCCAAGAACGAGCAAACATAATGACCTACATGATTCCAAGGGTATTACGCCGCGATATTGACGATCGAAATACTTGGCAGGAAATGGCTGCAAATCCAAGGATTTCTGATGGCTGCCCTGTTCTGTAAGTCTGCCCTCTGAGCCCGTCCCTTCATTCACTCAGCCACACATTTCGTCCGCGAAGTGGGCATACTTGCAGGGAAATTCCATACTCTGAGTACCGCGGCCTTCGTTGTCAATTTTGCGCTCCTTCAGGTATGTTTCACTTAGTCTTCAGGTTGCTCTGACTACTAATCCACCCTATCATGCATTTGCTAGTTCTTCTTCAATTTTGGTGCAAATACGTGAGTCATATACCAGTTTCGCATTAATTCATTGTGGAAATTCCTAATATATGATCACCGCCCGGCAGAACAACCTACGTGAGGCGCCCAAGTTAGTCAGGAGGTATCAAACTGAACCCACTTTCCCCCTTTCTCCTCCCTATTCCCCCTTGTCAGTGTTACCCTGCGGAAGTATTTCCAACACGTTTCCGCGCCTTCGCGCACGGTATATCAGCAGCTGCTGGGAAAGCAGGCGCTATCATATCCGCTCTCGTGTTCAACCAACTCAGCAAAGATATAGGCACACCAGCCGTTTTGTGGAGTGAGTTTACCTTCCTTCCCTCGTTCCCTCGTTCCTTCAACTACCCCTATTGCTGGACTAATCCATATTCCAACTCGCTGTGCTGACGATTGACGATGTTTGCTCCGGGCGTTGCAGTTTTCTTTGCGTGCTGTGTCGCTGGCGCATGTGAGTCCTGTATCATATCGTGGCTGCCCTGGTGTACTGAGTAGCTTTGTTAGTCTTCACATTGCTTCTTCCCGAAGTGAAAGGACGTGACCCAGATTTGATTCTGATCGAAGAGATGAAGGAGGGAAGGAAATCTATGTCGACGTGAAGGTATACAATCCTAGAATCTTTCACAATTTTGTTACACTCGTACTATAATATGTTCACACCAAGTTTGCGCCCGGATAAAGATTCAAAAGAGAGCGACCTTGTGGGTTGCCTTCAACTCACCCTATTCATTTAGGGCATCCAAGGCCCTTTGCACGAAATCTTGTTTCACTAGCAAATCGTAGAATCTAGATATGTCCGTTCAAACTCAGCTTCACCCATATGTAGTTTTGTTATTCTCACATACCTCTCGATTATCCATGGCCAACATTCACCAGGCCACATATGTATACAAGCTCGTCCACCCGACTACGCCTCCCCCAGATCCATTGCCAGCGAGTCTTCCACTTAGCGAGTTGGACGTTCAATCGGGGTTCATCCATCTCTCGACTGCGCGACAAGTCCCTGGTACGCTGAAGCTCTTTTTCACCGATGAGCCGCGTATGTACGTCCTCCGCATCCCAATCAAGGCGATCGAGAAGGACCTCAGATGGGAAGCTCCTTCGGTACCAGGTACGTTCCAAGATCTGAGCCCTGAGTGTCCCAGTCTGGAATGATCTCATATCTTCGTGCTTAGTGAGCGGAGATGGGGACGTAGAGAGTACGTTCCCGCATTTGTACAACAGGACATTAGGCAGTGCTGAGGTAGAGAGCGTGGCCCTCTGGGAGAAGGGCGAGGGGACGTGGGATAACGTGCTGGGGACAGAAGAGGTTACTTCATGGTTATTTGATTGACTCTGTAGATTCGTTCCATCGAATGGACGAGCGAGGCAGCGTTGTCTCTCCAATGACCGCAAGATTATTTTACCATTTCCTAGAACCTCCTGGAACCCTCTCTATGTTATGATTTGCGCCACCCCCGAGTCGGCGCCGTGGTCGCGGAAAATTCCGTGCTAATCTTGAAGTATACTGTATACCATGCCAGATTACGTCGGAGGAAGACCAGTGATTAGTTTCATAACCGTGTTTATTCGTGACCGCTCACCGTCGTGGCGCCTCTAGGTTAGTCCCGGTTGAACGGTTTCCGCGATAACCGTGAGCAGGCCATGTCGGCTTCTGTCCCAGCTCATTGTGCGAGAGGCGCGCTCCTAGAAGCACGATTAACCTTCCCGTGTGTTATGGGCAGCGAGAAGTTTTTATGCTACGCACAATGCTCGGCGTGGAGTTGGCCCAACTTTGTTGCATGAATCGGATTCGCTTATCCACTCTGGCATTCCTGGCTTTGTCTCCTCCTGGGTAATCGGAATGATGATCATAATTAGAAAAGGCTCGCCATGTATGTAAGTGTCAGATAGACGGCTTTGCAATCCCGCCCACTGCTTTGCAGACTCTATTTTTAGAGTTACGCCTCCATTACCAAAGGGGCCGCCATCCCCGATATGAAGTCCCTGTGAATAGGACACCGGGCACAGCATTGCGTTGTTCGCGGTCTACATTCAAGTGCACTGAAGGTCTCCTCTCGAATTCCAATGGTGGTTATTCATGCTCACGTTTGTTGTCTAACGCTGACCTGTCGACATTTGGCACACAGTTCTCTTAATCAATACACGCAGCAAATCTGTTGACAAATTCGCCGACGGGTCGACCTTAGAGTGGAGTGGAGCCGGATGTTATGCTCTGATGCGCCGCTGTTTGCTCATGCTCCGATCCTATGATACAGTCATTCGTGTTTCAGCTCAACCAGCACATGCTCGAGGGGCCAGCACGCTTTGGGTGCTCCTCATCCGCGCCGACGGTCAAGTCCGACCGTTCATCGAACCATTAGTAGTGGTTCAAATGGTATAAAGACCATCCTGCTTTAACGGAGAACTGCACGGATCCAAATCATCACCCAATTCTCGTGACAAGATGGGTTTCCTTCACTCCAGTATCCGCGCTCAGGTTCTATCATTCCTTGTGGTCGCCAATGCTGCCAGTACCTGGGGAGCATCTTCCCTCATCTCCTGCCTGCAATCCGCAGGAATCAACACGGTGTCCCCCAACACCTCCGGCTTCACCCAGGACGCGCTAGCGTTCAACCGACGCTTCGAGTACACTCCTGCCGCTATTGTATTTCCGCAATCAGCGCAGGATGTCGCCGCTGCAGTCAAGTGTGCTGCCGCGTCAAATGGTACCGTCCCCGTTGCCGCTCGTTCGGGAGGACACAGTTACGGCGCATTCGGCCTAGGTGGTCAAGACGGGGCCCTCGTCGTCGATCTCTCCCAAATGAAGAACATCGTTGTGAACTCGGACGAGACTGCCACCTTTCAAACGGGTAACAGGCTCGGTGATGTTGCCCTTGCGTTATTCAACAACGGTGGTCGCGCTCTGGCCCACGGGACCTGTCGTACGTCTTACCAATCCGTCCCCACCTGTTCTTTCATCTAAGCTCATGTATTTGTGCAGCATATGTCGGTAGTGGGGGCCACGCAGGCTGCGGAGGATTTGGCTTAGCATCTAGAATGTGGGGCCTCGTTCTTGATCAAGTCGAGTCTGCCGAAGTTGTGCTTGCGGATGGTTCCATTGTGCAAGCGTCTGCGTCTACTAACTCGGATCTATTTTGGGTAGGTGTGATATTCTATTCACCTCGAACACTACTCACCGTATAAACAGGCTATTCGTGGTGCCTCGCCTTCCTTCGGTATAGTAACGGTATGTCTACGCATCATTAACAGGGTCATAGTGGATATTCAGCGTTCTACTAGGAGTACAAAGTAAAGACCCACGCAGCCCCTGCCTCGAACATTATCTTCAGCTACTCATACTCTGTCAACCCTGCTACCGCCACAAAGATCTTCACTGCATTCCAGACGTTCTCCCAGTCTTCCGCTCCGCCTGAGCTCGGTCTGCAGGCATCCATTGGACAATCAGGGCAGAAGAATGTCATCTCCATCACCCTCACCGGTGTCTACTACGGTTCCACCTCCGCTTTTAACAAAGTCATCGCCCCCCTCCTCTCTGCCGTGGGGGTCTCCCCGCAAAGCAAGAGTGTGAAAACGTATGCTTGGGTTCCATCCTTAGTTGAACTGGGAGGGATCAACACTTTGAACACCTCCCTCAGCGGGGACAGTCACGATACCTTCTTCGCAAAGAGTTTGATGGTACATGAAGACGCCCTTCTTACGACAACGGCTATTCGAGGTTTCTTCGATTACATCGGCAATCAAGGTGCATCTACCGATACCGTGCGTATATTCACCGGTATTCTTTCTGTACGACTTACATGATATGTATTGTGCAGTCTTGGTTCGTTCTGGCCGACCTCTTCGGTGGAAAAGGAAGCAAAGTTCGCGCCGTCTCCAACGACGACACCGCGTACTCTCAACGCAAAGGATTGTATAACTTCCAGATGTACGCCTCATCATCCAATTCGCAGCCACCCTTCCCCGCAGATGGCTTGGACTTCGTGAACAACATGCTCACGTACGCCTCCCGCTCCTCTGTTTATTTCGAACTCTGCCGTTGCTCATCCACTAAATCATAGGTCTATCACGTCCAAGATGCCTTCAAACTGGTCATTCGGCGCGTACGCGTGCTATACCGACCCAACTCTAACGCCCGCTCAATGGAAATCCCAATACTACGGCGACAACTACTCCAGACTCGTATCCATCCACTCCAAGTACAACCCAAGCAGTCTATTCAGATACCCTCAATCTATCGGTAGTTAAATTCCTTTCTTTATAGTTGTTTATGCTATGCAGTTGCTGTATAATTCGGACATCTAGTGGACATTCGTACATAGTTTGCTTTCTTGCTTATTGATTAATGATACAATAATAACCACCTTGTTACTCATGTCGGATAACAATGACTCTTCGACGTTAGGCTTGGTTGAGCAACATATGTGTTGTTAGTCATTAGAATCCTGTGTGCGCCATTGCTCGCGACAGTCAAGCGTTAAGGAGACGAGTTACACTCTTCGTTTGGCAACAGTAAGACATCATCACTAATCACCGTGAAAAGCTAGCGACAATATATCTGATGTTTACGATATGGTGCATTTCCCTTCCTTTGGGTGAGGGCAGCCGTTAGGGTATTCAACGAAGTAGCTATAGTTGTCGGCATTGTGAACTGCATAATCTGCGTCCTTGGCGGCTAGGTCAAGGCAGGCCTTTGTGCCGTAGTGTTCCTTTTTCCATGGGTCTTCATTGTTGTTTCCCTTTATTTCGAGGAGTAGTCGATCCATGTCAGCGCCTCCCCACACTTTGTTGTCAAAATGAGATGCTTCGTGGATAAGGGTGGAGGCCTAAACGAGGTAGTATCAGAAATAGGGTACAGGGAAAGCTTGGCATAAGACGTACGCGCTCAACATCAGTTGTTGATGGACCCCAGAATTGGAGGCACAATGTTACCTTGCTGTATCTGTTATCAATGCCCAATTTCAGCGTCGTGTTACCCTTCTAAACCACAATGCATCCTCACCCTTTAGGATCGCAGAAAGCATACGTGGTAAACTGGTCGATGATTCCGCATTTACCGATGACGGGATTGCAATAATAGTCCCAGAGACTCAGGTCGTAGTGGAGACGGATAGCTTTGAACACCGTATAAACACGAGAGTATCGCTCTGGAGTATATTCCCCGAACCAGGTGGTGTACCTATGGAACTCGGGGTTGTGCGGGTCTGGGTGCTCCCCAAGTGTGACATTCAAGTAGCTAGTGGCGAGTGGAACAGAAGTCAAACAACGGTGTAACACTATTCAAGTTGCAGGACTTACTGGAATGCTTTCTCCGCCATCTCCTTAGCATCGTCGATAGCCTTCAGAATCGAAGGTACGCGATCTGGTTTGCAATCATGCAATCGCTCGGGTTTGACGACGGCATTTGGGGCGTCGGTTTTGGCGGAAACTGACGACACAGCTACAGCATCCTCATAGGCAACTGCAGGGCTACCAATAGATGTCCCAGCAAGTAGAGCAAACACGACGTAAGCAGTGCGAAGGAACAACATTGCGAGTATGTTGTATGGGGGCAGAAGACTTGTGTTTCCTGATCTGCGAACTCAGTGCTTGCCGCAGTATTTATACATTGTTCGAGCCATGGTAGAACACAAATTTGGGTTAGGACGAAAAAAAGTGAATGGGGCGTACAGTGAAGCACCTGCTAGCGTCGTTCGAGACCACGGGCTCATAACTCGGGACGCGGAAGAGGAGCGCGAGAGTTCTTCACGGCGAGGCAACACCGCACAAACTAACCACATAAGATTGCGCACTTCCACAACACTATCCGACGAATGCGTAGCGTAGTCAATTATGGAACTAAGGCTCCTTGACGGCGAGAATTCAGCGATAGACTGAATTGGAAGTTGTCGTGGTGCTTTTATACATGGAACCTTAGTCCACGCGGCCAATGGCCAGCAGCACGTACCCAAGACTGGACGTAACTGAACAGTTGAATTTGTCACGTAAGGCCAGCGGTTGATGAGGAAATGCACAACTTCTGCGAGCGCTTGAGTCACTACGTCACCGCCAATGCATCAGTTGAGCTTTTACAGGGGGTTCAGAACATTGTCTCAAACAATCACGGAGGGGTGAAGGTTCTCATTCCGTTCAATAACCGGAGAATTCTGTAGACTAATGGGTTTGTTGTGTCTCTCCAGGCTATTTGCGCTATGACTGGGTTCTCCACTACACGGCGAGTCACCACACACGACATGCCACCCGAGGTACTTTGTCACATCTTCGTTACGTTGGCTGCAATGTGTTTCGACGAGGACTCGGGGACACATTCGTTAGACTGGATCGCAGTCACACATGTCTGCAAGCTCTGGAACGAGGTTGCTCACGACAACGCCACGCTATGGAGTTGCATTGATTTTTCTCATCCGAGATGGGCTCAAGAGATGCTTGGACGCGCCAAACACGCCCCCCTGGACATACATTACAAACACCATGAAAGGTTACGGGATGGGGTGACAGGGGAAGAAGTCATGGCTCAGGCATTGAAGCGGCTGCCCCTCATCAGAAGGATGGGGGTCGACGCGCCAGTCGACGTGTTGAAGCGTTTCGTAGTCGAGATGGAAGGGTTTCCGGCTCCTAAACTCGAGCGGCTCCATATGCGCGGGACTCGCGATGAGCTAGTCGAGATTCAAGCGAATTTCCTCAATGAATTTGCACCCCGCCTGCGAGATGTAGCCCTTCTTGGCTGTAGCATCGACTTGAACACAATGCTCTTCCGCAACGTTGAATCCCTCGTCCTGGGTCCGATCAACTCGCCTATTCACATCGCCGACATGCTCACCTTCCTTTCAAATTTACCAAGAATCCAATCGTTGGTGACCGGGTTCAGTTTCCACTTCCCGCAAGGGCCCGAAGTCGTTCGCCTCTTGTCTAGAGAACCTGTGTTGATGTCAAACTTGACACGCATGCAACTAACCACGAGATGGTCCGACCCGTCTCAAGACCTTGCCAGCCCTACAATGTTCCTTCGGTGGCTCAAATTCGTACAGCCTCTTGACATCGAAGTTTACCTTGGCTGTGAGCAGAATGAAGACACCATTTTACCGCAATGCGAATCGCTCTTTGATCCTGTCCTCCAACATGCCACAACTAAAGCCATGGAGTTCAGCGAGTTCGGTATGACATACTCCTCAGATAGTAAAAAACACGGCGCGGAAGTCCACGAGCTGCGTTTATCCGCATCCGACGACAGTGCATCGGTATCGTTCACGTTCTGGTTCGTCCAACAATTACTCCCTGGAACGTGCCAGACGCTCGCATCCCGGTTTGCGACAGGTATATCTCGCAAAGACCTCCAAACGGTAAACATGGATGGCATCACCTTGGATGCGCAATTAATGGGCCAACATTTCGGCAACTTGGAGTATCTGGAAGAGATCTCTAGTCCCCTCAATGATGAGTTGTTCGAGGTCCTACATGATGTTGATGGGCAGGGACGTTGCCTGTTTCGCTCCCTATCCACGATGATGCTCTACTACGACGAAAATGATGAAGAGACATCGGATCCTGATACTTGGTACGCTCTTCCGAGCCTGCTGGAGTTCAGGGCTGCAAAGGGTTCACCGATTCGGGAAATAACTATTCTTCCAAAAGCGGGCTCAACAGTACCCAAAGAGTTTGCGGATCGTCTGGAGGGCATAGTGACCATCCAGCTCGGACGCAAAATCAATACCTTACTGTTTGTATAGACTAGTCTAAGGCCGATATGGATTGCAAGCCCCTCTCGGGACGTACTGCAGGCACGGGCGCCATTTACATTGATATCCATTCAGTCTATGGAAGTATCTCTAGTTGCATTCGTGCCGTCAAAATTCTTTGGTGAAGCATCCGCGGACCGCCATGCATCTTCGGTGGAACTCTATACGCCCTTCTATATCTAGTCTTCACGGTCTTGTGGCGCCGTGGAATGCTGCCTCCACCTTCCGCCTTGCCACCAATGAGCTACGTGCACGTATACTTCGTCTGGCGTAGGCCTCACGGAATTAGTTAGGGTGATCCTCGAGCACAATTGACAGGAATGCCCCCGGAAACACGTCGTCAATAATACTGAGAACAGAGGGAGTATGACAACATATTGAGAGAGCAAAGCAACGGAAAATGAGATCTCGGACGTCGTTCAGCTGCGATAGTCCCCATTAATTTGTACGTATTCCTAAACAGTGTCGCATATCATCAAAAAGACAATGCAGTGGGGTAACTGAATTACTTACGTAGCTGAAGTCGCAAGTCCAATACCTTGCGGTTTCGTTACCGCCAGTACCAAGATCGACAACAACCTCAAATTCTTCGTTGCTTAAAATCTCTTTCGCTCGGTCTTCGTCGACCTTTTCAGGTTCCCCGTCCACAAGGACAGGCAGGGGACTGCTCCCGTCGGCAGGAACGAAAGAGACACTGACTTTGGTGGGGTCTAAGACCGTTGCAGGTGACAAGGGCACCGAGCCGGTAGCAGACAATATCCGTCCCCAGCTACACAAAACGGCAAACGTTAATAAAAACGACTGCGGTGGGAACGTTTATGAACGCACTTAGCGTCTTCACCGTAAAGAGCCGTCTTTACTAACGCTGAAGTTGATATACGAGACGCGACTCGGTGAGCGTCGGTATAAGCATTGGCACCCTGCATCCGCGATGAGGGTGATTACACCTTGTTGGGGGGTGGCTTACCTTGACAGTAACAGTAACAAACTTCGTGGCACCCTCTCCATCCCTGACCACAAGTTTAGCCAAGTCTATAGCAAATTCTGTCAGCTCGTTTTTAAAGACTTCGTAGGCTTCTTTGTCGGTCTGCTCGTCGATCTCCTTTGCATCTGCAGCAGCGGCTCCATTGGCTAACACAATGATAGTATCGTTGGTAGACATTTCCCCATCGACACTGATGGAGTTGAAACTTCGGTCGACGGCATAGGTCAAGGCGCTTTGGAGACTCCTTGGCGAAACAGCAGCATCGGTGAGGATACACCCCAGGAGAGTTGCGTGAAGTTGAGTGGAAGCTGGTCCCATGTTGGGGTGGATCATTCCGGCGCCTTTGTCCATGCCAGCAATCCGAAACTCCTTCCCTTTCATCGTGAAGACACGCGAACGCAGTTTCGGGAATGTGTCAGTCGTCATGAACGCCTTCGCTGCTCGTTCCCAAGCTGAAAAGTCCGAGCCCAAAGACCGAGTACCCGCTGTGCTCAACTGCGAGCGGATACCGGCCACAATTTTCGAAATGGGAAGGGATTGACCTATGACACCGGTTGACATAACGAGAGTTTGGTTGTTCTGGTTGGCACCGGCTGGTAGCAAGGCGTCGGTTTCGCGCACCATCGTCCATGCGTCCTCCATACCCTGCTTCCCAGTTACTGCATTCGCGCACCCACTGTTGACCACGATTGCACTTGCCCTCCCAGCATTTTGTTTTAGAATATCATCGGAGACAATGACCGGGGCTGCTTTGAATGCGTTCCGAGTGAAACAAGCTGCAGCAGATGTCGGTTTCTCTGACGTTGAGATGATAATACCCAAGTCCATGACACTGGGGTTCTTTTTGATACCACAATGGACACCTGTGAGCAAATATCCTTTCGGGAACGATGACGAGGGTAGTTCCACATGGTGATGAGCTTTAGATGGCGTCGATTTCACGGTTATTGTGGTGGTCGGGGTTGGAGTCGAAAGGAAACGCTTGGTAAACGCGTGGATGGCGTTGCGCGACATGGGGGTTGTGCACGTTGTTGAGGAACTGGAAACTCGCAGGATTCTCTCACCTCTCCTGGTATTTATGCACTGGCAAAATAGACTCTTGCTACGTGCTCAGATCGCAGTGATTGGCTTGCATGAAATAGTTGTTGTTTTGCGCGACTCGGAGTCGGAACGGTTATGCACGTGCCCTACTTTCCCTAGCTTCCTAACTTAGGCCCCTGTCCTTGAAATACATGGTATTAAAATATTGTATGGAAAACAGTGCGTATGAGTTACAGAAAGCGATGGGCGAAAGAAAATCTACATCATGGATGCAAATTATATTATGAATTCTAAGCCGGTATCCTACGGAAGTTGGGCCAACCATTAGTACATCCATTAGTAGGATGGAAAGATGGGGCATACAATATGATGCGAGCTTCCTAGTTGCGGCGTCTGGCTATATTTATCCTTGAGAAATTCTCTTGTATGATTTAATATAGGTAATCCAGATATGACCATTTTCGAAGATGCTCACCTCACCGCAAGAAGTAGACCTTGATAAGTCTGGCGGGGATTCTTTCCTGAGTACAAACCAAGCAGTCAGTATCACTCAAGGTAGGGCCCTGTGCCAGTCTGAGAGCCAGCACGCACTTAAGACCGATATGAACGCCTGTACGAGACGCATCCAGCAATGTATAATTGAAATTAAGAACCTATCCACGTATGCAGGCTAGGACTCACATGACTCATAGCACCCACTGCGACGCCATTAGCGAACGTATCGGCACTCGTTTGGCCGTCCTTGCAACCAGAAAATGATATCTAGCGTAGGAGTAAATCCAGACGAAGCAGGGCGCCGAAATCAACGGCGAGCCACGCACCACGTCAGCGGGGGACGATTTTCGTTCGCGAGCTTGAGGAGTGATGTGTTGCCTTTTCACTCTACAGTTCGGGCGATACTAGTCACCGAGTAAAATGAGATACCTACGAATGAGAAAGGGAGAGGTTGCACGCACAATATATGGAAGATCTGGACGGTGACAAGTGAGATGATTGATAATAGACCATGGCTCGATTCTTACCTAGCGCAGTCCCTGAATGACAACACTGTAGCACAGATATGTTAACGGTTTATATATGTCGATCCCTTAACAACCTACGTCGAATAGTGCCTATGGGTGAACATCAATGTCGCGCTGCGGACCTTTCTGCAGATAGGACATACCGTTAGCCGACAATTGCGGGGTAATGGCTTGACCTTCGGTGGTAACAGGACATGATACATATATGAACAACCAAGCCTTGCGAGAGTGTCGATGAACTTGCCATTATATCATGCATCGTCTTCGGAGCCTCTGCTCGAATCAGTACGTTTCAGGTGAGGTCATCGAACTCACATCGTCAGTAACATGTCCCTTTTCCTTGTAATCCATCGGGAAAATAACTGAGTGGCCAAAAATTTCATAAAGGAGGGGAATCCATGACAAGGATGACCCACCTTCGTCGAATCCATCTATCTCGTCGCCATCCAGGTCAGGTGTCTGTCCTCCATGTCCAGAATCTGCGGTCGTTCGTCAGTACGAATAGGCGCGATTAAACGAGCTGAGCACTACAGTGAAAGAATAAGGAGTCATGCGGTCTGCCGGAACGCACAAGCCACTTCATAGCTCGAATTATGTTGCTCCTTGTAGGGAGCTTACCAGGATCGGGGCTATCGTCAGTCAGCATGACGATATCCGACTCTCTGAACCTGTGGTTGCCTAGACGCAGGACGAGTGGGTAAATTAACCACCGTATCAAAGCGAGCGAAGAAGTTTGCAGCAAATACGCACGAATTAGGAAATCACGGACACGCTTGGCATCGTTTACGCATCCTCTTAGTTCGTTCGGCTGCCCGAAGTAATTAATACCAATCTAGAGAGTAATGAGTTATTTATGCAGGGAGCGTGAGGGGGCGGACTCACGCAGAGTGCTTTTCGCCTACCAGTACATTTGGAATACGGAGACTGATCAGCGTCGAATGGTTGTCCGTCGGCCTGTTGGTAGTCTGGGGTAACATAGTTTGGTTGAACAAATTGAGGCTGGGAATAATGCGCCGTGCCCGATTGAGGTAAGTTGGGCTGTGAGTACGACTGAGGCTGAGCATAAGGAAGGGACAAGATGGGCGCCGTGGGATATGTCTGATTCAACTGAGGCGCAGCGGGGCTACTGTGCTGTATCAATATCGGTGGTCGCGATGTACTGCTATGATGATGCTTCGAATGATGATGTTTGTGATGGTGATGCTTGGACTTCTGGATGACGGTCACTACTTGAGCGCCCTGGGTGTATATTACTTGCTGCCGACCATATGTCCGTATTTGCCGTCTGTGAGACGCGTTATGATTATTCGTGTTGGTCGTCGATTCATGAACGGAGCTAGCAAATGCTTACTCGGTAGTCGACTGATGACTAAGCCTCGGATAAGCATCTGGGTTACAAGACTTTGTGCGATGAGCTTACTAGGCAGACATGCCGGCAGGCCCTTGGGTAGGCATCGTTGGCGGTGACAATGGGGGGATATATCCTCTCATGTCGGGTTGTGAATTATTGGGTTGCCTGATTAAACGTATGTTCTAAATTAGCTCCGCGATCGTTGTGGTGTACAGCACGCGGAAAGCACCCACGGAACGGGAAATCTAAACAGAAATGTGATCGTTTACTACGAGTTGGGCATTAGATGGAGAACGACATACGAAGGTATCGAACGATCTCTGTCTCTGTTGTGAGCCCTGCTACCGCTCAAATCCCACATCATCCTGCAAGGCCTTAGATCTCAAACGGAGTACAATGATGCGGGCTCTGAGGGGGGGGGGGTCTGATATTGGAAGATGGGAGGGGGCTAATGAAGGGGGCTCACACCTTATATACACCTGTCTCGGAATCACTGACCTTCTGAAGCGTCAAGAGCAAGTAACGCCGAGAAGGAAATTGTCTCACAGATTCGCCTCTGGGAAGCAAGACGCCCAAGTTCGACGTCCGATGCCACCTAATTTGGAAGGGCCCTGACTCAGAGGCGTCAGCTCAGGATACCGCTTGAGTGGCCGCATTTCTTACTGAGACGGCAAGGTGGAGTGATCAACTGGTACCTGGGACAACTCGGCGGCTATGGCTCTCCGTTGACATCGCGGCAGGAAAGGCATGTGCTCGCCGGGCCTACAGAAGTTGGAATTAGTGTTTGGCCCGATTGCTTGGACTTGCACGTTGAGCAGCGAAGGCAGGCAAAGCCAAGGCATACTCAGGATACAAACCAGAATATCAGAATTATCTTGTCATTCGTGTATCACCGCCGTTGTTGGGCGCCCACCATCACATTCGTTGAAGCGATCAGTGCGGAACTACCATCGGTCTCGGTGCCAGCATGTATTGCAGTATGCTAAGATGTTGTTTGCCTTTATAATAAACTAGAATAGCATGCAACCCGTGAATTACGCAGAGCGACGTATTAAACCTAAATAGAATATGGATCCGCGGGCCGCGCCGGCGGTAGCTCGCTTCGAAGTGCTAGGGCAAGGATTCAGTGTATATTCCTAGACTAGGTAGATGGCTAGCTATTACTTGCGTAGAATCTATGAGCGCTAGGAGGGCGCATATGAGTTCTCATCGATATGCACCCAGTGCGTACACCGTAAGCTCAGAGAATTAGGCGCGCGCCACGTCAGCAAGTCTCGTTGATGGAAGTTGAACCTCCTTCGCCAAATTACGGTCTTAAATCATCAAATCTCTACCAAAAGTGCCGCTTTCTTGGCGCAAACCAACTACGGCAAGCAAAATACACACTTCCCATGATTCAGAATTGTGGAAAAGAGGCCAGTTCAGCCAGAAAAAAACACGACCGAGCCTCCAAAGTACGCAGAATTTGTTTGGCCTTATTTGCACGGGCCTTGAACCCTTTAGAGCATGATTGCTCGCTACGCTCGCAATAAAAGAAAGCATCAGACGACCTATGCGGGCAGAAATATCATCACCAAAATTCACCATCGGGTAGGGAACGGTTCAAATTGTGTCGTTGTTAATGTCCATGTGTGATTTCGATGGTAAGTCCGATCCTTAAACACGGGGTGATTATTCGCCCAATTCCTGGGCACACGTGGGGATGGAGAAGGCACGAAGCATATACTGCTATTGCGAGGGTCCGTGGTAGATGTTTGCCATGAATATTAACATTTGAGATGCCATCTGTTGGGAGTGAGGCGTTTGTGGCTGATGGAAACGTGGTGTTTGTGGGGCAGCCCATACCAAGTTGTGGTTTGTCTTTGCTTGATGCTGCTGTTGACACCATGTATGCATTCTTTAATCACGGAAAAGTGTGAATGAGCAAAGCCCCTCACCCAAACATAAACGAACATACGATTCATCTTGGGGGAAGTGCGCCTATCAACGGTGACTTGATATGACGGCCCTCGATAGCGATCACCTACCGACGAATTACGATTAAATGCCCTCGTCCTGTGCCACCATAATTACGTAGATGTTTTCTGTTTAGCGTCTGCTAGCCGGGGGCGTTCGCGTTGTTCAGGGTGAGACAGAGTGCGTCTTGCCTGAAACGCGTCGCTTGCTCACGTCAAGCTAAGCCCCGTTAAACTGAGGGACCTTCTCGCCCTACGTTGAGAACCGACGGCGACGTTGATATATGTACCAAGCAGCCATTTGGCTGCCAAAATAAATCCATTTTGTGGACTTGGGTGCTATAACAATCTAGTCCGCGTGCTCCTCCGGCTCGTCTATGATCTATTCAAGATAGTGAAAAAGAAAGGAAATTAAAACTTCAAAACGTACACGTCAGGCTTCAATGAAGGTTATCTATTACTCAAGAGCTTGAGTGTTGACTTGAAGGTGCATTTTCTAGTAAGAGTGGAACGGTCACGTTACCTTGCCTAGTGCTGAGATCATTAGCATTATGAATCCCTTCTTTCCAACGCTCATGCATGTATGAATTCTTTGAACTTGCAACCCCCACCAACTTTATCCCATCTTCGGAAAGTCCCTGCGTGAGGTCCCAAAGATGAACGTTCACAGTTACGATGCCGGATGCAAGCCACCTTTGTGTTCGTTGCGTCACTGCCTTTGAAAACGGAAGGCCTTTCCCATCATCTTTTGCCTCGAGGCGTCGATTATCCACATATACTGGATCGTTTCTCAAGCTCAAGATTAGGAGACCTCAATCATTGCACGACATACCAAGATGATCCCAACTCGCGCGTGGTGGAAGGAGGCGGTCGTGTATCAAATCTACCCCATCTCCTTTGCAGATTCTAACGGAGATGGCCTCGGGGACCTCAACGGAATCTACTCCAAGCTCGACTATCTCAAGGACGTTGGTGTAGATGTAGTGTGGCTATCCCCCATCTACCCTTCTCCGCTCGCTGATATGGGCTATGATATGTATGTGTTCTGACTACTGGCGTGTCTTATGAGAGAACTCGCACATCGGGGTACTAGCTCAGACTATCGCGACATCGACAAGAGATATGGGACCTTGGATGACTGGGACAAGTTGGTCAAAGGATTACATGATCGAGAGATGAAACTTGTGTGCGTTCAATGACTCCATCAATGTCGCACTAGCTAATACTTATACTCAGGATGGACCTTGTAGTAAACCACTCATCAGATGAGGTCAACACATTGTAGCTTCGTCGAAACGCAGCTCATTCCGTACAGCATGAATGGTTCATCGAGTCGCGGTCAAGCAAGATAAACCCCAAGAGGGATTGGTATGTATGGCGTCCCCCAAAATACGACGAGGAGGGGAATCGTCATCCTCCGAATAACTGGAAGTCGATCTTTCAGGGTAGGTTTCCTTCATTCCCTAATCATAGCCGTAGATTAAACAACTTAGGTCCCGCGTGGGATTATGACGAGGCGACAGGAGAATACTACTTGCACCTTTATGTCTCAAAGCAGCCAGATTTGAATTGGGAGAACGAAGATGTTAGACACGCCGCCTGGGACGTGATGCGCTTTTGGCTTGAACGAGGCTGTGACGGATTCAGAGTAAGCTTGAACTTGTGCCTTGTCAAGATCCCGATATTCATTGACCTCCGCAGATGGATGTAATCAACAAGATCTCAAAGGTTAAGGGTCTTCCTGATGCCCCGATCACCATTCCGGATGAAGAATATCAACCCGCCGGGATGTACTATCTGAACGGGTGAAGGCAGACAGCCGTATCTACCTCATTCTCAGCTAAAGCGGATTTAGTCCCCGGGTGCACGAATTTATCAAAGAGTTGAACTCGAATGTTCTATCACGTATGTCCCCTACTCAGTGATTCTAGGTCGCACCCTGACGCTCAGCCTGTCCCTCGATAGACTACGATGTTATAACCGTCGGGGAGACACCGTCCACATATTTGGCAGATGAAGTCGCCAAATACGTTCTCCCACAAAACAAAGAATTGAACATGGTCTTCCAATTTGAGCTCATGGACATTGACGCTTTCGTCGATCCTCGGAGTGGCGATCACATCCCGATGATACCCTGCGACTGGACGTTGTCGGACTTGAAAAATATTGTGACAAAATGGCAGGTATTCAAGAGAGAGGAAGGTTTTTGGAATGCGTAGGGGCATTGTTATCTATTTCCACGAAATATTGACGGGGATTTGATTTAGGGTATTCATTGAGAACCACGATCAAGCGAGGTCTATATCCAGATTCGCGGACGATTCAGACGAATGGCGAGCACGGTCGGCCAAGTTGTTGGCTATGTTACAGATTACGCAGGGCGGGACATTATACGTCTACCAAGGCGAGGAGATCGGCATGAGGAACTTCCCAGTTGATTGGGGTCTAGAAGAATACAAAGATGTGGCAACGCAAAACTACTGGAACAAGTACGGTTACAGCTATGTGATCTATGCACTCGTTCTGACGATCTACAGGATTCTTAAACAACGACAAGAAGAAGCGCAAAGTGATACTGTCGACATGTCTGATGTGATCGATGGGCTCCAGCGGAAAGCCCGAGATCACGGCCGTACGCCAATGCAGGCAAGTGAATCAAATGCTCTGAGCGGAAATTGATTGAGTGAAATGCCAGTGGAACGACACCACTCACGCCGGGTTCACAACTGGGACACCGTGGATGCGAGTTAACGATGACTACAAAGCGTGCAATGCGGAAAGCCAGACCAGAGACGAAACCAGCGTGCTCTCCTTCTGGAAGCGCGCAATCCAAGTACGAAAAGCCCGAGATGTATTGGTGCGTACTACCCCGCGCGCTATTTCTCGCCCTGTTCCCGTCGTATTGATTCAGACCAAGATTTATGGAGACTTCGTGGAACTGGATCATCTCAACAAGGCAGTCTTTGCCTACACGAGGTCGCTAGGAAACTCAAGCGCGTTGGTCTTGCTCAATTTCAGCAAGTCGGAGGTCGAGTATCGGGTAGAAGGCATAATGACCGACGGGTTCAAGTGTGAATTATCCAACTATGCGTCGGAAGACTCGACAGAATACCTCGGTAGCGTTATTCTCAAGGGCTTCGAAGGGAGAGTCTACTTTCGGGACATGTAGAAAATAGGCAATACACAGGTCCTGTCGTAAGATTCAAACCATTCTTTCCATTTGTTCGTTTGTGATGATATTCGCTTCGAGGAGGGATTGTCCTGAGTTGTCCTGGCCATGGATAAGATTGTCACTGTATACCGCAAGAAGTTTGCTAACGCGGTAGGCCTGACACGTGACCAAGAACTCATTCTCTCCCCCGTTGGTTTTCTAGGTATGTTCCTTGTCAACTGATCCTGGTTCCAGCTGCCAGGAAACAAGACATGACTTGGTCGGACAGCGTCGTTGAACAATTCAGCCTCGTCGATCTCTTCACCACTGACGAGAGCGACTTCTATGGACCCTACAACACCCTCTTGTTCGAGCTCTTCCCTGCCAATGAGCACTATCAAGTGTCCCCTTAGTTCAAGCGCATCACTGGGTCAATGGACTTCACTTTTCTTTACCTTGTCAGTAAACGAAAGGTGCCGGTCTTCTTCATTGAAATCAAGACGTACCTTGCTCTCGATAAAGTCTCTTCGCGAACGGAGGCCGATGACCAGTGCCATGGGCACAAATTTCTCTATCTACGAGTTGACGACGGCCAATAACCAACTCCTGCCTGTGCGCATCATCCCCGATCCCCGATTCCTTATCGATACGGCACCCAAGGAGCAATGGAGCTATGATATCCTGGATCCCGCTGGAGAAGCAAAGATGAGAGAGATCGTGGAAGAGGTCAAGGCGATGTCAGTAGTTCCCAATCCCTGAGGCGAGATTGTAGATGCTAGTAGCTTTTTTTAGCCTATTGTTGGGTCTAGTTCACCAATACATGTTCAACACCTACCTATGTCAACACCTCGCTCTCGCGAAACCGACAGCACTTACGAACTCAAACAATGAGATAAGTCACAGCCTTCCCTCCGAAACCCCGGATATCAGGAAGCCTCATCTTGCTAGTTCCGACTATACAATGTACTTGCTCAGTTTCATACACTCCCCGCGATCATTCGTTCAGGTGACTCCACGTATGACCGCCAACATTCGACGAATGCGGCCAGCTCAGCGCCCTCGACGACTCTGTGGTCTGCGCTCCAACTAATACCGACTTTCAACCTTCGTTCTCCCTTGCCATCCCCCCGGTCAACGTCCCAAACCCACTTAGCACGACCAATAGCAACGATTGCAACTCCGCCACCAGGAACCAATACAGGAGAGGCGAAATCCCCCGCGCCGATTGCGCCGACATTGGACACTGTAATGGTTCCTCCGCGCTTGGGCATCTCTGCTGGCGTCAAGCCACAAGGAATTTGCCGCCCGAGGGACGAAAGGTGTTTGAGTTGTGAAGCAAGCGAGTATATCGAGTGTGTATCAGCTCGCTGGAGAGTGGGGGTGTACAACCCTGTTGGGGTTGAAAGCGCGACACTGATGTCTGCGTTCGGACGAATCGTCAGTGTTGGCTTGGAGCCTTCGGGGGTGTTGGGCGTGATCGACGACCGGAATATTGGCCACTCCGTCATGGCATTAGAAAGTGTTTTGAGGAGGATAGGAAGATAAGTTAGACGTGTATACTGCCCGGATGATGGCGCCTGGGGATGAACGGGTGCAGGGTATATTGAGGAAGGTGAGATTGACTGTGGTGGGGGCGGGCTCGACGGGGGAGGTAGGAAATGGGGTGGGATGTACGAATTAAGCGTTGGGAGCGCGTTGTGCAGCGCGGTCAAGTCCAGCGTAGTAGAGTACCTAAAATGCAACTTAGTCGCAGCAAAGCACATACACTGATGACACGTACCCAAAGTGTGGTATCTCGAGACTCTTTTGGCATGTCAGAGGATAGATAGAAGGAGCTGGGTTAAGTACGCACCTTGACCATAGCCTTCCACATGCCATATCGCGTGCGCCCCAACTCTACTACAACGTCTCCAGAGCCTGTCGTTGTGGCAGGAGCGCGTTGAGAAGCTCCAGAAAGGAATGCCTCTATATCGGATTTTTCTATTCTACCGCGCTTGCCGCTCCCGGGTGCCAGGTGAAGGAGATCGACGCCTTTCTGGCGAGCGAAATGGCGAACGGATGGGGTAGCAAGGACGTCGACATCAGAAGCACGCTTTTCAGGCGTATAGTCTGGGTCCATTGGGTGACGGCGCCGGGGTTCTGGCTCTGGGACCACAGGCTTGACCGCCTCTGTAGGTCGAGGTTCCGAAGGTGCCTGCGGAGGCGAGATGGCAGGTTCCAGCGTAGTAGCCTCATCGCTTGCAAGGACTTCCTCATCGACCTCAATGGTGCATAATGCAGAGCCGACCTTGGCTATCTCCCCCTCTTGAACTAAGATTTCGTGCACCACCCCATCAAATGGACTTGTGATTTCTACGCTCGCTTTGTCGCTCTGGACTTCGCATAGAGGATCGAACGACTTCACTGTGGCTTGGGGCTTGATACTCCTGAACTACACGGTTATTGCCTGGCTCGTCAGAAGATTGGCTTCCTTACCAACTGATAACTTCGCATTCTGTGATACCCTCGCCGATATCTGCAAGCTTGAATTTCTGGAGTACCTTCTTCGCCGCCCAGTAGTTCGGAGAGGTATGAAAATACGAGACGGCGAGAGGCCGACCAAGTAAACGTCGAATCGGTCGAAGCAACATGGTGGAAGGAAAATTACCACCAATTTCGCTCGCTACTCACTTGAACGAGATCCGGGTTGGATCCGGTGTCGTGGCTAAATATGCAAGCTTGTAAGTACCCGTCCGCTGCTGGTCCGTTGGCGTCGAGTCTGGTTCAATTCCTGACATCAGGCTTATTCCGCGAGGACTCACGACAGGAAACGTTTCTCTGAGTTCTCGGTATGGACGCGACCTGTGCTCGAGAGTCGACACCGGCATTAACGGGACTCAGTAATGGTCTGATGATCACTTGTGATCACGTGACGTACTGTCCCTAACCAACACTCCGAGAGGACCTGAGCAGATTCTCTCCAAGATCAACAGCCGCATAGTCAACTTAGGACGATTCTACTAGCAATAGGCTCAAGTATCATCTCGAACCTTGCGGTGGCTTTCAAATCGTTTCATGCGTCGGAGTTAGGAACGAGCGAAATCAAGAAGCCTCCCCGGCTTCCGTCACTGTTGGCCAATGCTTCCCATAGCAGTGCATAAGTATAGTAAAGACAGGCCGGTGTAGCACCGCAGGCACTGCTTTGCGTAGTCCTTATATTGAGCGCAGTCTCAAGCTGTTTCCCCCCCTCTTCATACTAACTATCCCTGTACTCATCAGCACGATAATGGGAACAGCTTCGAGTAGTGCGCGCTCATCTGTGGAAGTTGCGGAGGCTGGTGGAGGGGAAGCAGCTGTGATTAGCCCTCCTGTCGCCCAACAACCTTCTCTATATGGTGGTGGAGACGATGTCGAAAGTAGCAATGGTAGTGCTGCTGCTGCTGCTGGAGACACGCTTAGGACAGGGCGGATTGGCGGCGTCAGACCGACCCCACAGAGGAAAGGAGGACCAGTTCTTGACGTGTTGGACATATGGCTCAATGCCCTGAAGAATGCTGGCGCAATCACTCAACTCCCTTATATGAAGGAGGCCGCAGGTGTCCTGTTGCAAGTTGTCAATGCAATACAGGTGAGTAGTCCTAATAAAGAGAGACTGCGTAGTGATTAATTCATTAGGCTGTTCGAGACAATCAAGATGCTTTCATTCGTCTTGTAGATCACGCTGGCTGTATCATTTTGTCGGCAACCAGAACTATGCAGCCACCAAGGGAAATCACAGACGATATGAAGTCTGCTTTGAAAAAGATACACGAGTGAGTAGAATACCATCCATTCGATTTTCATGTACCCTAACGGACAGTCTCTACGTAGCGTTGTCCTCAAGATCAAGTCATTGTCCGACAACAGAACTAACCGGACTAGGCTCAGACGTTTTCTCCACGCTGGATCTGACAAAGTTGAGATCGGAAAGCTGAGGGAGGATTTGAATGCTGCCGTACAAATATTCGGGGTAAGCATCCTGCTGGTTAGATCCAATTAATCTCAATCCTTTCTAGGTGGACGCTGCTATGATACTCAACGCGGATATCAACATGCTAACTGAATACGTTCGTCAGTTAATGAACGAGGCTAGAGGTTCTTGCGCTGGAGACTGTGCAGTGGCCGATGGCCCCTCATATGGCCCTTCGTCCGTCATACCTCCACCCTTACCAGAAGTCTCCGATGTAAACATTCAGGACGGGGTTTTCACCCATATCTCGGCTGGCGTAGATGCCTCCAACGAAGGTGACGGCACGCAAAATATATGGGCGCCTAACATCTCTTCTGGGGTTGATGGCAATGTCCATATGAACTCTCCAGTGTCCCGGCCCCGCTCGAGGTCGAGGTCAAGAAGGTCTTCGCGCTCACCAAATCCTCCATTCACCCCCTCAACAGACGACCGACAACGAAACGTGAGGGTATCCCCATCTCCGCCTGTAGTTGTTCTTCCGGAGGAGGACGATCATATGCGCGAACCTCTACGAGGCTCTCCGCCGCCGCCGCCTAGTCCACGTCGGAGTTCTCCAGCACTCCCTCGTGCAAACTCTCTGTCTACATCGTTCTCCGGGGTCAAAATCGACAACGGCGCGTTCAACTATGTGAACTCACCATGTAAGGTGACAAACAAAGGCTCAGGCACCCAGACCTTTCACGGACATAACATCGCCACAAACGTATCGGGCGATGTAATGATGAACTGCGGCAATTATAAGAAGATAATCACATCCAATTCGAACAATGATTACTCAACACATCATTATCGTCATTCAAGAAGATCTGGTGAGCTCGAGTTTACTCTTTGGGCGGTGCGTGGAAAATACTAAACGTAACGGATGCAGGTAGGCCGAGGGGTCGTCAAGGGTTGTGACCTTCTTGGATGTCCGGATACATCGAGATACATTTGCGAAGGACGCTGGGCAAAGGCAGGGAAGCTTTTCTCTGCCTCTATTTAGGGTGACACATTCCAAATGCACTACTGCGGTTATATTCGAGAGCGCGACGACCTCAATTGAATATAACCAACAGGTGATAGAAGAGACGGACTCAATCTGTATGCATGCCATATATTTGATAGCTCTCTCGACTAGACTACAATGCCTCATTCACACGAAATTTGACCCCTGTTAAACGTTCTGAACAAACACATCACGTGTAATCGACCGCTGCCCCGTTTTGGCTTGAACTATGATACCACCACCAGCAACGATTGTGGCTGCTCTGTCATGTCTGGCCATCTCTACTGGCGTATATTACGCCGTGAGACCTCTGCCTCGACAAACACAGATACGCAAACGGGATGAAAGAGTACTCGTTATCGGTGCTTCGAGTGGGATAGGTCGGTCGATCGCACACGAATATGCCGCCAGAGGAGCAAATGTGTGCGTTGCGGGTCGGAGGGCCGAATTACTCAAGAAAGTATTGGAAGAATGCGATGCCTTGGGGGAGAAAGGGAAATCCACTCATATGGCTGCAGATTTCACGAATGTGGAGGACCTGGTGCGCTTGCGACAGTTCGTAGAGGCCGGTACGTTGTCTCCAAGGGTCCGTGTTATGAAGGAGATTTAATCTTATGGCAGAATGGGGTGGTATTGATACACTTATTGTCGCAGCTGGTGTATCTGCGCTGCAGCCGCTCATGAATGTTGCTGGTATTGATGACCCCAATGCCGATGCAACTTCAGAGGGTATCACGCACGCCGTTGAGACTGCAAAGAAAGCGATGAATGGCAACTATTTTGGTCCTCTCGGTGCTGCTGTAGCCTTTGTACGTCCGCCGTTAAACATTTCATACTATATACTCAAGTCCCTTCAGATTCCTCTGCTTACTCGAACGTCCCCCTCGCCTTCTATCCTCCTTGTATCGTCTCTAGCCGCGGTAATTCCAGCTCCTAGTCGCACACTTTACGCGTCTACCAAAGCTGCATCCCTCGTACTCTACCAAGCTCTCTCCATCGAGCATCCCAGTATTCGCTTTTCCGCTATATTGCCGTACACCGTTGAAGGTGACTTCCGCGCTTCTGCCGTCGATGCCGGACCAGTCCGCGAAGCTGATCCAAGTAAGCACGGATTGAAGCGCGAAGTCGTGGCGCGGCGATGTGTGCAAGCCGTCGATGCCGGTGAAAAAGCCGTATTCTTGCCCGCATTCTACAGAGCAGGGTTGTTTCTCTATTGGATATTCCCGGCCTTTGTCGAGTGGCGGGCAAGGAAGAAATACGGATTCACGACTTAAGCTGATATATGCCATGTCTGGATTTCATGACCATTGTACTACAACGTGCGAAGAGTTCGTCCATAGCATCCTTGTATGTTTGGCATCCGTCTGGTGCTACAATTGATGAAAAACTCGATTCCAGATCCAATCACTTGCCTTGTACGTCTTTACGAGGATCATGGCATGACACTACCGCTGCCTGGGCCTTCCTTCAACGCTTCTCAGTATGTTATCCGCGTCAGGAGCGCCTCCAATTAGTGCGCCTCGGTTTCACGGCCTCACTTCCCGTTATTGTGCTTCTATGATCGACGGAGAAAACGTCAAATTAGAGACGTTTTCTCGTTAGCCCCGTGATTTCTTCTCGGGTGCCCTGCATCTACCACCTTGAAGAACCCTCGCTTAATTTTGTGGGCGGTATTATTCAAGGGTTTCGAAGCTGGTCTCGACGGTCTAGCACGTCCTCAAGACATTATTTTCACGTACAAGGCGGACTTGAAATGGATCCAGTTTGAACACGTCTATGCTTTGGATTCGTATAAATACCCCACTGTTCACCTCTCCAAGTCTCCATTCGAATCCTCTCATTCGTTTTTTAGACTCGCCCTCATCAACACTACTAGTCCTTCACATTCACTCTTTTGACAATGTTCGCCCAATCTTTCATTATCACCGCTCTCGCTGCTCTCGCAGTAGCTAGTCCTCTCCAAGTTCGCACCAGCGACAAATGCAACACCGGGACAGTCCATTGCTGCAACTCTATGAAGAAGTCGGATTCAGCCGACATCAGCAAGATCGCCTCATTGCTTCAATTGGATGTCAAAGGGGTTGTAGGCGACGTTGGCCTCCAGTGCTCCCCGCTCGTCTCCCTCGTTGGAGGAGGATCTAAGTGGTATGTCTCGTAGGTTCGATCGGCCACGTTTTGTTATATGAATTCTTTGTTTTCAGCTCTGGGCAAACGGTTTGCTGCGATCAAACCAAATTCAGTAAGTTGTTTTGCGTGCCAATAATGAAGATGGTCAGACACTGATCATTCCTTTCTTAGATGGTCTTGTCAACATTGGCTGCTCGCCTATCAATGTAGGACTGTAGTGCGCCCGTTGAGGAATGTTTGGGACGAAGTGGTGGTTTATGACCAGACAATAATCTACTTGCGCATCGATTGATGGTGGTCCGCTTGAGAAAATAATAATAATCATAATAATGTATCGGAACCAATATTGTGATCCTCCCAGTTGTTTCTCATGAAGTGACAACAATGGCAAGATCCCGACTTGATTTACCCGCATGCTTTGTCAAACCTGACTACAGTAGAGACGACTTTACACTGCTGAATTCAGACACTTCCTGCGCTACAATTTGTCTATTTTACCATCTTGTGATATCGACCTCCGCCTCCCCGAAGACACTTGTTTTCTTGATCGCGAATCCTTCGACTTGTGCGTTAAGAGGTTCTCGACTCGAGTAAAGTTCGACAAATTCCTTCTTGAGGAACCGCAGGATATGACTATTAATCTGCTCGAACTCTAGCAGAAACCCGTCGTGACCATCTGGCGAAGGGATCAATACCAGCTCAGCGTCAGGAATGTGTGCCGCAATTTCGCGCTGTTCAATGGTGGTGAACAAGCCATCAGTTTGAATGCTGATTACCAAAGCTCTGGGCGGAAGAGTGGAGAGGACTTTAGCGAGAGCCAGAGATTCTTCTTCGTCAGTAGTTGGTTCCGGAGTAATTCTCCCGCGAGCAATGTCGTGCGTATCAAGCTTGCGGGTGATATGGATGTAGCAGTTGGCATCAAATCTAGCCGTGAATTTTTCTCCCTGATATCGCAAATACGATTGTGCCGAGAATATCTGCGGAGCCGATTCCCCTGGAGAACCTCCTCGAGGAGTGGCTGCACGCGATTTGGCGTTTCGAGAACCTTCATTGTGCGCGGCGATTGCCTCATTCGGTGATGGCGGAGTGTGTAGGGAAAATCTAGGAGGCGGGGATACTTGAGATGCACGGCTAATCTGCGGCTTTCGGCCGAATCGACTTTCAAACGAATCGCGAGAGCGATATGTCAACAGTGCGCTCATCCGCGCTGCTGCTAACCCGGAAGCAGGCTGTGTTGTGTAGTAGCCTTCTTCATACATCGGATCGCTGTAAATGCTTTGGCGCTGTGCTTCACCCCAGGATATGCACCAAGCAGAGTGCCGGGCCGATGTCGCGATTGGGATTATATGATGGACGTAGCCTGGTGGGGTGCACAGTGGCCACTCCAGAACCGCCATCCCGCCCATGGAACCACCTATGGCTACAGCAACGGCGGCGACGCCAAGATGATCGAGGACGAGCTTGTGGATTCTGGGTTGATTGAGTATGGTTATATTATACTACAGCTTAAGGACATACCGAACGTCGTCGCGGATTGTGGTCGCAGGAAACTCGGGACCATAGGTAGTCCCCGTCTCTGGATTTGTGGTGATGGGGGATGCCGAACCGTATGGAGATCCCAGAACGTTCGCGCAGAAAATGAAGTATACGCTAGGATCAAAAGCCTTCCCGATGCCTATTAGTGGTCCCCACCTAGAGAGACACGGGTAATCAGCATGTTTCGTGCTTGTGTCTATAGATGCCCACCAATCTTCGACATCAGCACTTCCAGTAAATGCATGGCAAATTACCATGACATTGTCTTTTCTTTCATTCAAGTTCCCCCATGTCTTGTAAGCGACAGGCGCATCCCTTAGCGTTCGCCCGCACTCGAGTGTGAACTCCGAGACAATGTGTATCGACTGCTCGATGAGATTTGCGAAAGCCGCCATGTCTAAGTCACTGATTATCTGATTGAAGACGGATTCCAGGAAGTAACTTAGCCAATCAGTCACAATCCCAGGGCCAAAACAACACCTAATAGTGGCTTAAGGTCAACCAGAGCCGCTTGATTCAATTTTGGGATGGTTTGAATATACTCACCCTCGGGGCGTTGGGATGGTCTAGCGGACTCTTTTTGAAGTGAAGTAAAATTATTTGCAAATCAATGATGTGATGATGGGATAAGATAACAATTAAGGAGTGCTATCGATATACAAGATGCATAGTAGGACAAAAAAGGAATGACGATATGCAATGGAAAACGAAGAAAATCCAGTAAAGAAACTAAGGGGATATAAGTATGCACATCGCAAGAACTAGAACCTTCGTACGCCACCGACCAGACCTTCTATTGAGTGATGCTCGAGATCATTCCTGGCTTTGAGTATGGAGGCATGCATCTCCTTCATCGCGTTGCCAAGCTTGACACCGAACCGACTAAGGATATCTCTTTGCCATGCATCATACTTCGCGTTAACTCTGGCCTGCACTTGTTCATAGTCGATCACGCAAACCCCGAAGGATTTCTGCGTTTCCGACGTGTCGAAGGTGGATCGCGCTTTCTTGATCTCCGTAAGGAGCTGCTGCCAGTGGGCGAGCGAGTCGCCAAGTCGGTTGAACACGTATTCGGCCTCGAGGTCCCATAAAGATTGGAACTGGAGCCATTTCGCAACATAGTCTTTCAACTGTTGTACTTTGGCTTCAATGAGGGCGAAGGGTCGTTGAAGGGTATTATCAGTCAGCAATGTTAGCTACACCTGTCGTCAGTCGGTGTTGATGAGGAGAGCGGAGTACACGGACGAGTGAAGTATATGTTGTCTCGACTGCCGCAAGACCTTGCATCTGAAGGCCGATCTCGTACCGTGAACTCTGGATTCGGCGCAGGCGGCAAACGATGCCTGACGAGGGTGTGAGTCCCCGAGTCCAACGTGAATCAGAATCAACATACCTAGCCATTCGTGCAACTGCTTGATCCATGTCGCGCGAGCATGTTCTATCGGAGGATCGAGGAAGATGACTTGATTCTGTATTCTGATTTCATGAACAATGGGGACCAGGGTCAAGTTTCCTTCCAAAACCTATGACGAGTAAGAAACCGCGTGCAAGTCATAGGACAAGACCCACTTTCTCCTCCTTGAGACGCTTGTCCCCTCTCCGTTTGATTGTCGCATCACGAGGGACAGTTTCTCGCCGAAAGCCCCCATCGTCGACTCGATCGAACTCTGTGCACCATGTTTGTATGATCTGTGTCAGTCGCTGGAGGAGGATGGTCTCAATCCGCTTGTCAAGATCAGCTACCCAGTGTTCCAGGTTAGCATATCCTTCCAAATTCAAGCGATCAATCTGCGTTGTAGAGTTGTAAAAAAGTTCTCAAAGAATACATATTTACGTACCGCGGCCTGAATCTTTGCAAGAAGCTCTGTGAAGGCCTCAGACGTGTACGAGCATGTTGCCAAGTCTTCCACGGAACGGAGTATATCTTTGTAGAGATCGATGACATTGTTCGTTTTGTCCTAGGAGAATACCCGGCCATCAGACTACACATACGCAATGCAATACGATAGAATCCAACCTGGAGAACGGATACAACACTGGCGAACTCGCGGACGAACTGTATATGTCGATTGTCTCGGCTGTCGGCGGTTGCAACATACCCCGCACTGAACTGATTGACGAAATGGTCCCAACGGATGCCCATACCTAAACTCAGTCATTATCATCGACGTACCCTCGTACAAGTAATGACGATCACCTTTTCCAATCATGTGCTGCGCTTCGTTTCGATACTCCGCCACTAACCATTCAATGCCCTTATTGTTCTCCACAAGGTCCAAAGTCTGACCGTACGTCCTGACTGTTTCCATCAAGCTTACAGCGTGAGGGTATACTCGTTTCGCATCCTTGGCCAAACTCGTCGTCGTGTGCGGCACTTGGAAGCCCAACCAAAGCAGATTCCGGACCTCTTTGAAAAGTGTGATAATCTGCGGGTCGAAATTCACTGCTAGCTGGTAGCCGCTGACGCCGCCTCCTGTTGCCCTGAGTCGAAGGATCTCAAATAACCGACCGTCGACACCCATGTTGCGTCGGTTGATATCGTGCAACCAAGCATCGAATACCGGCCGAGTATCGAGCTTCTTACGGAAAGCTGCTGAGTCACCTTGTAGTCTCTGTCCCTCGGCGTAGAGCTCCCATCCTTTCCCGAGCACGTCTTCAACACGCTTCATGTAAGTGAGAAGTTGACGATCGATTTGGCGAGCCCATATTATTGCACCGGCAATTGGTGGCAAGTCCCGCATTTGCGACATATGATATGCCTCTGAAAATCTGTATTGTGTTTTGAACTGAAAGCGAAATTCAAAAAATGTCAACAAGTATCAGAACGCCTCAACTTGCCTTGTCGTGGAGGTGCTTGATGTCTTCTTTGACCGAGTCAATGAGCTGAGTTTGATACTCTTGAATAGCGCCACGAATCTAGTACGGGTTGACATTGTCAAAATCGGGTGAGCATGCTATGTGGCCTACCTTTGGTCTAACAAAGAGGGCATTGAACTTGGAGAAGACACGGAACATCTCATTGGCATTGCGAGCTGTCCCGAGACGATCACGCAGACGAGCGATAATCTGGTTTTCCACCCGTGACACGCGCTCGTTGTACGCGTTCTCCGCAGCAACCCAGATTTCTGTTCCCTCTGAGAACCGTGACAGAGTAATTAGTGCGACAGAAATGACCCGAGTAGTATAACGTACCGACTGAGACATCCAAAACATCTATCCGCTTGACCACCTCATAAGCTTCCTTGACCTCTTCCTCCATGTCCATTCCCCCGTCGACACCGCCCAGACCCTTGGTCGGTCCGGTCATCACCGCGAGTTGTTCGTGCTGTTTCCGCCACTCTCGAAGGTACCGGCAGCGTTCTTGCAATTTGGCATGCGCCGGAATGATCTTGATGGGAATGAATCGTTCCAGGCGCTTACGCGTTACCTCTCGGGCCACATTGGTAAACTCCTTCATCTGATCATCCCACGTACGGAAAATGTTCATCGTCTGGTTGAGAAGCCGCTCGAAGGTATCATACGGGGTATAAGGCAGACGGTGCGAAGTTAGTATACGGAGGAGCTGGTCATTGAAGTCTCGGGAGATGGCTTCGACGAGGGGGAGGGCGCGGCGAATTGGGTATGGGGATAGCTTGAGTTTGCGGGTAAGATGAGAGAAAATAAGGGATAAAGACTCCTGTATTTTATCGAGGTCGGTCGCCGATAAAAGTTCGTTGAGAGGGAAGTCTTTCATGAGTTGATTGTACTTATGGACTAGGCGAGTTTAGCTGTAACGAAACACAAAAGATCGTTAACTCACCTAGATCCGTGGCATCCTTCAGCCCAGTGTCGGCGATGAAACTGACGGTGGCATGATATCGTCGAGCATTGCGAAGACAGTCCATGACCAGCTGGACTTCGTCACTTCGCAGTTGAGCTTCAATCCCTTCCAATGCCCGTTCCAAACTAAGCCAAAAGTTGATTTCTTGTGACGCGGTCCCCGAGGATACATCCCGCGAGAGCTTGGTAACCGATTGTATTGATTTGATCCACGTATTGACATGGCCGTGCAGCGAGTTGAGGAACGTGCTGTCGCTGAGCAATTTGGGGGGGATATACGATATGCTTGAACCGGACCCAGCTGCCCGCGCCTGCTCAACGGCACGCTGTATCGCTGGGTGTATAACCAGATGCGTTTCAGGGATTTCGACGTTTTGTTGCAGATGAAGGAGTGATAATTCAAGTTCCGCGAACTTCTTCTTTGTCATGGGTATGCCCATCTTCGCGTCCCCGTCTTTGCCTTGGCCACGAGCACCGACGAAAGCATCGAACCACGGCTTGACACCACGGCTCACAACAGCGTGCAGGCTTTCATACGGTGTGTCGTCGCTGCCGAAGAGATTCAGCAGATGCAGTTGCGTTGCGAGCGGGGTAGTCGAGTCAAGCGTTTGGCTACGTTTGATGAGGGCAACGGTCATGACATGTGAGGGTTGGTACGTTAGATGCGGTGTAAGTATGAAATGATAAGTCGGTGGAATAGACTCGTCTGTTCAAGTAAGTAAGCAGGAATCAGCACTCAGAGCATTACGCACCTTCTGACTCGTCCCTCACTTTGACGATATATATTGCCTCTGCGCCCTCTGCAGCGAACTTAACCACGCGCTCATCAAAGTCGTCGTCGAATAAGGAGTGCAGTTCATGAAGTGACGCTCCGATCACAGGTGGTAGCAGAGCTGTCAAATAGTCGCGGAATATGGTCGGATCGAATGTAGTTGTAGTCGTCGCAGGTTCCGCATGTTGGTCGTGATTTGTACCGTTAGTGGTCGTTATAGGCGTTAATGACGGTTCCATTTCCGTCCCTGAGTCTCGAGAAATCGTTTCGTTGCTTGGCAATGACTTCAAAGGCGCTCTGACGGATTTAGTTTTCCCCCAAAAGCTCAAAGACGTGAGTGTTGCCCCTTGCCGCCTCGGTTTGCGGTGAGAGGTAAAATACTGTTGGAAAGACGCCATTTACCAGCGGAGATTGGTGAAGGATAGGAAGATCATACCTTTTATCTACAAATGTCGAGCTGCGCGGCGTGAACGAGGTTTCCGCGCGCTGCGTGACGGGTGAATTGAAGAAACGAGAAATGCGTCGCGAATTTCTGGCAAAGCGAAATAAGGACCGTGGGAAGGAGACATTGACTGTGAGAATAAGGTCCACGTACGGCATTTTAGCCAACGAACCTGAATCTAGAAAATTAGAAGCCATGGCTCAATAATTCGGACGGCAGAATATGACGAGGCAAAGGCTTCCGTTAGCCAGCATGTTAGAATACCCCAGCAAAATCTAGCTTGCCGAACATAGACATTGACTGGGAAGAATGAACTTACCGTGGGAATATGGGCAGAGTGCTTGCTCTCCCTGCCTTCTCAATTTCAGGTCGCATTATCATCGCACTATCATAGGAGATGATCAACGGCTGAAACTTTGAAACTTTGCGAAAGCTCTATGTGGGTGTGGGCGATACAAAATGAGTGTATGGGTATCTATAGATCTAGGAACGAAGGTAAAACGGCTTGCAGTAGAGCTTAGGGCTGTGGGAAAAAATCCTTTCAATTCTGCGAGAACTGAGCTATCACTTGTGCTTTCTACGGTCAAACTCCCAGTAATTGTCTGTATCAGTTTGGGTGTCACGACTTTGAACTTAATATCTTATGAGATTTTCCAGCCGACTCACCCTTCGATTTTGCCGCCACTACGCCTCGCAACCAATCATTCGAGGCCCATTTGTTGGACTCAAATATCACCGCGAAATGGCAGACCCGGAATCTGCGACCACAGGTCAAGCTCGAGCGCACCCAAGTAAAGAACTAGACTTTGGTAGGAAGAAGCCGCGACTGGCTGATGTGGACACGCCCAAAAAGCAAGTGTCCAAGCACAAAAAGAGCAGAGCTGCTCGAAAGCGCGACCTAAACCCAGAACCGTACTCTCCTGATGACGTTCTCCACCGAGATATTCTACAAATGATCGGGAAAGAAGTCGTGGATAAAGCTTTGGTGGATGGCTCCGCAAAGAACTCGCCGCTGCAATTCCACGATGAAGTAGAGCTCGAGATCCTCAGCATTTCGTCTGGAGGTGAGTCCTGGACCTCGTTTAATGCAGGCGAGACATGTCTCAACTATAACGCTCAATATGTAGTATCTCAGGTGATGGTCTGGCGTTGGCCCCCGCTCCGCATCCCCCTTGGGTTGTTGTCGTTCCGTTCAGTTTGCCAGGGGAAAAAGTGCGCGCGAAAGTCTACCGAAGTGGATTGATGCATTCCCTCGCGGATCTGGTCGAGGTGGTCACACCGAACAACGAGCTTCGCGATCAAAGTCGCGTACAGTGTAAGTACTTCGGGACCTGCGCCGGTTGCCAGTACCAGATGCTCTCCTACGAGACTCAACTCGGTCTCAAGCGAGATGTCGTAGTCAAAGCCTTCAAGAATTTCTCTGGTGCGTTCATTCACTCGTTGCGCCGTTTGAACATCACTGAAGGGCGTTTCCAGATTTACCAGAATCGTCTCTCCCGGAGATAGGCTCGACGATAGGATCGCCGCTGCAATACGGCTATCGGACCAAAATAACGCCGCACTTCGAGGCGCCTCGGCAGAGCCAACGCCAACCATTGGATCTTGCTGAGCCAAAGCCCGAGTGGCTGAAAATTGGGTTCAATAAGGTCGGAACAAGAACGACCATGGATATAGAGGTCAATAGATTCACCTCTTCTCACTTCTCTTGCTCAGCTATCTCGTAGGACTGTCCTATTGCGACGCAAACTATTAGAGATGCTCTGACTCCAATGCGAGAAGGCATCATCAAGTGAGTCCCCGTTGCTCTGCATCCCTTCACTACCAACCTCGCTGCGCAGCAAAATCCATACGTACAAGCGTGGTGTATCTCTCCTCCTTCGCGATTCCCTCGACATGTCCGATCTGGCGTCATCACTGGACAAACACGTCTGCATCACCGACCAGAAAGCCATTGTTCGCGAGCAAGTAGGGGATATGAGCTTCGAGTATCAAGCTGGGTCGTTCTTCCAGAACAACAATTCGGTCCTCGAGCCGCTCACCACCTACGTCAAAAACGCCATCTTCGCACACACTACGGTCAAGCCAACACATTTGGTGGATGCTTACTGTGGGGCTGGTTTGTTCTCCATCATGCTCTCTCCGCATTTCGAAGTCGTCACTGGGATAGAGCTTTCCGCCGATTCGATCCGCTTCGCTACAAGGAACGCAGAGTTGAATAATATCCCAAAGGGCAAGTGCACGTTCCGTGCTGGCGACGCAGCCAATATTTTTGCGACGGTGAAATCGTTCCCTCCTGGAGAAACTGTGTTGATTATCGATCCGCCCAGAAAGGGATGCGATGATAATTTCATTCGGCAGCTGGTGGAGTTCAAGTGCAATATAGTGGTGTACGTTAGCTGCAACGTGCACACACAGGCCAGGGATATTGGAATGATCTTGAAGAAAATGGAGGGGCACGGAGACGGGAAGACATATGTAGTGGAAAGCTTGAGGGGATTTGATTTGTTTCCTCAGACAGCTCATGTCGAATCTGTCGCGATTTTACGGTTGGTATCTGCAGTAACTTAGACCCCTCAGCATAATAGAGAGATCTCATGGAAAGGGCGTGACCACGTGATTGTTTTGTGGGCGCTTGTCAATCAGCTTACACTTCGAAGTTCGGAACACTCCCACTGAGTTGGACTTCGTTTGGGATTCGTAGGTTTGGTGATGAAACACTTAGCTTTGACACTACTGGCCCGTCTGGTGCTCGCATATCCTTCTCAATATGCGCGAAATGCTTTGGCGTTTGCCCCGGAGGAACCTGAAGAACCAATAGGATCCCCCGAATTCTGGGAGAAGATCATCGTCAGCGGCATTCTGGTACTGGCGGGTGGTGTTTTTGCCGGGTAAGTGACTTCTGTGATCGTGTTGCTCTGTGAGGTCTCTAAAAGTACGCGTCTAGGTTAACGCTTGGCCTTATGGGTTTGGACGAACTGCACCTCCGTGTCTTAGCAACTTCCTCGGACGACCTCAAAGAGAAGAGAAATGCTCAGAAGGGTCAACTTTCCTGCTGTATAATGAGTATATAGCCTGTGTCTGATGACCATTCTTCAGTATTGCGACTAATGGGACGAGGGAGACATTGGGTTCTAGTGGTGAGTCCACAAGTTGCGCCACACTTTGGGGCCGAGCTCCTTGACAAGTCGATGATTTCTGCAGGTCCTTCTACTTGGCAACGTGGTACGTTGGTGCTCCTTATGAGCGTGGTCTACTTCTTACTACATCTTCCTCCAGATCATCAACGAGAGCTTGCCGATTTTCCTCGACAGCGCTGTGAGTGCTCGTGTTATACCCCCCTCTCATCAGTCTACTTATCTGGCCTCCAGATTGGAGGTGGCGTGGCCGCCGTTGTAATCTCTACGACCGCGATTGGTATGCCTGCTCTTCCCCGTCTATCATGTGTGACGTACTAAAGCTTGATATCAACAAGTTATTTTTGGGTAAGATGCTCGCGTGCTTCATCCCTTGCGGTCACTGACTTGGTGGACTGACTACCGCTGATTAGAGAGTAAGGCCATCCTTTCGTCTACTCTCATGAATATGTTGTTGAACGAACCTGGTCAGAATCATTCCCCAAGCCCTGAGTGTCAGATACGGTCTTGCCATTGGGGCTGCTTGTGCACCCGCCGTCCTCGCAATGATGTTCATATTCGGTGAGCACCATGGACTCGTAGTGCTCGGTCACGGCTTACGATAAAGTTAGCTCCAATTGCATGGCCAATCGCCAAGCTACTTGATTATGTATTGGGTGTTCATGCAACCCATACCTACAAAAAGGCAGAGCTCAAATCATTCCTCCAATTCCACCGAACCGGCGAAGAACCGCTCAGAGATGATGAAATTAGCATATTGAACGGCGTCCTCGAGCTAAATACGAAAAGCGTCGAGTCGATCATGACACCAATGAAGGTTTGACTCTGTGGTCTAAGCATATACGGACAAGACTGATAGAAATACCAGGATGTCATTACACTCAGTGCTGACACAATCCTCGACCACGCTGCCGTTGACAAACTGTAAGGTACCTTTACCTATGACTGTCGTGTCAAACTTGAACAGTGCCTGCTAGGTTACTGAGTGGTTACTCCCGCTTCCCAGTACACCAACCAGGACGGCCCACAGCTTTCATCGGATTTCTACTCATAAAGAAGGTTAGCGGAAGTATCTTATGTTTTGCAATTGTTTTACTGTTGTCTTCTGCTAGTTACTTGCCTACGATCCAAGCACAGCACTACCAATCTCTAGCTTCCCTCTTTCCGTCCTTCCAGAAGCTACTCCCAAAATCAACTGTTTCCAAGCACTTGACTATTTGTACGGTTTGCAACCTACTTGATGCTCGCCTTGTACTAATTCATGTATCTACTTAGCCAAACAGGTCGTTCTCACCTGCTTCTTATTAGCCGTACGCCTGGGCAAGAAGGTGGTGCGATTGGTGTTGTAACCCTTGAGGGTAGGTTGAAACGCCATCTTGCCCTAAGCCATGATCACGAATTAATCATATTTTGCCTACCCTAGATATCATTGAGGTATGGACGAAATGACCTTCATTCATGTGTTCTGACCCTCGGCCAGGAAATCATTACCGAGGAAATTGTAGACGAAACCGATCGTTACGAGGATAATCAGAGTAAACGTCGCGCTCGACGTATGACTACCTCTGCCATAATGCGAGGGTACGTGCGCGTCCCATCTCACTCTAGAGCCTGAACTGACCAGGCACAGAATTGTTGAACAACGAACTCGAGGAACATCTCTAGGCGTCTTGGCCGAGGAGAGCGAAAGAGCTTCGCTCCTAGGAAGTCCTCGTACTTTCAACGGTGATCTACCGCAATATGGCTCTGTGGGGCTGAGTGAATCTCCTCGAGACTCATAACCCGTTGCCAATGGGATATTTGTGCTTTCTGTCTCGCATAAGTTATATAGACCACGAATACCGCTCTGCCGTTTGGACATTACGGAGTTGATGAAGTAGCTATCCTTTGTTGTCGTTGTTCCCATCGAGTTCCTTCACCCGTTTCTAGATAATTCAATTCTAGGTGAGCCATACAACTGCGGGCTGCTCACCTCTAGTGCGTACAAGTGGGAGTCGTAGGAGTCGTTAGAAAGACCCCGCACCGCGTCCGCCAAGCGATACAAATATTCCTTTGCGAGTGAAGAACGGGTAAATATTGTGCTGGTAGTGTTTCGGCTGGGATGCCCACCTTGTTTGGCCCCGAAGGCCCCACCGACTTCCATATCGTCGTCGACAATAAGTCCAGTGGTTCAGAGCCAACTAGTGCCGTCGCTCAGTATGTTCTAACCTTTGAACAGGGCTTGAGGGCTTACTGAAGGATGGATTGTCATTTCTTCCAACGTAACACTGCGAACCATCAGCATTTCATGAACAGTGAGAAGCGATTGAGAACCTACGAATGCCTGTCGACGAGAGAATATAAGTGATCGCAGGCCACAGGTTGCATAAATTTCTGTGGATATTGGCAACTTACATTATGTATCGCAACCTTTTCTTGACCATTTTCAATAGCATAAACGTCTAAGGTCTCCATAGTGTACCCGTCCTAGGGACGGGAAGTCACGATCTATAGAGCTAGCACGAAAGCTGGTATCACCTTTTCTCTGTAGTCTGCCGTCGCGAAGGATGAAGAACATGCTAGGGAAGCGCATTGTGATTGCTATTTACCTAGGTAGTCCCGCACTTCTGCGACGTAAACGGGATCTATAGTGTAGGCGATACCTTGGTGGACAGCAGAGACAGTCAGACTCGGACACCATCAAACTGTACCGATGAATCACACTCACCCCATACCGTATCGTCGTTCGGGAAAGGATCCTAAATAAGATATATGATTGCTCTAGATGAGCTGTCAGATAATTCAGATCGACTTAGTAAACATACTGAACCGGAGAATAAGTCCCATTCTTCTTTGTGTATGAGTGTTACCACTCTTCCCGGATTCTAGGTTGCACAATCAGAGATGGTCCCGTATTTCGGATATTAATATACTGTCGCCTCGATTTACCTCTGGCGTACCACGATGATCGTGCGATTTCTGGGCAAACCTACGAACATACCCCTTGAGAAATCCGGGTGCTGGATGCCTTTAGGATCAACCATCCGCAATCTGGAAGGACAGAACTCACTTTGCGTAATAACATGGGGCGGTGGCTAGGAGATCATCCATCAAGACGCACATGATCCATACTGATCTCAGTAATATTGCACAAACCTTGAAGATCAGTGAGCCATATCCGAATACTGTGAATGTCTCCATCGTTCAACGCCCTCGGTCCGTGAAAGAATGGCAAGTGGTTGAAAGGCTCGTGACATCGTCCAAGGCAAAGTAAATGGATGACAAACCCTGACAAACCGCACCGAGTTTCATATGGTCGTTGTGGCAGAAGCCGCCGGAGCTGGTGCTGACAGTGCTCGGCAAGTGAACTCCGAAACCACTCGGTCGGCCGACGGGCCATCATATAGAATCGGCTTCGCAAGGGTGATCCGCGACGGCTAACAAGTACGAACTGCTGGATTTTATGATAGTAGTCTTTCACTAAGCCATTGCGAAAGCGACCAGCAGATATTTACTGTGTCAGTGTCCAGGGAATCTGCGATCTGCCCGTCGATCTCCACCGATCTCTTGCGATCCCGATCATTGTGGCTGTGCTGCCACAATGTGTTCGCCAGTCCAGTGTCCGTGGGAAAGCGATTCTGCGAATATATACGAACATGCTAAGTTTTTTGCGAAGTGACTCGAATCAACAGTCTTACGCTCTCCCTAGACACTGATCCCTGCCACCTATCTCTCCCAGAGAACTCTCATTGTTCCCTCCACTGTTGACGGACATCCAAGCCAAGTACAGTGAGTGAGGGACCAAAGGGGGTTTCATGGCACAAAGTACCGATATTAGTTGTGTGTATTAGGAAGAATGACTGGTGATCTCACCAACGGGATCAATGGGACTGGCTTGCACAAGCTACCGGCGGACCTTGATGTACGTCCAAACTCGGGTTCAGTCTCCTCTCAAGAAATATCCTCCCACACACGCAGCACTCATATTGCATCCTAATATATTGCAGGCATCCAAATTGATCATCCACCGCGCCGAATCTTTGAAGGCGGTACCCGTCTGGGAAACTTTACAGTTCGGAGAAGTAAGTTAAGCATTTATTGAAGCATAATCAATCGATGCGCCGACCTAAGCTCCAGACGATCTAACGACTCTATTACCTTGTTTCAGACGCCAACAGACCATATGTTGATATGTACATATGACCCAATCAACGGATGGTCGAATCCCGAAATCAAGCCATATGGACCGTTGTCATTGGACCCGATGAGTTCATGCTTGCAGTATGCCACAAATGTTTTTGAGGGGATGAAGGTTAGTCTCTTTCCATATTGTGTGTTGATCGCGTTTATCAACTTGATACCTCCAGGCCTACGTAGGACCTAATGGTAACCCGCGCCTTTTCCGCCCAAGCCGAAACATGAAACGACTCGAGACATCTGTTGCTCGCCTTGCTTTGCCGACATTCGATTCAGCGGAGCTACTCAAATTGATAAAACAGTTGGTCTTGCTAGAAAGTCGATGGATTCCTGATCTTCCTGGATATAGTTTGTATATTAGGCCAACTATTATCGGGACTAGGCCAAGTAAGTATTGCATCACAAAGAAAAACCGCAGCCACTTATGTCATGTTTTCTTTTGAACCCAGAACTGAGTGTCGCAGCATCCAATGAAGCAATGCTCTACGTGGTTCTCTCCCCAACAGGCCCGTACTTCCCAACAGGGCCGAAGCCGCTCTCCCTCATGGCGGTAAGCGAGACAGCCCGTACATGGCCGGGGGGCACTGGCGGCCATAAGCTAGGAATCAACTATGCGCCAGCGCTGTTACCTCAGCAAATTGCGGCGGAACAAGGTTACGATCAAGTCGTGTGGCTCCTTGGCGAGGACAATAGGATCACGGAAGTTGGCGCGATGAACGTTTTCGCCGTTGTTGGACGTAATGACGGAGGTATGTTGTTTCCGCCCCCTAATATTTCTGTCAATACTGAATTGCGGTGTCTCCTGTAGACTTGGACGTGATGACCCCCTCATTGGATGGTACAATTCTCCCTGGTGTAACCCGAGCGTCATGTCTCGAACTCCTCTCTGCTCACCCACAAAAATCCGTCCTCCCTAATATTCCTCCCAGCGCACACATCCACGTCCACGAACGCGCGATCACTATGGAAGAACTGACCTCCTGGTCCGCTAAGGGCCAGTTACACGAGTTGTTCGGAGTCGGAACAGCCGTCATTGTGGCGCCCATAGGGAAAATCGGGTTCCAAAACATGGATGTCGTCCCTTTAGTCCATCCTGAAGGCTTTGGCCCAGTTGCAGGTGCTCTTATGAGGAGACTATCTGACATACAGACGGGGAAGTCGCAATGGGAGGATTGGAGCGTCGAGCTATCTGCCTGAACATAATTTAGTGTCGCATCTAGACAGACATAATTGTATCGGGTCCATTTACTCCTGAGGCCTAGGGGTTGTATGACAGGGGTCACTTCCTTTATCGCCGCCCAGGCGAAGGATGCATGGACGGGCCGATGGCCTCGAATTCGAAGCTTTGAGCCAAGGTTGATAAGCTTCCCCCAACATCAAACGTCGACGACGCCCACTAATCCTCACGGGCCCTTCTTTTGAGCAACGCGTCGGGAAAGCATGTCGGCCTCACGCTTCTTTTCCCTCAGCCCTCTCCTCGTCGCCGTCTCTTGCTTGCTCTCCTTGTCCCCAGATGCTTATGTTGGCGCAATCAAGCTTCATCCTCGCCAAGATGAGACGTCCTCAGACACCCTCCGCAATATCACCATCAATCTGAACAGCGAAATGATCCTGAACGCTTCAACTTCTGTTGGAGGTTTGGGTATTGAGGATGGAGATAGTATGGGTTTGGCCTCGTTGTGGGGATACGTCAACTTCACGATGTCGGGGAACTGGTCAAACAATGGCTTGGGGTATAGTGGATCGTACTGGTGGACGAGGGATCCTAATGCGCGAGCAACATTGAAGTTTAGAGGTGCGCATCGAAGGGAGATCACTACCGTGACCGTGATGCTGATGCTGAACGCATAGGAGTCGCTGCTTATTATGCTGCCCCCCTCTCTTTTGGAACGACGACAAATCAGAATGTATCGACGTTGATCGAACTGGACACATTACCATCCCTTGTGAACTTCACGTCGCCCTATGAACTGGTCGTGGGCGGAAACACCAGCACTGTCACGGGGTTGGAGCAAAACGGTACTGTCAGAGCCTTGTGGGGTCAGACAGGGTTGGCGGACGAAGTGCATACCATGGTGATCTCAGTTGGCGAAAGGGACCAGTACGCAATTCTCGATACGTTGATGTGAGGCTCACGATTTCCAGTCCTGTCACTGTATAACTGACATCTAATTCAGATATACTGTTGTTATCAACTCTACTTCGGCATCATCTGCCGTCTCTGCAAGTTCATCGAAGGGCACCACTCTCCGGATTGCCCTGGCGACGTGTCTCAGTGTCGTGTGCGCCGCCCTGCTCGTGGCGCTGTTCTTGTGGTATAGACGACGGAGCGCACTCAGGCGCCGGGGATCAGGCGGAGTCAGCAAATGGGTTGGTACAAGATGGGTCGAAACTGATGCAACTCGCCCAGAGGGTTTGGACAGCAAGGCTGAAGCCCGCGCACTTGAGATGGATAAGATCGAGCGCGCCTAAGGTGGTACATGTTGTGACTGACCATAGATCCAAGTTTCATTGTGTTGTAGTTGTAAAGCGGTCTCCTCTGTACGTATGATCCCTTGTGTTCGAAACTGCTTGACGTCTTTTACGTTGTTGTTGTGCTTCAGCATTTTGTTCTCCTTAGTTTCCCCTCAATGTACTATTTATCCATGTATATATATTGCGCTGATTATGTCTTATGAGGCCTTAAGGGAGGAACTAATACTCTGGTGGAGGTTCGGCATACGCGTAATTGGTATGACCTCGCATCAACTCAACTTCCCTTCGTAAATCCTCTACTACGTCCCTCAACTGGTTGTTCGTGCTAGATGAATAGGCGGAAGCGGAGGTAGGTTCCGTGGAAATGGGTGGCGCCGAAGAAGAGGGAGTCGGTGACCTTTGCCCCCACTGCTCGTGGCGTTGTCGTTTGCTAGACGTATTCGACGGCGCAGTAGCAGCAATCTCCAGCTGTGGGGCTGTAAGGTATCCCCCTACTTGAGCGAATGGAGTGATTGCTGGTACTCCTTCTCCTCCTTCTGATTCTGATCTTGCTGAGCGATTCCGGATACGGCGCCACAGGAAGAACGCGAGAACGAGAGATACAGCCGCCGCCGCTACTGCACTGACGACGACACCTGCAATCGCACCACCAGAAAGACCACCGGTCGATCGGTTAGCGGGCGCCACTGGTCTCGTTGCTGGCATTGCGATAGTTTGTGATTGTAGCCTACATGAACCGTTAATTTCACATCAACCGATTTCAGTGTTTCACGATGCGGCGGGCTTACTGGAGGGATAATAAAGAATACGCAGCGCCTTGAGCAGGGCTAAGCAAATTATGTTTTGTATTAACATAGAGTGACAATATAACGGCACACCTTGCTACGCCACGGGTTACGTTGCCACTTGGAGCGTTGTACGTGGTTGGGAAAGCACCCAAGGTGCCGTTGTAATTCGCTCTGGCATGCACCATGGAGACGAGCGTATCTCTTATCGAGGCATCGTCGATAGTACTGGCCGTAAGGATGATCCAGTCTGGTTGGCACTACGTTACAGCAGGCCACAAGAAGGAGACAATGCCAACTACGCACCGGACCTGGCATCACTGCTACTTGAGCTTAGTGGCAACCCAAAGGGATCTTCGCACAATCAGCGGCTATCCGTACTAACAGAAGCACACACATACTCGTCGAATTGCCGGCCAATTGTTGGTAGAAAGCGGCTTGAGAGTCATATATCTATCATTTGAAGTAAACTGATCAATCTCTGTAAGGAGTCAAAGTTGGGGTGTACGTCTTGTCCGACGAGGTTGCTGCGTGTAAGTTTATCGGCGAAGGTGTTGTAGATGAGGCTCCACGATTGCGCATTGCCAGTATCCGATAGCAAGTGCCCGTTGTTCATTGCCCGACCCTTCCATTGAGCGATAAAGTCATTTGCCCGATCCTTCGCATGTAGAGTCAGCGTCCGCATATACACCGACGAGGAGACGCGCTCACATTATACGTTTTCGATGCTGGGCTGTCTCCAAATGCTTGACTGATTCCAGACATAGCCTGGATGCCAATGATCCCCTTTAACATGAGATTCACTGATGTTCCAGCTTGCCCGCCATCCGCCGTAAGCCTTGTACCAAACAAGCCATGTCAGCGGGATGCCGTCCTAGCCACCAAGCTATCTCACTGGTTGGTAGAATTCATCGTGTGATCAACCAAGTAATCCCCCCAGCTCTTTAACAATGGGTACTAAAACAAAGAGATGAAAACCTAGACATGCTAGGGTGGCGAGAATACGTACGTATCCGGCGATGAGCGACCCGTTTCCCGAGTATAGCCCGTGGGCGTATACCATGATCAGCATACTGCTTGTGTCTGGGTACGTGCGTAACCTCTGTGACTAGGCTGATGTAACGGAAAAGCGGTGCACATGCGTACCTTCGACTCCTCGGAGATCTTGACGAGACATTGGTTGGCTGACGGGAAATGGGCCTAAACCAACGTCATCCACATAGAACTCACGAGCATAAGGAGATATGGCACACCTAGATCAGGGGCGACATAAGATGTTCCATCCTGCGAACCACTGTGATATTTCAGATGTGGGAGAAGTATTGAGGAAGCCCAAGTCGAGTTGAGGTACAATAAGGCGGGGAAGGCGGCATAGATCCCTTCGACGGGGTTCATCCGGCTTGCTTGCCTTTGGTTGTTGTCAATAAATATTTTTTGGTCCTAGTTAACCGGTTTGCTGTACTTACCCGTTGGAACCGATATCTTTCATGAATATCTGGAGGTCCGAGGGGTCATATGAACCATCAAGCATTCTCGAAGTAGTGAATTCTAGCCCCCCGAGAGTTTGACGCGTTGCAAGAGAGACCAGGTCAGCATATTGATCAGAGACCTTTCTAGCCTCGCCCGTCAGCTTCTCATCTAATGCAACGGCTCGATCACGGGCATTGGGGAAGTCCAGTAAAAGAGCATCAATCTTCATATGAAATAAATGGCTCAGTTACTGACTGGGGGACTGATGACTGTGCACACGCACCGCACTCGACATATCCTGATATCTGGTCTTGAAATACGGATGTCGGTCTTCGTTGGATGCACCATTCCACGCCATGATTGAAGGATCACGAACCAAGCCAATACACCATACCACTGGCGAAGATGTAGAGGTGATTGTGCCCAGGTCAGCCGAAATAGCGAAAACAGGCCAATCCCTACCGCACTTCCAGTCAGCGCCCAGTCTCACAATCATATATCCATGTACTGGCGTACCTGCCATTGATAGCGCGGAACGTAGGATCTTGGGTATCAGCTAACTTTCCAGTGCTTGCAAAGCTGTCTCGTAACGTGTTGTCGGTGCCAGTTTGCCAAGTGAGACCCGAGCGCTAGCAAGGGTTGAGCTCTTGCGGACTATGCAGATTATGCAAGAAATGGAGCTGAAACACTAACTGACGCCATGCCCAAGTAGACCTGGCTATCCTCCGCTATATTGTTGGTTTCAGTCATAGGCTGTGGGGTAGAGCGAAGGACAGTGTGATATGTGGACGCCGTGGTTGTCGTCAAATTCCATTGAATAACGTTAGCATTGATCCCAGAGGCCCATTCTTGTATCACGGATTGAACGATTAGCGCACGAAGTCGAACAAATGGTACACACCGCCGCTGATGTCTGAGTAAACCTCGACTGCATGAGTGTTACCGTCCGTTGAGGAGGCTTCGAAAGTCATATAAGAAAACGGAAATGACTGCAGAACGGGGTCTGTGGGCTATGGTATACCAATTTATATCTCGAGAAACTCTTTTGATAGGGCTGCTCGAGGACTTACCTCTACCGGGCTCAAATACGTCACCTTAACCTCCATGGGACCCGCTTGAAAGGTGAATATTGATCGTGTAGGCGTAATCTCTACGCCCTCAAACGTCGAGGCGTTGCCGTGCATACCAAGCCACAGCCAAGTGGAACCGTCTACTCTGACATAATTCGCCCAACCAAGAATCTGAACAGAGTCACAAACACTCAAGTAGGACGCTAGGAAAACTTACTCGTCTACCGTCCCAAAACGAGGGCCACATGAAAGGTGGTCTGGTGCCAATGGTAGGGTTCATCCAACTGCTGAAGTAGGGCGAACGGACCGCGAGTGGGATCGCCGCTGGCCATAGCCGTTGGTCTTGCTCCAGCGCTGCAACCGAGCAAAGTAAGAAAAAGGTTGTAGCGGAGACGAGAGTCGAAAGGGGGACAAAGAACATGATAGGACGAGGGGTAGGTGGTCTTGCATGTATGCTGGGCTATATTGGAGTCAGCACATATCAAGCTTAAGGTTTGCTGTGCTCGAACCCGCAACTTCTTTGGAGCTGGCGTGGATTGTAGCGGCTTGTCGGAATGATCCCATCGTGATCCTGCCGAAACCATCAGCGCAAGTACAGCACTTTGCGATAAAACAATGTGGTTTAATACCGCACGATGTTGTTAGAACTCACAGTGTTGTATAGCAAAGTGTTAGGAACTAGAGGAACTAAAGGACGAGTTGAATACTAGCTATGCTTGTCTCACACTTACTAGGGCAGCCTCGTCCAGCAGAATTCCTGTGAGGTTTATCATCACGGAATTTGATCGGAGTCTCGAGCGATTCATTATCCCTGTGAAAGCAACTGTGGGTGTTGATGAGTGGCAATATCAATCATGATGGAAAACACTGTAAGACATACGACTTCGAAAGCTGAATGGAGAACTGGAGATATATGACGGCAGGTGTTTTGGGTGTGCTAATCTTGTCAAGGTATTCTCAAGGCTTAAGTGCAGCCATGGCGTCCTGAGGCCTTGAGGATGAACGCTCTAGTAAATTGGGCGACACACTCAGTCGGCGTTGATATGTTCTGGCCGGAAGCTTAGTAGTGAATATGGGCGGTCGCTTGAGCTGGCTTCGTCGAAGAAGAAGAAGAAGAAGAAAGGGAGTGCTTTATGCCACAAGCATGGCGTAGATAGAGGGAGGATAGGATCACATACCTATGGCGAAAGAGTGACTTGGGGCCAATACACCGAGCCGGCGTCCAGGCGCGCCCTCCCCTGTAAACGACCATCGGACGTATGGCTGCAAATGGATTTACCTCTCACTCATGGTTCAGAAACAAATAGTCTCGGTGTCGTTACGCAAACATGATGTATCTTTACCCGTCGTCGGCGGCTTACAGCCCTGGCTAGCGTACGCGCCACTGCTCGCTCCGCGTGTCCCTCTTCTCCCATTTCTCGCCGTGGTAGTACATCGGTTGTAGATTCCCAATCCGGTGTCTCGAATCGCATGTTCTCGGTAAGTTTGATTTCTATTGTAGATGATTTCTGGGTAACGCGGGGAATTGATGGAGGGTTGTGTTTTATTATAGTGCGGTGAGAATGGGAGATAGTACTAGAGAAGGTGATGTAGTGAGATATGCGTGTCTTCTGTGCCAGCCTGAATGGGCAGGATTGCTGATTCCTGAAGCTCTAGAGGGAAGGGTTCTAGGAGGTCACTTCCTCCAGTAACGCCTACACCTCTTTACAAGGGTCCGAGATGTCGAGAGATCTGAGGCGAAGACGGTCCACTGAATCCTCAAGGTAATAAAATACAATATACCTGCATTACAGATGCCCTGACGTTACAATGCTACACACTGGGCGCCGCGGGTCGAGCATCTGGAGGAGGCTCGCTCAACATTGTACGAAGGGTCTCGGAAACAAGTCGAAGCAACTCCCCTGGAAAAGTTAATGGTCACGGGGATACACGAACTCGAAAGTATCACTTACTAGCACGATGAACGGCCCGGACATACTCTGCATTCGCTGTCGACAACTCGTTCTCCAACTCCCTCAGCCTCCCGGCCTTGGTTGAAGGTTGACGTATATAGTATGAACATGCAGGTGTGTACTCACCTGCTCCTCCTCAGACTCGGGTTCAGGCAGAGAGTTGATAAGATACTCAATCTGTTTGGCCTTTACGATCAAGTCCGTGACCAGTTCCTTCTTGTTCGCTTCGTAAGAGAAGGAAGTTGAGGATGTGAGGCGAGTGATCCAGCGAAGAGTGCCTGACCGTCGAACACATCAGGAGGGTCTGCTTTCCCCGCAGCCCTCTGCTTCGTAACTGGCACCTCTGGGCTAATTTGCACAAAATCTGCCTTGGATGTTAGATATTGAATACTTCTTGACATGATGGTGAGTATCTGTGTCGACAATGAGAGTCTAGCGCGTCTGTAAGGTGGTAAAAGACAAACTTGCTGGATCTCATCTTGTAGCTGTGTAATGCGGTCCATAGACGATAGTTCCTGCAGCATTGCGCTGCGGTCGAGTTTAGAAACAATGCTGCGGGCCCGACGAAATTATGGGCGTTCTGGTTAGATATTGGCCGTGTGAATTTTATTCCACACCAGTGGTTTTTGGGCGCGCGGCGGCGTGGCTATATAGCCAAGTTCGCTAGTACCGTCATCTGAGAAGACCTACTGGGAACGCTGATAATTAGGGATCGATGAGAGCGTGCCATTACTTCTCTTCAACTTCGTATCTTCTCACGACAGCGGTGCTGGCAAGTTTGCTCAACGGCGAGACGGCCTCACGACGGTGACTCGCGGCGTAGCTCACCACGCTTGGCGATGTCCGGCCATTGACGTTGGTCGGCGTAGCGACAACAAGAAAAATGCTTGATATGCTGTTGGGTGCGATTAGGCGAAGTAGGATCACTGATTAACTGGCTAGGTATTTCGTGATTTAGCTATATATTAACACTGCGCTTCTACGCTGTAGGTTATATCCACCATATGCCTAGCTAGGTCCTTGCGCCAAAAAGACAGTTTACGCGTATCCTGGCACCGTTCGATTCCTACGCATTTGCTAATGCCCTTCTCTGGTAGTACCGCGTATTCATGCCAGCCAGGAAGGGTATTAACATCTAGACGACATGTCACCTACAATAAAATCGTGACCAGTTTCGAGCTTGGTATGTCCTGAGGCCCGTGTTCTCATCGTTGATGCAGACCACTCTGATATCATTTCCCACCGACTCCAGCTCAGCAGCTTGCAGATGCTTTGGTCGCCAAATTCCGTGCGTGGTCAGGATACAGGGCAGGTCACTCGCTTTGAATGTTTGGGCCAGGATGGCTAGCCTTCTCCTTCCACCGTGTAGTATAATGGCTCTCTGATTGTCAAATATGTATGTACTTCGGTCACCTTCATTGAACTTTCGCTACGACACTTCGTTCTAGTACCCGTTATTACGGCGTTGGGAGAGCACTTGGGCATCCATACTATGAATCCAGCCAATCAGTGAGCTCTTTCGCCAACCATGATGGAACCCAACTGAAGCGGTTTGCATGTGTCAAGCTGACGGCGGACGGTGCGCCAGCCAGAAAGTCAGGGAACCCTGTAAAGGCACCCAGTCATGGCCGGAATCAGGCAAGCTTTGGGGACAGAATCGCCTTTCAAACGTATAGTGATATATCCCCACCTGAATGACATTACCTTCAATAACAACCATCGGACGCACAATCGTAGCTGGCCTATAATGCTTTCGCTCTGCCATTTATCTCGCTCCTGATCTTTCATGCTTTCTTTGAAAGTCCAGGAGTAAATTACATTGACCAAGGTTTCTGGGAGTATTGCTCAGGTCGACGCGACCATTCACACCAAACTGGGCACAGGATTCATGTTCACCACTGCTGATCACAGCTCGGCTGCAACGCATACTCATATACACTTTGAGCATAAGGTCAAAACGTAGCAGGCTCTTGGTACCCCTGTGATGACCCGTATGACTGTGGGAAAATGGCCCCTCATGCGCTGGCTGTGCCCGCCGTCCTCCTCGACGTCCTCCACATTTTCTTCACGACAACGACGCGGCCTCCGGCCACCGAGCATCAACTGCAAATCATTCGTTTCACCTTTCTCACACCATCACAATACTTCTGAGGACCAGAGGACTATTCGTCTCGCTATGGGAGTAGAGTTTGGATCCTTCAACGGTATCTGCCAAACCGCCGCACTCGTCATCTGTCCGCTGGTTGGCTCGGAACAAGGAGTAGAGCCGACGTGCTACAGCAGGAATGTCGATATTGGCGGAACACTGATCTTCCAGCCTTGTGAGTTTTTGACTAGCCTTTGTGTCGCTCATCTCCAGCGGTCGATCCAAAGCCTACTGCAATGGCGGCCTCGGATGGGATGGCCAAGCCAAACCTGGTGAATAGCAAACGATGCTAATATTTCGTCAATTTCAGCAACATGTTTTGTGCACATTGTTGCGATAATTATGACTGCAATCATGATATACCACATTCGTAGTAAATATACAGCTGTCGGTGAGTTATTCGAGATTTCTCTACGTTGTATTACTCACCGCGATTTTCTAGGCCGTAAAGAGATCGTCACCTTTTTTTGGTTATACATGGTCATCGAACTTCTCGCCATCTTCTTGGACTCCGGCATAATACCAACCGCAAATGCAGCATACCCAGTGCGTTACCCAGCTTTTCTATTCTTAACAGTCAGCTAAAAGATGCGCTTAGTGGTTCGCCGCCGTGTACACGGGGCTGGTTGCAGCAGCTTATACTTGTCTTCTCATCAACGGGTTCGTTGGTTTCCAATTCGCTGAAGATGGCACCCCATTGTCGCTTTGGGTAATTATCGGCTCCTTCGACCTCCCCACCCTCCATTGATCTCCCTTTGACGATAGTTCCTTCGTATATCCTGCCTTGTCGTATTTGGTCTATCCCTCTTCATCGCAATAGCGACGTTCCAGAATATCGCTGGATTCGACTTCAAGAAGCCGATCGGACTCTGGATCATCTACATCCTTTGGCCGCTGATCTGTACAGTGATCTACATTGTATCGCAGCTGGTGCTTGTATTCCGAACCCTGGATGACCGGTGGCCCATTGGCGATATCGTATTTGGTACCGCCTTCTTCACTATCGCCCAGGTCCTGCTCTTCGCGTTCAGTGTCACCATATGTGATGCCATCAAGCACTATATCGATGGACTCTTCTTCTTTACGCTTTGCATGCTCCTGAGCGTGATGATGGTGTACAAATACTGGGACAGCATCACTGTAAGCACGACCCCACCTCCACGGAGATCCCCGCTTCGTTGCAAACCCTAAATGCTCATGCTCCTTTCTCAAACAGCGCGAAGACTTAGAATTTTCCGTTGGTTCGAAGGCTGCTGTCTGGGAAGTGAAGGATCCGCTTCTGGCAGGTGGAGGGGGGATGGATGAAGAAGACACGGCGAGCAATTACCACGGAGGTGCCCCTGCGAGTTTGGTTGGTGGAGTTAGTGGGCAGCAGTTGTATCAGAAGGGTGGCTATGGAGGTGGCGGCGGATATGGTGCGGGTGGGCGAGGATACCCCCCCTCGGCGGAACGTTACTGAAAGGGCAATCTCGGCGTTATAATGGACAATTGCAGTTGGATATTGTATAGTTCGTCTTTCTTTCTCACTCTGCCTTCGCTACGACTGTGCTGTGCTTACGACCTTTCGATGGCTAATTAATACATTATCAGAACCCAGTTAACTCGCAGGATAGTATCTCGGGCCGCGTGCGTCCCAATCGGTTGGGTCATTACTTGAAGACATTGTTACCTGTTTCCGCTATATGCTCTCCCCGTGTAGCCCTGCCCCTCTACTTTGTCTTCGTCGTTCGCTGCGGTCTTACAACAAGGACAAGGACAAGTCTCGAGTATCATTTGTTTCAGTCAACCCACGCAATCGCCGAACCGAGCCATCAACTGCTTGCGCCCAGTTGCAGTATGTCCTCTGAAGCGAGCGATCTCTCGAGACACCTCAATTCAGGCCTGAGTGGCAACCAGTGCAGCATACATCTTGTCTCGTTAGCTCCCGCCCATAAATGGCATAAACATAGTCGTTAGGTGTTTCAACCGCCAGTAAAGTACTAACACGATGAAGTTCACTGATGGTCACTCCAGCTGGAAAGAAGGCGTATTCGATGATCACTACTCGAGGTTAACCTGCGTGACAGACCTTTCCTTCCTCGACCCACGTTCACTCACTTACGCACCACCTTTCCTGGAGGCCCTTTTCCGCCGTGCATCAAGCAGACGTATCTGCATCAAGCCTGATATCGATGTGATCAAGAATCAGAGACTGGTCGAATCAATCCACAAACACCGACTCCTCTACTTGTCACTGTGTATACTTCTCGATGCTTCTGGAATCGGTGCATAAACAACGGAGCCCGGACAGTAAACAGCGGTGTGTGGGATACCAGCTACCGAACAGCCTCCGATACGGTCAGAACAAGATTGATCAGTTCCCTTGTGCTTGAGGAGTTACCCGTTTGATATTACTTACGACACTGGAAGGAATAGGATCCTGGTGAGTTTGAGCCATATCATTGGGATCTGGCTGAGCAATCAGATGTGGTTTGCTACTTATCGGCGTTCTACTTACTGCATGCAGTGTATATTTGGCGCCGAGTAATTGACAGGTCGCTTCATGTCTGTTTTGAAACTCTGGCCATATTAACCTTCGTTCCATGGGCGGTGTTCTCTACATCGGCATAGTTTTTTCACTCGTTCATTCTTCCTTGCCTGATCCAGTCAACTGAAGTCAATCAGATGAATTGTTACAGCCTGAGACTGACGTTCTAAACCTTGCCTCGTGACAAAGCAATGTTTTTCTCAGTGTCAAGTGTCGAAAGTCACTCATCTCCGCCTGTTGACGGCCAATGCATCATTATCGGTCGGATCACGATATGCTTGCTTCGAAGCAGAGCACCAAGGAAATCTGTGTTCATTTACGAACGAACCTTCAAGTGTGATTCTGAAAAATGCCAAACACTTGAGCGCTCTACGCTGCACGATAAGCGCTAAGTTCGCGAATATTTGATGTCTATGTACGCGTCGCGGCGCTCCAATCACTAGTTCTGTTGCCACCCGTGAACTAGCTGTAAAAGGATATCCTTTCGCCGAGCGTGCTTTGTAGTACTTACTGGTAGCCACAAAGTGTACTTGCTAAGCAAATTGAAATGAGGTCTCGTGTGTGGCGTAATACTTTTGACACATTTACTACCCTTGTTCCTCTGCTAAGTCACAATATTCTAATGATTAATTGATTGCCGAATACTATATCCCATACTTTCATTGGGGATCCCTGAAAATGCAGTGCGTGCTCCGGTAAATTATTGTATTCCCCTTTTCTAGTCGTTTCTGTCTCCACCATCTAGGGATGGTAGGGGATGTTTCGTTCTCTTTCTCTCTGCGACACCGAAGTTCCCTTGATTCAGGTGCCCCAACCGCAACGGCCACCAGCGATCATCAATGGATGTCTCGGATGCTACCCCATACGCCTACGACATACACGGCACTTGCTCTAATACGCCCGACAGCGTACGGTGCTTGATCAATTGAACCGGATTATGATGCTAAAAATCTACGCTCCTTGTGTTTGAAATCGCCGAACATTATTGCTGCCGACCTCGCCGTTACAACAACGTCAAGAACTGACGGTGACTCGTTTTTGTCTGCATGATAATTGCTTGTTCATTGGCATTGTCAGGAACACATGTTTTGAGCGGACCACGGTGAGCATTGCGGCCCGCCCTCCCGGCCCCGCCCTTTCCCCCAATATGGTATTCTCTACTCGGGGAAGCGCCGATCGCAAGATCTGCTTGCCTCTTGGAATGTCGGTCGATCAAACGATCAGCGTCGCGATTATTATGTAAATTGAAAATTATGCAATAATATGAGTACTTATAAGTTAATTCCAATTGTCACACTTGCCCAACACTTGCCGCCAACTCTCCATTGATGGCGAAAGTAACAGTGCTATTAAAATGTTGACGTCAATTCGGGCCATTGATTTCCCCACTGGAATTCCCTGGCTCGTTGCTAACCTAATAGCTCTAACTTTGCCTGGCTTTTCTTGATTCTTCCTTGAAGGTTGCACAGAGCGATACGTATCATGTACAGAAATGCTGTTGCTAGTAGACTATTAGATATTCTGATTGTAACTTATTTCTATTTGTATCCGAATTGACTCTCCGTGGGTTTCTAGGTCGGTAAAGGATGAGCGGAAATGATCAAAGGCGTAAAACGTTATGTGACCCTGGGAAACGAGTAAACCGGGCGCTTATGATAACAATCTTCTGATAATTATAAGGAGCTGACCATTTTTAGTCTGTCAGTACCGTTGAACGAATATCATATAATTATACGACATGATGGACTCATTAGGCCTTCAAGGTCCATATGGATTTGCAATGTACCTGCAGCCTTCAGGAGTTCATGGAAGGGATAGTGCCCAGAATTCGAAACTATCCGACAATACCTGCGTGCCATCTATTGAACCCATCGGCGGTGGGCCTGGATTTTTCCCATAGCTACAGCCTAAGACGTCCGGGTGGTCTCCGACAACCTAACCCTATCTCTGATCGAGTGGCTCCTGTTAAGCATCGTAAGGTACAGGTGCAAGATTAAAGATAAAAGAAAAGGCGAAGGCAAAGAGGGAGACAAATCAGACGAGCTCAAGATGCGCTCGAGGCTGTATGAAGGTAAGTCCCGCCCTGAGAGCTTTGTGCGAATACGTGTTGTATACGTGAGCAAGGAACCCCGTCCGAGGATTGTATGGACGTGTTAAATAAGTAGGATCACCGGTCACCAGAAACGCTTACACTCGGTAGGCGTAGCGATTGTGAATGGTCCATGGGGAGATGAAATTCCTTAGTTGCCGTGCGCTGCGTTAGGGGTGGAGTGTAGTCACAGGTAAAGCATACCGGCATGCTCGTGCATGCGCGTCTGCATGTGGTGAAACCGTCCATTGATATCGAATTCCGTGCACCATGTACCGGGAATGATGGTATATAGGTCAAACCGCTTAAAGGACTAGCAACGAGCGAGCCGCCTCATCCTCTAAGTTGTACGACACTCACTGTAGATCCGAAAATAATATGAATGATGCATCAGTGACTTATCGTGCGGCCCTTCGCATGCGTAGCGCCAGGAAAGACTTCGAATCATGCATAAGTATCAAGGGAGATATCTGACACCGAACACCGAACACCGAGCCTCCGGCTAGTAGCAGGAAACAGGAAGCAAGCTACCACAGGAAACCTGACGACGACACATCCAGCTAGTCTAAGGAGATTTAGCGAGACAAATCCAGCCATGCAGGAGCGGGGGGGATGGGAGCCCAGTGCTGCGCATCTACCACGCTGCTACCTATGGAATGAGCCCGATGTCAATCTACCAACTATTTCACGTCCCGAATGTTAACGTTTGCTGTCTGTCTGCTGTTTACCTGATTGATATCGCTTTGTCGCTGCTTCGTTTCCAATATTGTTGTTATCTCAATGCATACCCAGGGTAATGAATCAGTGCGTGTTGTTGGTATTGCTGTTGTGTTCTGCATGCTACGGGAGAATAATATACTTGTAATGCGTATGAATTTGATACAAAGGTGAGTATCACAGTCGTGATGATGATGATGATGATGATGATGATGATAATGTGCTGAGATGAGAGATGAGGAATGATGCATATGTTAAGTAGTTGTGCGTGTCAATAAAAAGATTGGCATGAATGTATAGTTCTGAGTTGAAGTGCAAGGGATGAGTGTGCCGAATGGGAGAATGTAAAAAAGGAACCGAAAATGCTGTCGTAAAAACTACAATCGAACAATGTCCAAGCGGGGTGAGTGAATGCGTGGGGTAAGGAGGTCGAGTGAGGGGGGTTGCGCTAAATAACGTGATAGTGATATGGATGAAGAACAAACCATGACCCGTGAACAATATCGTATCATATACCCGAGAAGAACCGAAAGACGAGCCCACGTAAACCGAACATTATTCGGGGAAACCTGTAGAACGAGAATGGCAACGATGCATAGATCATCATCATCATAAAAGAGTCCCTTAGAATGGATATGTAAATGAGGTTGGGACGGAAAGGGCCAATAAGCTAATATTGTCTTCCTCTCGTCCAGTTGGCCCCTTGTGGCACATAGTTCGGATTAACCCGTTGTTGCTGCTGCACGGGGGTCGGATAGAAATGAACGCCGGGGGGACCAGCGTTCGCAAAAGGAGCCGAGGGAATTGGACTCCTTTCGTCGTACTCTTCCGGCTGAGATCGCCTAGGTTGGAAAGGCGGATTTTGCTGGGGTTGATGGTGATGGTGATGGGGGTGATGGGGATGTTCATGGGGATGTTCATGGGGTTGAGGCTGTTGGTGGTGGAGGGCAGGCTCTTGCTCGTATGGGCGATGAGCTGGCGTTGCTGCAGGAGATATGTGGTGGTATCGCGGTGGTTGCCGTGTCCACGCGGTTTCGCTGAAGTGGGGGAGAGTGGTCATAGGCGGAGCAGAAGGCATGTGATGCTCGTGAGGACTCGCGGAAGCCGACTGAACATCAAGCGGCCTAACGGGTTGGGTAGGATAGTAATACGAGGTGGGTGCAGGCGGGGGTGGTTGATGGTAGCGTAAGCGAGCCTTGCGCCAGCGTGATTCCTCTTCCTCAGCAAGGGGCGAGCACGAAAGGGTGTAGAAGTAGAGACTCTGTAACCGCACACGCTCTATTAGCAAACGGGTGTTCAAAAGAAAACAAGGGGACATACCTGAGGTGCCGAAGACCGTCGAGACTCGTCTACGGCATAAGCCGCAGATAAGGTGGATGGCGAAGTACCCCTGGACGAGGTCGCCCCATCCCAAGAGGAATTATGGGCAGAGTCATTGGCAGCTCTGCGTGCGGTCGGCTGTGGGGCAAGAGGGGACGACGCAGAAGCGAGTGACATTTTCGCAAAGGACTGCAATCCTTCTAGTGGAGAATGACTTGGCGTGCTCACGACGCGGTGCTCAGGGATGCGCAAAGAAATGGGCCCCATCGGTCTCTTTGAGGGCAGCTGGGAGAAAGTTGCAGAGGTTGGGGAGAATGCGGCCGCCGCTGAACGTTTTGAACCCGATTTGGTAGGAGGTGAAGAGGCATCGGGGTTAGCCGAAGGATAATGGTACGAGGGCGCTTGCTGTGATGGGTAAGAGGAGTAGGGGACGTTCCGCGAAGGGGATGTCGAGCGCGCTCGATGAGCCGAACGATGCCGCGTCGAAGTGTACGTGCGGGTCGCTGGTCCAGTCGTCGAAGGTGGGTGTGCAGCTGCCCGATTAAGCCTTGCTGGTCCACGTGACTTGCGCCACTGGCGACTGTCCCTCTCTTTCGCCATAACCAAGCCCTTGAGCAGATTGAGCCACGAAGCGAAGGTTGACTTGTCGACGTATAGATTGAAGTCTACCCCAAGGAGGAACTCCCTCTCCATCTTGTTAATCTCTGCTAGATCAATACCAGATACTTCTGACCATGTCTTGTTCGTATAGGTATTACTATAAACGGAAGTCAGTTTGCCATTCGAGTTGAGACAAAATCTGACTCACTCGTCCAGGAACTTGTTTGCCATCATGAGTGCGGCGACAGCTATTCTGAACTCACTCCCAGCCTGTCCCGCGGTGAACTGATTACACTCTTTCAAGCGGTAGATGTAGTGTAGTGACAATACGATAACTGACTGCGACACTTGAGTCGTTTCGAGAAGCTTCTGCATGAAAGAAACGAACGTCCGGGTGGCGTTTAATTGCAAAGTAGACGTGACAGGATTAGGTCGAGCTATCAGCGGCGAATTGCTGGAATTCGGCGATGGATACGAAGAAGACGAAGAGGGGGAGGATTGCGTTGAGAACCAGAGGTAGCAGATCATTTCGCAAGTCTTCTCCGCGATGAAATGAGCAGGTCGCGTCCGCGCAACGTCCAGCCAGTCGACAAAGTACGGTGCGTCTGGCGGGGTGAACGCTTTCGAGCTGTGCGAGTAGTCAGGCTCTGGCGGTGTGTAATGGTGTATCGGAGGTAGTCTCGAAGACGAGTCGGAAGAAGATGATGAAGATGACATTTCCTCGTCCGGTGGAGTGACTTTTGGTGATGGTATAAGACCTAGAATTTATACACGGTAAAGGGAGACTCACGAGGCGGCAAATGTCTATCAAAGTGCGTAATTGGAGGTAGGGTTGTGGTCACTCTGACTTGTGGTTGGTGCATCTTGCGCTGCTCGAAAGTCGTGGTCATTGGCGGGGTAATGGGGGCCTGGAGTTTTGACGGCCGCCAGACGGACCAGGACGAGGAGGTGGGCATCTGCGAGTGGATGTAGGTGGAAGGAGGAGTTCTAGGTAGCGAAGGAGGAGGAGTATAAAAGGCCATGGCGATCAGGTTGCGGCCAAAGAGGCAGGGCGGGTGTAATGATATATAAAACGGAATGAGCTTGAATCATTATGGTCTCGGAGGAGCAGTAAATTTGCGGACGTGGCTGCATTTTCCGCTTAGAGACAAACAGGGGATACGGACGAAGACCCGCGATTGCAAGAAGGGTGGAATATCCTCTCCGCGCTTATTGTCACACTCAAATGTCACGGATCAAGATTCGCTCAAAATACAAATTATATCAAATAATATCTCGTTTAGGCCATACGGCATCCTCGGCACAGGGGATTCCCCAGGGATTCCCCATAGCCTTACCCTTATCTACCCCCTTATCCCGTCTCTTTTGGTCGTCTTACAATCCCACACTCTCCAGTAATAAATTGATTATATCACGCGCCTCTCGTTCCGTAAGCCATGTGGGAGGGTTCTTCTCAAATTCCTCTTCCCAACATCCAGATCTGAACTGCCTGAGCAGTCCTGGTCAGTGGCGTGGATGGATGGAGGAGGGGTCGAGAAAGCAGCGGCAGGGCCCCCTTTGTTTTGCTTGTTACATTTGGATTTGATTTTTTCTCTTCTTGCAACTGAACTGAGACCCATGTCAAGTCAGTCAATCAGATGTACCGATTCCCCCTAAAATCACCTATTCCCTGCACAGTAACACCAAGGAGCCGGATGGGAAGCGCGGGCCCGACGCGATCATCGACATCACGAGCGGCGTGACATAAAATCAATTGTGTCTGTGACAGTATCTCCACGTGTGCTTTTCCCTTTTTCTTTTATAACTCAAAATTGACTTAACAGAGGTATCAGTGATTCCCTGAGATATCTGGGAACGTAACAACGCAATAAGATGTTGTATGTAGATCAGCTCCTTTCACCGTTCACGGAACTTATAATACCACAGGTCTCTGTATAGCCAGAGTGTGCTTTTTTGCAGGGTGGGATCTCCCCAAACTCTAAACGCCACACCCACACACTCTTCTTCTCGCCTTTGCTTTTGAAACCATATTCGATACCCCCTCGCAAAACCGCAAACTCAAACGCATGGGGAATGGGAAAGGGAAGAACCTCAGAAAGTAGTAATAATATGATGGATGTGTAGCAGTAGTGGCTCCTAACTATCAAGTTACTCGGTGACGAATCACGATGACATTCACCGTACAAGGTACGCGCAGATCACAAACGTGATGGCTAGGTGCAGAGCCGCATTTCAGGAGTTCCAGTTCCGTGGCCAAGGGAGCTCGAGAACGGGTGGTCCACTGTCTCCGTGCGCTAATATTTTCGCAAAGTGGGCAACCGTTACCCAGCCGAGGTTGTCCCATAAGTGTCGTATACCGTATACGTACGTACTTGGTGCACGGTGCACACGGCTAATTAGGAGAGAAAAAGATGGTGGTGTTATCTATTCCTTTTTTAACATTGATGCGGATGTGAGCGAGCGCGAAAGAAAATGAAAGTCCGGATCCATTGTGCTAAAGTCAAGGGCCGCGCTGATGCGGGAGTTACATGGTCGTCGTTGTTGAGTCGTTTGTAGACTCGAGATCCCGCACGATATGCATCAAATGCTAACCACGCCAACGCGCGAACAGGGTAAGCAGATTGGTATGATCCTTGCCTTTCTCAGTAGATTAGATTCCGAGCCCTGGAGAAGGAGAAGGTGGTGCGAGAGGTGGGCAATTGCGACCACGTATATAGTATATGTACCCCTCGTTACGAGATGTACAGCTTGCGTACAGGAAGTATGTTGTATAGAACAGCCCGGCGGCGCTCGTCATGAAGAGCTAAAATAGTATATTCATAGGTGGAACTAAGCCAGTGAACAAATATTTGCCCTGAACACCACCGGCCTTTGTTCAAAAGGTTCTGCAACAAGCGTAGGAACTCGCGAGAATGATGAGGCCAGAAGGTCGCCGTCGCCGTCCACAGTAGTACAACATTGTACGTTGTTCGTACGTGTCTGCAAGCTTCACTTCCTCCGTCAGCCTAATTCCTGGTCGACAAGTTACTGGTTAGCCCCCTGCATCTTGCGTCCCGGGCTTCGGGAACAAGGCCTGTCATAGCCTGGCTAGGAATGCATCGATCATGCTCAGTTCATTCGCTGTTACGCGATACGCGGAATTCGAAAGTTGTAGGAGGTAAGCGGGAGTTGGATTCTGACTCAGTCACTCACGAGCTTGACTGGAAGTAGATTTGTATGGGCAATTAGAATCCAGATAGAACGACCTAGAAAGATCTTTGAACTATGTAGAGTACGTAAACGTGTACTTATGCTATCTGGAGACTCTGGAGTCAGCGGGTTCGGATTCTATGACATGGTACGATGCGTGGGATGGGAAGATATAACTATAAGTATGTTGTAACCAGGACTGTGGGTTGATTGTGATGATTCCATGCAAAGTCCAAAATGAACTCAAGCTTGGAGATGTTGGGGCGACGAAGTGTGATGCGGGTTCCCATTGCAAATCATATTGTGATCTAAATGCGAGCAATGTATATCGATATCGTACGTCGTGCGCATCGCACATCTAAGAGAACATCACTAGTGCCTTCGATTCGTCAACGATATCATTTCTTGTTCGCTTGAGCGGCCTCTATACTTGGTTACAAATGGTACTCCAGTTCTGGAGTTAGTAACCTACCTACTTCCATAGTTAGCGTACTTGTCAACAAACACGTCCGAGTACGGTACCTGCTGTACATATGTGCAAATGGAAAATGCATGGACCGAAGATTGATGAGATACTGGGTCCTTGGGTCCTTGGTGCCGATCAAATGGATAACAGCTGGTCGTAAACGAACGAGAAGTGTTCTGACAAAGAAGAACACGTGGATATGGCGTTGACGCGGCTGAGGGAGTGCTATATGGGAATGGACTTGAACCGCGGCCAGACGGCGATGCGGTAGTTGACAGCCATGGCGAGCGGTCAAATATAATTTTATTGGTTGAGATGCGTGCTCAAGTACGTTCGGGGAAGACGGTCAATCGGATCACGGAGCGGAGGTGAATCGGAGGGCGGTCTTATATAACAAGCAGCGAATAAATAAGAGTTTCCTGTCTCACAGGAGGCGGAGAAAATACTAACTGTTCTATCTGCGCGACATTGCGTTTCCGTCGGTGTGACAGACGGCGTCGGAATATAGACTAGCCTCGCGGCAGACTTGGCCTTAGCAAGAGAGACGTGCGCAGCTAGACAGGCAGTGTGATTGTTATAATTTCATATTGCGCTGCGGCAAAAGAGACCGGTTGAGGGTTGTATATTTGAATGGCGAAGTAGCGGAAGGCAATGCTGTCATATAGTAGTCATAACAGATGGAGCGAGGAACATTTTTGTAATTGACGGTGGGGACCACAAGGAAACCCAAGTATAACAGGGGAAGCGGGGTCGTATACAGACGCCGTGTGGAATTCAGGTGGCAGATAGATAGCGAGTTTGGCGCGAACCTCCTTGGTAGAATTCGATAAATCTAGAACCCCCTTCGCAAGGCTTGCCCCCAAAAGCCTTCGGCTATGCAGATTCGCCGGATTTGCCGTTTTGAGGAGACGATGGTGTGGTTTGCAGGGACTGATGGGCCCGCACCATGGCTGTTGCGGTGAATGCCTGGGTGAATAGGTAGCCGGCGAGAACTCCAGAAACTAAGGAATGAGTGCAACCGAAGCGTTTGTCGGCATACTGCAGCACTCGATGGATCTATAGGGCAATTTGCACACTTACGGACGCCACTCAGGAGGGTCTTGTTTCTGTTCAAGCCCAGCAGTCTTCCTCCTAATACAGCTGCGATGAAATAAAGATAAGGTCGGGTGAGCTATAAGCGATTCTTGCCTGATGCTAGCCCAGACGCCAATCCAGCGAAAAGACCCTCTTTTTTAGCTTCCTGGAGCAAAGCTATTAGGAATTACGGTGAAATTGCACCCGAGGGAATCCACTGACTTTGGTATAGTGTGCCACCACATCATCAGGTAGCGTGTGCGGCGCAGTTGGCGTATTCATCGCAAGAACAGGTTGAGTTTCAATACGCCAGTCATGAAATTCGGAAGGTTAACTGACCGTGGGAGTGTTCGCGTCCCGTCACACTCACGCGTGCATCGGTGTCGCGCGCATTCGTGCGCTCTTCGTCCTGTGTTCAGCACCGCGAGCACCGATGGCCCAACGCAAGCCTCTTCCTGCGTTGCAGAGCATATATGAATCAATAAAGGGTACAGCATTAATCACTTCACCCGCGCGCGACTATCGCATGCTCAGTTCTTCCAAACAGATCTTCTCAGCGCGATCAAACCAAAGCTTGATAAAGTCAAGGGTGCGCAGAGCGCGGTGGTCAAGGATCTCCATCAGGTGGCTTCTTTGGCTCAGTCGTTTACGGAACGGCGCGCAAAGTCGAGCAAGCAACGGGTTGAGTGGGCAGACAACCTCGATCAGGAAGGTTAGTTGTTTCCCTGACATGTTTGACTTATCAGATTTCAAAACCAGTCTCATAATCCCTCAAGGCGTGTATCTGTGGAATATATCTGGTCTCGTTCGCAAAAGTCCGGACGAGCATGATATCGATACCTTAGCGTTGGTGGCAGGTTGTGAGTATTCTTTTTACCTGTTGATGTTCCTTGCTTTCGAATGTCATCATCCTTGAATCAAGTGAGATTGGCTGGTTTCCGTCTGGTGGAGGCTGGATTAGAACCGAACCCGGAAATAGCAAGTAAGATGTCGCTGTGTCCCCGTGGCCCAAACGAAACCGCTAAAGACTCGCGTTCCCAGCACTGGTTCACGTTCTCCAGTTAGCAAGCAAGGCAGGAGCTTCATTATCAGGTTCGATCATTACGCCCACGCACTTTTTCGAGATATGATTATCATTCTGTTCTCTCGCCCAGAACATGGAAGCAAAGATGCAGCGGCCACGGTTCTATCTAGTGCTGCGAAGGTTGGTGATGAGTCGCCGCTCCATCTTCCGCAGTGCCTGGCTGATTAAGCGCAAATGCGGTGGTGGGCAGTACGAAGACATGCTCAAGGGCTCAGACGATCCGACCGGCGCACATCGGCAGAGTAAGGCCTGCGCGACTGTGGTGTTTCTGTCCACAAGAATGGAAGCTGTATGCTTGCCCTCCCGTCTCTCCTTCGTATCTTCTCACGTTCACCTACAGGCATGGAAAGAAGGGAATCACAGCATGGCCGAATACATGGCACAAAGGATCACAGGTACCATTATAACATCTCATTCTATTGGTATGCTAGCTAGTGCGGAGATACTGATTCACGTGATGCTATCAGACGACGACGAGCAGCGGCTCACCCTACTACCTCCCCACCAGGTATGTCCGAGGTTAGGTTGGATTTCGCAGGTCATGACTAATGCGGGCGTTTTATGGAGCGTGAACTTCTTGCTATCAAACTTCATAACATCGGCAAGTCGATGCTCAAGGGTGACTCTCGTCAGAATGGTTCGGTGACAGATGGAACCAAAGCTCAGGACGCCGTTAAATGGTTGCAAAAGTCATACACTATCGTTGAACAGCTGGAAGGGCCGGATACCCCCGGAATTGCGGAGCTAAAGGTCAGCGCTGCTTTAACCGAGTGTTCACAGCCTTATGATGTTTGTGTGGCGAACAGATAGCTATCCTCCGAAGCCTTGGTATGCATTCGAGCCTTATGGATCAGCTCGATCGCTGACGACGCTGGTCAGCTAGGGCATATTTCCTTTCATCGGCAAGCAACCCCGAAAATCTCTCGCGCGCAGAGGCCACTCTACAGGAGCTTATACCCACAATAGATGCATCCAAACAACACGTAAGGCATCCCGACCCTGCAGTCCCCCCTCCCCTAAATCATCTAACATTTGTTCTTCCGTATATGAAAGGCAAGTTCCGAGTATCTAGAGTTACGGTGGCAGAGATTGGCCATTCTGAAGCGTCGCAAGGCCGGGGATCCGGCCATTATTGATGGTAAGTATCTATTGTCCACGGACAACTATTCCTGTGAACGCGGCCTTTGAACTCAACCCACCTTCGATGTCAAGCATTTCGGTCTATTATTGACAACATGAGCTTTTCCGAAACTAGTGTCACAGAGTTCGTATTCCGTCTTTTGGGCGATGTGATGCCAGAACACACCGTCTTCTTGCTCACGCCTAGCAGTGTTCTGCAGGAGCTAAGGACATTGAATCATCGCCAGTGAGTCTATTTCCATGTTCATCGGAGTTTGTGTTCTAAGGGACTTCTCCCAGCGCACTTGCCACCACTGTCAATCAATATTGTCTTGAACGAGCCGTAGAGTGCCATAAATCTGGATCAAATTATGTTGATCGCCTGCTTTTGTCGTTGATTTTCCATTGCTCCAAGGACGATGATCACGCAAGGGCGATGAGCGACTTGGAAACAGCGTTCAATCGTGCGTGGGTTATACCTCCCCATTCGGACTTCTTACCTGATTGAGTAAACTTTCCAGACCTTCACCAAGCCGATCACGTTCTTCCATCTGTTCCCACTACAGCCTGTCTCACAGTAGGTCCCCCAAACCGTGGATATTCGGATTTGTGGTATGATGAAGGGCCTTTTTTCATCAGCTCATATGGCAATACGGAGATCGCGACTACCGTGCTAAGAAATGGACAAACGCAGCAGACTGGTACATTGCCGGGAGCCACCAGGTGTTTCGAAGCACTAGACCCGAGAGTAGCTCAAAATGTCTACGCAAGGCCGCCTTGTGTTACATGGAACAACGCGAATTCGCTAAAGCAACCTCAGTAATCCGCCGTTGTCCCACCAATGAAGCTACAACACACTATATTGTTCTCCTGATTGCTGTCCATCAAGGTGCGTATATCATTATCCGCCCTTCTGATCGGTCATGCCGTCGATGTATGATTCCTGGGTTTATAACGGTCTATAACCGCTATTGTAGGGTTAGATGATGAGGGTACGTGATATAGATGCACCAGACGGGCCTCGGTGATTCATGTGACTGAGTTAGCTATCCGAGCTGTCCAAGATATGGTCAAGGCGCCGGATTTCGACCGTAGGATGCTTTTATTGGCCACGCAACTATCCCACGATGTGGATATGAAGACGTTGCTCCTTTCTGTTCTCCAATCACTTCTAAGAACCCTGAAGTTTGCGGACGGTGGTGAAACGGCGGTCGAAGCCATGACACTCTTGCGATGTATCATCAGGCTAATATTGAAGCTCTTGGTCGAACCCGGTGCCAACAGGCAAGCTATACACATCCCTATCTTCCGTGGAACGTTGATTATAAGGGATCGTTCGAAGGGCTGTTCTGACTGACGCCTTGGTTGAGCATTTCCAAACTGGTACGTGCTATTCGGTTTGATGGGAATGGGAACTTCTTACCGAATACGGTCATCATATAGCGAAGACATTGACGGAGGCCGCATGCACACAGAAAGCCTTCTCCATCATCAATAAGGATGTCTCATGGCTATGGCGAACTGCGTACAACGCTGCTATTCAGGCGTGCACCGAGTGGGAAGATGCGAACGAGAAAATTTCGGACCTTTTTGAGATAGCCAGAGATGTAGGTGTTCGGGATTCCAGAGATCCCAAATACTGCGATTGAAATGCGGTCCCAGCTACTTCGGGTTTGTTGTGAAGAATCGACCATAGATGTTGATGGGGACCTTCATCTCTATCTTTTGAACGCTTCCTTCTCCGCCCTCTGTGGACGGGGTAAGTGCGGGTCCACGTCTTTCCCATGGCACAGGACTAACGGTTTCTACAGTGTTCGCGACGCGTGCAAAAGCTGCGTCAGAGGGTGCAGCCGATGTGAGTCGGATATCATCCGTGGGCAACGGTAACTGACAGCTGCACACCATCAGGACTTCCGCACCGTTGCCTCGGATATCAACATATGCAAAACCACAATCAATTCCGTCATGAATAAGAAAAAAATAGTAGCAGTAGACGACGTCCGTCGGGTCAAGTATTTTCTGCATATCCTACGAATCTTCCAAAGCGAAAGCTTGGCTAATCTGAAGGAGTGGGACGAATTGCTTGAAGTTATAGCCGTAACGCTGCTTTGTTGTCCTATGTGTTCAGTCGAAGCGCTGACGCTGAAGATCTATTATAGGAGATCACCGAGTCGGATGAACTCGCTGTTGAGACTTATGAAGCTATTGCAGATATTTTAGTACGTTCTGCACATTTGAAAGCAAACTTGGGTGCTCACTCGCACGACATAGTGGACCGATAAGGATTGCCCCGTGAATGGTACTGTCTCCATTGACTTTCTATTTTCTTCTAAGCTTCAACCCCATTCTATAATCAAGTTCTCTATGCTGCGCTGGAGGTACTTCCGTGGTGACTCGTGTGGAACCGTCTATTGAAAGAGTATGTCATGCAGGCCATCTTACACGCAAGTTTGAACCACGGTTCGCTGTCGGTGGAGAAGTTCGCGCGGTGGCTGCGTGCCATCTGCACTATTATACTTTCAAGGAACACCATCGCTGACCGAGCAAAGGCCATCGGATATGTCGAACAAGCGGCAACTGTAATGGAAGAACACCAAGCAGGCGAAGATGTAAGCCTAGCGCATGCTTGCGCCGCATGTCGGAGGGACACCCATTGATCCCCTTTTGAATAGCCTTATCCCATGGACGAACGCCAGTGGTTGCTCAGCACATCATACAATACTGGAATCGAATGCCTTCAGTTTGTGTCTATGTCCAACAACCCATTCTGACGTTTCCGCTACTGATGGTTATCCTTTATGTCAGTGCTTCATCGCTTGATGAAGCCAAGCGATGGTTCGAATCAGCCACCGTGGTATGCCGGTTTGTTCCTGATGGTAGGAGCCTTGCAAACAAGGCGAGTCGATTACACGAGCGCAACGTTGGCAGTCATGCGTGCCCAACTAACGGTTAGCATGCGATCAGATTTCCGAGACATACGCCCACCTCCTGGCTCGATATTCAGAAACTTCGAAAGCGAAAGACTAGACCCCTCAATGCACCTTCGACTTCGTTACTACGTAGGGTGGTTAGCCGGCTGGATCCGTTCTTATTTGCGTGCTGGACGTCTCGTTGACTCGATTTTCTCGCTATTCGGGTCTTCTTTCCGTCGCCCTATTGCCTCACCTGGAATCCGATCTGGACGTTTGCGCTGCGTTAGTACTCCAAGAGCCGGTACCCCTCTCCGCTTTGGCGTTCGACTCCATTCTGTATCCAGTATAGCTCTCTCACCCCATCACGCATAGGCATGTAACATTTGTACTTTAACCAGTGTAATGGACGCCACTTGCGCCCAGGCACTTAATGGAACCGCAAAGGCACTGTGCGAGGGCATATTGAAATCGAACAGCGGTCCTTACAGGACAATTTCGCCCCACCATCAGCCTTCATCGACATCGCTGATTATTTCGCTATTTCACCGTGACTGGAAGTTGCCCGAGGCACCGAGTACTCCCTGTAGATAGAACCCCACCATCTCTCGATCTTAGTCCCCAAATCAATTCCAACTATCGTTCTCACCCTTGTTCCTCACTCTGCTGATCAAGATCGGACATGGCCGTACCTCGTCGATTGCTAAACTGCTGGGTTTCTCTCGTGGTCGATGGTCGATGGTCGTCTATATCGATCAACCTCTGGTTCTCCTGCTGTGGCCGGAACAAGTAAGAGCAGACCGCTAATCTGATACCTTCGTATTTATGGGTTTACCTTCAACGCGTTCATGTCCTTATAAATAAATTATTATAATAACCGTTTTCAAATTCCATAAGACAGTTCATTAGCGCCCATATTCCTTTTTCGGAATTTCAGAGGCGCACCAATCAAATTTTTGAGTGAACTGCTGCACGTACATATTCAAGAAATGATCAAACATTCACGGAAACGCCAAAAACTCGACGATAGACAGCCTCTCGGGTCATCTAATAGAACGGCAGCTGCCAGCGAGAAAGATGACGAAGAAAGGCGGCTAGAAGAACTCATATTCGGCGTACCCTTCGTACCATCCGCTGTAAATGCTGCAAAGAGTCGAACCGAGCTAGTCGACGATGATGATGAGGGAGAAGGAATCCATAGTACTGGAAAGGAAATGGATGGGCTGCTAGACTCTGATGTGCGCTTTCTTTCCTTTCCTTTTTGTCATTACTCACCTATACGTAGATATTCTTTGTCGATGACGGCGGCCCGCCTCCGCCCCCATCCGCCAGTCAAAGCACGCGTGATGAAGATGACACGAATAACCTCGAGAGAGGAAGCGATGACAATGGCAGCGACGATGAACCACCGAGTCACCCTCCTCCGCTGGATCAATCTACTTCCCGCAAAGCTGCGTGGTCAGACCCTGCCGATGCACCTCTGGCTATATCTGTTGCTCCTTCAGATCCATCAACCTCTAAAAGGGCCCTGAAACTACGCGACTCCCAAAATGAAACTGTACTCTCTGGCCGCGAATACGAACGACGGCTTCGCAGGCAGTTCACAAAAATAAATCCCGAACCTATATGGGCTCTTAAAGCTCGGGATAAGATTCATGGACAAGTCAAGAGAAGACGGTCCAGTCAAAGCGGGAGCGAGGTTGAGCAGGATGACTCTGAAGAAAACGAAGACTCAAATATAGATCATCTACTCACGTCCACCTCAGGAGTTCTCCGGAAGGGGAGGTCATCTAAATTCTTGCTACCACCGACCACTTTGAACATCAATCGCCTCCGAGACGCTAACCAATCTGTACAATCCAATGCGTGTGGCGACATCAAGTCTTTGGCATTTCATCCCAACCCTCACGTCCCCCTCCTGTGTGTTGCAAGCAAGGACAATCGATATCGACTGTTCCAGGTAGGGTCTTCAGCTTTCCCGACGCCGCTATACTTATTGAGATACTTCATATATTCACTCGATACCATAGGTTGACGGTCATACCTCCCCTCTCCTTCAGACTCTCCTTATTCCTTCGCTTCCCCCCACTTCTACGTCCACCACCTTTCACCCTTCGGGCGGCCACCTTCTTCTGACGGGTGCCAGACCATATTATTTCACGTACGATCTACAAGCACAAAGAATGACCCAGAGCGCCCGTGGACTCTGGGGAACAACATTCAGCGGCGCCAACGATTCATCCATTAGAGCTGATCGGGGAAAGCGAGGTCGCGGCAAAGATGGCGGCGAGCCCATCCAACATCATGCTTTCCATCCGTCCGACGGTTCCCTACTAGCAGTCGCCGGTCGAGGTGGATACGTGCATCTCGTTGATTGGGGGAGTGGTTCAGGTCAGGTCATTGATAGCCTGAAAATGTCGTCGGCGGTTAAGGGCCTATGGTGGGGTTCTTTGCCCATGGGTTTCTCGGATGGTATGGATCTTCGTGCATTAATCCTGAAAGTATTCAAACGCACCCATTAGACGACGGTCAAAGCGTCGGCGGAGGCGACTACTTGGTTTCACTTTCCAACGATTCAGAAGTCTACATATGGGATGTAGGTTCGCGACGCTGTGTACGCCGGTGGCGTGATGAAGGTGGATTCCGTGGCGCTGGCTTGATGTTGGCTGGTTCAGCCCACGGCGGCCAAGCCTCCCTTGCCATCGGGTAAGTACCTCCAATTGTCCTTTGTACCTCCTGTGTGTTCTCCGCTTACCATCGATTTGATAGGTCCAACACTGGATTGGTGAATGTTTATGGATCCGACGCCCTTGCACCATCACCAAATCGCGCAGCCACTTCTTCCAACCCTAAGCCGCACAAGACACTCGGTCAACTTGTTACATCTGTAACGTCTCTACGTTTCAACCGCGACGGACAAATTCTTGCGATGGCGAGCCGTGAAAAGAAAGATGCCTTGCGTTTGGTAACACCTGTCCTATGATAATTGTCAATTTACTCATTTGTTTCTTAGGTACACGCGCACAGCTTGACGGCTTTCGCCAATTGGCCAACGGCAAGCACACCTCTTGGTCACGTTACGAGCATCGACTTTTCAGCTGGCAACGACCATATGGCTGTTGGTAATTCCAGAGGGAAAGTTCTGTTATATCAACTACGGGATTACGGGGTGTAATGTAGGAAAACTTGCCATACATCGGAGGCTTTGCTTTCAGTCTTTGCAGCCTCCTGGCGCCCAGTACCTTTCCCAGCCTGTACAGCCACCGACTCACTAATCTACCGCCGGTGCTATTTCCTTTTTCAAAGCATCCTTTCGGCTTTGCCTTTGTCGACCGTGGTGGTGCACGTTGGCTGCCAGGGTCAACCTGGTCAGCAATGCTGATAGCACTTCGCGGATAGATCCGAATATTCGAACTGCTTGGTGCCTGATGCCACTAATGTGCATGTAAGGAAACTTGCAACGATTATAGCGCTGCAGGGATCGTTACACAAGGCATCGTGAGGAAGCTGGGGGGAATCTATCGAAATTTGTTGTCCGTCTGATGAGTTTTGCTCACATTTACTCTTGTCGGCAGCTGACATATCCATGTCGGGCTAGTCTAGTTTACAGAAGGCCAACGATGAAGTCTCCATTGACGTTGTCATCGGCTGGGACTCAGCATTCCAATCAACTTCGATTCTGTCTTCTTCCCCTCGGTCCGTAACCTCTGAGTTCCACCTCTGTCAAACCCGAGTACAGCTGGTGTACACATCCCCTCCGCGACCATCAATCCAACGTCACGTCTTACTGAATAAGATATACGTGCTGCTAGCACCTGAATCTTCAGGGGATCCACGGGCTCGGACGAAACGTTATTGATCACATCTTTATCAAGGCCCCCTGATCCTGACATTACTTTTATTACTTACGTTCCGAACAATTACAACACTGGCGAAGTCGACAGGACCTCGTTTGCGCACCTCTTGGAACATGGGCGGATGTTTGTCGACGACTGGATATACCCTAGTGGTCACAGAGGCTGATGTGGCTTTGCATAAGGAGGCGGAGAAGCTCCTCAAGGAGGTGAGTGTTTTGTTGAGTGGGGGATCCAGTTCTACCTGCCCCGACGACTGACTGATGGGGTGCTCACTTCCCGCATTGCTTCGCTGCAGACGAAGGCAAGACTTGCTTCACAAACGAAGGTACGCTGCATGATGCTCGGCCGCATCTATACATGGATCTGACCATTGTGCAGGTGCTATTACTGGGTTCCGGTGACTCCGGAAAGTCGACCGTGCTCAAGGTAAGATTCCACTTCGGTTCGCCTCACCATACCGAATTCTTGACCGACACGTCACAATGCTCCGCTAGCAAATGCGCCTGATCCATAGCGTGCCATTCACACCGCAAGAGATTGAGACATACCGCCAGCTCATATTCATGAACTTGACAAATGGCATGGGAGCGGTCTTGGAGGCTATGATAGACATGCATTTGACGGTGTCTGAGGACAATCTGCCGCATTCTGAGTTGATACTCAAAGCGATGGATGAGGGGACGGATATTAGAGAGGGGCAACCCTATCCGCAGGAGTACCTTCACCCGCTGGAGGACCTGTGGAAAGATGAGATGGTGCAGCACGCGGTAGCTCGAGGAAACGAAGCGGCAATACCAGAGAAGTGCGTCTGTTCTCACCATTCGACTCGTCGCAATTTGACTACAACTCCTCTTCCCCGCCTCCCCCTCCCTGTTCCCTCTAAAGTCTGTCGTATTTCTTTCCGTCGTTGCAGCGTCTGTTTGCAGCGGACTACAAGCCGACGGAGCAAGACATTATATATTGTCGCGCGCGTACGACGGGGATATTGGAGACGGTGTTTAAGGTGAAGGATCAGAGGGGCTCGGAGACAGAATTGTTGATGGTAGACGTGGGCGGGCAGAAGAGCGAGCGGAGGAAATGGATACATTGCTTCCAGGATGTGACGTGTATATTGTTCTTGGTGAACTTGAGCGGGTACGATCAGTGCATAGTGGAAGATAAGACTGCCGTGAGTAATACTCTCTTTCGATTCCCTGAGATGCTGAATGCCGTATAGAACCAAATGCAAGACTCAATGACAATATGGGACTCAATATGTAATTCTCAATGGTTCAAACGCACGTCTATCGTGAGTATAGACTTCGTATTGAGTGCTCGTCTAGTCATATCTCCTTCACAGGTACTTTTCTTGAACAAGAACGATTTGTTTGAGAAGAAGATACATAATTCTGACATACGGAAACATTTCGCTGTGAGTACTGCCACTGTCTATCATGACACCGCGCAGTTGTTCATCTGCGTCCAGGAATACTCAGGGGAGACGGATCCCGCAGTAGGGCGGAAATTCTTCCAGAAACGATTCTGGGATCTTGCACATCGGAGTGGGACAAAGGATCGGGAGGTATTTGTGCAGTGAGTTCATCACGACGAAGTCGGTCGTGGCAGCGATCATTTATCCCAACATCCACGCAGTGTAACGACAGCTACGAACACGAGGGCGATAAAAATTGTGATGAGAGCCGTAGAAGGTAAGTTTGACCACATGTCTCGCCTGCTCCACGATGGCTAATCAGTGCTCTTTTTGTGTAGAGTAAGTCCTCTCTTTGATCGTTCTTTTCGGTCTTCTATCTTCGGTTCAATTCATCCCTGCTTGCCATCGCTTACTGACTTTTTCTATTTCTATCGCCACAACAGCTCTATCTTGAATCGTAATGTAAGTCGCCGCCCTCGTTGCATGGGCTAGCGCTAACTGTCAATCAATCGACTGCCATTAGATTGAGACGGCTTTGCTTTGATGCATTGGATCTTATTGGCGGTGGTAATTGCTGCCCAATCATGCCGCGCTGGCGTGGATGCTGGCCTATGCAGGCTAGGGCAATATGGTGTGACGGCGTTAAGGGGATGTCCTTATTACACGAGGAACTTAATGGGCGATTCTTTTCGGGGTGGTACGCGGACCCTTTGGCATCTACGGACAGGCATGTTATGTATTGTACTGATGGGCTGCGTGTATATGGAGCATTGGCCATCATGTCTTCCATGATGCATAAGAAGAAGATAAACACTCCTTCATGATATGCCGTTATATTGATACGAGTCTTCTCGCCTCTTTGTGCGTCCGACGCCGAGTATCGGTTTGGTGCTGTATACTGTGTACGAAGCACGAAGAAAGAGATCTCCCAGCAAGCGTGTTCTTAATGGCACAACGGAAGTGCCAGGATGTACATACAAGCGACTCGGGGAAATGCTATGGAAGGCTATATTTGTGAATTTGTGACGAGGCTCCTCTAGCTTTGCTCGCGATAGAATGGCGTACGGAGAGGGTCATTCAACGATTGGAAAGTGAACCTCACTGTCTCCTTTGAGTAGGTTTGCTGCAGCATAGCGGAGATCTCGTTATATGGAGGGCATAGATCGCAGCAGGCCACCTTGCAGGACGTAGAATATACCCGACGGTCATCACGGTTTTCATTCTTGTATCATTTACGCGAGATACACTACAACCATAACGCCTGAACACTACCCTGCCTGTCAATGGTCACTGTGAGCGACCAGGAAGATACAAATGGCGTCAAAGCGGATTACGAACCTTATGCACAGTGAAAGGTATGTCGTAGAGGCTCAAAACATTGAAGGGATGAACAGGAGCTAGCAGTCATAGGTAGGAGTGATTTTACCTATCTCGCTGCAACTCTGCCACTAGCAGCATGCTTGTAATAGTAACTTGAATACACGACGCCTCCTCGCTCTTCCGAAGAATGAGATAGAGACGCGAAGTGTTCCAATATTGTCTAAATAAATGCAATAACGGAACTTTCTGTCGTCCTTGCGGGTATACTTACCTTCGTTGAGATTGAGGTATACGCGCATCATGATTATGAGGAAAAGGGTTTGATTCAATCGGTTTGGACCTTTGACTATTCCAACGAAGCGCTACTTGTTTCACGACAACGGTGGCAAGTGGATGTCGATAAGGCTGCACTCTTGGTCTTGACATAGAAGTAAGGTGGCGCCGCCTGAGTCTATAGCTGTTCAAATTGTGTGGTTTCAACAAGGCTTGAGGATGGTAAATTGACAAGTGGTCGTGGCATCTTTGTGTTGTATATGGCACATGTACATGTAACGTGTCTAGGTCATGTTCTCCATGATGTTCGAGGCTGTTGATTTCTCGGCCGGTGAAATCATGATAGGCTGTTGCGCGATTCCGTCTAGGCCTTCCGGAATCGTATCTTCAGTGGTAATTCGACGGTCAAAAATATGTATATACAATGGATTCTCAGTGGTCTAGTCTAGAAACAAAGATGCACCACAGGGTGACCGCCAAGAATCGAGAACAGCCTCCAAGGCCATAATTACAAGTCCAAATTCCCACGCGTTCTGGTTGCCTTGTGGTTTCCACCCTTTATGCTCCTGTACCACTACCATCACCTCTTTTAGTTCCGTGTCCGCCACCCGGCCTCCTATCGTCGCAAAACACTCCTTGCCTCCACGCCTTCACCGCATTCTCAAAATCTATAAAAGTAGACACGTTCTTTCATTCATGGATTGCCAGAAAACAACCCCCTCAGAATCTCCTTCACGCAAATCTAGCATGCATCCTAACGACATGTTCATTGAGAACTTTTCGCCTACCTCGCCTACGAAGCGAGCATGGCCTCTTACTGCTGTCTATCCCCGCCCCATTCCCAACTCCTACTGGGCGACACCCCTGTTGCTCGCGTGCGAATACCCATGGACACCGAAAGTACTCATTCCCTGTCGCCAGAAGCTCGACGCTGTGCTCAAAGCTGGCGTACGCACATTCATTGATCTTACAGAGTGCGGGGAACTTTCCCCCTACGCAGACCATCTATCTCGTCGCGCAGCTGCACTCGGAATCGATACCTCCACTCTCGAATACCACCGCTTTCCCATCCGAGACCGATCACTCCCGGAGTCGGTGGACCACATGTATCGCATTTTCGATGTGCTTCGAGACAACGAGAAGCGCGGGCGAATCAGCGCGGTTCATTGCCGGGGTGGAATCGGCAGAACTGGGTTGGTAGTTGGCTGTTGGCTGGTCCAAAGTGGCGTTGCAAAGGATGGTCCAGAGGCATTGAGCATCATCGCGAGGGAATGGAGGACGGTAGAGAAATGCAAGAGGTTCCCACATAGCCCGGAAACAGGCCCACAATTCGAATTCGTACGTGATTTTCAACGTTCATCTGGTAATGCTTCGGCATAATGGTACGTGGGCACCGTTAGATAGATCTTCTTCCGGGGGCTGATCGCTCGTTCAGGCGCGAATTAACCGCTATCTCAGCACGCTATATCAAGCGTAGCTGTCGTGCTGCTCGATCCTATCCATATTTCCCAGAGTCCACCGCGACACCTGACACTCACGCATCATACGTCGGTAAGGCGTATCCATTCAGCATTTACATAGACTTCTGCTTTTGCTTCGGCTCTGGACTCGAACACGTAGAGTACGTTGTTAATTATTTCCTTCTGGGTTTCCTTCATCACATCGCTGTATTATTTTATCTGTAGCATGGTCGTGGTCGTAGATAGTTTACCTCGTTATCTTATTTAGTGTCAGTGGTTGCCGCTGCAGTAGCATGTCGTTGCAGGTAATGTGGCCTTCCTTTCAACGTGCATTCCGATCATGCACGTTGAAACGGGCGTCCGCATTTCTCGCGACGGGCAGTTTTATTAATCCATTCATGCTGATTGGACCATACAGAGTTAGCATGCACTTACCACGAACGGTACGTTGTGCCCCTCTTCCGCCATTTCTCGCCAATTCAACAGAAGGAACTCCATTGCCAAGCTCAACGCAACTGCCGGTGCTCCTGAACGTCTATAAATGATCACGCTTGTTTCTTGAGGCTACTGATTTCAGCACTTCATTCACTCCTTTCCGGCGAGCTCGGGCTCATCCAATAGCAACGCAAGCGCACAAATTCAACGAGCTAGCACTTATCTATATCGACCGTTATCGAGCCTCAAGGCACCAAGCTGCTAGCTGGCATAGATAAGAGGTCGCCTCGACGCCAGACCGCAGAATGTCAAATTGACGTACATATATTTGATTGAACGATAGATGTAGGCCTCCTTCCGAGTCGTGGCGTCGACTGTTTATCTTGGTCCCTTCCGATTTTCTATGTAGACGATCTTGGACTTCGACGGTCCGGCCTGCAATCTGGATGCTCGTGCGGCGTCGAGGCGTCGAGAAGCATCAAGATCGTGCCCGACACGTTGCCTCCCCCCTCATTCCTCAGGCCTTGCTGCCCATCGACAGGGAAATGAAATACGTCAAACTGATTGAGAATAGGAGATCCATAGGAGGCTGGCCTTCCCGTTCGTGCCTTCGAAATACCTAACTGGTTTGAGCACCTCAGGATTTATGATGTTGTCTGATTCGCTGTGGGGGGGGGGGGGATTTGGCCTAGCAGCGTTCGCCCTATATGCAGTCAGCTCAACGTATTGAGTACTGGATATTCTCACCAGCACCTCGTGGGGGTGGTCTCATCGATCCCGGCTACAACCACCTATCTGGTTGTGTTATTAAGGTAGCGTTGTGTTGGATAGGCGCCAACGGCTTATTTTGGGGAGGTTGCATACGGTACAACACGAATAGCCTTTCGTTCGTCAAAAATTAATTGTTCGCGCATACGTACCCTTGAAGCGACTGTAGGAGCTAGCTTGAAATGGAGGTCGACCATGAGTCGCTAGAGTTGCTTGGGTTAATGTTCCGCGTGCGTTCATCTTCATACCCTGAGAATAACATGAGAACTGCCTGGCCCAGAATCGTTGCTAGCAACGACTCGCGTGGTCGGTGGTGGTATTGTACCTTGGTAGCAGAGACTAGAGCAGCCTCAGAAGATTCAGTTAGATGCCACCCGAGGATTTATTACCGTTTGATATGGAGACCTTTAAAATGGAAGATTCTAAGCGTGAACTTTGGTAAAGCTTGAATCCTTGAAATGCTATTTTGCGATCATGATGTCCTTATGTACCAGGGCGGTATGTTTGGATTGACATGGCTGATGTATCGTTCCAATAACAAAGGCTTAGCTTACTACATCATCGGTATGCTTGTGGTCGTCAGCCAGAGCCTGACGGAGCTCACTGGTCGGAAACACAGCGTGCCTGACATCGCCAGGCGGTCTGGAGGCCTGGAAATATCCTTCATTAAAGATGTCAACCGCGACATACATGCAAAGTACATACCACGTCTTCGAGAAAGGTACCTGTCCATTCGAGGACGTGATATGTTCTTGAACATATTGATCCGAGAGCAAGCGATGGGAAGCGGAAGTTATGATGGAGCCGACCGCTTTCAGCTATGGCTGGCAATCACTTGCTTTATTGTTCCTGTCATGGTGCATCCTAGTCCATCCCCAGGAGCTTCATCATTATGCACGGTGATACATAGCGCGGTTGCCGGCCATAACGACCGTGCTCTGGGCCGATGCAAGTACGCGCAGGAAGGCGCAGGAAGGCGATCGCGACCAAGCCTAGTTCATCAACGCTTCGGCTGGGAAGAACACATATAAATTTCCCCAGTTGAAGCTGTTCCGAGATTTCCACACGGCGTGGAGACACTTTGTGATGCTTGGGCTGGGGACAGGCAGATGGAGGCTTCGAGCTGAGCGGAATTTTCCATGGTTTGATTGCGAGGGGAACGCCAGTGATGGACATCAAATGTTTCTAAAGGCGTGACAGCGTCCATATGTCAGGGCTCCAGTACACATCAGAACAGGACCAGCTGGCCGTGGCCGGCACGCTTGTACTGACTCTACTAGTCTCCTACCCTGTAAGAATTGTGAAAGGGATGAAAATTGAAATATTCACCGTTCAATAAGAATCAATTCAGCCTGAGAACGGCCATAATGGCGTTAATAAACGAGCACTGTACTGGGACCGGGCGATCGTTATTGACCGTGGGAAATTCGCATGAGGACAGCCCTGGAGTTTCGCATCAAATCCAGAATTGTCCTCTCTCACCGCGACTCTACTCTCGATTGACTCTCCCGCCCTTTCTTTCCTTTTTATTTCTTGCTAGTTTCTTGTCTGCCCGCAACAACCGCTCTTCGGTTCACCTTCTTTCACCGCCCGCCCGCCCGATAACCGGACATACTTGTATCTGAGACTACCGGCGACCTGGAAAGCTTAAAGTGCATCAGTGGCAAATTTCCCGACGCAATCGCCCCCAGAGCTTTTTAGCGGCGGATTCCACCTCAACCTTCCCCACCACTGGCCCACTCGTTAAATATTTGAATTCTGTAAACGTATCGCCAGCCATTCACCATGGGCGGTTGCATGTCGGCACCAGGTGTTCCTGTGACGGAGCAAGAGAAGGCGATGAACCGAGAAGCTGAAAAGCAACTCAGAGAGGTTAGTCCTATGATTCTCAGAGCTTCGAGACTCAGGCTTACAACCCATATAGGCGAAGGCCAAGCTCGAAAAGCAAGTGAAGGTGAGTACTCACAACTACCTCAGCGTTCATAACTGGAACCGACCTGGGCGGCAAGGTGCTGCTGTTGGGTTCTGGTGACTCTGGGAAGTCGACAATATTGAAGGTTAGCTTCATCATAGCCCACTCGTCCGCCATGCGTTATCTGAGACCGTTCGATTAGCAAATGCGTGTCATCCATCATGTGCCATTCTCTGCACAGGAAATCGAGATATTCCGGCAGCTTGTATTCAGTAACTTGACTGTTGGGCTCAAATACGTGCTCGATGCGATGCAGGACATGGATCTCAAGGTCTCAGAAGAGAACGTTCCGCATGTGGAGTTGATCGAAGAACCTGTAGACATCCGAGACGGCGACCCTTTCCCTCTGAACTATCTGGAGCCTCTGAAATCACTCTGGTCGGATCCAAACGTTCAGCGAGCTTGGGAACGTGGAAATGAGGCCGCCTTGCCGGAAAAGTATGTTCCTTGTCTGCAAACGTTTGTTTGCGGGTTACTAATTTCCGCTATCAGTTTGTTGTATTTCTTTGACTCGCTCGACCGCCTTTTCGACCCGGAATATCAACCCACTGAGTCCGACATCATACAATGCCGCGCTCGCACTACAGGAATCACGGAAACTACGTTCCAATTAAAGGATCACGAAATGTTGATGGTGGATGTCGGCGGACAGAAGAGCGAGAGACGGAAATGGATACATTGCTTTCAGGACGTCACCAGCATATTATTCTTGGTCAGCTTAAGTGGTTATGATCAATGTCTTGTGGAGGACAAGGATGCGGTAAGTCGTTCGACCTTCATGGCAGTTACTGGTGTTGATGTCTATTCTTATTTTGATCAGAATCAGATGCAAGACGCAATGACGATATGGGATTCAATATGTCACTCGCAGTGGTTTAAGCAAACATCAATAGTATGCCCATTATGAATCGTCTCCGACTCGAGGACGTCTTTCTCACTTAATGTTTTACAGATACTCTTCCTCAATAAAAACGATCTTTTCCAACGGAAAATACCCACTTCCGATATCAAGAATTTTTTCCCAGTGAGTGTCGTTGATATGTATCACATCAGAAGCCTGATGCTCCCATCAGGATTACGAAGGTGAACCGGGCGATGTACGAGCGGGCCGCGATTATTTCAAGAAAAGGTTTGCACGGTTGGCGCAGAAGGCTGGACGTTCGAAGGAGCGTGAGATCTACATACAGTGCGTAGCGCCCCTCACTGTCTTCGTTCCCCTCCCCCATTCTCCCGTGGTTGCTAATACTTGCTCAGTATAACGACCGCCACGGATACAGCTATGTTGCGGGTGGTCATGGCTGCAGTAGAAGGTTCGCATTTCGTCTCTCTCAAAGTTGATCCTGACTAATCGTATCTTTACAGAGTGAGTGTTCCTTTTTGATTGCCCCCACCCCGTCATGCGCTTTATATCTTCCACACTGTACGCTTAACAATGGTTTCCCCCTTTCATTTACCACCGCCTGCTTTAGCATCGTTCTACGCTCAAATCTCGAAGTTGCGGCTCTCATATGATATTGTTCTATCTTTATTCTCTATATGATCACATCTTCCCCATCTTAAATGGATTCCATACGACGACCTACCCCATCGCAATTTCTCTCGCTCTCATGCAATGGATCCATATATCTCTAATCATAATCGGCCGCCCCACCTGTACCTTTTCATGATCATACTTTTTCCCTTCCTTCGTTTCCTTTGCATCGTCGCTCCTGTTTACTTTTTGCTGATGATTCACTTCTTTCCTCCCCCATTGATCGCATCGCTTCCTACGCATGTCTCTTCTTTCCGATTCTCCGGATTACCTTGCTGTCGTATCCCCTGGCGTCCCACCTGGAATGTACATCGCTGTCATCCTTCCGCCGACTATTTATAGTGCTGTCGTAAGCAAAAATGTGAGTGGTTGTTACAAGCCATCAAACTTCAGGCGGTGATTGTCTCACAAAACAAATGCTAATGCTTCGTTGTTTGATCTCCGATCTAGATCCGGACGATAATGTTGTAGGCCGTTTGAACTCGCTGTGGCGCCTCGATCGAGCGGACAAGACATTGGAGCGGATTGACATGGTCCCTCCGACGGCTTTCGTGCTTTCTGGATTTGCCAAGGATACACCGACCCCCATGCCTATGCCCCTTTCATGATTGGAAACGTTTCTGTTGTTTTTCTCTGGATGGAGGATACAGGTCTTTTCGAAGCTGTTACGAATTTCGTAGCTGCTCCCTTTCCCTGTGTGCAAGCAACACTTTCGCTGTCTGTATAATACTATGCATTCACCCCAAGACATTTCTGCTTCGGGGCTTATTTTATCAGCCTCATTTTTTTATTTCGTTATTCCGCTTTCATCTACTCTACTCTACTCTCTCGTTGCTTTCCAAGTTCAATTTCTCCTTCGCATTTCGCAATTGCTTCGACGCTATTCCCCATACTTCATCACCGTCTGTATGATAACTCACTCCATCATTTTATACGCACATCCGACCTAAAGTTAGGGTATTATGATAGATAAATGTGCAGCACAGCTCTGCACAGGTATGCTAGAGAAAACTTTGCAGGATATGAGACTCAGGCCCCGTGAATTCGTCACAATTAGAGGGATGCGGCAACTAAAATTAGCGCTGGTAGGCTAGTGCCTGATGCCTCCGGGCCCTTGCGTTCCTTGCGGCGTCAACTAAGCTGTAAATGGCTGGCGGAAACGAGCAGGGCCGCAAGCCGATTCATGAAATGAATAAATTTTGCATCCGTTTTCACCATATTGGATCGCCCTCAGCCTCCCGATTAATCCTTGCGAGTCTAGAATTCGACTCTCGGAACCTTTTGCCGACGTTGATTTTATCGAAAAGCGTTTGACCGTGAATTGGTTAGCGCGGTGTTCCAAGACAATCCACGACTCGCCGCCGCCTGTTTTCCTTCCTCATTATCTACCTGCCCCGGTCGTGGGTGTGATACGCAAACATCGGGGGCCGGCACTGTCCAGCGACAAGCATCTTGGGAAAATCTCACCCCTTAACTCTGTTCTAATTTTTGACGATATTTGTGATCATCAATTATTCGACCATGCGCACCCGTACCCGGACGTTGAAAAGCTCCGTACATGGCGGTGAGCAACCATAGGTACAGTCAACCATCAGTAATTGTACAACCATCAGTAATTGTATATGTTGGAAATTCAAATTCGAAATACTCGACAAAGTCACAAGCTTCCAAGCTCAAGCGCTCAAGCAAGATACCTGAATAGCTTCTTGTCTTTCAAATCCCTGGCCAGGTACTCCATCTCCACTAACGCCTCAATACGTTGCTTGATCACCTGGACATCGGGCACGAAGTGGCTCTTTACAGAGTTGATCGTTTCGGCAGTGAGTTCCTCGATCTTCATCTCTTTCCGGCCCTTCATGATGCGCACGACAGCAGCGTCGAGGTAGTGCTTCCTGTCGCCTTCAATGGACGCGTTCGTCCGTTTGGATTCTTCGGGCTACGAAAGGGGGTAGAGTGAGTGCTAACCAAAGCATCGGGGACGGGCGACTTACAGATACCTTCGCCTGAATGGAGTTGATGTGTACTTTTGGACGGGGATCGCTGAAGTCAGCGTTGAACCGAAATACGTCTGTGTCGGCCACATCTCGGCCTGGCGGGACCTTCTTTAGAACTCTCAGCTTCCCGCACGCCAGGCTCTGCAACGTCCGCCTCAGCTCCGCGTCCTCTGCGTAAATGATACAGTCAGACACGTTGACGAATGTTTAATAGTTTGATATGTACGAGGACATGTGAAACGGTAGCAGAAGACTGACCTAATAGTATTTGCTCCTTTATATCCACGAAGGATATCTCGTCGACATCGTTGAACATCAGCAATATGATGGCCTGATATAAACTGACGGACAGCTCCTTGGGACCGGGGTCGAAGCGCCCTTTCAATGTCGCAGTGCCTAACGCGTGGTCCCAGTTCAAGATACGACCTTGGTGTTTCTTCTTGTAATAATCGGTGAATGTCTGCAGGTCCTCTTGCATCTGCACGCGAAACACACATTGTCATGAAGATGCAGTTGTGACATGTAACATATTGCAAACAGTAAGAACGGTATAGCAAGTGAGTAGATGAGAGAACGGGAGAGGGCTGCGCTGCGAACCTGAGGGAGGAGATCGATAGTGGTTTTCGGGACGGCGAACGGCCATGCGCTACGCTGGAGGACCATCGCGGTCAAGGACCTCCCAGCGCTCTCGGCGCTGAGTGAATCATGGAAATCACGCATCATGTCCCGCGACAGCGACAGATCCTTGAACATATCCTCCGCCATCCCAAATTCGGCGTCGTATTCTATGGCGGGACCCAGGTTCAGCCAACGCGCAATGCAGATAAGGGAGATCCAAACATACGATCTTTAAGCTTCTTGAGCATGTCTTTCTCGATATCATCTGACGCGCTCTTCTCCAGGAGCAGCCGCTTCGCAAGCGCGCGGTGATAGAACGTCCTGAAGACATCCTTGTCGTCAGTGTACCTGTACAGCCCTAACACCGACTCCAACAGCCTTGTGTACTCCGCGTCGCTGCTGGCCCCTTGCCCCTTGCGCATGAGCTTATCGAGATGTTTGGCAATGAGCTCAGCAGGCTTGTTTCGTCTGGCTTTGAAGCCCGCGCGGAATCCTTCGTCAGAAGCTTGGAAGAACTCCTTGTTTGGTATGGGGGTAGACGAAGAGGTAGACGTGGCGGCGAGCCCGGGTTGAGATGTGGGTGGGGTTGAGACTTGATCCACGAATGACGTGGTGACCGCTCTGTCCATATCCTTCTTCAGCTCTAGGAGCCTCATGACCATGTTATCTTCCATCTGCGTGTCGGTCACGATTTGTTTCGCTTTGTCCTACGCGTCGGTGAGACGAGGTATCGAAGTGGAACGAGGTAGCAGAGCACGTACGGACACGTATTTGCGGAAGGATAGCTTCAACAAATGTTGTACGCCTACTTTGGTGAAGAGCTTGTACATCTTGCCTAGTGTCGCAGTGTCCATCTCGGCCAAGGAGCTTCTCAAGGCTGATATACGGTAAGGATGATGAAGAATGAAAGGGTAGATGAATAAGCAAGTTCTATGGCTCGTTAACATACACAGTCGTACCTTCGTTCGCCAACCATTCCCCTCTTCCCTCCATGAGCGCCCTCTCCGTCGTCTCACGCACGACGCTCCAGCTGCTAACACACAGTACCTCCTTACACAGAGCAACCTCGTAGTCGATCCTCCTATCTACTTGCTTAAAGAACTCTTTGGCGTTCTTGATGCTTGCGGCCTGCTCCCGCGACTCATTCAAGTAGAATTCTTTCGTAAACTCCAAATAGTGTATCTCCAGGCTCGCGTACTCATGGTGAGTCGTTAGGTGAGAGACGACGTTACTAATGAGCGTACGGTTCGTTTCGTTCGTCATCCTACATGTGTGTGTCAGTGCGAGGGCAAAGGCAAGGGCAAGGGCAAGTGCGTACCATAGACCGCGTTCTGCGTTTATGACATCCTTTACGCCGCTATGAAGTTTCAAGACAATCACTCGATCGCTTAGGATCCGATCGCCGAATTTAGTGAACGCAAGCTCGCTGGTTGCGTGTCAACCGAGTTGCAATGAAATGTAAATGAGTGAGAAATCACCGTATGGATTGTAGGCTGGGGTTGGGTTTGACATGGACTTGGTCCAAGTACGTGAACAACGAGGATAAAAGTGCCTAAAGCACACTGCGATCAGCACCTGGCTACAATCGTCATGCCTGACAGGGACGCACAATCTGCTTCTCAAACCATGCACAGCACTCGACGAAGTTACTCAGCCACTGGATGTGCTCCTGTTCCGCATCGAGCTGTGTGAGCAAGGCGCCAAAGCACTTTTCGACTTCCAATATGACATCTTCGTATAATCCGTCGCCCAATTCGGCGTCACACACCATTGCGCGGCACATGTCGTAAATTCCGACAAAGCTCAGCGGGAGCTCCGGATATTCCGTGGGGTTCTTGCTCAGCAGGACTCGGAGGCAGCGTTTGAGCAGAACGAAGGAGTCCCTCGCCAGTGGCTGCTCGACTAAGTCACGCACAGGCTTTCAATAGAGCCAACAAGCGGTGGGCTGGGATGGGCGTACCATTATACCCCACGAGCTTGATTTGAAAGGGACCCGTGGAAGCAGAGGGTGCTCCTTTGGAGGTTCTTGAGGCCGAAGCAGAGTCGAGATCGGACTCCAGGCGAGGGGCCTTTCTGGCGGTCAATTCGTCGTCGTTGTTGCCTGTTACGCTGGATTTGAACGATGTCAGGCCATTGGATGTTTGAGGCAAGGTAAGCAAGGTGTATACATTCGCCATCGTCGTTGTCTGCTATCCTTGGCGTTAGCGGGGAGCAGGGACGGGCGATAGTCACGTGTCCGACGATCAATTTCCACGGTTAGACTCTTTCACTGAACGAAATTGAGAAGACGACTTAGAGTTACAGAGAGTAGAAGAGACATTTGGCGTTCACTGACATCGCTCAACCTCATTGTCATATCGGTCAACATGTACGCGCCCCTTACGGCTATGGTGTGATTCAACTCAGTAATGGGTGACGAGAATAATCTCATTTCTAGTAAGTACTGGCTCCTGGATAAATCGAACTCGTCGCTGAGTTTTTTTGTGCTGCTTCCCATTCAGATTTAAGATACAGCCCATGTCTATGCTGAGACAACGCAGCTGGTCAGCTGGTGCACTTCTCACCGCGAGCGATGGAGAAACTCAACGTTCCTTGTCAGTACTTGCTATACATACGTGACAGTAAGATGTCACTTTCGTGATGACACCAGACTTCACTCCCAATTGCTCAGGTTGATTCGAATACCTTTCGTACGCGTGAGAGGTCACGTATAGGAATCTGCGTCCTTCACGGGCAATGCCCTTCGAAGGAATAGTTGCACCAAGGCGGCAGTGCTCACAACATGGCGTAGGCATCTGTTCGCTTGACTGACCATGCTTCTGAAGTTCCAAACCCTTCATGCCGACATTTCCTGCCCTGGAGCACTGGTTCTACCCGCATGTTGAACGAAGGCGACTCAATGTATGTCGCAGAAGACGACATCTGCCGTAACACTTGGGTCACTCAAAAACCGACTTTCAGTTGCTCCAATGACCCCGTGCTGTAGTGTGCTGTGATCGCCGCTTGTTTGAACCGAATTATGTTTCTGTCAGAAGCAATGGGACACGGAGGATCACAACCCCCGTCCACAGGACTCGTATATATGGTGATCCTACCGCTCTCCTCGAAACTCATTCACCACCTACGATGTTTAAGCTGCAAACGGTCCTCAACTTGGCGCTCCTTGTTTGCGGTGCCGCTGCACTGTCCGTATCCTCGAATGAGAGGATGGCAAGGATGCTGCCCAGTGACGGTCAAGTAGCTTTCAACCCTAAGCTAGTGAGTTTGCCTCCTCTCTATGCTGAATTGGTTCGGCTGATGGCTGGCCTTCGTAGAACCAACAAGTATTCGGCACAGGATGCCTTGTTTTTGCTGGTAAATTTGGCATGGGAACTAGGCTGGGTACTTGCGTGACTGATTAAATCCATATTGCTGTTAGATGCCACCCTTACGTTGAACGGTATCACCCGCAATCTCACAAGGGTATCTGAACAAGGCAATACTGCCATCACGTACTCAGTAAATGAAGGGTGGCCACCGCCAGGTTCAACTACGAATGCTATAGCTTATGCTAAGTCCGGAAGAAGTCAGTGTTTCTCTGCGCGCGCCGCGACTCGCTCTAAAGCACTATCACAGCATCCGGGCAAACGTTCACAGATGAGATCAAGTGGCTAGGAAGGATCAACCAACTCTATGCCCAGGGTAGATTCAACAACCTTAACTGGATCGTCTTCCAAGGGGTCGCAAATAAGATGCACATCGCCTCCACCGCCTACTTTGCCAATGTCTTGCTCCCTTTGCTCCGCGTCGGAAATGTGGAAGCTTGTAAGACCCAGTTTAGAAACAACAAGATCCCGCTCATTGTCGCCCAAGCGAAATATTACGTGTGCGTAAACTTGGATCCTTGAGTTGTCCTTTTGCGAGCTGATGGTGACATGTGTGTCGTTATAGCGATAATTTCCAAGTCCTGCATTCTGACCTTCACCCCGGGAATGTCCTCTGGGACGATCAAGCTACATCCCCCACTCTGATCGACTGGGGAACTGCGAAGGATACCCCGTCCGTACGTCTATCCCATGTCCGACCCGGCCATTCCGCCAACAGCGCTCATGTCTGCGTTCTCTTAGTGGACCACAGCTGTGGCAACTCAGGTCACCAATCAAGTCGAATTTTCTCATCTGACGGGCTCTGAGGCCATCTGCGTGGACCTCTCTGAGCCAGCTCCTTGACGCGTATCGCTTCCTGTACCATTCCTATCGATGTAGGTTTCTTCATCAAGACATTGTACTTGCATCAACCCAAATCTTCGATGTGTATTGCCATTGTACATCGTATGCCCCACGGCAGGAAGAATGAGTCGCGATATTACGCAATGCTCTTCACCTCCTGGCTGCCGACTCAGAAGTTCGAAGCAGAATTCTCGCCAAGTATATATCTTGAATCTGAGTTTCGGGCTACCAACTCACTTGAGTAATCAAGCTCAAGTCTCAAAAGCCAACCGGGTATCAGCTGATTTGACAACGCACGTCCTACTCCCGCTTGCGTGTGCGCCACTGGGGGTGGAGGAGCTGCAACAAGCGGCTATGGCTAGGGCAACTCGGTTCCCCTAGGTGTGGCCCGTCTTGCCTACCCAATTTGTGCTGCGGTCTTGCCGGAGGCTTCGGTCGCGGGCGTTCTCTCTCATTCCCTTTGTCTCGATACTCAACGGGGCCGCCAACGCGCCATTGCAAGACGCCTCTGTCTTCTTCTACCATTCTTTCTAATTTTGTCCTGTCGAAACAACCGACTCAGCTCCCACATTTCCATAAAGCCCCAGACTCACCGTGTATCTATTGTGTCGTCGTTCATTATGCTAAGTAGGGCTGCGGATGGCTTCGCCCCTCTGCGCAGTGATCAGATGGGGTAGACTTGTGAAGGATAAGTATATGACTGACGAGTCAATTCTTTCCGAGTTGATGACTGTGGATGTCGAAGCATTCAGGTCGGCATGCCTCAACTTCTTATCGCATCTGTCGTTCATCTCCTCGAGAATACCGGCATCCAGTACAGGGGGCACCCCTAATTTACTGTCGATCCTGTCCTCCTCATCCCCGCCCACTGCAGCTTTTGCATTCGACAGGTAGTAATCTCCGTTCATATCTCCCTCGCTAGAGAATCCACAACCCTTCAAACCCAATCCCAAACACAGAGATAATGCGATAACTCACTCGGTAACAGCTTCTGTATTTTCTTCGTGCTTGTCCTCTTTCACTATCATCGTTTTTGACGTTTGTGGTATCAATGATTGAGATACTCTTGACGGGGCTTCTTATAAGGATATCAGGTCGAGGCAGTGAAGGACCGATTTACTGCATTGCTATTATTAGTAGTAGCTGTTATCTCTGTATTGCACTTCCAGTCAAGCTGCGGTGCTGCCTTCCGGTCTGGGCGATGGCACTTCTCGAAACATCCATGGATGATTCCACTTACGTCTGTGTGTACAAACATACAAGTACGATCAACCAGTAAGTTACATTGACCTGATTGCAATGTTGCACGGGGATAGACACCGACCGAGTGGAAGTGGCAAGCAATGGCACTGCGTCTCCAATTTCGTCTCGACTCATCAACAAGGCGGTGTGGGCGCACATAATCTTGTTGCTGGAGCTCCTCAAGATTCACTAGATAAACGTAGGATAACTGATGTTGGGTTATTCACATCCATCCCTGGCCAAGACGTAAACTAGCCACTTACCTTTCATCAGAACATGGCCACCTACTCTGCATTTCTATCCAGTTTGGCCACCGCTCCTCGGCCACCGCTCCTCGGCCACCGCTCCTCGGCCACCGCTGGCCACCAGCGAGGTGTATATAAACCCTACCTCTCACTCTCTGTTTGCCTACAACGACCCTCCAAGCGACAATCATCTCCCTACGAACAACATCTAAGAATGAATCCCTCCTCATACTCTTCTTCTTTCGGAAAACCCTGTACCAGGACTGGGCCCATCGAGTTGCGCGATGACCGACGCATGGAGCAAGAATCCCTCGTCTGGATCAGTATAATTGTCATCCCGCCGCAGCGATCCCGTAACAGCCAATTCATCACGGCCCACGACCCTCACTGGTGCCTATCTTGGGACCTTTCCCTCCAACACGTTCGCGCTGGGAAACCGAGCCCTCAACGTCGCTTGCACAATGCCGAAGACGCAATTTACAGCCCGAGGATTGAGTGCTCAAAGATCGACGAGGCCATACAGCACGCTCACTCGATGCAGATGGTCTATCCGATCAAGGAGCTGAGCCTCAAGCAAAGAGCCCATCTAGAAAACATTGCGGCGGCCACTGGGTCCAATGGGAGTTGCCGGGAGTGGTGTTTACGAGTTTTGCGACAGGCGATGCTTGCAGGATTATTCACCGAGCAGGAGATTAGCCAGGCAAAGTATATGGCTGAGGCGGCCCACGTTTAATGATGTCCAACGCCATCATGGATCCAGAAGGCCGCACGTACATTTCAAAGCTCGAAAGCTCCAATATTTATAGAATTTCGGATTGTCAACTCATGCAGATATCTGTGACTCCTCTCCTCCCATACTCCTCTTGTGTGGTGTTCCGTCGCTTTAAATAAATTCAGATTGCAAACCTAGATACGCTAACTTAGTTTCCCGGGAACTTCCACTTCCCTACAAAGGATTTCCAGCCAGCCAGCGTTGAACCATCTCCAAAGACTCCTTCGGTTTATCGTACGGTACCTTATAAAAGTCTCGGTCAACAGGACCAAAGGAAAATTGGAAACAAGATGCCCTCACCATGTGCCCGGCTGCTTCGACGGTGGCGAACGTCAGGCCCTTGGCGCTCCGAGTCTTACCAGCACTCTTTCCATCAACTACCCAATCCCTCAACGATTGCTTATTGAACTCTTCCTTTCCACTCCAATCCATGGCCAATGTCCACCTCTCATTCCCTACCCAGTTACAGATCCAATCATACGACCCGACGTAAATGAGCACGCGGACGTTTCGTTCTAGAAGTGCTGCGACATAGTCGACTGTCGGATGGAGCGAGTCAAGAGCTACGCCAAACGCAGTGGCGACAGAATTGTTGCAGGACGAGAAATTGGCCGTTACCGAGGGATCGACGCCGAGGACGTCTCGAACCTCGGGTTGATCGAGGTAATGACCAATGTGTCTTGAGACTGGCATAAGAAATGGACCACACAATGCATACTGACGGAGGGAATATTCAAGCTCACCGGGTGATGGGGTAGCAAAGCGTCTCTTCTATCTTGCCCTCACAATCCTTGCTAATGTCGTAGGGGTTCTTGCCTTATCGGATTGAACTATCATGTCCGAAGATACAGATGACACACTAACCAGAAGCAAAGAACGGCGTTTCAATGGCAGTCGTGCAGAGTATGGTCGCTGCATTGCAATCAATTGCGTCGAAATGGTCTATGCATGCACTCTGGAACCATTTGGTGCAGCGTGGTACCTGATAGGCCGTCAACACTCAGCGCTTTGAGGCCGTCGACCTTACTCACCATCTGCTTCATAGCCACACATGAACTATATAACAATGTGAGTGGATGTATTCATCATCCTACGACGCGACTGACCTGATGTCGTTGATAGGCGCGACCGACGCATGGGAGCACTGAAAATCAACATAAGACGTTGTCATGCTGAAGGCGTCCGTGAATCCATTTCCTTCAAGACGATCAGCAGCAGCTCCTAACAAATCGGTGAATCGTCAAAGTCACCTATCATGACGGAAGTAAGGTTAATTGGTGTCAAGCCCTGCCCCAGGAGCTTTGCGTTTTGGTCATACACAGCCGCTGCGAAAACGGGGAGGTATCGGCCCTAATGATGACATCAAGTAGTTGATTCCACAGAAGTTCGGGAGCCTTACACCATACGATTCACCGGCCATGTGGAAGCCCCTGCCCTTGAACTTGGTGAAATTCTCAAAGAAGATAGCAACGAAGGCGGCGATATCCTTTGCCGCTTCCTCAGTCGTGCTCTAACATTCATATGAGATGAAGTAGCAGATGATTACATTCGCGAACAGGCTTACAACTGTCTCGCCGTAGTCTGCATACGAGAAGCCCACACCGATTGGTTGGTCAATGAAGAATATATTTGCGTTAGAGTTCCAGGCTTCGGGGTGGAATTTGGCTCCGTCCTCGTCAAGCACACGACAAGGTCCAAGCTCCATGAATAATCCGAGAGACGAAGAGCATCCAGGGCCGCCGTTTGTCCAGAATATGACATCGTCCTTGGTCGGATCGTTTCTACTCTCGAAGAAATAGAAGAACAAATGTCGGGCTTCGATGTCGATATAACCTGTGTACGACCTATTTTCAAAACCAGTCACAATCAACGTACATAGCACAGAACCACGTATACTCACTTCACTGTTTTGTCGCACCATTTATGCTCTTGGCTCGAACACTGTACTTTGGGAAAGCTGGATGAGCCAAGATCGTGAACTCATCTTCTGACAGAACATCTAGCGTCTCCAACGGGGTAAACAATCCATTGTCGTAGTTTTTATGATACTGCGGAACTGCAGAGCCGTCTCGGGCCGCCCATCTGGCGGGTGACTCTAGTGGTTGCTGCATAGCGGAGGCACCATCCAACCCCGCTCCTAAGATCGCCGCCCCCACAAACAGTAGCGTCTTGGTTGATAGCCTGAGCATCGTCGAGCCCAAACGTCGAAGTGGTTCAGAGATAACCGTGGACAGTGGGAAGTTCAAACTTTCAACGTCCCATGTGCTTCTCTGGCGCTGTGTGAAAACCCTCTATTGCGTCGTGCGGGGCGCACGTTAAAAATCTTGGGTGTTGAGTATGATGTTACACAAGAACTTGAAATCGAGTTGATCGTCACAGTGGGTGGTGAGTGGTGCATGTCTCAAACCTGGAGTCCGTGACGATGCTTCTACCTTTGCTTAGGCTACGAATATATGTAGGACCAGGAGGAACATGTCTGTTACGAGAGAATTTGGGTCGATTCAACAAGTCCGCCGCATCAAGAAAATGGGACTACAAAGGTACATGTAGCAAGTTCGTTATAAGTTAGGCGAGGCTAACGCAAATCCTCTCAGAGCCTGTTAAATGAGAAAATTCGACTTGGGCTGTTACTTCAGCTGCCACAGCTATGGTCCACTAAGGGGAGAGTTCTTCAGTGGGGTAGTAGGTCATCAAGGCTGAAAACACACCGTCAAGACTTCTTTGGCAGAACCCCAGTCAATGAGAGTAGGCGCCGTCGCTTGCATGTCCCACAGAATGTTACCAGGCTGTAGGTCAGTATGGAGGACTTGAAAGGTATCGCTATGATAAATGTATGGCATGGTCAGCTCGCAGGGATGCGGAACCGGAATTAACTGAACATACACATAGTACTTCGCTTGTGCAACAATCAACGGAATCTTGTTGTTTTTAAACTGGGTCTTGCATGCGTCGACATTCCCTTGGAGGAGGTACGGGAGTAAAACAGTCGCAAAGTAGGTGGTGGCGGTGATGTGGACTTTGTTTGCAACCCCTTGGAAGACTATCCAGTTGCGATTATTGAAGCTCCCGTTGGCAAATAGCTGGTGGATCTTTCCTAGCCACTTGATCTCATCCGTGAATGTTTGCCCAGGTGCTTGGGTGGGTCAGAACGAGTTACAGCGATGCGAACAGTAAACCACCGACTTTTTCCTGACTTCGCATATGCTATCTCATTGGTGGTTGAACCTGGGGGTGGCCAGCCTCCGTCTACCGAGTATGTGATGGCAGTATTCCCTTGATCTGACACTAACGTGAGATTGCGAGTTATACCGTTCAATGTAAGGACAGCATCTAGGCCACATGGGGGTTCAGAGTAGTCACGCAAGCGGTCTAGCTTCATACCAGCAAAGGCGAAACGTCCTGTGCTCCCTAACACGAATTGGTTCTACGAGGGCTACTATTAGCAAAAATCGCGTAATATCCCAAGGGCGGACACTCACCGGCTTAGGGTCGAAAGTTACTTGGTCTTCGTTTACAACGCTCTTGCGGTCGGATCATTGGCAGATACGGCTAGCGCTGCAGCGCCGCAAACAAGGAACAGCGAGCTAAGGATCAGTCGCAGACTCGACATTGTGGGTGAATGAGTTGAGGGAAAAGAGATGGATATATATATGCAACCTCGGGACAGTGCCTTGTTCTTTCGTATCCTGACACTTCTGGGCAAGTTGCTTCTGGGAAGAATAAATAGAAGAACGGAGATTACGACCTACGCTGAACGATTCGAAGTTGGTCCTCGAGGTAACCCAAGTGCGACGACGACGTCTTGCTGGCTTCGCTCAGGGCGCGAGTAGAACCAGCCTACATAAAGGGCCGGAGCTCGCTCAAGCTAATAGATGCATACGGCTTCGTAAGGTTGCAATGTGCACTGCTGCCTATGTGACCGTTTGGTACATTCGCCCGAGAGGCATAGGCTTGTTTGTGTACGAGATATGCCGCCTACCCCTTACGCGCACGGAGAATATTCAAGGAACCTTGAAGTATCAGGTCAGATTGATGTCGTTATTCGGAAAACGCTACTGTCCAGTACCTATTGTCGTCGGATACGCTTGCTGCGATTGCCTTGCCTGTACTTACCCCGCGTGCCGCGGAGCTGAAAAGTGCACCTGCCGCGTCATTTCACTCTAGCGGGTGCCATAAGGTCCCATCTTCAATTTTGGTGTGAATGGAAGCAGTGCGAAGGGGCCTACGATATTGCTGCGGGTTCTGAAGTGAAACCAAAGCAGGTCGGTGACCGTCCTGTGTATAGAGTTTCTCTCCAAAAGGGATGTCGGTGGAAGAGCTTGGACGTTGGAAAGATGATCATAGACGTACGAGAAGTTTCATAATTCCAACTTCGTGCTCATCTGTTCACGGCTAATACGGCGGCGGAAAATCCGTCCATATCTCTGCAATCGCGTCGTCTGCCGCGTTTACTAAGTATATGAGCGCTGTGAATGACACCCAAGCTTGAATGTTGATGTGACACGGGCACAAGAATTTCTGTATGCATATACACAATCAGAACATCATTGGGTGCTCATCCTAATCATCTGAGTCATCTGTCATCCAGAAGGTCTGACCGTCCCAGCTGATACAATCCATCTAGCCTTCTGACGGTACCTCCCGCGATTTTGCATTCACGAATCTTCAAGACCTCGATGGGTATGTGGAGATCCACGCGTTCTTGAAGGAGCATTTCCACCGATAATGCGAAATCTTCGCGGCTATCGAAGTCGCAATTTAGGAGAGTCAGCTGTTTGAGCTGCGGGAAAGGGGGTTGGTCTTCGTCGGATGATTTCAACAGAGCTGTTAGGGCGACCACCCCAAACCTCACGGTCAAATCTTTCACTTGTTCAAATCGTCTGAAAACCCTGGCCCAATTGTCTCGTTGATTGACGCGAAGTTGTTGATGCGGAAGGTTCGGACTTTGGAAGCCGGGAGCATTTCGCAGAGGTTGAATAATGGCAATGTATCACGTTCCGAAATTGGGCAATGTATATCGAGCGCTGGGACATTGCTAATCCACGCTGTTAAGCGCAGCCCAGGACCACCTTCGTTCAGCAAACTTATGCTGTTGATATTCGCAGCAACGTCACTGCTTGCGAAGCGGGAGACTATACCCGAAACGTTGTTGATATCTGCAAGTTGCACTGGGGCCCTCTTGGATTTAAATCGGACCAACGAAGATGGTGGATAGCGAATGCATTGCAACAGGGAGAAATACTCGAACCTGTTTGTCCTGAAGGATATAGCCTTGAGTTTGGGGAGTTGGACCGGTCCATAATGGATCATCTCTTCGGCAGAGGCGTCGAACGTACATCCAACATCGAGATCCTCCAAGCAAGGAGTATTTTGCAGAGACGACAGGAGCGTGGCCATTGACTCAGAGCCGAAAGAATTCTGATCGTAGTAGAATCGGCGTAGGAGAGGCATAGGTGGGATCGTGGGTAGACGGATGCCATATAGCTGGAGGTCCAGTATCAAAGGCATCTGTACAGCCGCAAAAACTCGGTGCATTGATTCTGATGCAAGCGGTGATATGTTGCATAGTACCAAAGACTGTAACCTAGTCGGGACGTCAGGTGTGGCATGGGCTATTGCGATTTCCATGACTTCCCAAAGGCGGGAGTTGTCGGCACAAATCAGCAAGTCTTGAGTTCTGGAGATCTGCGACATAACAAGTTTGACGGTATCGGGTTCATATCTGAGGGGAAAGAAATGAATAGAGAGAGGCGCGTCTTTCGAGCGTGTTAGCATTGTTTTGGCCCAGTCAAGGTGCATCCCCATAAGTTCGAAGGTATTCCACATGCGGGCTTCATTGACAGCGATATCCCGCCAATTCCGACACACGCATGCCACATTCAACCAGCTCCCTTGACGTGTGTTTGTATGAGACGCGAGCTTCGCCAGAACAAAGATCTCGCTAAGGAGTTCTGTTGGCAGCTTGGAGATGGGACTATGGATATTTCTTTGGGTTCGTAGCTCTCGGATGGCTGCTTCGGTAATTTTCTCATCGATTATTGCTTGGGCGTCCCTGGCAGAGACTGATTCGCCGCTCAGTCGAGCGATCTGCGGTATAGGCATTCAGTGAGTACACGGACGGCACGATGGGACTTGTTACCTGGGCCATTTATGGAAGATGGTAGACGATCGTCTAGTAGCTTTGAGGACGGTGAACAGGTTTGCCAAGTCTCGTGATTGACCTACATAGGGGTCGAGATAGAGGTGTCGAGGTGTGCTAATACTACATATGAGGTCTCTTGGCTCTCAGGACTATCCAGAACTCTGTACTAACGATCTGTCTTGGGGTGGGATCAAGTGTGATGAAAGAGGGAGCTAGAGCCTGAGATATATAAACCTCGCCTTGTGCGGATGTTTCACAACGGCCTTCCAGCTAACCAACGTTGAACCGTCTCTAACGACTCCCTAGGTTTGTCTTATGGGACCTAGTTATATAATAAGCAACGTCAGAGAAAATTCGAGGGAAACAGCACGTCAACCCTTTCGCACTCCTGGTCCTCCCAGCCACTTTCCAACCAATCACCCAGTCCCTCAGCGGCTGCTCATTGAAAGTCCACCATTCATTCCCAATCCAATGAGCGAGCCAATCATACAATCCCACATAGATTAGAACATGTACGTCGCGTTCCAAAAGTTGCGCGACGTATTCAACGGAGGAGTGCAGTCTGCCGTTGTCAAGGTAGAAGGAGAGTTCAACGGCCGGGCTACTGGATCCATTGCCTATACCGGGGTAGCTAGGGCAGAGGCAGTCAGTCCCTACTCCCAAGGGTTGTACGGAACTTACAATCCGTTTCATCTTAACACAAGTGCTGAAGTAAATGGAGCACTGGACGTCAGGCCAAGTCAGCAGTATGCTGAGCATATCCATCCAGCCACAGAGTCGTTTCGACAGCACTCGCCTATCATCACCGAAACTAGATTGAGGGGTGCTGTACGAGCTTTGCGTTCTGATCATAACCCGCGGACGCGTAAACGGGAAGATAACGTCCCTAGCACGGAAAGTCAGTCCTTTCAGGCTTTGCTACGGCTTAGCGTACGTACCGCGTAGGATTCCCCGGCCATATGGAAGGCCCGTCCTTTGAACTCCGTGACATGTTCGAAGAACATAGGAACGAACGCCGCCATATCCCTAGCGGCGTCCTCGGTTGTCGACTCCATTGGACAGAACGACGTCAGATATTGCCAGCTCAGAGCACAGTATTCCTACTGACAACGGTCTCCCCAAACTCAGCATACGAAGAGCCTGTGCCAATAGGTTGGTTGATAAAGAAGACGTTGGCATTCGAGGTCCACGACTCTGGATGAAACGTCGTTCCGTTGTGATCGCCACCAACTCAAAGCAACATATTGGTGCTTGACGATTGGACCTTCTCTGCACATCGCTCGCAACCAACCAGGGGAACTGACGGAGCTCACTGCGCAGCCTTCCATCATGCGCCGGAGCGCGGGACGCAGATAAAGAAAATTATGAACATTCTGATATACAATACAATAAGAAATACCAATAGAGGGTTCCACGGACAGACCAAAGAGAGACGCGGGAGTTGGTGATGGCTGCGACATGCGCGCAACCCTGTGGAGGCGAAGTCGGCAGCGAGAAGTGAGCTTATATACGTAAGGGTGGGGTGGGGTGGGGTATTTGGACCAGGAAGAGGGTCGGCGCATATACCCTTGTCAAGAAGGCGCGAATTCATTGACAATTATCGTGAGTAGGTGTCATTAGGATGTCGTAGTCATAGTCGTAAGGGTATAGAGTAGTCTGGAGTGGACCGCGACTGCATGTTGAAACGCACGGCCTGGGGGGTCGTCATCCGCGCAGCCGAGGGTAGATGACGTGGCCTTGCCGGTGACTCGTATTCAATAATACGGAGGGTCGCGGGCTGTCAAAATATAGTACATATACAGATCCTTTTGCCGTTGGCGAGAAAACAGAGAATGATCCTTTCCCGGGTTGCGGCTGGGGATTAGATTTCAGTAGGGCGGTGGCGCGCGAGCTTGACGGTAAGTGGTTTTGATTCGAACGTTGTTGTTTCAGTGCATCGTCCCTACGGTGAGCAAGATGATACCAAGGGGTTGAGGACTAGGGCACATGGGCGGTGGCGGGGAAGCAAGATGTGAAAGCTAGCGTGATGGTCGGCCAACGGAGATGAGGTGGGTACCCCTTCGTGTTTATCAAGCATCTCCTCACCTCACTCCCCATCCATAACCTGCATGTCGACTAGCGACTTGTCCCAGTCATGCCCATACCCATCGAACTCACGCCTTTCAGCATGTCCGTGAGGATGCCGGCCGGGCTAGGGAGCGAAAAAGAAGGCCTGCGACGTTGTCCACCTTGCGTGCTCAGACTTCGCGAACGCTTGGTGCTGCCAGAAGACTTGCTGCGTGACGGACTGCGGGGTGCCGGGTCATTTTCTTGGAATCTCGTAGCGGGTGAGCGGGAGCGAAGGAGGGATGGTGGCGGGGCGGATGAGGGGAATACGGGTAGGGCATCATCGGTGTTCACTTTGGAAGGGGTTGCGATGGCGGGGGTTGTTTGTGTGCGCTGTTTCGGAGGATTAGGGACGCCGAGGATGGGGGTGGTAGGCGCATATACGAGTGCGTCCTCTCGATCTATCGACTCTCTGGATCTCCCCCTTTCTACAGGATCGCGAGGCGAAAGGAATCCCTTTTCACATCTATGCTTCTGGCCGCTTTTACGTGCTCCTTTACCTCTTCCATTCGACAAAGACTCGCTAGAGCCGGATTTCGAGCTACGCAGGCTGTCCCGTGAACAGGATCCACTTTTGTTGAGACAAGAAGATGAACCATTGGGTGACGGCGGGATGCTATTCGCCGGAGAGGGAGGTGCACTATTCACCGATCGAATGCTAGGTGTTCGTGAGCCAGATACCGATCCAGAACGATGGGAGCCAGGAACAGGGGATGCGTTAGGCGAACGACGGGGAGAAGGAAGGGGGAACAGCTGATCTTCGTCGTCTTCATCCATTTCTCTGATTGGAGAGGACGAGGGTTTTCGTTCAGCGATATCTGAGAACAGGTCGCCATTCAGACTGGGAACCGACGAATCGGAGTCGATAGATGAATACGAGGCCTCCCGGACGCGAGTAGGGGCAAAAGGCGGAGCGTGTACATCAGAAAAGCGCTTTCGCTTGTCTACTTCGTCCACGGTGATAGCGCATGCCCCTGTGCCTGTGAACCGAGAGGCTACAACCGCCGTGGCGTTCTTCGCAGGACAGGCGACAGCAGCAAATCCCCCATTTGATGTGCCCCGTCCACTAAGTAAGTGGACATCAACGATATTCGTGCAGGCTGAAGTCGGTGGATGCACGGAGTGCGCACACGGATCACTTCCGACCGAATCTAAACTCGCGCTTCGGCGCCTTCTGGCCCCACGGGTGAACTTCTCCTTCCAGTGGTCCCCTTCCTTCATGCACTCCTCAGTGATATGGAAGCAGTCTGGGCAGCATGCCCTGAGAGGTATGGTTGCAGGAGTGGGTGATGAAGGGCCAACCAATATTTGCTTGTGAATCGTTGGCAGAGGCAGAGAAGGGCTCCGCGTTGGAGTCCGCGGCCTACGACTTCGAATCGGCGAAGGGGGCGCCGCTAAGAATCTCCCTGACGGCGTATGCCTTATACATGGCGAAAGAGGCTTGATGGTGGGTGAACGCGTCGGGGATTGTGGTTTCGCCATAAAACTGTAGTTCCGTTGTTTTTTGCTGAGCATTCACCGAACTTCTACGAATGACTAAATATATGCGCATACCTTGGGATAGGAAGCTTCAGGACGATATGCCTGTCTTCTGGCGAAGAAGATAAACCCGCAGGCGAAGTCGGATCGTCGGTCGCAGATGTATCACTGTGAAATCCATTGCTGGGTCTGCGCTTCCATAACGGCATCGAATAGGTTCTTGTGGCCATCAGGTGTCGCCTGGAACGATGCTGAGCCTCCGGAATGAGTACGCATTCGCTTTCGAAGCGAACGATCCTCGAGGAGCTGCCTGGTAGGCTCGAGCTCGCCGTGATGGGGCCCGTCGGTGTCGCAGAAGAGAGAAGAGTGGTGGAGGTCATTGTCGCTGCCATTGTGGAGAACGGTACTAGACGTTCAGGCCACGAAGCAGCAGCAAGAATTGAGGAGGTGGTGGTATGAAGGAAGCTAAGGCTGAAATGGTGCGATTAGCTTCAAGCTCCAGCCAGGGCGCCAGGGCCGGTGCACGCCAAAAACGGCAATTGCCGACCCTTGAAATCTACGCCCACTGGTGTTCCACCGATTTCAGTCTGAACGTCTCAACTTGTTCTCAAGAGAAATAGCGAACACGCTCGCTACGTAACGCACACACAGGGCTAGCCGCCACGACTCACGACTCAGAAAACCACATATTTCCATGTACAGGTTATACAATCCTGGTCTTGCGCGTGCAAATGGCAGGCAGACGCTGGAGAGCATATGAAAAACTGAGAAAATGGAAGCGTACGATTTCTGCGAGCACGGCGAGATAGGATCAACATGATGCGCAAAGGTTGCGCATCGGAGGTACACCTTGGAATAGCAAGTCTTAACCGAGTACCACCATCAAGGCTAGATCCTTGGCGATATATCATTCGGTGCCTCTTGTGATCCATTGATGTTGCAGGGCTATCAATATGTCGTCCGTTGCGGTTCTGCGGAGACTCTGCAAAGAGGGTTTAGTGCAGCAGACTGCAAGGATTATTCCTTTTTCGCTATCATGGCGAGCAACTACTAACGAACTACAGAGTGGATTTACGTAGTATCATGTCGGAGTGGAAGTACCTGTTCCGACGACACTGACATGTAGAAGCAAGTGAGTAGTAATGGGTAGCTATGGACGATGGCGGCACATCATGACCGTTGGCATGTGTGTACAACGGTGAGACTAGCTGCTGCAAAGCTTAAGCTTAACCACCGTCTGCCGTCCGAGGATAACTGACTGACTATGAAAAGGGGGCGCTTCAAGCTCAAAGGATAATACATACATCGATTGCGGGAGTGACGTCCCAGGAGTCGGCAGTGAGTTTTGAGGCCTTGAATATATACGATCGGGACCACTGGCTGGAAGAGGAGTCCAGGGAGGGCTCGAGGGTGCGTCGGGGCGGAAACTACGAGGCCTCCGTGCAGAACTCATCGGTGCCGAATCACTGGGCAGCGAAGGAGGCTCCCTGACGAAGACAACACAAGACACCTCTTTCGCTGTCGCTCAATCATGGTCAACTCTCGAAGGCCCAGTGCATTCAGCGACGACTCGGATGCTATCCAAGCCATGTCGTTCAACGCACCCACCGACCGGCTGAGAAATTATTCAATGACCTATAGAAAGAAGATGAGTCGAGGATCAGCGCAAGATTCTCGCTTTCCTCCATTCTACGTTGATGTTGAGACCACTTCAAACCCGCTTCAGACCGACTCTGCCAAGCATTCTGGTGAAGATCGGTGTAGGTGTACCAAATCCCGGCACCAAGGACAGTCATTGAGTGGCTGTAGCACATTGTTTCCTGTTGAAATAAGCTGACGAGGGTCGCGCGATATCCGAATAATCAAGTAGCGTATGGCGTTTGACTGGGACTCCAGCAAACGCATGAATCAGAAGAAAAGAATACATGCATGCGCGCGAAACGATACTACAGTAGTCACGTGTACCCCTATGTACCGCCTAGAGCTGGCTGCACCCTTTTACTGAAGCTCAAAAAACAGGTGGTCGAGTCCTGCATTGGCTATCATTGTTGCTACACAAGTACTACTCCAATGTTACCGGCGGCTGACCTCATGAAGTACAGCAACCTAAATGATGTCTGATACATCAGATGAGTTAAGCATGCTTGTATCCTCCGAATGTTACCCTCGCCCAAACTCCCGCAGACTGGGACAGACACGCCGGATCAAACCCTTCCACAGCCCCAGGACGAGTCCGAGCCAAACGCCATTAACATGCGAGTTGGATTAAAACGAATGAAAGACGTACCGGGGACGGCGCCCCCGGTGCCACCCTCCCCACTGCTCCCCTGCAGCGGTCGCAGTTCGTCTTGAGATCTGAGACCTTGAAGGCGAGGCTTGAGGTCCAGTGAAGGTCGACGCGGCGAGCAACACCCCTAGCCTTTGTCAGCATCCAGCCGTCTACTGGGATGATCAGCACTCACCCATCCACAGACAAATCCTCCCAACGCCACCCCCGCGCAAACTCACACTGGCTGCTACTGACTTCCCGGATGAACCTCCCCAAGGCAAGGCAAGGCCAAACAGCAAAGCACCCGTAGGCCAAATGCGACCGGAAGACACGCCCGCTGCTGGTACGTGCCGGCGCATGGGAGCCGTCTCACATCCTGGGGATACGATCGACGAAGTGCGAAGGCGGTGACATCGTCGCCCCCCTACAAGATGAAGTCGTTATCGGCATATGGTATAGGTAACAGCGAGTGGGCGACTTACTGCGTACGAGGCCACCCGAGCTACGACCACCCCGCGCACCCTCCCCAACTGTTGACAATCCACGCCGGGGAACGCACTACAGAGTAGACGAACCGAAGCGCAGATGACAACAGCGGAAGGTGGCTGCTTGATGCCCCGTCCCCAGGCCGATACCCAAAGGCGGGATGGTGAAATGGATCCGCAACCCTCTCTATTGCTCAATCCCCGTTCACCTCCACCCTAGATAAATGTCAGTTGTCTTCTCATCCTCCCACCGAGCTATGGACGGCATGTCAGCCATAGCGAGGACGATGGTGAGTATGTACTCACCGATGAGCGAGACGGAGCAAGCTACAGAGAAAAGGCCAAGGCGGGTTAGTAGCTGGGGAAAGGAAAGGATGGTTGAAGTTACCTGCAAAACGCTGCTGAGGAGAGAATGTGATGGAGCAAGGTATTTATACGATGTCGCTGGCGGGAATCAAAACAAACCATCACAATCAGCCTCCCAATGGCGGGCGTCATTGGTAATTCCTCTGGTATTGTACGTCTATCCACGTACGCCTACCAGCTAAGATGTCCAGCTACGACAGGCTCGCTCCCGCCTTGTATCAGAATGGCGGCTTGTTGAAGCTATGATATTGCTGTTTCGGCATTTACTTCCTAGAAGACTGACAGGAGCTAGGGGTCTCAATCACTCATCCAGCCATCCTCATCACTGTCATCCTCATCATCCTCATCATCTTCATCTTCATCTTCATCTTCTCCGAAAGGGTCGCTCTCAAAACTCTCGCCACCGTCCCATTCAACCTTGGCATATGACTTCAGTTGACTGATAATACCCACCGCTACTCTGCAATCCCAAATCTCCAATGTGACATCAACGTCTCCTTCGAGAGTGCTATGCTCCTCAAGGATCCGCTCGATCACCGCGGCATTTTCGTTGATGTCGCAATGCCTCAGGAGGAGGTGTCCGAGGCACGTAAAAGGGGGTGGTTCGTTTTCAGATGGCTTCAACAGAGCGCGAAAGAAGTTTGAATCCACTCCCGCCGCAGTTAAGTTCCGTATGCGCTCGTGTCGGTTGAAGAAGCTCGCCCAGTAGGCTACCTGTACTGAAGAAAAGCCGGTAATATGGAGGGTGTGTGCAGCGGAGCATGGCAGCATGATGGAGAGCCTGAACAAAGGGAGCACATCTCCTCTCAAGGGCAAGAACACCTCCAGCATTGGGCCATCACGATCAGACACCCGCATTTCAAAGTAATTCCTATACATGCCTGCCAAAGATACCGCCTCCATGCTTGCAGCCATGTCACTGCTTGCCACACGAGTGAAAACGGACGCCAGTTCGGTAGCGCACGCAGCGGGGTCGGTAGGATGGGTGCGTGATACGAATTTCACTCTCGAAGATGGGGGGTAGTGGAGGAATCGAAACAAACAGGCGTGTTCAGATCGAACGGTGGAGTAAGATAAAACCGAGAGTTTGGGGAGTTCGACTGTTGTGCATTCCTCGCCGCCGTCATCAGATGTTTCGAACGAGCCCTCAATCTCGAGGCGCTCCAGAGAAGGAGTGTTGCGCAAGAACAACAGCATTTGTGACACTGTTGTAGACGGGTTGCTGTACATTGGAGACACGTAGTGGAGGTGGCGAAGCTGGGGGAACATGGAGGTAGTAGGCGGCAGTACAAAGAACCTGACGTCCAGCGTCTGCAGATGGGGGAGCTGTACTTCAGCAAGGAATCTGTCAATCCCCCCGTTATCGCCATTGTCTATGGAGTCTGAGCGAATCATGGTCAAGGACTGTAGCGCGCAAAGTGTGTTGGGAACGTCGATGATTTCCTGGATCTTGGTACGTATAGACGTGTTCAAGTAAACTTCCAGGTCTTGGATCCTGGCCATATGAGACAAGACGAAGTCGAGAACGGCGCGAGGGGTTTCGCGGTCCGGATACGTGCAACTGACATAGAGGGGAATACCCTTGGAACGTGCTATGACTGTTGCTGCCCAGTCGAGAGAGTTCAGCTTCGATGTATCTAGTGTATCCCACATGCGAGGCGCGTTGAGTGCAATCTCGCGCCATTTACGGCAGACTCCTGCCACATTCAACCAGCCTCGATTTTCACGCGTCTCTCGGTATATGTTGCCGTACGGTAGCTTTGCCAACAGAAAGATATCGCTGAGAACTTCTATCGGGAGCTTTGAGATGCCAGCGTGGGTATTTCTGAGCGTTCGTAGGTCTCGTTAGCAGATTTGTGGGCTGCAATTTCCTTGTCGATAAGTTCCTGGGCCTCGTGGAAGTCCATCTGTGTGGTTATTAGCGTTACGGATTGTCACAACCGTGGCTGAGCGCTGAACTTCTGTTTGGCTCTATTTATGTCATTCGAGCACTGTCGCGTCGCGTCCGATAGTTGAAGCACGACCGCGAACGCCAGAAATATCTCTAGTAACGCGTTTAGGAATTTCTCAATACTCGTAGCTAACAACCTCACAGATGGACTGCCGCGATGTTGGATTCTGACAATGTAGGCGGTACAGGGGTTATAGGGGTACACGTGACTACTGTAGTATCGTTTCGCGCGCATGCATTATTTCTTCATGCGTTTGCTGGAGTCCCAGTCAAACGCAATACACTACTTGATTACTCGGATATCGCACGACCCTCATCAACTTATCTCAGCACGCGATGCCCAGGAGCTTATCGACAAAGAAATAGCGGGACACGAATCCGCCATACGAGACCTACGCACGCTGCGGAACACTGGGATGATTGCTCGGTAACATTGTCGGACCTTATAGCCGGGTAGGAACTATGCCATATTATGGATGTGGGCGTTCAACTAAGTCATGATTCCATACTTATACATGTTCCATATATCATATCAATCGTCCCCTCATGCAGACTCACTTCGGCAACGGCGTATCGACGTAGGCGAATCCAGCCCAACCAGGCATAAACCTATCTCCCTCGATCCCCTTCTCTGCATCTTCGGCAATCTTCCTGATTTCCTGAACCTCGGCTGGCGAGAGCGAGATGTACGACGCGAGGATGTTCTCGTTCAAATACTTATCCTTGAATTAGCATCAACGGAAGGGGCGATATGAGTGGTAAACATACCCTGATCTTCTTCGTGCCAGGAATGACGAAGAAGTCGTCACCTTGAGCCAAGATCCACGCGAGGGCGACTTGCCCAGCAGATGCTGGGCGTTCTCCATCCTCTAACGCAGGCATTGTGTTGTTCAAAGGCTGTATTGTCGCGGGAGTTCTGGGGACAATGTGTTTCTCGGCGATCGCCTTGATGGAATCCACAACAGCGAGGATTTTGGGGAAGTTCGCGGCAGAGAATTTGGAGATGCTTGTGCGGCAATCGGATGCTTCAAATTGGTCCGGAGAGGTCTGCACGACGTGAGTTGAGTCTGAATACGAATGCGATCGAAGGAGAATTACGCACCACTTGGCCAGTGATCAAACCCCTTGCAAGGGGGCTGTAGGCAACAATCTTCACGCCGAGCTCACGTGCGGTTTTGAGAAGATCGCCCGCGGGGTTGGGTGGGGATGACTCGATGTCGAGAACTAAGGGGGAGTATTCAACCTATCGAGATGAGATGAGTTCCATGCTCTATCAGGATGTGTACCACGCACTTGGATGGCGGCGATTGGGTGGACGGCATGTGCTCTCCTTAGTGTGGAGGCGGAGACCTCGGAAAGTCCGAGATACTTCACCTTGCCTTCCCTAGGAGGGGGATTAACGGACCGAAAAGCGGTAGACGTTCGAAAGAACTTACTTCACCAACTCCGCCATCGCGGTAACCGTTTCCTCGATTGGAGTATTGGGGTCCGTTCTATCATGACATGAGAATGTTCTGAAAGGGGGATAAGGAGGAGATGAAGTACCTGTGTTGATAATACAAATCAACGTAGTCAACGCCGAGTTTCTTCAGACTGCTCTCCAGCTGCTGTCTTATGTACGCTGGCGTGCCTATCATTCCAGAAGCGGTGATACCAAATTTTGTAGCGATGAACAGAGTGTTGCGAGGGATATCCGACTGCTTGAGCCACTTCCCAATAAGCTCTTCAGAGTCGCCATACACGTCAGCCGTGTCCCAGTGGTTGCAGCCTGCTTCGTATGCAGCATCGAGTACCTAAGGTGGCGACTGATGAGCGACGAGCAACCGATGGATAAATTTGCAACCCACCTTGAATCGCTCTTCATCGGACTCGATCTTTCCGTACGCTGCTTCAAGGGCGATGCCCATGAGGCCGAAGCCTACAGGACTGACGAAGGAGTCACCGATTTTGCGGAGTGGTAGAGCAGGCATACTGTTGTATGGTGGATATGTGGGAGGCAAATATCAAAAGCCTGGGGGTATATATGCTGAATCCGGCCCAGTGAACGCGTACCCTTCCGGGTCATCTACGCATCGTCATGGATTGACTATCACCGTAAATCTCCACCAACCCTACCCAAACGTTTACTCGGCGTAATCCACCTTATGCGCTAGCTATATTGAGCTGAAATGTGGGTAATCCTCCTTAAGGCACGTGGGAGGTGAGGGTAGCAGGTAGTGTAAATCCACCACAACCTCTAGCTTCAGGCCTCAGACTCACTATTGGGAGCCTAGATTATGATCTCGGCGACTGGACGAGCACACTGCACGAAGTAGCTTACCATGGTCCAGTTTCTAGACAAAGACTAAAGTCATTTCATGCGTCGCGACCACCGCGATTGATGAGTAGAGAATTCGAAGTTTATATGCCGAATCACTCGGGAGACGGGTAGAGCGGCTGAATAAGGCCTTCGTGAAGGCCAGGTGTGCGCCCTCATCAGGCATTCCTCGTTGTGCCATGGTCTTGCGGGTCGTAGCAGGCGCGTACCCATTGCGTAGGCGTTCTGGGGGAAAAGAAAGCGAAAGAGAACATCTCTAGCAGCTCCTTCGTTATATAACTGAATAGATGATCGGTGGCTGTGCAAAAGGCGCTTAGGAGCGCTTAATGACAATACATTGTGTGCTGTCTGTCAATAGCACCTTCGTGAGTCGCTACGTTCCATGGGTCCCCAGATGAACGAAGAAAGCTTGGGTTCGGAACCACTATCCCTTCAGAATATGAACGGGGGCATCGCTTCTGCCACCCTACTACGAGAGGTCTTTACAGGAATTGTTCGAACGCGGCCTGGGGGAATGAAAACAAAAGAAGTTCATGCCCGAAATCAGTGCTTTGGAACACCTCAAACACCCGGATATCTGGGAACTCGAAGTATATATCCGGCCGATTATTCTCGCTTCCTTTCCTCTGTAGTTGTAACACAAGTTGCATCAATCGCTCGCATGCCATAGCCGTTGGAAATTCCAGGCCGCTGCAGCTTGCGTGAAGGAAGGTGGAACCTGAGGTTCTAACTCTTTTTACCATTATCCTCGTCCCTAGTCTAGCATCCTTTGCGACGGGGCTGAGTTACGGGATCAAAACAATATCTGCTCGAATATTTGTGCGTTGTCTCAACCTCCGAATTACAACAGCTCATTCGCTCATTGGCATCTTATCAGACGCCGCGGCCCTCCATCGTTCACGTTGTACACCTTCCATACTGCGTACCACGCGGCTGAGTTCTGCACAAAGGCACTCGCCTCTGACAGTTAAAGTTGAGAGGGAACGGTCGTCCCATATACTGCTGGGAACACATCCTGCGCCTTCGAAGTTGGCCCTGCTCCCCGGCAGCAACTTCGCGGATGGGTCATAATTCCCTGGGATGGCGTGCACTCCAAGCTCCAACAATCTGAAACTCGTTTGTAAGCATACTCTTAGCCCTCCACGGCTATCATATTCACCATGCGACCAACATTTCCGAAACAAGATGTAAGTTCGGTAACGCGGGTATGTCACGTAGCATGGTCGTGTCGTGATCGTGTCACTTACTTCTTACTTCAGTATATAATGTTTCTGTGTTTAACGATATCAATATCCGACATGACAACTACGACCACCATCTACCAAGGCTTCGATTCCGATAGTTTTCGTCTTAGCCCTCCTGCTACGTCGATCCATACCACGCCTAGCACAGTGACTATCCAGGCACTACCGAAGTCCGATTACTGGAGGAACCCCGCGAGCCCAGGAGAAAAAGCCGACAATAGACACACAGGGGCATTCTACGCTGTCCCCGTCGATGGAGACAAGTCGTTCGAGGCAGGAGTCTGGATCCAGGGGAAATGGGCTGCACAGTACGACCAGGGATGCTTGATGGTCGTTGCAGACGACAGCGATGGGAAGGACTCCTCGTGGATCAAAACAGGGGTAGAGGTGGACGACGGGAAAGAATGGATTGGGTATCGTCAATTTCTTCATGCGCACCGAGCTACACGCTGACCACAAGGACTAACAGGGGCGTCGTCGCATCCCATTGGTCTGATTGGTCGATTGCGCCTGCGCCCAAGAATACGTCTCAACTCTCCGAGGATCCCTACTGGCTTTTCATCCGCATCGTACGGCGTGGTCCAACGGTGCAGGTCTTCCGTTTGTATTCCCGCGAACCATTCAAAGTCGAGGACACGTCGCCGGACCTCGTCATGATTAGGGAGGTGAAAGGGTTTGATCACCATGCTGCGGCTTCGTCTCACGACCAGTGGCGAGTTGGGGTGATGGTTTGCGGTCCAAAGAGTGAGGTTGGGACTGAGGCTACGTTCAAGGATATCTACGTCAAGTATTTGTAAGGCGGCGGAAGCCACAGGAAATTCAGTACGTGCACTTGGTAGCGAGTTTACCGGTCAAACGCTAATGCTGGCCTTCATAGGTGATAGAAATAGTGAGTGGGGAAGAGAGAAACTTCGATATCGTGTTTGGACAGGGCATGATTGTAACGTAAAGCATCGCAGGGTTTATTCAACGGTTGGTGAGGTCAATGTGGAAGTCCAGTCAGATAAGTGAGGCCCTACTTTCCCGGCAGCCAGTAGAGACGCGTTTGATTGGCTGAAGGCCCGATACAAGGCATTCCGATGCTAAACAGCGGTTGAGTAACCATGGGAGGTACAATTGGAAGTCAGAATGGACACCGGTGAATGTTATTGGATCTTTGACTCTACTTCAACCTGAACTAAGTACAAAGGGTCTCTGGCGAAATTAAGGACTTCTCAAAGACGCAGCGTCGTCGAGGGGGAGTCGTCCCTCCTAGACGATGAACTGCCGCCCGTAGACTGAGGTTGCGAGCGGGGATCGACTGGGATTGTGATGAGGAGGTAATTGATTCTGATGATTCCGATGACTCTGATGATTTCGACTAGTTCGAGTTCGAAAACGAAGACAAAGGAGATTCCAGCTATTCCATAGCACATCGCTAGCAAGGATTCTAGCTGCAGCATCCCGTACTCTGTGTCGTCGGCATTATCGTCCTCCTGAACACACAGGGGTATCCTTCCTTCATAGGGGCCCTGGATTGAGACAGGCGACATTACCACGACCAGGCAAAGGTATGGAGGGGGCTGATAGAATTCAGGAAATTTGGCGATCGGCTCAGTAATATACAGTCATGAGTAACGAAGAGAGAAGTGTACAAAAAAAGTCATAAATACAGGATGATACAAAATAGTACAAGGATAATAAGAGTCCGCAACACAGTACAGTGTCAATGGCGGGCAATGGGTGAAACGCAATTGGCCAGATATATCGCCCTGCGAACCTCCTGCTTGGTGAAGATTCCTTGCTTCTGTGCTTCCTCCAAAACAGCAATGCACCAATCCTGGCAGCGACAAGCCGAGCCTTGTAAAGGAACGGCCTCCGCGATATCCTTTAAGACCTCTCGGTCTTTGCGCGACATCTCCTTGATTCCGTGAACCACTTGGGTGATAGGACCACGGCGTATATCTTCGTCAATTTTCGAACACCCGATCTCAGAGTTAAACAAGGCGTCTTCGGCGTTGTGCAATCGACGCTGCGGGCGTGCCTTCCTACTATAAGAATATCCATGTTCGTGGGGAAGTTCCCAAGAGAGACACCAGTGTGCGTCGCGTTTAGTCGTGAACGGAGTGCTTCCGGTTTGGTTGGCTGGTATGACGATTAAATCGATCCAGACGGGGGAGTCGCTCTCCAGGAAGGGATCGTCGCACAGGTTGACGGGGCCAGCTCTAGTATAACCTTTGCCAAAAGACGAAGAGTAAGACGAAGGGTACGACGATGGCATGGCGCGGGTGCTAGTCTTGCTCGCAGTGGGTAGGAAGTGTAGAAGCATAGAGTGCTCGTCGTCGAGTTCTTGGGAGCGTTGAGTAGTGTAGTAAACGGAAGGCGACATGAGATTTATATACATCTTGCGGGTGGCCAGTCAATCGAGGTGGAACTGGGGCCAAAGCGTTTAGGTGGCATCTTGCCACAACAGCGGGGAATATATAGAAAGCAGGGCAGTGGCAAAGCGTTGCGAGAGGACAAAGGACAAACATATCACCTGCGGATCTCATATCGATGAACATAGGAGTGCAGGATCCTCTTTGTGATTCCGGGGTAATAGGGACTGTGCTGTGCCACGCGAAAAGTATCCATGTTCGTGAACATTTGGCAGAGTGGCGTGTAGCTGCGGATCATGCCTCTGCAGATAACCAAAGCGTCTAGGGACTCTTGGGCACGCAAAGGAGCTTTGGCATTTGCAGACTATCGACACGGTGGAGCATGGAAGGAACAGATGGACATACATATGGTCTAATGCCCAAACCTCGACCGCAAACTCATTTCAGCAATTCTCGTGACCTGAGCCTCCTTCAATCCCAGGCCAAACGGTGGTGCCGCCATGAGAAGAGCGTACTCTCCAAACAAGGAGTTTCGAAACGGTAAAATATCGTCGGTCTGGGTAACAATGGTCAGGGCGGGGAGACATGCTGAAGATATAAACGCACACATATAGCAACTGGGTGGTTTCTGTCTAAATAATAGCCGATATGATGGTCCTCAAGTGAAGGAACGGTTTTGCAAAGTAAATTCGAGCTCAGGCAAATTTCAATGCACATGTCCGAGGACCCGAGCACGATTTCCTTAGCCTCATCGTCAAGAAATGTCGCATGTCCGAGCCGATGAGGCTCATAGGAAAGAAGTTTAAGTGTCTCAGCGGGAGGATTGTCTTTAGTCTGCGAATCGTGTCAGCGTTCTGTCAATAGATGGTGCATAGATCCAGGAGTACCTCTGCAATGTGAAGTGTCACGCCCAGACCAGCTGCTTTAGCTTTGACGATATGGGGCTCGAGGTGGTTCATGTCACCGTTCTGTGGCACACGACATCCATGACTCGGCGAGAAGCTAGTGAGCGGGCGGGAACGCACCAAAGGATTACCACAAACGTCTACGCCCACTACCCTCCGCCCTTCCTCTTTCAGCGAAACCGCCAGGTCTACCACCTCCCCCATCTCAGTCGTGTTCATCTTCCTATCCACGCTGATGATCAATGCAGCCTGTTCGGCAGGATATTTCTCAATCTCGTCTAGAACTACCCGAGTATACTCGCCTCGCGACATCAATCCAGTGGATTTCGGGATGGTCCTTAGTTCGATGTAAGTGCACTGGGGCCCTCCGATGGAATCATCGATTTCAAGGAATTCCCGGAGGACACCACGAGTGGCGCGTCGCAATGCCTCAGGAGTTGCTGTCAAAGCATATATTGCAGGGAATAGTCTGAAGAAATCATGGATTTCCTCTAATCCAACACCGTCGGGGTGTTGTAACTTCTCTAATCCGACTTTGACTTGATCAGATTGATCGTCGCCCACAGGGAAATCGCGAGCTATCTCTTGGAGAGTTGCTATCGGAATCGAGCCGTTTAAGTGCGCGTGTAACTCTGCTTTGGGTAGATTGGCAATGAACGCGATTTGAGTTGGCGAGAGGGATTTGAGGGCCAAGGCCGCAAACCCTGCGACTTGGGAAGGCATGAAAGAAGGGAATACTTAGGGGTGGAGAGGGGCGCCAAATATTCATGGGCAGTTCTCATGTAAACCCAGTATGTATCACCCCAAGGCGGGGCCAGTATTAGCATCAGAGCCACAAATGCGGGTACATTCTAAGTCGACGGATGATGTGCCTGCTCGAATATTCTCTAAGCAGTAAATTTAAAGTCGACGGACACGTCCGTGCTCGCATTGCCAACATATCGTTCGTATCCCTGTAGGTCGCTTCAGACGTAGGGAGGAGCCATCAGACACTGTTACTTACCGGCCTGACTCCGAAACGTTCATAGACCCATGCCTCGAATTCTGTTGCACGAAAGTGGTAAGTCGACTCGCCAGGCCTCGTGAAAGATCTAACAGACTCATGGTCACAGGGAATATGGTGGGATCTTGAGTCTTGAATAACGTCAGTCCGTTGATGGGCCAGCTTCCACCTAGGCCAAGCTTTTAGTCGGTCAGTATCTCGCTTTGTTGAAGGACAGCGTCGGGAAGCGTACTGTTTTATGATATTCCCAAGAGAATTCAACCCCCGTTGGGGTCACGGTCCCCTCCTGCTCTACAAGGATCCGTGTGAAGTTCCGTTGATACTCTGCTTGGAAATTAAATGGTGAATTGCCTCCATTGTTGAACATAGGCATATTCTGCTTGAACGAAATCGAGTCTATTCCACGTTGGCGTATCAGCGGATCAACCGCTCGGGTGACGGATTACTTACAGTCCCAGTTTGCCCCATCGGGTGTCCCAGAGCCAGTAGCGGGATAATGCAAAACAGTGTTTAGGGTAGAAGGCACCGTGACCCGATACCCGTATTGGTTCAGTCTTGCATTATCTTGGTTGTTCGCGATGCCACCGTGGACCATGACGATATAGATCATACCGCCGTTCTGGCGAAAGTTTGGGTCTGAGGGCTTGGCTCCTGTAACATACTTGTACAGGTCTACATTCCATGTCAGTTGCTCAGTTTTCCAAAGGCCCCTGGGGTTTTCCCAGAACGAAAGAATCTTGTTTTCGAATACATTGATGGTCTCTCTGCAATATTGGAGAATTCGTGAAGAGTCATGGGGCGTATGAACTGAGCTACTTACTGTTCATCGTAACTCGTCCCAACCGGCGGCGAAAGGTTGTTGACGTAGCTGTTGTCCCCAGACATTGCTGATGTTCTCCTTCATCCCTTCGTCTGTGTATTTATATCTCTGCCTGTCGTGTAATGCATGCTTCGTCAGCTTGAGGTGGTTCCTGAGGGGGGCTCAATCGCCGAGAAGTTCCTGGTGACTCAATTTGTTGTACAGCTTTCGTATTCTGAGCACCTCGCGTCGGAATGCTGAAAGTTTCGATGCGATAGGAAGAAGACGGTACAATGGGTCAACCTTGCAGGCTTCGCGTTCCAAGAATGGCGCCCCATGACCTGAAGCTTGAGGCTGTTAATCAAAGGTGTGGACAATGGAGGGGACGAAGGGCCTCTCAACACCGTCTCCACCCGTGCGCGGTCCGACAGCATAAGGGAATAGTGAAGACGAACGTAGACGTAGCATCTGAGAGTATAGATTCATACATCGTTATTTCAAGTATTCATACAAATTTAGCCCGTCTATTGAGCGTCCTGATTACTTAGAGGTTACTGCCATTTCTTAGTGAAGTATTAAGACTACCTGCCTGAGTTCTTCACTTCATTCTTCCCAACGTTCTAGACAGATTATAAGCTGCCGATATCAAAGTAACGTGTCTTGCGGATGGACATCAGCCACGCCACACGAAAGGTCTTGCGAGGATACATACGTGAATCCTTGTACGGCATTCCCAAGGCTACAAAAAGTACAGGTTAGCTGAATTCGTCGTGGCAATTGGTATGATATTACCCTTCGCCCGCTTCTGAAATCTCCTCCGTGCACAAACCAAGGTGATTCAAATAAAGTAGGAATTCCTGGGGAGAGATGGTTAAGCGGATATGAAAGATCGAGAAAGTAACTTGCCTCAAACATGGCTACGGCACGGGGAAGCATTGACCTGTCATATTCTCCGGCGCGAGTCAGCGCTTCTACGCACCTTCGGAGTGTAAAGCATAAGTATAACGTGACTCCGAGGGGGAGTAAATAATGCCATTACCAAAGGGTGCATAAACAGAAGGTTCCTTCTTCGCCCCCAACACCGTCATCTGACTTCGATACGTCGTAGCGGTAGACCAAATTCTGTCAGGACGGTAAATTTTGGCATCAGCTGTATCATTCAGCGACGCACGTTTGAAGTCAAGCCTCCTCGTTCAGGCGTCTTCAGTATCTGCTTGAGTGTGTTGACGAATCGGGGGTCCGACTAGCGGAGAAATCAGTTGCCACGCTTGTATCGTGGATAAGAACTAAGGTGCTTACCGCTTGCATGAAGAATACGAGAGGCATGATTAACACAGCGGAGTCTAGGACGTCTTTATCTTCGTAACTCTGTCCGAAATACTTCCCTTCGTTGTTCCATGCTTTGTGCATGATATCTTCGTATATGGTATCTCTTGCGGTAAGCCATCGACTACGATTGGGGCAGGGCAAGGAGCGTTTGTCCGCAAGGCGAAGGCCTGGGATTCAATAGGCAATGCTTAACAAGCAGCCACCGAGACGAATACGGTTTACGTACCTCTGTCGATTGCGACCCTTGGATGATAGCTGTTAACACTCAGGGCATGGGGACGAGGGTTGTGAACGTACCAAAGCATAATCTACTCCATGGTCCTGAGAGTTAACAGATGATGATAAAACAAGGGATGGCAAACCTTGGAATACTACAAGTACGATGGGAGATCAGACTTCAATTCACAACCTATCATCGCGAATGTGACACACCGTGAAGTGCCTTTTCTTATTTCGAACCTCCCTTGAAACATTTCAGAGATCAAGCCCAAGCAATCGGGGGGCACTCACCAGATAGATCTAAGCCGAGATGATCAATGTTTGTAGATTGAATAAGGCAAGGAGTATAACGCACAAGTCTGGGTCTTGATAATGTTCAACCACGACTAAGCCCCGGATTCAGCACTGAGCGTAAACGATAGGAGGTTTGATACACACAGTCCACGCTAGGTAGAGGGTACAGTCATCTATCGATATTCAAGCCTGGGAGGTAGAACAGATACACTCACAGTTCACGAACGAGGACCCTGGGTTTTATTCGTCAGCCTCTTTCACTCTCGTAAAGGAAGAAACCCTACCAGTCGTCGTAAGACTTGTAAAAGCAAATCGTATGAGTGTCGACAGAAGCGCTGCAGAGGGACGGTGCGTACCAGTGGCTTCCCAAACTACAGAGTGTCCATGAATTGAAGATTAACGACTAACCAAGGAACCGATTGCTCACCTTTTGGCCCAGATATATACAATCCATACTACCAGAAAATTAGTTCTCGACATCTGCCCGGCATAGGGCAGGCTCACAGCTCTCCGTAAATGTCCTAGATCGGGACCAGACGTTAATGGGCCGCGAAGTATACCATATCACGCCTTGTATCTTACCAGTTGAATATGGTCTGCTGCGCCGTTCCCAATTCTATTTCGACGAGTTGTGAGCACGATACCACTACGCCATTGACATACGCCATGTACCGAACAGGTTTGGATCCCTTGTGACCGTCAAGGTGTGTTAACTCGATCTCCTCTAGCTCCTTTCCACCTGTAGATCGGCGTCCTGAGTATCGAAGGAATTAAACACCAGGTGAACGAACCGTGTATGGTGTACATGATCTGCAAACTTCCGTCAGGGTTCTTATTCCGCAAGCGCTCGAATATGAAATCCATGTACGCTAATTAGCAGGATAATCAGGCGATTAGTCGTCAGGAGCATATTACAACTCACAGTTCGCTTCGTGAGTGTATCCAAGACGGAGTAGGGCATACAGAGTGAAGGACGAATCCCGGATCCAAGATGCGCTAGTGGATTGAAAAGTAGCCTTCAGGTCGAGGGTTGCATATGTAGCAAACGACGTACCGATAGTCCCTATAGTTGGGATCATAGTAAGTAACAGATACAGATTGATTGGACTGATAAAGTGGCGCACCAATTCCTTGTTCCTCCAATGTACTCTGGTAAACTGAAAGTTGGGCTCGCGACAACGGCACCTTTGACGCTGATTAGAATGCGAGGGGGGAGAAGACAAGACACGTACCGGTTGGCTCAAATATGAGAAGTTTCAATGCAAGAGCACTGCGATGCACGGATTCTTTCCACGAGCCTTGGTACGTGGAACGTCGGATCCATGCTTGCCAATATTTGACGGTGGTCTACAAATAAATAAGGACCCACAAGTTTCATGCAGTCCAAAGCGTTTACACACATTTAAGAGACTGCGCACAAGATCCTGGGGCTGTGGTCAGCCATTGAATCATAGAGGCGAAGGCAACACAAGAGATACGGACTGCGGTCAATAGAGGATCTTCAACAGCTCGAGTCTTGATTCCAAGAGTAGTAACCTCCACCTGACTGGAGACGATTCCCGCCCCAGCGTGTTGACCAACTACAGCGTCGGGTCCGTAGGAATTGCCGGTAGTTGAAGGAGGGGTCCGAAGAACAAAAGCAATGCATTGCCCCTCGGTGAGGTTTAGGTCACAGGTTACAGCAAGTCCAAGATGTCCTTTGGCGGACAAATCTAACGGGGAGAGATCAACTACCGGTGCCGCTACATTGTCCTGATTGGAAGATATTGAGAATAGCGCCGATCATGGTATCATATGGGACCCTACTCACCACTGTACTTTCTACTACGTATCTAAGGTCTAAGGCGAGATCCCTAGAATGGAATGTCGCTCTTTGTCGAGGGTGATGGTTCGGTGCAGAAGTATCTTCTTCAATGTTCAATTCATGCTTGTCGCGAGCGTAATTGAACGCGGGTGCACATTCCATTCGCAGAGGAATTTCGCCACGAATCACCTGAAACGGGATCCAATAAAGTTATGGAAACTGAGAATGTTTTAATGGTAGGGGCGCACTTCAACGCGTCGGATTAACCATGGAAGCAACGGTTCATTTGTTCCCGACAGGGGACGGGGGAGGAAATCTGATGAAGATGAGTAACTGGGGGTTAGATGCCACCGCGGATATATCACCAACCAGTCACGCTGACGACTCCTTTCTCGTTTAGAAATCTAGTAGATAAGAATCAGAAATGCGTCAAGTCAGGGCGGAGATAAAGCGCACTTCGTTTGGAGGACCTAAAGTCAATGAACCGGATAGTTATTCGAAAATACAATGAAATGGAGGGCTAAGCCATACATTTGAACTCGGAAGATAGTTCTGTTTCGTCGTAAAGGGTACAATAGGTGTGATGGAGAAATGGCCTCCCTGGATAAATTCTAATTCAGAATTCAGCTGAAATACGCCTGAAAGGTGGTAGATTACCTTGTTCTTGTCAAGGATACGAGCAAAGATGGATGGAGAGTCGAAATTTGGGACGCAGTAACTCTCAACTTGACAGACCCTGTCAGGTTTGAGATTCTGCAGAGATAAGGCACGCACTTGATCCATCGAGGCTAACCTACACCACACGGCTGATAAGAATTATTTTATTCTAGTGAACGGATTAATTTACCATTGCAGCTGTTCTTAGGTTCCCAATCCTATGTCGGCACCGGTTAATCATTTGGCCTGCCCAAAGCCTTACTCCTATGCCAGCACTCACAATCCATGATCAGAGATCGCGATATAATCTCTATCTGTCTTTGGCTCGAGAACGTTCGACATTTTGGTCAACTTGAATTTCAGCCAACTGTGCGGAGAGAGTGAGGATGATGGACTGCGCAAGCCCGTTATTTATGCGGATCGATGGCATTAGCGCCCAGTGAAGAATAGTTCAGGGATTGGCCGTCGATGTCCGTCCGGCATGGGCAGATGGTGTTCATGACTCACCATATCTTCGGTCGTGACCCGCTGACATGCAATAAGCGTTCGTGATGCTCATCTCCAAGCGCCAGTTCGGGATCTCATGGGCATACAAGGAGAAAGCAACCTGCTGAGCGTTATGTGAGCACTTGGGGAAGTGTGAGCATCTATTCCTGGAACTATCCACGCCGACTTAGCGACTATCACTCGGTAAAACCTTTGCGTCGAAGACCCGGGGACGCGTTTTCACAATGTTTTCATCCAGGGTCTATATGAAGGGTTAAATTTTCAGGAGGAGTCATCCATCGTCTTTGGGGGAGCCGGAATCCACAGAGGAGAAAGATATCGACGCGACGTAGATTGGACTTGAGGCAACAGTGAAGCTGACCAGTGGCCACCGCGTCCCCGAACGCGACCAGTCTGAACGCGCGCATCACATGACTGCATACTCCTAGTACGTACCCCTGAACAGGCTCTTGATTTGATGCCTATCTTCAATGTACACTTGCTTATAGTCGTCTCAAGGGTTTGTGCATATGGCGTGGTTTATGTTCGAATTTCGCATTTCGACTTGCTTATGAAGACTTGCCGATTCTGCTGCGGAAACTACTCGAGCGTACGGCAACGAACTTCCGCCTGTCTCTTGTGAAAAAGAAATCTAGGTACAATATTGATGCATCAGAATGAATCTACTTGCGCTGCTCCGCAGTCTTGCGACAGAGCTACCTGTAGAACGTGCTAGTGCTGCGGCAAGAAATGTTGTTCAAGTGAACGGCTTGCCACCAGCACGATGGACCTTCCGTGTGTTCTCATGCACGAAAATATTTCATAATTTTCTCCCGTAATTTCAGTTCGTAGCATCTTACTGCTGCGGTTTGGCAGTCTCCTTCGCTTAAGAATGCATACTCTTGAAGCATCGAGCCACAACCCACTTCATTCCCTACTAGTACGAACGCCTTAAATGACCTTTCCATCGCCCACCGGAGGGGCTTCAATACTCCACGAAGACTTCGTACCCTCGATCATTTTTGCGGTTCTATATGGATGCATGGTTCCACTCATTTTCTACCGCCTGGCCCACCGACGTTCCCGTACACTGGTCATTGCTGGATGCGCAAGCTTGTCCATCGAAAGGTACTCTCGGCCTTGTCTTGGCCAATACTTATGTCGACTAATCAATGTTACAGAATCGTCGTGCTTTCTCTCAGAGCGAATGCGTCACAAACGGAATCCACCGGCCCAATTAAATACATGCAGACTTCCATTGGGGTTGGATTCTTGTCCATATGCCTATCGTACAAGGACCTTGTCCAGTGCTTCCTCATCAACGCGACATACGGAACGGACACTTATTATCAGGCCCCTGTGTGCTCAGGCGCAAGGAATGCTTCCAAGACGCAAACACAGTTCCAAGAGATTCTGGCTTCGCAGCCTATCCTCCGAGTAATATATTCAACACAACGTGTGGCAGACATGCCTAGGGCCCGCTCTACCGCTCGTAGGATCGGAGGACTCTGCTTCTTGGCCTTCCTAGGGGCGATCGTGACGGGCATTCTTGCCGCCGTTAAGTACTCTTCTCTGATCAATAACAATAGTGAAGCGGGGAATATGATGATGCTACGGTAGGTATTTCGTACAAGGAGGATACGTTGCTGACATTCGGGCACAGATACGTCAGCGCCGGTCTAGCATTAGGTACCCTTCTCATCGTAGGCTGCGGCATGGCTCTGGGTTATCTATACTTGCCTCGCGCAAACTCAGCCGCGTTCAAGTTGCTTGTGGCTGTATGGCTCCTCTTGGTGAGTCGCGAACACTGCCCTTCCCAATATTTTAACCAATCGAAAGTATGGCAGTGCACCGTTGCAATATATCGAGCCGCCGTCCTTCATAACACCACTTCTTCTTTCACCTCTACCGAGCCCGGATCACTGAACTCGCCCGCGGACAAAGCATTTTTCTATATCTTCCAGATATTACCAGAATGGTTGTCCATCCTCGCCTTGTTTTCAGTCAATGCTCGCGAGATCGTAGGCTCGGGTCCTTGGGGAGACTGGAGAGGGAAAGATGAGTCACAGGCAGCAAAAGTGAAACGGGAGAGGAAGGCCGCAGAAGTGTTGATAATGAAGCCAATGAATGGACCGCCAGTCGCAAGCGACGGCGAACCACCATAGTTCAACATACATCCCCCTTCACATTTATATACCGGTGGACAATGCTCCTTTGACTACATCACTAGAAATTCTTGTTGCTTCACCGTCGCTAAGCCAGTTCAATCTCTGCCCTCTACTACATCATAGTCCATCTCCCAGTCCTCCCACCATTGCGACGACGGTGAATATTCACGGCGGAAGCGAAGTCTCACCGATGGAACCGAACCAAAGAAGAAATCATACGATGGGGGGAGACGCTTCGCTTCAACCCCCCCTACGGCGGCGTCCCATTCAATCCCCGCGCCGAAGCTAACACAAGAAAGGCTCCGCATGACACTGAAAGCTTTCATGACCCCGTCGTGGTAGTGGGAACTGGGCGTGTCGAGCTTTTTCAAGGGCAATGTAGCGTCGAAACGTATGTGACGAAGCTTCGGTGCGTTGAGTGTAGTGATTCTTGACAGTAGTGCTTGCCTCGACGTAGGCTAATTCACACCGCTATATCAGCAACACATTTTTATCCGTGTCGTATGGCGAAATTCATGTAGAAGACTCACAGGAGGAGACAGTTGCAAGCGCTCCAAGTTAGGCATGCGTGAAACCAGATTTTCCAAGCGATCGAACTGGATAGTCTTCACAACGAAGACCACCACGCTGCGGAGCGCGTCGCAATCCAGGGCTGACCAATGGAGACTATCATCGTCGTCGTGCCACCTCGTTTCGATCCTCAGATGCGTGACGTTTCTTCCAATTATGATGTTTGGTGCAGTCTGGAGAGAGACATGGAGCACACGTAGGTTCTGCAAGCTTCCGGGGCGGATCTGTAGAGGTCCGTCGAACCAGGAAGTGAGGCCCAAGTACTCGATTAAGGGCTGAGACTCGATGAATCGAGCGAGGCTGGCAGATTCTACACCAGGTGTGCCAAAGACAAGGCACGAGAAGTGTGTTAAAGAGAAGAACCCTCCGAGCTCGTGGAGACATGCAATCGACTCGACCCCAAGCCCAACAATGTGCAGTCGTTCTAGCAACGGAAGCCTTTGAAGCATAGGCTTGTAGATGTCCCGATATCTATCTTCACAAAAAGCGGAGATACCCAGAGTTATCTGCCGCACTTGACTTCCGCACTTATTACCGGGGGATTCAGTTATTGTCCGTAGAAAGCGTTCGGAGGTTCTGATAAGGCCAGAAACGAAGTGAATTTCGGCATAGAGGAATGGGCCAGCGATCAGATATAACTGATGGGACACAAATAGCAGGGTGTGCAGCGTCTGACGGTCGACGAGCGCGACTATGAAATGGATGAGCTCTGCGGGTAACTGAGTCATTTTCTGGTTGATGTTATCGGTGCAGCAGTGAGCGCTGAGGCCCGATCGAGTTTGACACCGCCACTGGGCGCTTGTTCCCCTATCAGTCCCCTTTTTGACTTCAAATCATATTCAGTTCCGTCACAGCCCATGAAAGGCGGATGGGCTCTAGTCAATAAAATCAATTGAATATGTGGTCTAATGGAGATTGTAATGAATTTCTGTACTGCGGAAGATGTTGCGAGCGAGAATGAGGAGAACAAAGCGATATGTAGTCATATATGTCAAAGACGAGCAATTAAAGAGGGAGATAGAGCCAGCTGAGCAACGCGGCGAAGTTCTTCATCTTCCAAGATTCCCCGCTTTGAACCTCTGCTAATACCTCTAGGCACCAGTCTTGCCCGTTCCACCCATTTCCCGGACGTCGGACAGGCATCCCATCGGCAATTTCTCCTAGGACCTGGCGTTGAGAGAACGTCATCTTGTCCTTGATAGAGATGTATATCCTTTCGGGATGGTCCTCCGGATTGTCCGCCACTATGAGGCCGCCCCAATTGGTGAGATGATCTTCGCCGGTGGGTAGTTCCTCTGGAATGATTTGGAAGCGTCGCTGGGCTACGTTGCCGCTGCCAGTAAATCCAATATCCCATGCGAGCATCCAATGAGCGCTCCTGTTTAACTGGGTATTGAGTGGACGAGTATGGCCGTCGGTGTGAGGCGGGCAGATAATCAACTTGACGAGAAGAGGATGGGTCGGCTCCTTATAAGATAGAAGGCCCACGGGGCCAGTGCGACCAGATGGACGACCGAACTTGTCAACACAAACACGGATTGCCATCCTTTCTTCTTACGTTCCGGACGTTGAATTTGGAGGATGATTCTGGTGCTTCGTGATCGCGTCGGGCTGAAAGTTACTACCCAGGTCAGGCAAGTCACGAAGAAGTCCGTTTGAGCGCCTGACTTACCTTTTAGCTGGGAGACGGCTAGCAATGTTCCGTGCTCGTGGGTGTTTGAGTTAAGCACGATGAAGTGCCTTTATATTGCAGTGCGAGTAGAAGTGGCCACATCCACATAAGAACAATGACGGATGTGAGCCAAACAAACTGTATAACTATACTCGGTAGATAGAGTGGCCACGGACAGGTTATGGGAGTGGTTATATACCATGATCAAGTCCTATAGTGACAGGGAAAGCGTTGCTCAACTTGGAGTAGACAAGTTTCGCTATACGTGATTTCCCGCTTTCTCTTAAGGCGTAGCGATATCGATGCAGCACCTCTATGGCAGAAGTCTATGGCAGAGCAGATTAGAACAGCGAATATCACAAATGGTGTGAATGCCACAACGCCGACATAGAATAGCTCCTTATGCCAAGGGACTTGTTCCTCCATCTTGCCTATGACACGCCGGTGACGGAGAGTTTCACGAATAGTCATTGATGGACTTTAGCGAACCCACAGATACAATAAGCAGCCAAGAGGTAACAAGCATTTACAGTAGCAAGATTCAAGATGCATCACTTCGCACTCGTGTTTTGTGGGAAACGGCTGAGCTGGATTGGGTTGCCTTCAAGCCGGAAATGGCTGGATATTGTTCCCGGCGTATCGACCGTCAAGACGTAGTCGCCAGGGAAGAGCCATGTATTGCCCTCTGTGTCCGCCCGGGCCAGAGAACCCAAAGTTACTTTGAGCTCTGCCCGACTAGAAGACCGAGTGTTGATCCCATGCAACCTTGTATAAGACACCAGCCTTTTGTTAGGCCTCGGAGCAGGGCCAGCGTTCCCACTGGCGAACAGAAGGGCGACAAAGTCGGACTTCCTTGATCCAGTATTGCGAACAGTGACTCGGAACGTGTCGAATGTGATCAAGTCTGGTGTTTGTGAACGGCGGATGGCCGATGCGAAGTCGGAGGTACTGTATCGCGCCTTCGGAGCTTTCTGCCACGACAAAGCAAATGTCGTGAAGTGAAGTCCGTGGCCGAATTCAAAGACGGGCGTCCCTGAGTACCACTGGTACGTGCGACCTGGATTTGCACTTGTTGGACGAAGAGTCATATCAGTCATGGGGACTTGATCGACATATCCGGCTTCATATTGTGTGGTGGGGAGGCGCCCAGCGGGGGAAACCTTCCCTGTCAAGATATCGAATACGGCCGTTCCACCGCTTTGGCCAGGATAGCCGCCCCAGACGATGGCATTCACCTACATGCGATGGGATAAACACCGAACGGTTGGACTGATATGGAACACGAACCTTGCGACTGTTTTTCAAGGAGGTGTCATCCACTTGGCCGCCACCGAACTGAAGTACAACAATTGGCTTGCCCACCGCCTGCAGCTCGGAGAGGAGGTCGAGTTGATTTCCAGGCCAAGTGATAGCAGTACGGTCACGACCCTCCCTCTCAACCGTAACTTCGTCTATTCCCCCAGCGAAGATGACCAAGTCGGCGCCTCGAGCGGCAGATAAGGCTTCTGCGAAGCCATCGGTGGTAGTACCCGTCATAGATGTACCAAAAGCAAAGGTAGCCTTGAACCCAGCGTCCACGGCGCCCTGGAAAGGACTAACGAGGAAAGGCGCCACACCGTGATAATTGCCTTGCATTTGTGTTGTCGCGTTCGCCCATGGACCAATAACAGCGACGCTCCTGAATTTCTTGCTTAACGGAAGAATGCCGTCATTTTTTAAAACTACGATGCCTTCTACGGCTGCCTGGTGAGCGAGAGCCTGAGCGCTCGGGACGTTGACATCAGCCCAATCGATTTGACGGAATGCCTGGCTCTCCGGAGGGTCGAAGTAGCCTAGTCTATCAAGCAAATTCGCATGGTAAGCCTTCTGTAGTCGTGGTATTGACGTAGAGAAGGGAACGTACCGAACTAGAGATGTGTATAGCCTGACCATACCTTTCTCTAGGTCCGCCCTCGTGACCAGGGATTGGCTCAATGCATCGGGTAGATGAAGGGCGTAAGCGGAACCACAGTCCACATCAGTCCCTGCCTTCAATGCGTCAGCAGCTGCTTGAGCGGCCGTGGACGTAAAGTTGTGGGTGCTAAAGATGTTATCGACGGCATCGCAGTCCGACGTGACCCATCGATCTTCGTCGAATCCCCACAAATCTCTCAAAATATCCTGCAGCAAAAACGAATTCGCGCAGGACGGGACTCCGTTCACTTCGTTGTAGCTGCACATGACCGAAGCGACTTTGGCATCCCTGACACACGTTTGGAATGGTGGAAGGTAGAACTCGCTGAGATCCTGGGGAGTGACGGTAGCATCGAAGTGGAAACGGTCGATGCCTTGCCAGAGTTCGAGGTCATAAGCGGCAAAGTGCTTGCAGTCCGCGGCCACCTTGAAGGTCTTCGGGTCGATTCCGCCTTGAAGGCCGTCAATGAGCTGAAGCACATATTGAGAGATGTGAAATGGATCCTCTCCAGGGGTCTCTTGACCACGTCCCCATCGGGGATCCTTGAACGGGTTGATATTGGGAGTGAAGTAATCCAGGCCTGAGCGGCCAAAGTTATTGAACGCCCGAGCCTCCGTGCTGATCACAGTTGCAACGGATTTGATGAGGGCGTCGTCGAAAGCAGCCCCTAGGAGGATAGGTTGAGGGAATGACGTAGCAGAGCTGAAATTCCCGGAGGGAGCGAATGTAACACCAGGACTAGAAGCAACCCCGTGCTAGAACGCCCATCGTGTGATTAGCCCTCGGTGAGAACAAACGCCAGGAGAGCGTGCTTACAAGGGCTTCTGACCACCAATTATAGCTTGGAAGTCCCAGCCTCGGCACCCCGGGCGATTCGTTCACCATGTTTGACATGAGCTCGTCATCGGTAAACAAGCTAATTACAGCTTGAGCTCGTTCTCTGGCGCTCTTGCTGGTGTCGCAGACCGTGTTGTTCTTGAGGGGTCCATTGGCACAATCAGGGAATCCAGCAGCCAGGATGAAATGCGGGCATAGACATGCCACCAAGACGATGGGTAACAGATGCCTGGTCATGATAATCTAGCTGAGACTTGGAGTGGTAATAGCATCTTATATACTTCTCGGCCCCAAATGCGGACCTTCGTCGCACCGTCGAATGCCACTAAGCGTATGCTTCGCGATCATGGGGCTCGTTGGTGGTGTAGATTGGCCCACGTCGGACCGTGTAAGGCAGCAGCGCCGCGAAGCAAACGCATCCGATTGAGAGAAGTCAAGCCAGGGGGATGAGCGTAGAGCGAGGCATATGCATAAGTACCGGGTCATTCGTTCATCCTTGAGCTTCCAACACGCGCAAGCGTATGAGATCACAATGGTGAACTTCGTCGGAAGAATTCTTTGAAATGGTTCTATCAAGTATGTCAACCTTGTGACTGCCATTGGGTGAGAGATACGACAAATAAGATGACTGAAAAGCACCTGGCTCGCACTCTTAGTGAGCATTCCGTTGTAGCGGCTGGGTTCTAGGCTCGATGAAAATGACAAAGTCGCCGTAGATGCTAGCGACGAGGACGGAGGAGATAATGGACATAAATACTGATTACAAGAAGCCACCTTTTGATCCAGATCCAAACCTGTCTCCGAGGCTCTTCGCATCCTTGAGCATCTTTGCCCGAGTAGAATCGTCCATAAGTCTTCCTCCGAGAGACATATCTCTGCCATGTTCCCATATAGCGCTCGCTTTTGGGTCATCATCCTGCTTCGATGATTTGGCATGGCGGTCTACGAGGGCTGAGCCTCGTATGTTGCGCTACGGTGCTGAAGTAAACACGATAGCCTAAGCATATTAAGGAGTGCACGCACCGTATGCTCCTCGACCCCCTTCCGTATTGCTTCATCCACCCTTCTCTTCTTACGCATCTCTAGCTCTTCTTCGACTGATAGCGCGGGTTCAGCATTAGCAGCTCTGCGTTTCTTCCCTGCGACTTCATCAGCAATTCGTTGTTGACGTTCTGCGGGCGTCTCTGTCCATAGTGAGTTGTCAACTTCACGAGCAGGCGCTGCAGAACGGGAGAATTGGCGGGGTTTGTTAAGTTTTGTAGGATCCAAATCTGCGCAGGCCTGTTATGCAATATGATAGATGAAACTTTCACAAGAAACTCACTGCCTAACAAATCAGAGGATGATGGCGGCACCAACATCCATTCGTCTCGCTTCAGGGTTTTTGGTTTCGCTGCTTCCTACACTGTCTCGACCTTCATACATCAAGATGCAGCATCTAACGGCTCACCTCCGCGTTCTTCCTTCTGGCCTCTTCCTTTTCTATGAACTGCGCAACGGCATCCTGCTCCCTGTACTTGATGCCTGCGGGCAAGGGCTTCGGCCCAACCTCGTCATCATCAGAGTCGTCGAAAGTTACGCTGCTTCCTGGAGCAGGCGGGAAAGATGGTCCTAATATAGGCCTTGCGGGACGTACTTTATCACTTGATCTTGATGCGACTAAGTCTGGGGGTAGAGGGGTGTAGTCGTCGTCGTCGTCATCGTCGTCGGGAGCAGTAGTAAGTGCATGCGGAATTTTCGGGCCTATGGAGGGTTCCCCTTGCTGCTCGTCTCCTGGGGTGGTATTTCTCAATAGATGAGCGGGAATCTCTGGTCCAATGCTGGGCATTACAAAGTGGCGGTGATCATTGTTGAAGGGAACGGCAAGGTTTCCACAATATAAATTCCCACGGTCAGTAATACGTTTCCACGATCAACGTTTCTTAGCTATCCCTGACATCGTGGCAGAATCCCAGCAGCCACTGGTATCGGAGAGAGACAAAGCCACCCAATGACCAGGATATTGTTCCTGAAGTGAGGCTCGTCGAAACTGGATTAGCCACCCCCACAATCGGCCTGAGTCTTACACATCCATACCCGGAAGTAGAACAGAAATTGCCTTTTATAGTCATTTTAGATTAGCGCCGCAAGCCAATTATGGCCATGGAGGGGAGGCATTGTCTGCGAAGTGGCCAGCATAGCCCTCATGGACATGCAAAGTAGCCACTACATTAAGTGGCAATATACCGAGTATATTAAAAGGCGGCTAGACAGGGTTGGAACGAATTGAAACCAAACTACCACTTACTAGTACGTCGCCCATTTACTCTTTAAGGGTTCACTGAGCAATTCGTAGCCTCAAGGAATGTCATATTTCCCTACAATCAATCACCCGTACTACAACCGCCGCGTCGGTGTTTTCAGCATCGAGGATCCCAACAAGCCTCTGCAAGTCTACCTTGTAGTGAACCCCCGTTATCAACAAGGGTACCCTGCGGCGAAGGACGTTCAGTGGCTATTCGCCTGGGATATGGGCGTGAACAAGGACGGAGACCTCATACAGCGACGTTTGGAACTCGACTCTGGCTTCGACAGTCTCAGCAACAATGGCCCAATCACCTGGACTGTCAGCAAGGCGGAGAAGGCTTCTAGCATCAGTGTTGCTATCCCACTCAAAGTTATGAGTCTGGCACAAAGAAAATCCTTGGAGACTATCGCAGTAGCCGCAAAGGTGAAGACACCTGGCGCGGCTTGTAACTCCCAGAATTGGTGCGAAGAAGTCATGGATCAGGCGCAGAAGAAGGGATTGCTCACCTCGCAAGAAATAAAGACTGCCTCTGATGCCGCAAGGCGCGTTGCAGTCCCGAAGAAATGATCCTCGTTGCTCATCTGTACTTGAATGTAACTTCCGTCGTTTCTACCTACTTGCTACCAAATGTCTCAGTTCCGAATAATATTATGATCATACATGTAACTTTGGTGAACAGAATTCTGATTTTGTGGAGCAAACGTTAGTGAAGCTAGATACCTCCACCACCCGTGACCTCCAATGTGTGGCCGGAAACGTACGAAGCGAGAGGAGACGACAGGCTGCAACGACGTCAGATAAGAAGTGGTAAACGAAATTCAGGGGCTTACAAGAGGACGGCACCAGCAGCTTCGTCAGGAGAGGCGCCACGTCTCAAAGGGATCGAGGGAAGATCCTCCTCATCCGATGGGCCCTTGGCACCGGGTACACCAAGAGCGACCTTCTTTCCGTCAATCTCAATAGCGGCACCCTTTTCTTTGGCTGCAGTGAGTCTACACAAAACGTTATGGTAAGCGATTAAACATACTATCAGGTGTTTAGTATATTGCTTACCGAGTGTGAACAAGTCCAAAGGCAATGGTGTTAGCCCGCACACCGAAGGGGCCCCATTCTTTCGCGGTCGTCTTTCCCAAACCAATGACAGCAGCCTTAGCAGCTGCGTAATTCGCCTGTCCAACATTGCCGTGTAGGCCACTGGTTGAGGAAACGTAAGTTATCGACCTATTCTCCCGTTGATCGGCGTGCTACATCACAAAGAAGTGTTAATGGAAAACAGGAAAAGGGAGCGTCAGCTAACCTTAAGGCGGTAGTAAGGAGCGGCCTGTCGCACGAGTCTGAACGGCGCACGAACGTGAATTTTCATGATGATGTCGAAGGCATCATCTGGGGTCGTATGAAGCATTCTGTCGTAGGTGAAGCCGGCTAGACTTGGGTCAGAGAAGAAATGGCACGGAAGACATACCACCCACCATTATTGACAATGTGGTTGATCTTTCCGTATTTCCTATAGACGGGTTTCATATTCGACCTGTCGCGTCAAAAATAGAGTATACGCACGCTATCGTGGCGTCGACAATCTTCTTGGGGAAGTCGTCTGCGCCAACATCACCAGCGACACCAATAGCATCTCCACCGGCGGCTTTGATTTCTGCTACAACGGCATCCAGCCTCCCTGCGTCGATGCTTCGGGGTGGTTAGGGTAGATCCGGACATTACAAACATTGGCGACTCACTCGCTCGCTACAACTTTAGCTCCCTCCTTCGCGAACAGGAGGGCAGTGCTACGACCTATTCCCTATGGATCCCCAAGGTCAGTTAATACAGGGGCTGGTTGCACGAATGCTATATACCTGGCCAGCTCCGCTAGAACAGCAATGAGCTAACCGCCGCATTACACAGACTACATTCACACTCACGTTATGATGGCGACTTCGCCGGCGAGCAAGCCACGCCCGTAGGTATTCGTCAAATGTCCTGAAACTTGGGATAGACGGTCGGCCATTGCTTTGTGATCTCTGAAAGGTTATGTCGTGGGTAAACCCGGTGTCATTGACTTTATAAAGTGGGGTCCCGGCAATGTCGACGTCCGGTGTGAATGGAATGAGGTTTGTCACGCCCCTGCCCCCCTGAACCGGAACGCTTATCATTCCACCCGGGGTTGAGAGGAGGGCCGAGGGCCGGCGCCCGCAGGCCAAGTTTCCGGACATTGGCAAGAGACAAGCAACAAAAGCTTTCGACCGTAGCTCGTTGAGATACTGACCTCAATCTCTTCATTCCCCGGCGTTGAGGCAACGCTATCGTGGATATGTGTGGTCGGCATTAAAAGACATGTGCGCCCCTTGCATGTGTTCGTCAGGTCCTTACTTCAGACCACGTTGCGCGATTGTTTAGGTGTGGCTCCCGTTCGCGTGATATGGTTTTGCTTCGACGCCATCGACCGTCGACGGTCGTGACTTCGAATGCTCACGAGCGCCGAAGGATCCCGCCCCCGTTGTTATAGGTAGTACCAAGGTACCAAGCGCGCGGCCAGTATACAGACAATCGAGAAGCCGGAGATTCCACTTCGAGCAGGTCAACAAGTCGCTCTCACGAAGTTGTGATTGCGCTGTGATGCCTGATCTGTCCGCATCGACAGGCTGTTCAAATGGTTAGCGCAACAATGGCGCCCGCTCAACAGCCTTCGTCTTCCCCAGCATGCCCCCGATGATAACCAAGAAACAGCGCGACACCGCGTTGACCGTCGCCATCACCGTGTCTTCCGTTGGCAAAGATGTCGCCGACATGCTTGGTGTTCCGTTTGTCAAAGGCGCTGCATCTATACTGCTCAATATTCTGAACACGATTCAGGTGGGCCTCGTACTTTGTTTGGACTGCCGCCTGCAATACTAAAGGTTAGCTAGAAAATGGAAGGAGACAAACAAGGCTGTTTGGAGCTTGCTACACGAGCCGTGGTCATGCTCCAAGAGCGTAGGAAGCAACTTGGAGACAAATGGGACGCGGCCCCTGGGCTCGTAGTGTACCTGACGGCATTTGAGACGTACGAAACAGTGTCAAGCGTCACCCACACCTCTACTCACAATGCACATGTGCTTAGAACTCTACAAGAGATCTCAACTTTCATGGAACGTCTTGCGGCTACAAATTTCATCAAGCGTCTGGTCTACAGCAACGACATCCGTGCTGATCTCCAAAAGTTCGGCACAATGTTGTCTGATGCAAATGAAAGACTCAAGGTGGGACTTGAGGTTATCCCGTGGGGTAGGAATGGTTCTAACGCACTTCAAGACCGCTATTATCACCGAAGTATACCTAGTTGTTATGAAGCTTCAGAGTGCCGCCGAGGCCCCCGTCACCCCTCTTGCAGACCCAGCTCCAGACGATGAAAACACGCCTGATGGCCCGAGTACCCAAATTGTCGAAGCTTCAGACCCTCAACCAGGGTGCCTTGAGCCGGCTGCGACGACTACGCTCGCTCCTACTCCCACGCGACCAGCGGTAGAGACACAGTATACTTCCCTGAGCCTTTTGATAGGTCCCTTGCCAATGTTCGATGCTATCCCTCCGCCTCTGGACACCCATATGCTTCGGCTTATTGATCCCTCCTACCTCGTGCTGCGACGCCTTGAAATTCCAGGCTCTGTCGACTCAATACATCACCTCTTGATGAACGAGCGTGTCCTCCCTTCCCTTACTCTCGCGGACGGCGTGAAAGTGCAGGTCGGTGATCTGGGATACCTTCCGTCCTCACCGTATACGGCAGACGGCTTCGCAACTGATTTTAGGAAGCTGTGCAACGTGTTTGAGGACGGGCTGGCGAGCTATGCTGTTGAAAGGAGCGCAAGTGGGAGTGCCTGGGCTACTGGGGGTCGTGGGACCGTCAGGGAGCCTTTGGATGGGATAGAAATGTTCGACGGTGGTGTTAGGTATGCAATCGTATTGCGGCAGTTTTTGTAGCATGCTTAACGGTATCTGAAGGTGGACAGTAGCTGCACCGCCAGGACAGGGTATGCGTGCGCGAGTTATCCTATCCCGAGCGATAGCTTCGACAGCCAACACCCCAGACTTCCTTCGTACGTACGGAGAACTCATCGCGAACGAGTTCAACAAGCGGGATGGTTTATCAATAGAAGCGAAAAACCTTGCGCTCAGTAGGCCTCGCTTGCTCCTTTTCTGACAAATGGTAGCTGAATTTGTGTACTTCTTTCAGTCACACAAACGGGTCACGATCAAGACATCGTCCTGAAGAAACGAGGCAAACACCCAAGCGTGGCTCCACCGACATATGTACATTGGATGACATCCTATAGTCCCGTATTTGAGGCATACCTTACTCTGAACCCAAATCCGGTACGAAGCAGTGGCATGGATAATTTCCCTGGGCACCATGAACTTTTACTGTAAGTTGCCCGTTCCTTTAAGTCGAGGTACATGATAGACTGACAACTGTACTGAAGGCCTAATCAGTTTGTAAAGTTTATCCAGATATGGGGTGATAGTGTTGAGACCGATGTCATCTAGGGAGTCCACATACATGTGGTTACCTTTATGACAATATGTTTTTTCGTCGGCTACGCAACAAGGCAGAACGGTGCAGAATATATGCTAAACTTACTTTGAGCCTGAAGGGAGATTACTTCTTATTGATCACGTGGCTAGAAAACCCACGCGCACCGTGTGCTCGCCGGCGGTTCTTCTATTCGGTCCAAATTCAAGTTTGTTTTAACTCCGGCGAGGTGCCCATGATTTAACAACCGTTGTTACGTTGTGCTTAAATACAGCCTCGGATCCCCATTTCCTTGAGACCATGTTTTCTTTGCCCCCGTGGCTTCTGTTGGCTCTCCGTTCGCGAAGAAAGTGGAAGACTTTCATTCGATGCACCCTTGTCCTCCTCGCCACGCTTGTGTTGCTCGTGGATAATGTGACGCTGCAGAACATGGGACAGGCGGGATTCTTTGCTGCGTACGTATAGCTTCTCTCGAAAGGGCGCGAGGGGATCCCCTAACATCATTGCAGGATTTTGGCAATAATGCTTCCGCCTTCGATGCCATTGACCCTGTTCATCCTCGCGGGGTTGACCTTGGGCATCGGTATGCTCCTGGGATGGGCGTGGGGCGCCGCTGCCATGGCCGCTGCTCTCAAGGCCCGGAGCCAGACTCTCCTGAACAGCCAGCTGCAACTTGCGCAGGCATCGTAAGTCCGTTGCCTCGCTCCAACCGCTGAAACCGACTTTCGTCTTAGCTTGGATCCAAACGTGCCGGTGCAGCTGCAATTCCAACAGTTCATATTTCAAGGTCGATTCCTCGACGCGCGCTCGTCGGCTGTCTATGGCGCATTCATCTTCATCGGCGCATTCTTTCTCGGAGCGTTGAGGGGCTTCGTGCCCAATCTCGCCCTGGTGTCTATCTTCGGCTTGATCGTTCTCGATGTAATGTGCTCATATGGACCTCGTGCGTGCCTCTCTGTGTATCTGTGCCAGCTGGCTAACACAGACACGGGCAGTGTTCTACGCTTCGCAATATACGATAGCGAAGCAGTTCCTACTTCCCACGTCCTATTACCTTGCTATCGCCCTTGCTTCGCTTGTCCTGATATTCCCCGAGACGCTGAACCATGCGTGGCTGTCTCTCCTCTCCGACTCCGTGTTCAGCCCGACAAAACAAACTCTCGGGGTGCTTTCGCAAGCTCTGTCGAGCCGACCGTCTGACCGTGCGACATGGGAATCTTTCACGCAAAAGGGCGGAAACCTCCGCCGTGCGGTGATCGCTGGAACACAAGGTTTACTAGGGCAAACTGGCCTTCTCGACGTCGAGTTCTCGTTGGGGCGGTTGGGGCCTGGCGACTTGAAAAGGATCAGCGGGGAGATGAAGTCGCTGATGTTCAGAACGAGGTACGTGTGTAATTAGCTTGTTTTGATTGTGTTTTACGGTGAGCCCAGCGGGTTGCTTTCGTTCCTCAATTTCGTGCAGGAGGGGAACAAAATGGACGAGAAGGAGGAGGAGGAGGAGTTTGGGCGGCCAGCGTCTTCCACACCGAGTACGAAAGGCGAGAAGCAGGATGGGCGGCTACGCCGGATCGGTTTACTTTGCTTAGGCGGCGGATGCGCGAGCACGAGCAGCGACATGGCCACGACCTCGATTCTCTGGTCCCAATTTTGGAACACGCATCCGTCGGACTGAGGAGTGCGTGCGATGATGTCTTGCGAGAGATAATTGCGTGGTTTGATATTTGCAACTCGAGGCGCTGGCGATCGTTGTTTTTTGATATGATCGGGCGCGGGCAGACAGACGAGGACATTCGGAAGAAGCATGAGGACTTGGTTGCACTGCTTGAGAGGCTTACGGCAGAAATAGGCTCCTTCCAAAATGAGGGCAGGGGGAAGCTTATAGAGCCGTATAAGCAGTTCTTCGATGTTGAGACGGGGAAATTGAAGGAAACAGCGAAGCACATTCCTACGTCAGAGAAATTTACGTCGAGGTTTGTCCCTTTGCTAAGGACTCGTCACCACTTATTGACCTTGCTTTTCTGCATAGGTCTCTATTCCTATGCTTTGTTTTCTGCGATACGCTCGTCGTGTTTTCCGAGCGTCTCGCGAGAGTCATGAGCCTCATTATCGATCTTGACCGGAAACGACCGAAGGTGAGACTGTGGGCACCAAGCGGTTTTGGAAAAATCGGGAGGAAGTTGATGAAGACCAGAGCTTATGAAGGTGAGGATATCAAAAGTGTGGTCCCTCTGTCAATGGGCACCGCAGCGGACCCATCGGAATACATCGATAGCGAGAACAGCACGATGAGGGGTGAGGACGATGTAGACGATGATGAGGATAGCACGAGGGAACGTTCGCCCCCTCCCAATAAGAAAGCTCAAGCGGACCTTGATGATCGATGCGAACGTTAGTGGCTGTTGCCTCTTAACTCCTATCAACTCATAATCTCGCTGCAGGCCGCAACCCCGACGCTTTACCTCCAAGAACTGGCATGGGCCGATTTGCCGTTCGTTTGGGTTCGTTCTTCCGCTGGTTCAAATCTGCCGAAGGGATCTTTGCTCTACGGACGGCTGTTGTGACGCTGGCGCTGTGGATCCCTGCGGTTGCACCATCGAGTGCGGGATTCAACTACCAGCACAAGGGGCTGTGGGCGTTGATTATGGCGCAGGTGCTTGGCACTACTTTCCCTTTTTTTACATGTGTAGAGGCTAATTCATCTGGCTGCCTTGCGTATGTGTAGACCTCGCTAGGTGTTTACGCCGGAGACCAGGTTCGTGCTTTTCCAGTGTTTTTATCATATCTTTGGTGATTCTGATGTTGGTGGTGTCGGTTAGATTGCGGGCATTACGGTCAGAATGATAGGAACGGTGCTTGGGTTATTGGGTACGATTCTCCCCATCCAGTTTACCATACAGGACATTAACTATCGTAATTTAGTGGGAATGGCTGTGTGGTATATCGGAGCAGGATCAGGTTCTGGCAATCCGTACGGAATCGTTGTCGCCACGGTGCGTGTTGCTCACTCACGGCGTAGCTACGTTACTGACTGGCTGTTTTTGCCTGTTCCATCGAAAGACTGTCTTCATTGCGCCATTCCTATACATGCGCGTTGTGGCGCCCCTCCAAGACGCGATGATATGGATCCTCGCTGGTGTTACAATCATTTTCGGTGCGTAATGCCTATTTACATGTGGCGCGCGGAGATAGGAACTTATATGGAACGTACAGTCGTTGGATACAGTTGGATAGATACCCATCTGTTGATTTTTTCAAACTCTGGGGTTGGAGTGGAATTAGGATGGCGTCGAGCGTAGGTGCCCGAAACGGCAAGATATTCACGAATACTGATGTTTTGGCCTCCAACAGCCTTTTGGTCGTCATTGGGTTCACTGCTGCTGTGCGTTGAATCTCAGTCCGGTAGTTGTCTTGCTTACTGAATCATCTCGTCTGCCTTGCTTTCTAGTTCATTGTCATGCTCTTCCCGCGACCTACGTCCGCGCGGACCCTCGTTAGGAGAACGGTTGCTGCATCGCTGGAACACCTCGGCCGCGTATATGCATCTGAGGTTGACGCCATCCTCGCGGAAGAAGCCAAGGGACGCAAAGGCATATTAGAAAAGCCGAACATGGATGAGCACATCGAGGGTGTAGAGGTGTCACCGAAGGAAAAGAGGATCCGGAAGCTAGCGGAGAAGTTGCTGGCTGTTGCGGTGCGTGTTCTCGTCATGAATTGCGTGCGAGATGGGAGCTGACCATCATGAACGGTGTGATAGACACGGCTGCAAGCCCTCACGCCATCTCTGACCACTGGCAAGTGGGAGCCACAGTTACAGTGAGTGACTTAGGGGTTAAATTCATTTTCCTCTCGTTGACCAGGTGTTCTAGAGGCTCGTGGCCTCAGCAACACTATCAGGCATTGCACACACTTGAGTATGATCTCGTCACAACGATTGTGAAGCCCTTTCTGATAGGCGTTTGCTCCGTAGGACTCGGTTAATCTCGTGCCTTGCGCTGTTGGCTGGTTCGTTTGTCAGGCTTGACACCAACTGGTGTTACATCTTAGTTCATAAAGTGAGCCGACTATCCCCCATTTCTCACCTTGATTAAATTTGGGCCGCAGACCCCTTTCCTCAACCCCTATCTGGTAAGTACAATGACACTTTCTGTCCGATCAATAATCCGACTACGCGTACAGCTCGCGGACGTCTTTTCGACCATTTCTGTCCTTTCACATGCCTTATCAGCAGGACACCCAGTACCCGCTTCGCTTCCCCGCCTTCGCGACCGACTCATCTATCATGACAGACATATGTTCGCACACGAGCAGTCAGTCCCTCTCAGTTTGAAAGATGACAACGAAAAGGCGGAGCCGGGCCATGCATCCACCAAGGCACTCGACCCAAGCCCGAATAAAGTAGACGGGGTGACTATTGGGTTTGAGGAGTTGACTTTGGATGTGTTGATGGTGCGTGGTGGACCGATCCCGCGTTAGTGGGTCAGGTGCATGGATAGCTCACTTTGAGTCTACAGGATGATCAATTGCCGGCTCATTCGACTGCCGTTCTGGCGATATCCTCGGTGCTGGGTGTAAGATCCTCCAACCGCATATGGCTACAAACGTACTCACGCAGGACAATAGATCGTCGATGAGATCGCAGATATAATACGCATTCTGTGCGGCGAGACGTCCTTTGAAGGAATCAGTGCTTTACATCAAGAATACCTCAGCAGGGAAGAGGCTATGTTATACCACCCAAGAGGGCCGTGAATAAGTTCTTGAGGAAAATCAAAATTATATGTCGCCTACCCAAGGCTCTAATCGGTAGTACCATATTTACATAATACCGACTTCCCTCTTAGTCTTCTGGATAAAGCACAATATGGTGCACGTTTGAACTCACAAGTACTACCCTGCAATATGAATTGGACGAGTCACTAGGCAATGGGTAACAGCAAAATATTACGAGAGAAAGCAAGAGCTACTCTCGCGACAATCTATTACCAAGTTTCTGAAGAGCAAAAAAAGAATGGAGTGTATAACGAGAGGACTAAGCGACAAAAAAGACAGTGGTAGTGATTAGTGGCAAATGATATAACAGAATTATGGCCCCCCTGCCAGGATACCAGCGGTTCAACAGAGAATCTGTGGCAGGGGTAAGTATATTTAACCCTGTGATGAAAATATTCAACTGACCCATACGAATATGCGAAATAGAAAACTACGTATGATCCTCATGCATGGTATAACATGGCTTCCTCTCCATTCAAATATTCTTGGTGAAGAGCACCTATTCCTTCAAAAGAGGTCTCGCCGCACAGGATACGAATTATATCAGCGATCTCGTCGATGATCTATAAGGCATCTAAGTGAGTATACTCGTCGGCGTACAATTTGTAATGAAAGCATCTTACCGCCAGAATTGAGGAAATTGCCAGGACAGCAGTTGAGTGTGCGGGTAGCTGGTCATCCTGTGGAACTGGGGTTAGTTATACCGGATCTGCAATACAGTCTATCACACACAATCAATACATCCAAAGTCAACTCTTCAAATCCAATAGTCACACCGTCAACTTTATTTGGGCTCGGGTCGAGTTCGGTTGTCGATGAATAACCATTGTCAAGTAGTCCCTTCTTTTCGCTACACTTCTGCGGTTTGAGAAACGACGACTGACCATGAGCGAACATGTGTCGATCATGATATATGAGTCGGTCACGGAGTCGAGGCAACGATGCCGGTACTGGATATCCCGCCGATAAGGCGTGTGAAAGGACAGAGATAGTCGAAAATATATCAGCAAGCTACAAGCAATAATCTGCGTTATTGCCTCTGCGTCGAAAAAACAAAAGCGCCTCACAAGGTGCGGGTTCAGGAAAGGAGTCTAACGCGAGTCTCAGCTAGGATGAAAAAGAAAGATGAGGAAAGACTGACTTTATGAACTAGGATGTAACACCAATTGGTGTCCAGTCTAACGAATGAACCAGCCAGAAGTCCGAGACAAGAGAGTAACCGGGTCCTACAGTCCTGGTCAGCGACGAATGACGTAACTTCGATTTGGACTGACTCGAGTGTATGCAAGGCCTGGTAATGATGCTGGGGCCACGACCCTCTAGAAACTCCAAGTCAGCAAGTAGAGGAGGAGGTGAATGGATGACTCACTGCAACTGAGGCTCCCATTTGCCAGTGTCCAGGGATGGCGTGAGTGTTTGCAGCCGCGTCTATACAAACGAACATTGTAGTCAGCCACGCCGCAAACGGCATGCTAACCCCTCAAGGTAGCGTACGTACCGCGATGGTCAACATCCTCTCTGCCAATATCCTCACCCTCTTCTCCTTTGGCGATACTTCTACGCCCTCCAGCTGATCACCCATATCTGGCCTTTCCACTATCCCTTTGCGCCCTTTGGCTTCCTCAGCGAGAATTGCGTCGACTTCGGATGCAAAAACACGACCGAGCTGCTCCAGCGATGAGGCGACCGTTTTCCGAACAAGTGTCCGCGCAGATGTAGGTTGAGGGAACAACATGACAACGAACTGGAAAGGCGGAGGTGAGTAATTTGGGACGCCAAATGACCACCAAAGAAAAAAGATGTTCCACTTACGGCAGCTACGAACCCGATAATAACCAGGAGTCTGGTAAATGAGGGAGCGTAAGTGTTCGCCAATAGATACCTTGTTACAATCGAGCACTCACGCTCTACGCCAACCTACTTCCACGCCTACCCCAGAGCTCGTGAGCATCTCAAGATGCGAGTCTATCCAGCTATATCCGACCACTACATAGATTGAATTAATACTTGATATACTGTTTTCAAAGGGTGCCAGCCAAACGGGGGTTACTCACCAAAAATAATTGTAACGCCAGCGAGGATCCATAACATCGCATCTTGCATTGGCCCTACAACGCGTATGTAAAGGAACGGTGCAACGAAGACCGTCTTGAGACCGAATATAAAGTCCCGGATCGTCAGTAAAGTATTTACTATCATTACGGGTAAAACACACCGTGGAGATAACGACACCGTAAGGATTACCGAGCCCCGATCCTGCCCCGATATACCACACTGCCATTCCCACTGGACCGTAGTAATTAGTGATCTACCTTTATCACAATCACTTGAGGCCAACGCACATAATAGCCCAAGCACCGTGCCCACCGTTCTAAGCGCAATGCCTGCAATCTATATAACATGAGGGGGGTTACAGAAACCACAACGAGATGCGCACCTGCTCGCCTGCGTATACTGCCAACGACATCTACTCCCAAAGGAAATATACCAAGTTAGTTATGGCGTGGCATGAAGGAAACGCCAACAAGCACCTGCGCCATGACCAACGCCCACAGTCCCTTGTGCTCGTAGTTGAACCCAGCGCTGGATGGTACAACTGCCGGAATCCACAAGGCCAAAGTCACAATTGCCGTCCTCAAAGCGAAAACCCCCTCGGCAGATTTGAACCAGCGGAGGAATGCACCCAAACGAACAGCGAATCGACCCATCCCAGTTCTTGGAGGTAGGGCATCCGGATTTCGGCCTGCATACGGAAATCAGAGGACGGCGGAGAGCGTAAGAGGCTGTGACGACTTACGATGATGATCAACACCCCTATGGCTCTCCTCATGCTTGGACCGTGTGGCTTCCTCGTCTCCATCCCCATCCCTCATAGTACTGTTCTCACTGTCCACGTATTCCGACGGATCCGCTGCGCTGCCCATGGCTAGGGGTACTACACCCTTCACATCATCACCTTTGGATCTCATTAACTTCCTCCCAATCTTCCCAAACCCGCTCGGTGCCCACATCCTCACCTTCGACCGTTTCTGATCTAGATCAACGACCAGGCGCATGACTCGAGAGAGACGATCAGAGAATACGAGGAGGGTATCGCAGAAAACAAAGCACAGAAATAGTGACCTATCCCAGTCTATAGTAAGTGGCAAACAACTAGGAAAATAGTATGGAAACTCACCTCGATGTGAACTTCTCTGTAGTAGGTAGATGCTTTGTCGTCTCCTTTAGTTTGCCAGTCTCTACGTCGAAGAATTGTTTATATGGCTCTATGAGTTTCACTCTGCCTTCCTGAAATACCTTGATTTCCTGCTCGAGCCTGCTGAGCAACATGACCAGTTCCTTGTGCCTACGCTGAAAATCCTCCACGGTTTGACCTCGCCCCAATAGATCGAAAAAGAGCGATCGCCAGCGTCTCGAATTGCAAACGTCGAACCACCCAATCAGTTCCCGTAGCACATCATCGCATGCGCTCCTAAGACCTACTGACACGCTTTCTAAGATCGGGACCAGAGAATCGAGGCTGTGCCCGTGCCGTGTTTCATGTTCGCGTATCTCTCGTCGGAGCCAAGTCAACCTATCAGGCGTAGCCATACCATCCCGCTTATCCTTTTGAGAAGAAGCGGAGCGTCCCAAATCCGCCTCTTCCTTCTCGTCCATTTTGTTCCCTTCCTGAACAAAAGTGAGGAATGAAAGCAACCCGCTGAACACGCGGTTAAATAAAACGAATCGCCATCAATGGAACACATACTTGGTTTGGAATATCAATGATTTGACCTCCCCACTGACCTTTTTTAGGTCACCAGGCCCCAGTTTACCCAAGGAAAACTCGACGTCGAGGAGTGCAGTCTGTCCCAGTAGGCCCTGTGCGCCCTCCGTGACTACTTGACGAAGGTTGGTGCCCGTATGTGTGAAAGACTCCCATGTCGCGCGATCCGATGGACGGCTGGAGAGAGCTTGCGAGAGGAGGTCAAGGGTTTCTTTGATTGGTGCGAACACAGAGTCAGCGAGGAGAAGGAGAGACAACCAAACATGATTCAGTGTCTCAGGGAAGACCAGGACAAGTGAAGCGATTGCAATAGCAAGGTAATACCCGGTGGGTATAAGGAACTGCTTGGCTATAGTGTACTGAGCAGAGTAGAATACTGTTTATTTCCGCGTCAATGCAACAATGATTGATGCAGAGAAGAGCACTTACGAGGACCATAAGAGCACATCACGTCGAGAACGATCAAAGCAAATATGGACAGCAGCGACAAACTAGGAGAGAGGCCTCTGATTGCCGCAAGAAAGAAGGAACCGACGAAGATGAAAGCGCCATAGACGACCGATGAACGTGTGTCGAGAAAGTGGCCGTTGAACATTAAACGCTCAAACTGCAGCGCAGCTGGCATGTTTGGATCCAACCTAGCACGTAAATTTTAATTCGATGCACATGGGGGAGCGAGCAATGATCTTACAACGCCTGTGCCGATTGTAGCTGTGCGATAAGTAGAGTCTGACTTCGTGCTTTGAGAGCAGCTGCCATAGCAGCTGCGCCGCACGCCCACCCCAATAGCATACCAATGACTAACGTCATGTTTGCCAGAATGAAGAGTGTCAGCGGCATCGAAGGCGGAAGCATTATTGCGAGAATCCTAGAAGCGTAACGATCAGATATGACGGTGCTGAAAATATGACTCTACAAACGCAGCGAAGAACCCTGCCTGACCCATACTCTGCAGCGTCGCATCATCCACTAGCAATACGAGAGTGGCGACGAGCACAAGGGTGCATCGGATAAACGTCTTCCACTTTCTTCGTGATTTGAGGGCAACCAAGAGCCAAGAGGGTAAAGAGAACATGCTTCTCCAGAAGGAGAATGCTCATGTCTTTTTGTTGTTCTCTCGGTCGCCGCTGAAATCATATCACTTGGTCATTGCGCCCGAGTCCGAAGTCAAAATACGACACGTGCCGTCGCCAAGAATTATTGTCTGCAGAAAAACTCTGCATATTTGAAACCGCGTGCCACTAATGAAACGATTGGAACAGGTAAATGGTAGTGAATGAGAATAAGGGTGATAAGGTTCACCATGGAGGCATGATGACGAGAGTCATCTGGCGGTGTTTGGCAGGTTCCTCTGCTTCTCAGGATCTTACCTATGCCATTAGTATTATTCATACTTATCCCAACGCAATTCGTTGTAGTTCGCAGGTTGGGCTGCGGTTAGGTCTGGGTTGGGTCTGGGTTGGGTCCGGGTTGGATACAACCAAGCTGCATTGAACTATGTGAGGTCCGTGTTTCGTTTCACCATGTTTGCAAAAGTTAGACATGTCGAGCTACTTGGTAGGGCGATTAGAGTGGTGACCGTGATAGTGTGCGCAGAGGCGCAATGATGCCAGTCGTTGACCCGGGCGGTCCGGGTGGACCGCCCCGCCTCCTCAACGCTCCTGTTATGCATATGGGAATAACAACAAAGCGGAATCAAATTCCAGTAAGTAGCCGGCTACCCAATGAGAACGTATCACCGGCGAACTAGCCATCGCGCCTACGCCAATATTCCTAAGTTACACTCGGCTGTAGGAGCAACACATTTGAATCGCAGATGAGCTGAACATGAAAAGAAAAACCTCTGGGAAGGGAGTAGACGTGGATAGGGCTCTACGAGGCTATGAGCTGCCATGCCATGGAACGACGCCGTATATACATTTCGCTTGGTTCATTCTTACCCTCTCCTCAGTCAAATAACATTTTGATCTGGTACAATCGCTGCCACAGGAAACTTATCATCCGCGAAATCCATTAAGCGCCCCCTTTGCCTATTGCAAGCTTTTGCTTTCACTAGGTCTTGACCATGGTATATAACCACTCCCATAACCTGTCCGTGGCCACTCTATCTACCGAGTATAGTTATACAGTTTGTTTGGCTCACATCCGTCATTGTTCTTATGTGGATGTGGCCACTTCTACTTGCACTGCTGCGCAAATCATATAAAGGCACTTCATCGTGCTTAACTCAAACACCCACGAGCACGAAACATTGCTAGCCGTCTCCCAGCTGAAAGGTAAGTCAGTCTTCAAACGGGCCCTTATGTGATTTGTCTGACCTAGTGGTAGTTTCCAGCCCGACGCGATCACAAAGCACCAGAATCATCCTCCAAATTCAACGTCCGGAACGTAAGACGGAAGGATGGCAATCCGTGTTTGTGTTGACAAGTTCGGTCGTCCATCTGGTCGCACTGGCCCCGTGGGCCTTCTATCTTACAAGGAGCCGACCCATCCTCTTCCCGTCAAGTTGATTATCTGCCCGCCTCACACCGGCGGTCATACTAGCCCACTCAATACCCAGTTAAACAGGAGCGCTCATTGGATGCTCGCATGGGATATTGGATTTACTGGCAGCGGCAACGTAGCCCAGCGACGCTTCCAAATCATTCCAGAGGAACTACCCACCGGCGAAGATCATCTCACCAATTGGGGCGGCCTCATAGTGGCGGACAATCCGGAGGACCATCCCGAAAGGATATACATCTCTATCAAGGACAAGATGACGTTCTCTCAGCGCCAAGTCCTAGGAGAAATTGCCGATGGAATGCCTGTCCGACGTCCAGGAAGTGGGTGGAATGGGCAAGACTGGTGCTTAGAGGTATTAGCAGAGGCTTCCAAGCGGGGAATCATGGAAGATGCAGAACTTCGCCGCGTTGCTCAGCTGGCTCTATCTCCCTCTTTAATTGCTCGTCTTTGAGATCTACTTGCATACCACTTTGTTCTCTTTATTCTCGTTCACAAGATTTCATACACCGCAGCACTTCGTCATAGTCTCAATCGGACCATCTATTCAATCGATTTCATTGACTCAAGCCCGTTGGCCTTCCATGAGTTAGAACAGCAATGACGGGGCTGAGGATAGGTATGAAAATTTAAGTCAAAAAGGGGGTAATAGGGGGATCCTCAAATAAGCGGACGTGTTGCAGGGTTTGCGTCCTCAAATCCCTGCCACCAAATTGATCAATGGCAGACCTGAGGTATACGCACAGCTTTAAATGGCTGGACTTCGATAGTAATCCTCCAAGAGTTGGCTCGCGATCTCCACGTAGGCGACAATCAATCACAACACCCCATCTGTGTTGGATTGGAGGAACCAGAATTTCTACAAGCTGGTTCTTGAGTAAGTATGAGAGCTTATTTACGGCAACCGCTGGGGCCTGAGGCTCGAGGCATTTCCCATAGACGGTTGAGGTGTCAGCACTTTCGACTTGAGAGCACCTGCCTCCTAAGCACCTCTTCAGCTCACGTGAGATAGGGTAGTTTAGGGCCTCAGCACAAAACATACCTACTACTCGCCGCCATGCTGAAGAAGTCTCCAAGTATCGCCTTTTTGTGCGCCCTCTCGATTTTGCTTTTTCTGCTTTCGCTGTGCTGGTGCATCTTTCTTGGCTCGCTCTCACTCAATTTCTCTACCCCGCTGTCCTGGAAAGCTTTAATTCCAGGGCGTATCAGAGTCATATCATCTAAAACCAACATCGTAGACGGACATGAGAGCACGCTTAGGATTGCTGCCCAGCTCTTTGTGATATCTCTACTTCGACGGACGGATCGTCGGGAACAAATGGACTTCCTTCGAGGTTCGCTGGGGCTCCACTGGACATATATCGACGCCTTGGATGCGGAGGACCCGCTGGTTGACTCACTGCTGGATCGCGTCCGGCGTTCTCGTTTAATCAACGGTAATTCGTCGATACTACAATGGCCGGAATCATTACATGAACCACTATCCGAAGCCGACGTAACCAACTCGAGTGACTCGGATTCATCGCCCTTAACTTGCGCCTTGGAGGATAACATCATTCCCCCATACTCGGCGGACACTCCTCAACATCTGCTTCTCACCCGTTCGAGAATCGCTTGCTGGCATTCCCACCTCACAGCCATCCGTCAAATTGCCATGAGTACTTCGCAGTACCCCTCCGTAATTCTGGAAGATGATATCGACATGGAACGAGACATACGAGACCGTCTGCACTCAATTTGGCACTTGCTTCCCGAAGATTGGGATATTGTGTTCCTCGGTGGGTTATCCTTCTATATTACAAAGCGTATATCTAAGTTGTATAAAGGACACTGCTGGTCGGATGAGTCCCATTATCCGCCCTTAGAGCACCCTCGGTGGCAAGTATTTCCTTCGCACTCGCCGCTCAATCAAACACGCGTCCATCCTTCCAACGCACCAAAATGTACTCACGCTTACGCGTTATCGAAGAAGGGGGCCCGGCGACTGTGGTCACACCTCTCGTATTCTCCCTTCGCGTACTCTCGGGCTATTGATCAAGCGTTCGCGTGGTTAATCGTCAGTGGAAGACTCCAGAGCTACTCTATCGTTCCAAGTCTCGTGGTTCAGCGAAAGATCGAGAGAAGTGATATCGTCACCGGAACGAAAGGCAGCCGCTGGAAAGACTCGCTATATAACGGCGTTTTCAACGACACATCATAGAACGGTATCACCCGACCAGAATACATTTCTTCCGAAACCTCATCCGGTGCATTCAGCAGGCGAATCCCATAAAAATACACTGCTCGTACAACGACAGCGTAGCGAATCGCGTGTATAAAGTAACATCAAGTCATAAATAAAGCATTGTCCACCGTAATATAATCACCAAATCGAACGCATGCTATGTACTTCCAGAAATACAACGCCATCAGTTACGCCCTTTGCGTGAGGGAGTAGAATACACAAAGTCGCTGGCTCCTGTCGCTACTGTTTGCCCACCTGGCGTAGTCGGCGAGTCGCGATCGGCGTACTGGGATCCAATAGCGCCGTGGACGACAGAGTCATCGGGTTCCTCGGCGTAAATGCCGCTGCCCGTAACGACCGTCGGACTTGGTGACATGACGGATGGATCATACTCGCGTTGCGACCGTGAGATTGAACCCTGTACACGTCGCCCTTTGCCATCTATCATCGGACTCGCCGTAGTCCACGCACTCGGCCCTTCGCTTGGTCCTGATTGCGTACCGATAGGGGCTGCTTGCGCTAACATCTGGGGTGAGGCCGGCTGCGGCGGAGAGTAAGCAGGCGGATTCATCCGACGTCGTCCAGGGCTGGTATTCGTGTTCACTGCTTCCGTCAGATCAATAGGCGGAATGCCAGGCGGCGACGAAGGATTGTCGTAGATAGGGTAACCCCCCTCCATTCCACCTTTCTCGTTTGTGCGGGATTCGGTTCTGCCGTGGGAGTTGACTGAGGAAACAAGACGATATGGCTCAATGATGTGTTCATGACCTATGCCACCAGAGTTGTTGGTTGGCAAAGGAGGCGGCGAAGGAGAGGAGTAGATAGAAGGAGGGTGAACTAGGCCGAATTCCGTGAAGCCGCTCTCCGAGTTGGCGTATTGCGTGCTGGGTGCAGAGACGTGTGTCATTATCACGCTCGGGGAAGTCGGAGACGAGGGGGAGAATGTCGACATGTATGTGGTGCTGCCGAGGGTCTTTTGGGACATATCGGATAGGTTCCGGAGATGAAGGGGCGGTGCAAGCGTATTGCCCGTGGTGTGGAATGGGGTAGGCGTTGGATCAAATTGTGGGCCTTGCTGGGCGGCCTTCTCGCGTTGTCGGCGGCGGCGAGTAAGCCACACCACCACCACAATTGCTATCACGACAATGGCAAGCCCACCCACCACACCGCCAACAATAGGTCCGATCGGCGTGCTTGAGGAAGATTGAGTCTCCTCATTCGGGGACAGATCTCCGTTGTCTACGACGGTCAGTGGGAAGCGGGATAGAAATAGCGGGGGGTTAACGTACTCTCAGCCGCTATCGCCTTCGCCTGAACAGGATCAAACTGGTGATTAGGCCATGATTCAGCTATTGAAGAGATGTCTTGATAAGCTGCAGCTAAAAGTAGAATGAAGGCGCTCACGATTTGTACCCGCGTAGAAAGGAATTGAGGTGCCTGATGCTAAGGTAATGTCGGCGGGGAAATATCTGTGCAAAGAAGCATGGTCAGATCATCAGCTGGCATGATGTTGTACCAACTTACGAGTTGCTGAGATAACTCGAACACTGATATACCCAAGCATCCCATCTAATTGATGCGTGCAGTTCGTGAGATGGAGTCGCAGTAAGGCATGTGCACACTCACGTTGGAATCGACTGGGCCATGTTTTGACAAGCCGTGCATGCGCTCAGCAGGTTGTAAGAAGCCCAAGAGCTAGCAATTGCATCAAAGATCCATAGTTCAGGTTGATGATTATCACAAAGGGAAGCTGGCATACCAGCTACATGGATTCGCATTCGTTGCGTTCGGTGCATTGTAGCGATTGCCATCAGTAAGCTTCGTGACCTTGTAGGCTAGAGAGTTGTAAGCAGACGATGCAGACTAAGTGAACCGAATAATACGCACTATTCGTCCCGCAAGCTCCATTGACGTACGCAGCGACAATGCAAGGAGTTTGCTGCTTCGAATTAGATGCCCATACGTAGGAGGTATCACAGACAGCATCAGTCTGAAATTGTCGCTTCTCCATGTCACGCCAAGAGGTCGCCGCACCAGCCGCACTACCAACCACGAAGGATAGCAAGGTGAGAAGATGCTCGGGAGATTTGAGCTGCATCTTCTGCGAAAGCCAATCCTATCAGGAAGGTGAAAAGGAAAGAAATGGACACAAGCCTCCGCAAGAATACCTGCGACAGCGCTAAAACATAAAACCCCCGAAATCCTTCATCTAACCACATGTGGCACATGTCAGGGCATGCTACACTGCACCGATTCAACGGAGACTTTGATTCAAGTGTTCGGCACCCACCGTACACGCTGTGCTGCGGACCCTGGAAGGCTGATTTGAAGTGGATATCATTATTTTTGGTCAAACCGCATTCCTACTACGAGTAAACGATACAAACAGCAAAAGAATGCTGCTACGATGGCTACACGAATTATTAACAATACATAGAAGACTAGGAAGTATGGTAGAGTTATATAGCTGGTCGGTAGTTGGGTGTCGGGGACTGGATGTGACCGCTATTTCCTGTTTCGAGACCGCTCCGAGTTGCTGTACCTTCCTCGTCAGCGTTGAATGTGCGTCCGAGTATGTTTCGCATCTCGGTTAGACTTCCGATGCTGCTAGGTGCGTCGCTTGCTGCACGCAGATGCTCTACTCTCGTCGCGCGAGCGGGCCCCGCCCCGCCGATTGATTCATCCGAACCCTTTTCGCGTCGGCGCCGTGGGGCTGATGCTTCGCTATAGGCGGGAATGGTATCGGCCTGCTCTAATTCCACCGACCGGGCGAGTGGCGAAGTCGGGGCAGAAGGGGTATAGGCGGGAGGATTCCTAGTTCGGGCCGGTGTTGATGGTCGAGAGGGGTATGCATTTGGTTGGTCATACACCATTACTCGTCCAGTCTTCTCGCTCCTGGCATCAACATTACTCGGCTGTCTCTGATAGAAGGGCTCAACCATGGCCTCGAGAGGAAGTTGAGCGTGTATCGGGCCCGGAGAAGGAGTAGTGTACTGCGATGGGGATATCGGTGGAGAATGCAGGCTCTCTGAATGTCCAGCCTGCGTTGGATTCGTACCACTCATGTGAGTCATCACGGTTCCAGGTGAGGTTGGGTATGGGTATGATGTTCCCTCGGTGTAATATCCGGTGGTGAGCGATTTCATCGAGCCGTTTGAACCGTTTGAGCCCTTTCGGCTGTGGATGGGCACTGAAGGTAGTTTATGATCGCGCACATCATCACCGTCGATGTTGGGAAGAGGACGAGTCCCCGCAGGCTTCCTTCGGCGGCGAAGTCTCAAATATGCAAAAATAGCAGCTGCAATGCCGATGACGCCAATGCCGCCAACCACGCCCCCAACAATGGGGCCCACTGGTGTTGATTTGCCATGAGGGGGCTCTGGTACGAGATCTCCTTGGTCTTCAGATCATCAGCCACTGTCCTGTATCGAGTGCATTTACGACGTACTTTGGTTAGCTGTATCCTTCGCCATGTTGACATTGAACTGTTCGTTCGTCCATTCATGTGCTGATCATCGCAAGGTTCTCAATCGTCTGCCTGAAGGTAGTATCTGATACTTACGATCAGTTGCCGCCCAGGCTGGAATCGCTGTCCCAGCCGCCAGAGTAATGTCTTGAGGAAAGTAGCTATCATTCTCCGTCAGTAACGTGGGCAGCAGGTACTCTTTCTGGAATCACGCACTCATTTTCTAAGAGGCCATTGCAACCAAAAGTCCAAGCCCCCCATCTAACATTGCCAGCAGTGTCAGAGCTGCGTATTTCAGGGATAGTTAACACCTACGTAAGGATCGACTCTGGCTGACCTTGACAAGCAGTGCAAGCACTGAGCAAGTTATACGAAGCCCACGAGCTTATTTCTTAATGAGCAGCATCTATGAGGCGTCTCTAGGCAACTCACCAAGAGCAAGGGTTCGCCTTAGAGCCTTGGGGTGGATCGTAGTGGCTGCTATTATTCAATTTTCTGACTGTGTATGCTGCAAGAAGGAATCAGCACTTGGTCACCACTGTAGTAGATGTGCTGACGCACAGTTTGACCCGCATGCCCCATTCACGTATGCTGCGACTAAACATGGTGACTGCTGCAAGTGGTTCTGTGCCCATGAGAAGGACGAATCGCAAACTGCGTCAGTCTGAAATTGACGCTTGACTAAAGACGAAGCCTGGGAGCCAGTGACGAAGCCCAACGCGAGTAGCTGAAGCCAAAGGAATCGAGCCATCTGCAGGTTGACAGTCGAAGGGGACGAGGAACGATGGCTGGGGCCGAGTATGTCTCAAGCAAACGGTTCCCACCTCTATCTTATGTCTATAAGTACCCCAAAACGCAAGGGCTTCGGAAGCACGTCGAATCCGGAGAGATGAGAAAATGCTGTGAGCGAAAATAAATGAGCAATGGCCATCGGCGGTTCATCAATGATTCTAGCCTAGACGTTCGCATGTGCCGGCACCTTCGAGGGCCAAGGGCGCAGGAGGATGTGCCATCGTGAAGTTGATGTCAAGTAGAATAGAATTGGAATGCTGTGCACATGGTCATGTCATGGGAGAACATAAGAACTTCGAGAAGGTCGCACATTTGTCAGACGGAAAATGAAATGATACCATTAGCCTCTACCGAGACGCCAGTACTCCACTGGTCACTTCGTGTAAAGCAATTAAGACCTAATGGGCGTTTTGGACGAGGAACACTTCAGATACTTAATCCAAAATTGTCTTGATAGCATTCAGCCCATTGATGCATTCATCTCTATGTCGGTGCTTGGGAATAAGGAGGCTGATAGTGAGATCGGATATTATAAGTCGGCTGTTGCCCGATTAGCAAGAGATAGCAGTCAAAAATAGTCAATGCTGATGAAGACACTGGACAAAGAACGTACGAACACCCAAGCTCCGTTACTACGAATGCATAACATCCATATAGACCTCCCGCATAGTCTCAGTCACCGTCGGTGGGACAGTCTTGGTGCGCTTCGCCTTTGAAGGGGTTGCCGAGTTCTCATCGGCTAGTGCCTTCTTTCGCTTAGCCAGGAAATGCAGATATTCCATACTATGCTTCGGTGCGGGCGGTATTGCTATGTCTAGTGGCGGAGCAGCAAACCACAGCACTTCATTCGTCTCGGGGTCACGATCGAAGTAGCGCGCTGAAAGGAATCATTAACCCTCATCATAGCAAATCATGTAGGAATGGAAGTCAAGTCTTTACCTGTTTCAGGAGGAAGTTCTTCGCTTTGCACCTGATGGCCCGCAATGGATCCAATCGCCGACGTGATAGTACGGTCAGGCCGCTTGACGACTGGGATTAAATGGTGGGAAAGCTGTGATGTCTGATACTCATATCCAGGAACCACCGAGGATGAGGGACCAGTGGCGGGGTCATACGCAGGAAGTGCGGGCGAAGCGCGTTGAGTTGGTGTTCCTATCTCTTGACCTCCTCTCCTTGTCCTTTTCCGGCCGAGCGTCGAGACATCAGCCTCTACCGTGTTGTTACCGTCAATAATCCCACCAGGGCCTTTCACGGCACCTTTGCCGCTTTTAACCACGAAGGGGCTCGATATCCGAGGTGGATACACTACACGCTCGAGTTCATAAATAGGCATGTAATCTGCATTCTTCCGTAGGATCTCCGGGATGCACGAGTTCCAATTCTTGATCCTTACGAATGTTCGTTCTTGATCATGATAGCGAGAGTCGCAGACGTATAATGGCCAACCCGGATACCAGTGAGGAGAGCGGGGTCGGCCGCGGATATGACGAGCTGTAAACTGTACACCAATTCTTTCAATGATATCTTCCAAAGGATGGTCTCCAAAATGGCCTTAACGAGAATGCCGTGAGTTCGCGAACTGCCATACACATCAAGTGTCAAACAACTTACTGCTTTTGAACACTTCGTTCTCAAAGAACGTGCGACTAGCTGGGTGGAAAGTCTGATTGGACTCTTTCAATGCTGAAGGACCCACATCGAGAAAGTACTTACTTGTTCAGGGCGGAAATACCACGCGACAGTTATGCCTGGCTCGCCGAGTCGGGCTCTAGAAGAATGATACCATGGGAAATCAAGGATTGTAGAGATGTGAGAACTAACGGGTCTGTAGAAGTCCAGCACTTGAATACTTGTCCGGGGATGGGACGGGCCGGGTCATCTGGATTGCTGATATGAACCCAGTCCCCTAGCTTGACGGACCATCCTTTGTAATGGAGTTCGTCAACAGCAGTCTTGGCTTTAGCGAGCATGCGGAGCGACGAAAAGTTGGCCCCCTCGCCGCCAGACTTCGAAGAACTCGGACCAGCTGCCATAAAGGCAAAGTTACTCGTGGAAGAATAGGGCGGTCCAGGCGGCGGTTTTGCAGACGTTAAGGCGTGATAGAGACGCTAATAGAACTCGTGACAAGACCACTCTTAGTTTCATCTCGTAACTTTGACTTACCTGAAGTAGGAGGGTACGCCCATAAGGTTCTGAGGTGGGCTCATGCCATCTTCGCGCCTTTTCAAAAAGCTTGGTCATGTCCATATCAAACTCCTTTGAAGAAGCATAGTTCTTGTGACGAGCACGCGACTGGAGGCTGGGGTGTAAGGGCGAATAATATCCAACAAGCTGTGCCACGAACCTCAATCAACTTTAAGGAAAGAGGTGCCTGCACCGCTCAAGGGTAAATATATGATGAACGGTCAATAAGTAAATGGCAAACCGTGTAAGATAGATTTTCCACGGCAGCATCGTCGGGTATATTCTCCAGTGCAAGAGCAAGTCGATTACCACTATGCCTCGCATCAGCTAAACAAAGTTATACACACAGGAGCTCGTACCCACATGACATCTTTGTAGGTCTTGATAGCGTGTACAACCTCGGAGTACCTGTCCTGTACCCAGGAGGAGGTGAGCTAGTCATCAGTACGCGAGCTAGAACACCCACAGGAGATACTTCATGCATCCACCCTTTGTCGGAGGCTCCAGGCCATTTTGGTAGCCCTTTCTCTAGCTGGCGTATAATCTCATCATCGCCCGGATTCCGACCGGTATCTGGACCAGCCTCGGAGTCACCACCTTGTACGTCCATGTCGTCCTGCATCCCTTCGACGTCAACTTCCATCTCCGATGAGTCTAAACCTTCGATTGCAGCGGGAGTAGGTGGTGCAGGGGGTGATTTGTGGGTCTCTGAAGCTACTGCTTTCCGAGTTGCCTCCGCTCGAGTTGGCGCTGGTGGCGCTGGATTCGAAGGGGGTGAGTCTACCGCCATTTTGTGGACCTTTTGCGCGGACGAGGGAGGTGGAGAAAATGAGCGGGGCAAGGGCAGTACAGGCCGTTTCTTCCACTCGGACTCCAGCGTAGCCTTGAAAGATCAAAGAAGACGTGTATAAGAACCAACAGGCTAACGAACCTTCAAGGTTGCAGCATCTTTGGCGATAGTGCTATCCGGTTCATTGTAGAAGAGCGCGTTCCAGAAGACAAGCGACAGATCCGTGTAAACGTCCAACGCATCCTTGTATCGGTTCTTCTCCACGCCCGAGCGGATATGATTCAAGCATCGAGGCTCAGGAATAATCTACAGGAATCCTCGTCAGTTCGGGCTCTATAGCTTCGCGCGTCAGTTTACCTCGTAGTATTCACTCCAATCCTTCCTGTCCACCAATTCCAAGAACATTCCAGCGAGTTGGTACTTTCTCCTCTCAGATGAGTGCATTGAGGTGATCCGAGTGATCACCTCTTCGATGGCAGCCTTTTGGGCCGATGTAATAGGCATAGCGCAGACAGTCGCTGGAGAAGCGTAAGAAACTCGGCGCGCTGTAAGTGACAAGGAGAGCCGTTTCAGTAGAAGATATGCAAAGTGGTGCACATGTATGCTCACGTAGGCTAACCGAAGCTTTCGTCGGCGTCGTCGCGTACGGTGACCGAAGGCAAGATATCGTGTGGAAATGCCGCGCCGGCAACCTTCCAGATTCGGAAATATTAGGGGGTACAGTAGGGGCTCAAAAGCTCAAATATGGTCACATTCGACTGCAATCATATCTTCGTACACGGCATAATAGTATTTGTAGTAGATACTTGCACTCCAACGACGTAAATAAGTATTCAGACCTTGCTCCCGACCCTCCTCGCACTGGTGTTAGTTCCCAAAGTAAAGCAAGCCAAGAACGACTATAGATGATGGCTACGTTCATTGAACGGTCAAAAGACTGAAACTCGGCCAAGCATGATTCCCCCGTTCCCGGCCAAGTCTATGTTCCTTAGGTCTCGGGCTAGCCCCAGCCCCATGCCTAGCCCCGGACCTGGCAACTTGTGCTTCCACCCACGGGGATGATACGGCGATGCGTCTACATTCTCGTCCCATGAGTTTCGCTCCTCCGTTTTCGAAGGGACCACAGGAGGTAGGGGCACTGGAACCGATTTCTTGAAGTCTTCGGGTTTTAAGTTGAATCCCAAAAGCGATGGAGGTATCCAATTCGACGGTGAAGGTGCACGGCGGTGGCGCTTGGGCTTCGTTTGCTTTCCTGATTGTTGTTGTTCATTGCTTTCGGCCGACGTAGTGGTTCTGCCGCGCCTAGTAGCAGAGGCGCTGATCGTAGATGGTGGAGAGTCGGAATCTCCTCTGGCAATCATGTTGACGGGCTTCAAGATACACTTGCGAACGTGGCGATTCAGGTTCGACGCGACACCGAATCGACGGCCACACGTATCGCATTTAAACGCTGGGTGATCCATTAATCAACCGCTGTCCTCGGGTTCAATGTAGCAACAGTGACATACCTTTCTCGCCTGTGTGAACGAGGAGGTGCTGGTGACGTTGAGCAAGGTAAGAATCAATTTATTCATTGGGTTCGAATAGTATACCTTTCTGAGTGTGCTTGGACCTGCTTGGGGGGTCAGCGAACTAGCGACGGTGCCGTGAATGCCCAAATACGTACGATCGAAACTCTTGTGGCACATCCAGCATCCGTGCCTCTTTTCTCGAACTGGAGGCTCAGGCGCCGATCGTGAGACCGAGTCGCTGTCCCCCGGGCTACTACCAGCAGCGGCATCAGGAGCAGCTTGATACGAGTCTCCCTCATCCAAATTGCTGTCCTCGAGGGGGGTATATTGAGGAGGGGGAGGGTGCCCCTCCGAGGTCGAATGTCGCGAAGTAGTATTCAGCAAGATGGCCATAGCAGCAGGGGTCGGTAGCTGGGCTGTCGGTGTTCGCACAAACGGGGCGTTCTCTTCTGGCTCTTTATTGTAGGCAGACCCTCCATCTCCGCGCGGTGCTGGTACATGTACTGCACCTTGCTCTGAATATGGCGTTTCAGATCCCCATTGCCAGACTTCCTGCGGGCCTGAAAAGCAGTTACCGCGGAAAACGTTGCCACCAAGCTGGCTTGACGAAGGCGGTTGCCCTTGTGACGAGGATGGGCCGGCGATTGGCATACCGGCATGCTCATAAAGGTAGGCATGTGCGCTCGTAGACGGGACTGGCCCAGTCGTTTGAGCTCCGTATGGTGAAAAATACCGATGGTAGGCTTGATCATCGTGATGAGAGGGAGATCTCTCTGAGAAGCCCCTGAAACTCAAGGAATGGAGTGGTGCAGTGGCGGCGTAGTCAACGTAGTCATAGTGCAGGGACTCCGGTACTCTGATGCTTGGGGCGGGATAGTAAGGAGGGGACACGCCAGTATTCTCCATGAGCGGCGATGTTCGAAGAGACGTTCACGCTCCTGAGACGGCTGTATTTTATATCGCGAGAGAGCTTCATTGTTTGTGGTGTTCTTTACGTGACTATGCAAGATCTGGAAGAACGCGAGGCAGTAGCGAAGCCCTGAGGCAAAGTTTATTCGAAAAGCTTTTTGGGCCAGCTTTGCACATCGTACTTCCTTGAAAATACAGCTAAATGGAATCAGATACGTACATTGAGCAGGAATTTCTTGAAGCACCAACTGTGCTTAGAAGCTGAGAACCGTGCTAGGAGCCTGTGCAGTTGGGACATTGAGTTCCCGATAAAGCCAGGAAGCTTAAGCGGTTTCTCAAGCTTGTCCTCATGGTCACCGGCAATTAGAGGATCAATCGTTATGCGACCTGACCTGACCTGTTAGCTTTACAGGGTAGGCCAAGTTCGGGCTTGCCCTGCAATCACCGAAAATTCCAGGATACAACTAAGGTCATTAGTGGGATAATCATAGGGGCACTCACGAAAGGAAAGAATGTGCGCGAGTATCATGACCATGACCATTGCCATTGCACAAGCCAGAAGAAAAGGAATCACACTGGGCCATGGCTACAGCCTATGTACGATGCATAAATTCGTTGCTTCGCGTTGTCTTCCGGTTGCCTGATCTAAGCTGGATCTATTAGCTCCTTGCGTCTCCCGCGTCTTCCGCGCCTGCGATCCTTCGATGACCTATTGAAACTATGGCTGCATATTACATGAATACAACTCGGCGAGCGGACGAAATTCTGGTCTTCCAGTCTTCCTTCGTAGCTTTCAGTTCCCACATTCTACCTGTGGTTCACTTCATTTCCGTCTACAGACTCCGCCTACCACTGAAAAGACAGAATCTGTTAAGTATTAGCGTATGTATTTACTATGTATGTGTAGCAACATGTACGAGATCGCCCATCGCTCATCGATTATAGCTTGTAGTTCTGTCCAGGCCCTCAGCGCGTTATCTTTTTGAAGAGTTTGGTACCAGCTGAGCAACATGAGGCGATAAAATCAGTGAGCAACGGCGATAAATCGTGGAATGTCCCCTGAAGACTTACAGTTGGCCAGATTTTCCAACTGTTCTCTTCGTTCTCGGCCTGCCACGCGATCTACTGCGCTCAGAGCAAAGCCGAAGGCACCAGTAGACGGTGTAGGGAAAAGTGTACCAGTACCAGAGCCCGAGCCCGATGTCGACGGACCTACCGCGTGAGGGTGACGTTGGTAAGTACACTATACAGATCTTGTCGGAAGCTACTTACGAGGAGGGGGTCTCGGCGGTGGCACAGGAGAGGATCCTGCATAAAAGCCGCCAGGGCCGCTGGGAGACACAGGTGCATCGCCATAGGCTGGCCCACCAGGATAGTGCGACTGCGCTTGCCCATAAGGCGAGGATTGTTGCGGAGCGGGTGCACTAGAATACCCAGCATCGCCGACCTTCGGGGCCTCGGGAAAGAAAAGACCGCCACCATACCTGGCTGGGCATAAGAAGATTGCCGACCAGAGTCGTGTGACGAGGGAACCCCTATTACTGGAGGACTCGCAGGTGGGTACGCAGCTTGCCCGGGATAGGTGGAAATTGGCGGACCCCCAAATCCAGAGGACTGGCCAGGAGGCGAGCCATATGTTGACGGCATCCCAGGAAACATCGGCGCGCCCGCCGGAGGAGGGTTGTATGACGAAGAGCCTGCTTGCGAGTAGTTATATGTCGACTGCCCTGGATATGTCGATGTACTTGGCCCAGGATATGGTACAGATGGTGGCGTAGCATTTGGTTGTGGGTACGCTGCCGGTAAACTCTGCTGTGGTTGATTGTGCGAGGGACCTTGCGAACTACCGGGGCGTATGGTCCCTGGTCCGATCGATGTATGTGGGCGAAGAGGGGTTTGGTGGTGGTGTCCATGCCCCGCGGTGTACGAGTTGGGCCGAGATAGATTCGCACCTGGAATACTCGGCGTAGCATTGTTCGCATACCCATGATTGGGATATGAAGTCGTGTCAATGTATGATGAATGGGGTTGCTGTGATGACTGAGGGCCCAATTGAGGATAGGGCTGTTGGTGCTGAGGAGCAGCCTGGTTCGGTCGATTAACTTGCCAGTCTGGAGGGGGCCATTGGCCTTGTGACCACGGACCAGAAGCGTTGTCACCCTGATTGAATGTTGCCGCTCCGGGGCGAGGGGAAGTTGGATTGGATGTCGGCGGTGACGCTGTTGAAGGGCGACTCGGCCGCGCCGATGGCCTTTGTTGGAGGGGCAATGGCGGGGGTTGAGTGTTGGACGGATGACTGGGATGTGTCGGAGGGCGGGAATTTGGCAAGTTCATCATTGAGCCGCCTGGTCCAATGGGCGGCGGGGAAATTGTGTGACGATTGAACTCGCTCGTCAGAGATGCCATCGGGTCGGTATTAGCCTGACTTTGTCCAGAAGCTGGGTACGTAGAATGATTTGTAGCAGGCGGAGCCGGATGCCCTTGATACGGCGCCTGGGAAGATGTATCGTTTGTAAGATGTGTTGCGGTCTGGGGTGCCCCCGCAGTCGGCGAAGGAGGAAGATTAGGAGGAAGATTAGATGGGTGCGAGATTGATGGCGACTGAGTGGGATGAGGTGTCGGAGAAACACGATGACCTGGTAAAGATGCGGTCGCATGCTGGGTGGCTGCAGGTGGTTGAATGATAGGGGCTGCTTGTTGTGACTGATTTTGCGTCGGAGGCGCGGTTGCTTGTTCTTCTTCTGCTTCGAGCGTGTATGGTGGTGGTGGTGGCCCGTCTTCCTTCTCCTTCTGTGCTTCAAGCCAATCCTGATAGGATTGACCCTCGCCACTGCCTGACCCACCTGACCCACCGCCGCTCCCTGCCCCGGAAACGAAGTCGCCGCTTTTAACATCGAGGTCTTCATACTTGGGCCGAGTAGCCCAATAGTCCTGCAATTCCTTCGATGGGAACGAGTCGTGTATCCGGCGTTCGCTTCGGAGGCCTTCGGCTGCGAAGCCACAGATGCGCATGTACCTAGGAGATTACCATGAGTCACCTACAATGAGATGATGAGAATTCCTTGTACCAATCTGAAGGGATATCAAACCCATCTTCATCTAGCGCCAAGAATGGGAACTTGTCGCTCTGGGGAAGCAGCCTCTTCTTTTCAATCACTGGCATAAGTGCTGTGCCTTCATCATATCTACGGGGGCCGTCAATTTAGGACGGGAATAATATCACGGCGAACTCACTCGTCCCACATTGCACCGTACATGATACGGACGCCTTGCCTCCGAGCGTTGGAAATCTGCTTCCACAGGAACTTGCCCCCGTTTCGCTTAATTCCGTTGAAGGTCCATTTCCCCTCCGTCATGTTAAAACCCTACGGCCGCGTGCAATGTTAGCCGGTTCAGGAGTACAGGACAAACCACAGGAAGGCAATTCACCGAACCACCTGGAAACACCACTGGGATATAATCAATCTTCTTCTCACCAGTCATCTCTGCACTGTCATTCTTCTTCTTAAGGAACTCAATATCACCCTTCATCACCTGTTCCGCGAAGTGGTCCGCTTCCTCTTCATCTTTGTACCTTCCTATTGTCCAGGGAGAGATAGCGTCGAAGTGATTGGTATAAATGTCGACGAACTCTGGATTACGATCGGCGTCACGAGAATGACTGCGCCAATGAGCGGCAACTCCCCCTACAATGTACACCCCACCAGGAGTGTGATATCTGAGGAAATTGCATACCTCCCGAATGATCGCAGGCGTGTGCCCTGCATTCTCGAATCCGAATCCTAACGGCATGTAAGCTCCAAGACGTTCACACGAAAACAAACAAACATACCCCATAGCGCAACGACTGGCTTCCGCTTCTCTCGAAGATAATTCGGACTATCCAGGAGCCCCTGATTCCGTATTAGATGCACCCAATCGCGTTGTATAACAGGTACAATGCGCTCTGCCGGAAGCCCCGTCACGTCATACCTGCATAACAATCAGTACAACATCAAGATCAGGGTCTGGAGCGGCATTTGTATACATTACTGCGAATACTCGTCCCTCTTTCTCTGCTGCCTCTCTCACACGATCACCTACTTCATCGCGTATGCGTCTGATGCCATGCCGGCCTGCGTCGATGTCAACTTCTGTCGCAAACCGCTGCAGGAACGCGCCGTCGACGCCATGCTTCGCCATCCAATGGAAATGTCTCTGCACAGTTTTAGGATGGCGCGACGAGAATAGAAACGCTTGTTCTCCGGATTTGTATTTCAAGCCTGGGGCGGCGAAGAGTTCTGAAGGGGAGTATTCTGACACGTCTGGCCAAAGATCAATGTTGGGGTGGCCGCCGTCTGGCACTGGATAGTTGAACCAGTGTAGCCAGCCATGGTGGCCTTGATCGATGTTAGAGACGCTAGAGTTAACTGGAGGAGATGTACCTGGACCAACTGGTTCACCGTCCCCGCCACATGTAAACCTACGCCTCCAATTAACCTTGCGAAATGAAACTATGTGCGCTCCGACGCACCAGCCTTGATATCCAACCAGGAACTTATCTTGAATCGTCGAGGGGTCAGCTCTGCAGATCGCTTAGACTTGGCAACCCCCATTCAGGTACAAAGGTTCTCACCTTTTCAGAATTCTGCCTTTCGAGCCCTCCTGCATTGCAATCACGAACGTCTGTGCAAAATAAGTGGATGAGTGAAAGCAGGAACAGAGGCTCTTCCGCCGCAATGGACTCGAGTCGTTTAGCGCTCTGTTCAGGGGTAACTGTAGAACTGTAACTGATGCGCCCACGGCAAATGTCAAATGTCTTTGCTGATAGATAGCGACATGGACGATGAAGCCATCAAGCTAGCCCAGTTTCTAGTGGAACGCCTAAGAAAGTGTGTCGTTTGATGTAGTACCGGGGATTTCTCATGCTGATCTATAGTTCTCAGCGCGCCGCCTGACTCTCGACTCCTAGTCGGGATCACAGGCATTGCGGCGTCAGGCAAGTCTACGTTTGCCGCTAGAATCGTTGAAAGAACTCGGGCCATCCTGCACGATCTCCCGGGCGACAACGCGCTCGCCGGGTCCACTGCAGTTCTTGTCGGCTTAGATGGTTGGCATCTCACACGTGCCCAGCTCGACCAAATGCCCGATCCTAAACTCGCGCACGAGCGACGGGGGATCCATTGGACGTTCGACGCCGCTGCCTACGTTTCCTTCATACAATCCCTACGTTTACCGAACCCTAGGGATGCCCTTTCGTTCCCCTCCTTTGATCACGCAGTAAAGGACCCAATCCCGGATTCTCTACGCATCGAGCCGTCGGACAGGATTATCCTGGTAGAAGGGCTGTACACGTTACTGGATATCGAGCCCTGGGTGCACGCCAGTAGGCTCCTCGACGAACGCTGGTTAATTGACGTAGACTCTGAGGAAGCACGGCGGCGTTTAGTGGAAAGACATGTTGTGAGCGGGGTTGCAAAGAATCGCGAAGAAGCTGTGTGGCGGGCGGAGAATAACGACGCACCCAGTGAGTACGCGGTTTTATCCTCCGTTTTAGGCTAAATTGCGTGCACAGACGGTAGGTTCGTAATCGCCAATAGTCTCGAGCCCACAAGAGTCATACAGAGCATCAACGATCCCACTATCCGGAAGTAACGCTCCAGTAATACTTGCCTGCACTCCCGTGATACATTGCTTCGCCTTGGTATCTTCTCCTTCCAAATACCTGCAGAGTTCTTCAGCAGACCAAACTCGACAATAAGTTAATATCATTGCACGATTCTCCCGCTTACGTCCTTCAACTAAGCCTACATCTGTTGACTCATACGTGTTGGAATTGGCGGCATTCTTCCGTCATGTAACCTCGTTGGCGAAGCCCTGGGCCGCTTGAGCCTGACACTACCGCCCGACCGTCTCAGCTTCTGGAGTCGAATCTGGGCCACGTTCCAAAGGAGGGCTGCAACACCCGATGGTGCCTAGCATGAAGGCGTAGGATGAGTACTAGCTCAGTGATAGCGCGGGCACCCACCAGACACGATATCATAATGATGAGTGATCTACCCGCTTGTTTGGCGAATACACGCCAGCTTCATCCCCCATATATGCGGCTCGCACACGTTATTCACAGGCTCCAGCAGTGCTAGGTCGTATGGATTGGTATTCGTTTAAAGGGACCAATGGAGAACGTACCACCTTCGGAGTAGTTCCGTGTTGTTGCCTCCCATCACTGCACGGAGCTGATGGCTTTTCCCTTGTTCTCGTTTCAATTCAATTCCGTCCTCCCGCCGTCCTCCGCTCTAACGAAAATAGAAACAAGCAATTTGACTCACGGGGATGGCTTAGCACAGCATCTACTGCGAGTACTTGAATGGGCGAAGGTTTGGACTATATCATGATCCCTCGTCTACGTTGGATGCGAGGTTTCCCCGAGGTGGTCCTACGCTCAGCGATTTTCACTTCGGTTCGTGACAAGTCACGACGGACTGTTCTACGACGTACGAGGCCATCGGGAGGTGTCATGCCCTTGTACCGCAAAAAGCATTGATGCCCCATACATCTTGATTTGAGATCCACCAGGGAACTAGCTCTCAAATATTTATCTGGTCAAGGGCTGTAGGAGGCGACTATCTTTACCCATGGCTCCCCGTCCTGCTACCGCTGGTGCGTCGATACTGCCAAATCATGCTCGAGGCTCAACAGTATACTACCTCCACCCAAACGACGTGAAGGAATGCACAATTACCAAGTCGGAGATAGACGGCAGTCAAGCCTGCTATCGCATCACAAGCAGTAAGGCCCGCTCTCGAACGTCAATGTATAAAGCAAACGAACCGTCACCGTTTGCCACTGTCCAGCGGAGCTTCTGGTCCGAGAAGGTAACCCTCAGAGGGAAGCAACCGATGAAACTTGGTCAGTGGCTAAGGCAGCCGTCATTCGGCGTATAGTACGAGGCGCCTTTTCCAGCCGTACGACCGATATAACTATATGTAGGTTGTATTAGCCCAGCGACGTTTGAGGAGCAAGGGCGCACCTACGTTTGGAAAGCTGACGGAAGAGGTCTCTCTGTGCGTGTGAACCAATCGAATGATGACCAAGCGACTTACCGCTGCTCCCGTTGTAGTTGTATAGCTTTGAAGACCAACGTACTCCGATTGCTTGCTTTCGACAAGTCACCAGCAAGATGGTGAATGGCTTTCCCAGCATCATTCCGGCCTCCTTGATTCTTCGGCCGGACGCATCCGCTATACAGGACGTAGTCGTTGCTTCCTTCTTAATCCTTGAGCATAGACACAGGACAAACCAGAGGACCGCGGAGTCGCAGCAGGGGAGGGTGCCATTGCACATAAGTGGTTTCTTGTCCCCTTCATATTAAACTGGTCAAAACAGGGGGAGGACCACTTGTATTAACCAACGCTTATCCTAGTTATTGACCAACCTATAATACATATTCATCTGAATCTGAATTGCATGGGGAAAGCGACTTGAAAGGACAGCGAATCAAACTAGAATCTGCCCGAGGATTAAATCTGAGCGAGGATTATAAGCATAGAAAGGGCCAGGTAGAGGAAGGGAGATCCAGAGATCTGAACTGAACCGTTGGTGTCGATAGCATTGGAGATCTCGGGACAGAGGCGTCTATCGTCACTCTTCTGTGTGTCAAGAACCGCAGAAGAAACCAGAACCTAGGGAGGGTCGATGGGTTAATGAATGATTACGGGGAACCAGAGAGTATCATTACCAGTGGCATTCCCATTGTTGAGGTGAATACGAGTGTATCTCCAGAGCCTTTCCTTGCTACGGTTTCTCTACAGGTCAGAACATCAACGATACGCTCCTTATTGTCGAAAGTCTTCTTGGGAACTGTCCAAGTCACGGTCGCAGCACTGCCTGCGTTTGTGAGCAGGGCCATGAGCGGTGGTTTGGAGACGGCCAGGGTCGTGGAGTTGTGTTCGGATTGAGGGACAAATGTCATCTAGTAGCACTTACGTGAGCAAGTGCTGGGCACGACAATCCAGTTCCAAAGACTGTAGCCGAAAGACATACTGGGTTCGTCAAGAAATTCATCTTGGCTGAAATAGCAAGTTTGCGAGCGAGATTCAAAGAGGTGATATGTCTGAGCATTGGGGACTCCGTTGAGTATTCGGTTGGCCAGAGACTAGGCAAAGATCAGAACATGCGTATCCAGATGTACCCTCGGTCGCCTACGCTTCTCGGTTATCGGGGTCTTCACCTCCTGACAACCCTTGCTCCTGACCTAACAATGTTAGAGGTTTGACCCAAGGAAGTTGAGAGGGTCGTTACTGACCATAGTAGATAATCGGTATGCCGTCATGAATAAAGGGCCACGCCATTGCATTAAGTATCAACTTAGTCAATAGTTATGAGCAAGATCGGTTGGCTAGGCGAGAGAGCAACTCACAGATAAGTCTTTGGTTTTAGAGAGTAATCTGGGTTGATCTTGATTCTCAAGGAATGAACCAACAGACGAAGCTCCGTGCTGGTATGCTTTCTGGGAAGCGGTGACTGTAGATTCGATGGCAGATATGTTGCCTTGTCCTGGTCCTGCGGTGAATGCCGAGTAAACCGTAAAGTACGTAGGATAATCGAGAACACTATCCAGGACACCTGTAAAAACAATAAATTAATACTCATAGATCCAACGCGAATAAACTCACGCGTATAGTTGGCAACATAATCGACATCGCCGTGCAAAACCTAATGTATGCGGCATAGGTAATGAGCGCTGGTAATAAATAGGACGAAACCTACCTCTCCAATGGTAAACACCCCCGCCGCAGATTTGAAGTCAGGCCAAAAGTCTTGCCTGATATGTTTGGCCGTGTCGACCCTCAACCCATCGATACTATAATTCGACACCAAACCTTTTACCCAGTCATTCAGGGTTCGGACAACCTCCGTGTTCTCCGTGTTCAAGTCTGGTAAGGGAGCCACCGAGTCGCCTAACCAGCCTTGTTCGACATCTGTCTGGTTGCTTGTAGTAGGATCGTACGAAGCCGGAGAAACAAAGTGAAACGGGTGGTATGAAGACTCTTGCGGAAAGGTTTTGTAACCAGAGAAGGAGTCTTGAGAAGAGAACGACGTAGTGGTTGTGTTCGGACCCATGTGGTTGACGACAATGTCCACCATGAGGTACATTCCTCGATCATGCAAGGCCCTAGACAAGTTCTTCAAGTCTTCTACAGACCCGAAGTGTGAGTTCAAGGCATAGAAGTCGTTTGGCCAGTAGCTGAAATTGCATTTAGTTACGACCCATTACGGCACTCGTTCACGCACCCGTGGTAAGCTTCCCCATGTGCAGTTTCCCCCTCGACATTAGAAATGACAGGCGAGATCCAGACCGCGTCAAACCCCATCCTTTGTATGTAATCAAGCCGCTCGCTGAGAGCCTTCCATGTTCCTCCACAGTACTTGCGAGCGCCTGTGTCGCAAGGCGGCTTTCCACCGCTACTTTCGGTGGCAAACCGATCTGTCACAACCTTGCTTTGCAGATTAATACCCTAAATGAAAGTGATGAGGCCAGTACACACCTGGTATATGGACCTCGACCTCCAATCGTCTAGATTTGCCGCATATATGAGGCTCGGAACGAGTGCAAGGAGTGCAAGGAGCGAAATGTGCATCTTCAAGATGTAAGTAGCGTGATAAAAAAAGAGAGGGGCTAAATTCAGGCGAATCGAGGCTTTCAGCGGCGCGACTGGCACAATACAGAACTGTCAATGCTGTCAATGCGAGCTCTGATGATTGACTGATCCAGCGCGGGACGTGGTGCGAAGTTGATGGTCAAGATGAAGGAGACAACAGGCGCCGATGTACGCATAAATTTTCAATTTTGGCAACTTTTACCATGTCAAGTTCCAAAAAAGAACGAAAATATACCATATTAGGACAAGAGGCGCTTCCACGGAATATATTTGATCCTCTGTTTTCGTTAATGGAGGTAGGCGCAAGGGCTCCCCACCCGCTTCATCGTCGACCAAGGTCGCTTCGGACAACAAGACTACCCACGAAGTGGAGGTGACTGGTGCAACAACAACAAGGCAAATGGTCGCACCCGACCGAATACAAGATCGACTCACGTCCAAGATGTTTGAAAGGAAGAGAACAGAGACTGGGAGTTTTCCACAACCAGATTGACGGCAGTTGGAGTGGCCGAATGCGAGTTACTATGCATATGCGGTAGTTACCCATCAACACTGGAGGTGAATAGACTCGGCCGTAAAATTGTTTCCATCGTTGGCGCGAAGCTCCTACACAGACCTTGTTGTCCACGTCGTGACCAAGCTATTGCTGTAATAGTACTTGTATACGGGGATGTACCGATTCTGCTGGTCAACAACGGTCCACTACATCAACTGCACGACCGCGGTACTACATACAACAACAATCAATATATGGTACCGGTACCTCGTAACACAACTAGGTATCAGTAGCCACTGCCGTATTTATGGACACTCAGTATTTGATCATGATATATTGATAGCTCGAACGTCGATAGGAAACGTCCCAGGTTGAGTCAAATTACCTGAGGAGTAGTATCGAGTCGATATGACGATGACTGCCACAAGACTATGGTCGAGAACTTCAAACTAGCAATTACTTCGCTCCGGTGATAAACCATACATGACTCACCTGTAGGATGGAAGGAGCATGCCGGGGGACCATCACGAAAGCGACATGATTGGCACGCCATATCATGCCATGGTGCATGGGGTGCATCTAAAGGAATCGTGACGGAATCGTGATGGAATGCCATCGCATTCCAGAACACCGCAGACAGTGAGGTCCCGTTACTTGTATAATAATACGCACCTCCATACATATGTCCATGTGCCAAGAAAGGCACATATTGATGAAACCGCGCGTTAGACCGGCGCATCTTCGCTTCCTTTGGCAGGAATGTACGTGGAGGAGATCTCGGAATGCCTTGATCGAACGTTTATATCCGTCCTTGACGCGTTACTAGCGCCGAGGGTGCTAGGAAAGGGTCTGGGTCCGTGTCATTAACAGTGCTGGGTATATCCACATCTGTCCCGGAGACAAGGCTTCCATGAAGATGCAATGGAAGAATATAGGCTGTGTATGAGGTCGAGGTCACTTAGGCTTTCGTCAATGTAAAGATCGATAATCAGGCTGCAGTGGGAGGTACACACGTACACCGGCGCTGAACCCCTGTCCTCGCTGACGAGTACACGGTGTACATGAAGGTGACAAAAATGCCTCGTGCGCGTAGAGCCATGGCTATGGCACATCTGGCGGCTTTAGTGGAGGACTTTGAGGGCACGATCACATGGATCGGCATGCAAGCAGTGCAATATGCAGGTTCGAAGCATGATGCGCCGGCGAGGCGATAAGGCGCCACCGTGTGTAGTGAAACCTCCCTGTTAATAGCCTCCATCAAAGAACGCCTCGTTTGTATGACTTCTCGCGTACCTCTCAATACAGTGCTGAGCATTCGACGTCAGCAGCTCAGCCTCAGTCAACGTTGTTGGCCGGTACCTGGACCTAGAATCGATTATTGCAAGTTAGCGATGTGTCATGTCAGGCTAGGGATGTCGTGAGAGGACACACCATTCCACCAATGATGCGTGTCAACTCTATCATATCTCGGACGCTTGAAGTTATTTATATGTCATCGGCGATTTCTCGAGAGAGCGTTGATACTAATGATTCTGAGGGTGCGATAACTACGATAAGTGTCCATGAGCACTGACAACTATATGCAAGGATGGAGGATGTACAAAAATGCAAGGAAAGATGGAAAACTCTATGTAGTATGAAGTAACGTGAGGGAAAAGTGGCCTGGTTTCAATACGACCTCAAGGCAGGTCTACGAGGAGGGCAATAGAAATGGCTGCTATCCATTAGAGGCATGGTTGGCGAGGGTCGGGCATAATACTCACCTGAGCTTAATGACAATGGTCCTACAGGCCGCCTCTGTCTGAGCGGAACAATACAAGGAAGGTCAGGAAGAATACTCACCTCAGTCCTCTCGATATCTTGAGGGATTTCAGGCGGGTTTTATCCACCTTCATTATCGATCGGCTGTGGGATGTCTCTGTCTCTACATGCGCGCCCTTCTCGTCCAGCGTACACGTGACAGTTGTCTGCAGCGGTTCATCCGAATCGGAATCATCACTGTTAACCTCGAGTTCTTGTTCTGATCGGCCTGCAGGAGGTTACCCTCTGGGTTTATCACGGACAGCCTAATGGACGTACCCATGAGTTGCCCGTTTTCATCCCAAGCCGTTAGGATGGCGGACACGCGAAGTGGCGAAGACGACACATTTCTCTTATGTGTCGGCGGTAGGTGAACTTCTGACCGCGTCCTGCTCGACGACCGCCTCCTCGGCCGTTCTTCGAACAAGTGGGGCGCTATGCCACCTAAAACTTCCCTCGGCGTGGGCTTGAAGTTGACGACGGAACTGGGCACCGAAGGTGAGTATGACCTCAAAGTAGCCATATGGTTCGTTCTCGGGGACGCAGCAAGATGCTGGAAAGCTGGGAAGGTGGTGGTTGGAACGAAGAACGCACGCCAGCAAGTGGCCTTGTACTAGAAGTTGGTTATCAAGGAACAGCCCAAATGGTATTATATAAGAATCGCAATCGTAACTTACTTGGCACAGCCCGGAATCAAGCGCGGGAGCAGCGTGGAAAGGCAGCATGCTTCACGTTCGGCCGTATCCTGGTCTAAAATGTTATCGAGAGTTAACCAATTGTGCCCTTGGGTTCTTGGACCTCCGGAAGCCCTACACGCAGGTCATTTAATGTGAAGATAAACGGTGGTATTGTTACAATCATACTAAACAACGGGAATCAAACTCGACGCTACACATGTATCTTCACTCGGACTAGAACCTGTTTCGCTTTCTTTGTTGCTTTGATAATGCTTCTTGAGGCGCTCTGCAGGGCCTCACGTCAAGGGAGAAGGGAGCAATAGTGTGATCGCCACGCACCTCCGACTCTTGCCTTTGACATTCTCGGGCTCGTCGATGTCCATACTATCGTGAGTCCCCCGTCGTCCCAACTGACCCCCCATCCCACTGGCCATGTTTTTGTCCTTTTGCTTCTCCACAATCTCCTTCAGGATACCGTTCAGCTCTTTATCGTAGCCCTCTCGTTCAGCCTTCGCAGCTGCGGCGGCGGACGAAATGGATACCAGCTTCTCGTCGAGTGTAGTCAAAACTGCGGCTGTCGTTGAATGCCTGATAGCGATAGTAAACATACAAGGAAGAATCAGATGGCGATCCGCCTTTACCAATCCTTCAGCGCCTCGAGGACAGTTTCTAGCTTCCCGAGCTCTAGATCTCTTCCCATGGTGTACTCCACTTCGAGCTGTTCTTCCTTCTGATCCAACTTGCCACGGAGTATGTCGAGGTAGATGGCGTCGATGATCAAGTCCTCGAGTTCGCGAATTGACGGCATATCGAGCGCCTTTAAAAGCGTACTATAGGGCAATATCTGTGATTCCCCTGCGTCAACAATGTTGAGAGGCAAGTGTCTCCAAGATGCGTACCCTTCGTTCCGATGCCAGCGTCACTATCGATAGGTACTTCAATTTGACCGTCTGCGCTTGATTCAGCGGCGGTAGCGAGTCCTTGCGCTCTGATAATCATGAGATGAGATATACAGAGCCAATAGGGCAGGCCAACACACTCAACGAAGGTAGTCCGCATACGTCTTGTAGGAGAACACTTGCAACAGGGCATGGTGAGATGCGTATTGTTCATGAGAAGCGAGCTGTAACCTGTGATGAAGATCCAGGAGTATCGATAACTTGAACGCGCGTACCTCCTGAATGTTTGGAAGTTCGAGCAACTCAGAAAAGACAAAGACTCCGGGTGCAGAAGTAGCATCCAAAATGAGTTTGGCAGCGGCGGCTCCTTTCATCGACTTTCCAACCAAGAGAAATGGCTCTAGCTTAGCATGAAAGTTGGATCCTAAATCCATGTCGTAAGCTCTAATGGGTGGTCGTCGGACGAGAGAATCACTGGCAGTGGCGAGATCAGCGGCACGTGTATCCATCTATCAAGCGCCTACCCCCGAGGCCCCTTTAAGCCTGAACGAGGCTTGGCCTAAGCTTCAGCCGTACGAGCAACAATGTAAAAAAGCCGTCACAATGAGACTAACATGGGCGCACCACGAGGGACAAGCGTCTGTCATCGCCAGCGACCGCCGACGGCCGCCCTCATTTCCATATTCAGGCAAAGAGGCGCGCTGAGCTAAGCCGGCTATTGCCGGTTTCCAATCCTTGCCGCCCCGCATATGTATACTTCTTCTCCCGCTCTTACACATACCATCCTCTCAGTTCGGTTTGACATATGATACTGCTGAGATTCGCTCCAAGTCCTACTGGAGCTCTTCATCTCGGCGGTCTTCGAACTGCCTTGTATAACTACCTTTACGCGAAGAAACATGGAGGAAAATGGATCATGAGGATTGAGGATACGGATGCAGTGCGTGTACTGCGCTCACTTTTGATTCTCGTCACAAAGACACTCATTGCTAAAGACACGGTATGTTCCCGGTTCGGTGGACAACATCCGTAAGGCATTGGATTGGGCTGGTTTAGAGTACGACTACGGTAAGCACAGCTCCCTTCTGCTAATGTAGCTCACTAGATATCTCGGACAGGTCCTGGGAAAGACGGCCCTCATGCTCCATACTTTCAAGTGAGTGCGACACGTTCTACTTCATGTACAGTCTCGACTGAGCGTAGGACAGTCAGAACGTCTCGATTTATATCGCTCGTATACGAACAAGCTTCTGGATGTGCGTCGAATCTGACTTGTGCTGCACCTGTGCCATCACCGAACGAGGAAATAGTCGGGACACGCATACCGCTGCTTCTGCTCTCCAGACCGCCTCACGGCGACCCGCGAAAAGCTAGCGCGATCAGGCTCGAACGAGACGTACGACAAGCATTGTTTATACTTGTCGGATGAAGAAGTGGCTCGGAAAGTTCGTGCTGGGGAGAAGTCGGTAGTTCGGTTGAACGTATGCTGTCAATGATTTCGCGCCTATGTCTTGAATTGACGCGTTTTCAGGACGACAAACTTCCTGCTAGGCCGCCTTCTGTTGACATTGTCTTCGGAAAACTCAGGGACTCGCATTTATCACTTCCAACCGATCCCATCTTGCTCAAATCAGATCTCTTCCCTACCTACCATCTTGCATCCGTAGTAGATGACCACGAAATGGGCATAACTCACGTTTTACGGGGAGAGGTAAATTTCACTCAATTCACAGCGCCCGTATGCCTGCTGACACGCGCAGGAATGGCTACCATCTCTCGATCTACATCTTGATATATATGCATGTCTTAACATATCCAGTCCGCAGTTTGCCCACATCCCGATCCTCGTCAACGCCGACGGCTCGAAAATGTCAAAACGCAACGGAGACGTACAAGTTGCTGATTACATAGTAAGGTCTACTGTCATCTACCACCAAGTTGGCTGAATGAACGATTGCAGCGACGGGGATGGGAGCCAGCAGCTATTCTCAACTGGCTTGCTCTTGCTGGATGGGGTGCTCAAAGAGAGGTTACAGAAGTCACCGGTGGACCTTTGGACTCTCCTCGTAGCGTCCAATCTTCTCCAGCACCAGACAGCACCACTGTCATGACCATGCCCGAAATGATCGAACAGGTTCGCCAAACTATATGCGTGTCGCGTAGCTGTTCTAACTCTACCTCTACACTTAGTTCGACTTGCCTGCGCTTACTCATCGTAGCACGAGCCTCGATCCGACGAAGCTAGAATATTTGAACAAACACCATCTCATGCGAGTGTGGTCAACGCCCGACGGCCTCGACTCATTGGCGCGTCGTCTCCATATTTTAGTCAAGGAGGCATTCCCCGCCAGGTAAGGACCCTCAATCCTGCGCAGTAGACCCTGTTCATAACAACAGGTTTGAAGCCCGTTCACCACCGTTGACTATATCAAGAAAATCATTATGATATTGCAGGTATTTTAACCAACACCCAACTATTGTTATTTGTCTGAAATGCTGCGTAGGGACGTCTTACCAATGTTCAAGACATAGGGCTGCACACGCCATACCTCTTCATCGAACCCGATTATAGCTCAGAGGAAGCTCAAATTATGATCAAGAATATTCCAGAGGAATCACGCCGTCCGTATGATCCCCTTCTCATTGTCTATTAATGCACTCAAAGAGAGTAGAGCGTACGCTTCATGCTGTTCGCGACCGCCTGAATGATTCAACACAATGGGACAATATCGACATTGCGGGGATCCTTCATGAAGAGAATGATTCACTTGGACTGTCACATAAAATATTTATGACAACGTTGCGGCACACCCTCAGTGCCATGAAGGCTAGTTCTATTCACGGCTTCAACCTTGGCTTTGAAGCCTAATGATTTGTTCTCAGAATGGTCCAAGTGTCCCCGAAATCATGCAGGTCCTGGGTCGTGAAAGGACGCTAGCAAGGCTACAAAACCATATTACTATTACGGTCGACAAAACGGACTGAGGCTGCCAACATCTTTCCTCTAATGACGCTGTGAGAGTCTCAACTGATCTCGCTTCAAGAATAAACATTCCCACTTTCACCGCATCGTGCCACGTTCTCCATGGCATTGACAAAAAGCTTAGGAACCTTCCGTCCATTGTGCTACGGTGCTCCTCAAGAGTCTATGAACAGTGAATTGCAAGTGAGTGCTAAAAATATGTATAATAAATATTGCAGAAAAGTATGCACGGAAGGAGTGTGGTCTCCAATACCGACGACAGCACTGCGCACTGCAAGAGCCCCGTTACCGAGGGCGGAACGAATGATTTGAACGAATGGCTGCTGGCCCTCAGAAAGGAGGGTTCGCGTTTTCAAGAAGTTGTTCAAAGTACTCTTGGAACCATGCGCCAGCTTCTGGTGCGGGTTTCAGAGACGTCTCACTGCCACAAGCTTCATCAAATCTCTCAGCTGTCTCATCGCTGGTCCCATCACCCTGCCCACCAGGCTTAACCCAAACAATGGCATCGATCAGCGGGTCGGGCGTGATGCTTGACGGGCGGGGTCCAAAGCCTGCTTGCTACAAATGGGTTGCCAAGATCAGTTACCAGGACGGGCGCTGGGGTGGAGTGTACCTTGTTGTTGCACCAGTCACCTCCACTTCGTGGGTAGTCTTGTTGTCCTGAACGACCTTGGTCGACGATGAAATGGGCGGGGAGCCCTCGCGCCTACGAGGGCTTCCGTTAAGAAAAACAGAATATCACATCTGTCCTGCAGACTCACCGTAAGAAGGGGTGCCAAGTTACGGACATAGTCGAGCTCGTCGTAACCGTAGTTGGTGGATGTTCCAAGGCCGTTGTAGTTGGAGACGTTAGTCGCAACACCTCGTACTGCCGCGGCTGGGTTAATTACTTTAGCCCGGTTGACGATTTCAGCTAGGATGTCGACGGTGGGGCCCAAGTTATCGGGCCAGCCAAGCCAAGCGGCGTGGGCTCCATCCAAGTAGATTGACACGTTCGCATATTGGCTAAGTGTTCCATTAGTACATTGCTGCGTCGATTCTATGGTGTGGTTTACCTGAGCCATGCAACGGCGAAGGCTGATCCATTAATGTGAGCTTCGGCAGCATTGGCACATTTGGGGACGCTTTGGTTGCTCACGACTGTTCGCAACAGAATCAGCAAGGTGCAATAAATAAACTTTTATATATCACGTACGATTCCCAACGGAGTCAGTCTCAAGACCGATGACGATTGTCACGTCCGGATAGCTTTCTATCTGACTTCCAATAGCTTTGATATAGGCTTCGTATCTTGCCAAACCGGCCTGGCTGATATCAAGCTCTCCTGATGAAGCTTTGGCTGAGCAATCACTTAACCACGACACCATTATAGATCAGTTTCAATACCCATAGTGACTCTTTGGCTAAAACGCCCACCGGTCAGGAAGATTGTACACCTCGATGTTCACTACTTGTTTCCGGGCTGTCTGGGCTTGTTTGGTACGTGCGTCTTGCAAGTACCCGCCAATTGACGTTACGGCGGCAATTCTGTCTATCCAGAGGAACGTGGGGACCTGCAGAGAAAATACGACACCAATGATCAGAGGGCAAGCTCAGGCCTGCCGTGGACGGGATATACCTCGGCAACCAAGAGAGCTTTGTCGGCCAAAGCATTATCTCCATTTGCTCTGATGGTCGCAGTAGCAGCTACAACTAAGGACGGGGTTGCGAGTCGTACAAATGTCTGAATAGACATGGCGACTCCTTACCTTGGTCAGCGTAGACGGGGCTCACGTATCTGTGCAGAAACATGAGCATGAGTAATTCGGGGATGGATAGACACTGACTGGTCAGCGTCAAGGTACGGGTTCACTGTCTGTGGCCCACGAGCAGAGAGAGGTGTAGCATTCGAGCCAAGGATAGAAGCAAGCAAAGACACGAAGGCCGTGGATAGAGGAATAGAGCCTTTCATTTTGAGATCAGTAGTCAGGACGGAGAAGTCAGCGGCAGTAAACGTCAAATCCCACGTCTGACTTTATACCAATGATTCCTCATGGGTTGCACGGTAGTATCGGTCGGTAAAAGTGCTGGCTTGATATCACGCCTTGAGGTACGAGTGCTACATGTCCAAATCGCACACCTTGGCACGGAAAATAACTCTAGATGTTCCAAGGGCCCCATAGTGAAGCACAGTGCCGAAGCGACTTCGGCATATCATCGGACAACGTTTCGGCGGATTGAGCTCGCAGCAATCGCTCGGCCAAGCTTTGATTGCAACGTCGACATCCTAGCCCTGCCGGTACCTTTGATACCGAGAACCAAATGACGTTACCTGATGCAAGTCGATGCACTTCTGTAAACCAAGAATCTCTATGAACGACGCACAAGCACTCCCTTGGCCAAACCCAATGTTCACTTTCGCCGCTTCGTCCATCTCGGCGCCCTCCTGCACTCTTTCACAGATGACTGTCGGCGTTAGGTCGTTGACTTCATCGGGCGCAAATGCAAACTTGGCGAAATGCGCCATTTCAGCCATGCTTGTGATCACCGCACTCAAGAGTCATGGTGTAAGCCAACAAGGATGTGACAAAGCTCGATTGCAGTTACGGGTACATGATGCAGGATGCTGAAAATATGATACAAGTGCATTATCTGAAGGTTGGTGAAAGCGTCGTAGTACGTACGGATCGATTACAATGTTTCCCATCCGCCGCTGTCTAACGTACTTTCTAGCTTGCGAGCAACTGATGTTGGTATTCCATGGTTTAGCCAGGTCTTGCGTATGTCTTCCCATCTCGCATGATGTAGATATTGTCGACGCCCGCGCCTAATGAACATGTTGAGCCCATGAGGGCCTAATTAAGCGATGAACATACCTCATCGAAATGTCAATTTCTCCATGGGCATCAAGGTAAGGTGATTGTACAAACGTTCCGTTATTCGCGTAGAGGTAAAGGAGGGAGCAACGTTTGACAAGAAAGTATATACCAATGACGCCGCCGCAGCTAGGTAGAACATTAGTGCCCATGAAATATTTACGGTAGTTCGAAGCTCACTCTCGGGTATGCATGTTACATTCTCCTCTGTCGTTGTATTCGTAGTCTGTACAACAGTGGCTCTGCATGCAGCATGTCACCCCACAAAGCAGGCAAATAGCAGCATCCAGAGGTACAGTGTTACACCGCGGGCAGGTGAGAGCCTTCTCTTGGTCGGTGAAAAGGTTGTCGAGGACAAGAGGTAAACGAGCGAGGCGGTATACATCCGGATAGTCCAGAACCACCCCACAGTTGAGCTGAGATGCAGCATGGGAATGACCATAATGGGCACACCACCCAGATAATGCGTTCTGTAAGGTGTCTTGGTTCGGAAGATCCGAGAGTGGGGGAATACCAAGCATTGTCAACAGGCGCTTATACTCGAGGGGCTCGTTGTCACTGTAGGCCGGCGTCGCGAAAGCGCCAGGGAGCACAGACCGACAAAGGATAGCAGCGCGTCGGAGGAAGGGAAGGGTGAACGCATACATCAATTTCTCGATACGACCCTCGCCAAAGGTTTCGAAGACAAGGGTAGCAGTATGTTCGAAGACTGGGGAATGGCGAACGACGCACATGAAGAACATGCGAATGTCGCCAAATATGTCTTCGTGAGCGCGACGGTTGATTTGCGTTGTTGAGTAGCTTCTAGTTTTGTTCAGGACATAGACCAAGCCAATCACCGTCCGAGCTAAACAGGCATAGTAGGTCAAGATTAGAACATGTCTGAGCATCTCCGGCGCGATTGCAGCAGTCTCGATTAACACTGTCAATGGATCTCGCAAAAGAAGTGGATACGAGAAGGGAGTAAGGGAGGTCCGACTCCATTCCGGGAGAAGTCGTTTTATGATTGCTTGCCGGATTGCCTCGCGGCCCTCATCTGGTCTAAGTTTGAAGTGAAGTGAAGCAAGCTTGGTGAGACATGTGAGAAGGCTACGAATCATCCTAGTCTGTGCTTCGGATATCTTGTCGGCCAAAATGCCGCTACCCGTCGAGTCGGAACCTCGTTGAGCGATTTCGAAAGAAGCAAGTGTGTAGCCAATGAGTTCTTCAGGAAGATATATCCCAGCTCCGCGTTCGCCAGGGTCTGGTTCTGGGCGATCTCTCAGGTGGCGAGTTTGTTGAGAAATGCTTTTCGCAGTCACCATGACCGTATCCACCATCTTAGTGCTCTCGCCACTGGTGCCCCGGTCAGCACGTAGGGCACTAGCGTATCCTATATCCTGTGCACTCCAAAACACAAATTCACCGGTCCCGTTGCGAAATTGGAGTGACTCCATCTGCGGGTCAGGTTTTGATTTGAGGATCCCAATACCTGCTGCTCGTATCCAGTCTGGGAAGGGGACGGTGTTGAGAGAACTAGTCGAAGGGCTGGATACGGGGAGGATAACATTCCCCAAGCTTTTGCACAATGGACATATGTACTCTTTCCTAGGGATGCTCTCGGGATGATTTCGAGTTGCCTGAGCCCGATGCCGTTGGCGAATTGACACGTTGTAATCTTGGAAGCAATCTACGTGCATCAGGTGCGAACAAACGGAGGCGTGGAGGCCGAATCGCGTGAACTGAGATGGGAATCCTTCGAAATTTGGGGATGCTCGTGCTTTAAGGTCGAGGGCATCCGCCCGCGGAGGGGGGAATATGGCGGCTAGACCATTAGACGCTGGACGATCGAGGGATGTAGGCATCTGCAGGACTTCGTTAAGATAGCCATTGTGGCTATCCGGATGGCGACGAATGAAACGACTTGGTTGGATCAAACCGAGCATGCCAAAGGCCTTTGTAGCGTTGAGGTCCTCCTGACAAACAATACAGGTGCCGTAAGAGACTTCGTCCTCAGCTTCGTCATCCATGTCTTCGTCATCTAAATCGTCAAAATTCATTGCAACTTTAACTTGTTGCGCCTTCATCTTGCGCATGATATCTGCTTGCCTAGCCTTTGCTGCCCGCTTGCGTGCATCCTCTGAGTCGCTTTTCGGTGCTGAATCATCAGAGATATGTCGTCGGCTCTTTACTTCGGCAGGAGCGTAGTCAGATAATCTGTTCAGAATCCATTGCGAACGGGCTTGGTACGGCTTGTATTTGTCGTGATGCTCCAACGAACAGAGTACATCAATAAGGGATTTGTGCTCTTCAAACGCAAGGGTTGATGCGATGTGGCTAAACGCGTCCGGTCGTTCAACGAGAGCGAGCATAATGAGATGGAGCGTCTGATCGAGGTTGGCTTCCGCTGATGGAGGGGGCGATTCAGTTTCCTCGGTTGCGGCTAAAATATTATACAAGCCATAGAAGAGGATTTGGAGGAAGACTTGCGACTCGAAGGCATTTGCAAGGACGACAAAGGGTCCGCTTATGATCCCCAGAGGCTTTGGGACGATGACAGAATCCGGTCCATCCGTTGGCATGCCCTTCTTCTTCAGCCTGGCCTTCAAGACATTTTCCACTTCTTCACGTTTATTCCTGGTATAATGATAGAAGAACGGGTTGACTTCATCGTACCATTCGTCTTTTAATTCATAAACACCCGTGTCGCTGACTCCTTCAGGAGGTCGGAAATTGGCCACCTCCCTGAGGACACGTTCAAAGCAGACATGATCGGTGAGTCGCTCCGAGACACGTTTGACCAGATCCGTGAACGAACAAGGTCCCATGGCAAGGGCATGGATGACTTCGCGCCTGGCCGCCATTTCGACGCTCATTCCCGAGGCATTTGCGTTCTCGCTGAGTACGGTGATCATGACGTATAGCAGTTCTTCCACCATGCATCCTAATTGAGAAGGGTCATACGTTGAGTGATACGTGGCTCCGGAGAAGAAGTGCAGGAGCCCGAAACGGTCCAAAATGGTGACGAGGACTAATGACGGGTCCGCTATGAGCGCAAAGGCAACCTGAAGAATGTAGAGGTCTTGGTCGTAGCACAGTTCGCGGAGCATGAAATCTCGATAATGGAGAAGTTGGCCGCGGATGGCAAACCCATTCCGTACCCACAGTCCCGTCCGAATTTGAGCAACCATTGTGATCACTGTAAGGCAAGGGGAAAATGAGTATCAGCAAGAAATGCAGGAAAGTAGAGTTACCTCTAAGGGGAAAGTCGATAACGGTCAGAATTGCTTGTTCACTTGCATGGATATCCAAGGCTTTCCGAATAGTCCCATCTCCCAGAAGTAACAGATTATCTTGCGAGAGTACCGCCACATGCTTGAATAGTTCCGCCAGAAGCCAATGGAGTGGGTGGTGGAAACTAACCCAACCTTCTAGAACGTCGAACTTGACAATCCGCCATCGTTGCCCGAGATCGAGGGGGCTGCGCGGCTCGCCTATGATTTGGCCCGTCCCAAACGCTACTTCATGAAATTCTACGTTATGAAATTTCGTCCTATCGAGACGTTCCTCGACGTCCATCAACGTGCAGACGAGTAGAATTCTATGCATGACCGCGTTGATTGCCGCGATGAGCCCGGAAGCAGGGGCACGTCCCCCTCCGAAAGCTTCGCCATATACTCTGATCACGCGGGACAAGCTCAACGCAACATTGAACACACTAATCCACGCGTCTGTCTCGTATTCGACATGACCCTGCTCCGCTCCCAACCTGCGATTCGGGTTCAAGCACATGAACATTTGACAGGTGTTGATGAAGGAGGATAGCATCGGTTGTGTGCAGTAGCCTGGGGGGACGGCGGGGTATGAGGCAATCAATGCCTGGAGTGGTGGAGTGTGGGCTAGATACCGGAGGTCGCTGAAGATGGGCATGAATCGCTTCGACCTAAAGGGCGCGGAGTCAACCTCCAACGGTCCGCTTGTAGACGGAAGAGCGGGCATGTTCTCGTTCGACCCGTTGTTGACTTGGAGAGGAGAAAAACTAGTAATGATTTTCTTCGCGCGTATCTGACCCAGGAAGAAGGCTTCTATGATGGCCAGCAACTTTTCTATAAGCCGATGTTGCGTTGCGACGTGGAGGGCGACTGAAGGGACGGTGAAAAGCTGCAGAGCAAAGTATTTGATGGATGTTTCTGCTTCACGATCGGTTAGGAGATACGCGTCGATAATCGGAGGATAAGTCTGAGCGAACTGGGATGCTAAGAAATATATCGTCAAATATTGACTGACACGATAAAAGGAGAGAGCCTACCCATCGCGATTTTATGTGTCCGACCCAAACTGATAATCGAAGCGTAAATCTCCTTTAGACTTAATCTCGGCTTCTTCCACAGTCTGGTGTGATACAGGAACAGCCACTGTAGCCGACTTGCACTGTCGCCTAGGTCGAGGCCTTCATCGTACCCGCTAACCCCACCACTGCCAAAACCACTTCCATAGCTACTGCTACTGAAGGCCCCGCCACCGAAATTAGGGGAGTAGGAACTGCCTGGAATGCCAGGGAACCCATACCCGTGAGATCCTCCAAACCCGTAGCTCCCAAATTCTGAGCTGCCGCTGGTTCCTGCGCTTTCTCCCCGACGGGGACTGAGAAGTTCCTCTGCAATGATCTCTCGAAGGCAAGTTGCACCCTTTGTCGGATCTATCTGAGCGGTGTCTCCGTCCTCGCCGAAGTTGACGATCCGCACCCGACTCAGATCTACGAGCCATTCCATAATGACGCTCACAACTTGCTCCCTGAAAGTATCGTATGCGCGTCGAACGGTGACACCAAGGTCAATCTGGGCCATGCCTTGTGCTATATCGAGCAATCTAACAACGTTAGAACTCAATTCAATGGTCGCGCGACCAGTGGTGTCAATTTCCTGCGTAAGAGCTAGCGCTTCTTCGTACGAGCGTCCCCTAGAAGGAAGCGATGAGGTACTGAGGTGCGCTGGGGCTGCGGAATCCGTCAGGAGATTGACGACCTCGGTAAAAGAGTGCTTATCGTCGTTCCAAACGACGAGGGCGTAAAGATCCTCCTTCATCATAGGGTCTGCAGTGGGCTGTAAGCGAATGGCGGTTTCTGATGGTACAAGGGCCGGCGCGGATGGTGCGTTGGCTGTTGCTGCGGAGGTGGGCGCATGGATATGAAGGTGGGGTTGAACTTGTGTTTGCGTTGTAGGAGATTGAATTTGGGGGTTTGGAGACTGTACGAAAGTACCTGGTATGTTGTGGAGGTGGATGTGCCCGGAGTGCGGCCGCGAGTGCGCGTTGGCAGGCGCAGATGCAACAGGGAGAGTGGGCAATGATGGTTCGGGAGGCGAATATGAGAGGGTATTAAGCGTGAACGAGAGAGCATATGCTATGGTAAGGTGCATTGTGTGGATTAACTGCGGCGGAATTTCTGCATATACTGGGGCTGGTTCGGGTTCGGGAGGTGGTTCCATTGGTTCTAGAGGCCTCGGAACGGCTTTGGGTGTCTCAAAGGAAAGTGGATCCGTGCACACAGTCGCGCCCGCTGGTGGATGGAAGGGACAGTTGATGCAGCTGCGCCACGCTTCTTCATCCCCACAGTCGCAGCAGCCACCCGATTGCTGGGCGATGAAGAAGCTCACATTATGATCCGTGTGGTCTGTGGCGTGAAAACATCGCGCACATAGAACGCAGCTATCGTCTTGGGCGCAATCTCTGTGGTAGACCGTCACTGTCAAGATATCCTCACAGAATCACGATGTGTTACTTACTTGCATCTGAAGCAGCTTTCCCCCTTCCTGAATATCCTTCCGCATGCCTTTCCCGGGATGATCGGGTCTTCCTTCCCATTGATGCCCAAGCTCGCTTGAGTCTCGCTGAGCAGTGTGCGCATCGGTCCACTTGAGGGCTTCGGAGGGAGGAACATGTGCGCATACTGGCCCCAGAAGGCGTCGTATAGTGCAGCCAGAACGTCACCCCTGGTAGCGGGTGTGAACACGTACTTTCGGGAGCCAGGCATAGTTTCCAGCGCGAATCGGAGCTGAGAGAGTGGATCTGGTGTGCTACCACTTGTTGGCGAGCTCCGGCGTATGCCAGAGGAGGGTCCCGGAGACATCGATGGCAAGAACCTGGATGGAAGGAATGAAGAAAAGCTTGACATACTACCTCTGATGGAACAAGTTAGCTGCTGAGATGAGGATTCCGCTTCTTTAAGTGGGCAGTAGGAAAAGGCAATATGCTCAGATTCGTCGGGAATTCAAGCTCGGACTGCCCGCAGGTATGACGCGCCGATATCGAATACTGGCGGGGTTCACGAGCTATCGATCCTCCTAGTAGGGCTGTAGAGGTACGATGATGAGGTCGAGGCGAGGAAGGTGGGCATGCATATGGCAACTCCTTCTCGCGGTCAGTGTACAATATTTCCACAGTCTACTATATATTCCCACAGTCAGTAAATCGTCCCAGCTATACGCTGATCTGTTTTGTATCTTGATCATTTCAATCATTTCCTCAGAACGACAAGCTTACTGGAACGGCCCGCCAGACTGCCCAGTTCGCTGCCATGACAAGTCGTTCGTCCTTCAATGTCGTTTCTGCGCCGCTTTCAGAGCTGGCAGACCCCCCAACGCGACTCATGGATGCCGTTGCCATGGACTATTTCATGATCGAACTCATTCCAACATTACGGCGGTCTGCAGCAATCGCGACTGAACGGCGCAAGAAACTCGAGAAGGAAATGGTGGATGCGGGGCTCATACCGCCACCCGCCCCGCCTCCAAAGGTCGACAAACCTAGAGAGAGCCAAGGACCGCATGATTCAGTCACCAGCTTGACGTCCAAGATCTCAAAACCACCCATAGATGATGAGGAAGAGGCCGTGCGGGTACGATTGGAGACAATCGGTATGCACGTCGGGGCCAACTTCTCGGAGAGGTGTGCATTCCTGACCAACGAAAGTGCGGCGTCTGACCTGATTAGGCTATGTCTGAACAAACCACTCTTCACCGAAACCCTCGACGCAATCAAGTTTATATGCAAGGATATTTGGGTTGCTTGCTGGGACAAACAGGTTGATAACCTGAGGACGAATCACCGGGTGAGTGTTAGGTTGGGGTTTGCGTGTCGTGCGTTAAGTCCGAACCACCAGGGGGTATATGTATTGCAAGATAATCTATTCAAACCCATAGCGCGTCTGTCTTCGTGGCAGGGACGAGCGGATGCGCTGCGGAAATCGAAGATATACGTCGCGCTTCCCGCCGGGATCATAAAGGGCGCTCTGTCCCGTCTCGGCATTCAGGCTACGATAACGCCTGAAATCAACTCCTTGCCACAATGTAGGTGTTTCACCTAGATAATATGATGTTTACTTCGCCCATGACATTCCTTAGGCACGTTCCAGGTGAAACTGCCGAAGGGGAGCTGAAAGTGTAGGTTAGTCGGTATTTCTTGCTATGTTCACTGTATCTCCACGACATCCCTTCTCAGCCGCTGTAAATCAGAAGTGCTCTGATTCTCGGATAATCTCTTGTTGCGTCGAGAGGCTGATAGACCGTCAATGGCACGTAACCTTCATTGCATGACGGCTTGGGGCGTGATGGACAGCACACGAAGGCTATTTGTTGCCGATTTCTGGATTTGTGCAATGGTCCCGACGCCGATGGTTCCTTGAATCACCAACAACAGTATTATCTCCAGTTCGGCCACTCAATTCAACTGCCTGTCGTTGACGTTCAAAACCCTCTGTTCAATTCACCTGAAATGTTTCAGCGGTACAGTCAAGTCATAGATTGGCTATTCCTCCCTCTCAGTGCGAATGATTGGTATACAACCTCTAAGCTCTACCCCCTGTGCCTTACCCTAACCTACTCAGGCTCGATGCATTCAGTCGACCCTTGACCTCGAAATAATATAAAGCTTCAGGACCATCTTCAATCGGACTACATTACAAGTGTACGAGTCCCGACGATGTGGTCCATCTCTTTTTGGGCACCATTGCTAAGCACCCTACTCGCCTTCGTGAAGGTGTGTCCACTGCTCTTTCCCAATCTTCATCACATCCGAACGAGCGCCGTTCTCAGCAAGCTCAAGCTCAAGGATGGCCATATCAAGGGTGCTATACGTGAGTTGATATAAACGTCACCTGTGTATCAGTACTGACGGGATACATTTTCACAGGGACAATATTTTATCGCGAACGCTCCGAGGCGAACATTTCACCGATGCCTCGAGCATGAGTCGCAGCCTATGCACGCTCACGTGCGCGCACCGCGATTTCTCTTACGCAGGCCTGGAATTCGGCAAAGAATGCTGTGAGCTCCCCCCTGCATCGCGCCCGTCGTTCACTTGAACACGCTGATTAAACATGTGTATCTATGTTCCTCTGTTTTTCGCGACAGATTGCGGATACTTGCTCAATCCCGCCGCCACGCTGACGAGTGATGCTGAATGCAACATGCCTTGCGCAGGCAACCCCGAGGAAGACTGCGGTGCTGCCGACCGGATTAGCGTCTACTACAATGGCAATCCTTTGCCCACCGTCCAACCTACCGCAGGAACGTTCTCTTACACGGGGTGTTACACGTGAGTACATTCCTCTCTTTCCTCTCACCTCTTCGACTTGAAAAGCTGATGCATGAATGTCAACAATAGGGATTCTGTATCGAACCGTGTATTGCCGTTCAAGGCGGATTTTCCGTTTGGCACTGATCCCGATAGGTGCACTGCAGCTTGCAAGACCTCGGGATATCAGTACGCGGGTCTCGAGTTCGGGTCTGAGTGCTGTAAGTTGGGGTTTCTTCCAATCATCGCTTAGTATGTTCATCGATTGTCTAGGGTGTGGAGACTCCGTCGCTCTGGGAATACGGCAGTCAGACGACGAATGCTATATGAGGTGCCAAGGGAGTGCTCTACACATTTGTGGTGCTCCTGACAGGTTGACTCTGTACGAAGACAACGATGTACAATAGGATCACCGCGGGTGGTGAGACTGCAATGGCAATGGACACACGTGGAAGTCTTGCTGTATCCGGGCAATAGGGCACTGACGCTCTCAGAGAAACCGAAGATAAAATTCCAACGCAGACATCGTTACCGTGACCGCTGTCTGCTTAACTCAAACTCTGGTCAGAAACCCATTGCCGTCTAAGCACTCGCGTACGGTATACTTCGGCATGCTTACCTATCTCGATCCTTGAAATGGTGTACACGGCGTTGATGGGCATATATCGTCTGACATCAGTACTTGTTGGATTCACTTACGCAGAAGATATATAGTGTTTCCCTGACTAGTACCACTACTCACTGTTTCTCAACGCGTTCACACAGGACAATAGAGACTACCTGCAAGACTTGGTGATCCATGCTTTGTACGCGATGATAATTTCTCCCGCTGGATATATGACTGATATACGCACAGAGGTTTCTATGTCTGAACACTCTACTGGTTATCTGTGCAATAATCACTCACTTTGTGGTGCGTTGTTTACACCTGGGAAGTCAAAAGAGGATCCACCAAACAAGACGCAACCGAGTCTTGACCACGATGGCTTCTCTTGCTTTCAAGGAAGAGAAGATCGGCTTGCGATCAAGGCCAGGATGGGGCACATCGGAGATGGTGGGTTATGTTTGACATGAAGAGAGCACCGACTGAGGATTTTGAGCTCCCGTAACCCAGTTGACGGCAGATGGAATGTGTGACTCTGGGTAACCACTCGGCGATGTTCTACCATGCATGTACTGTGGTCAACAATCATGGCAGTATATAGGAGGACGGGGAGAAACGACTTACGATACGAGAGAACTCTGCCGACTCTCTTGACTGTATCCCGAATGTTGGCTCGCTCCAGCAGCTTGGCGATCGCTGATGAGGTTCCTGGAAGTGGAATTCGATTTGAACAATATTTGGTAGTTGAACAACAAGGAGGCCAGCCGTCCGTAAATAGGATATAGAAGCCAAGAAAAAGACCATGATACATCGCTCGCCTTGTAGTGAGAGGGGAGCATTTAACAGTCATTGCAATATGCTGCACATATATTGACGTCGTTGACCAAGATTTTGAGTTGTAGCGCTGTTCAACATCGAAATCGTAGAAATACCCGGCGGTTAGTCCAGAGACGGGCAGTGTCAGAAGCGACACTCATAAATCAGTAATGTACAAAGAAAGCTCCCATAGATCAGGGCTGGAAAGTTTAGTGACATGGTAGATGGGTCATTCGCAGTGTTGTACGGTCGGTGACCAGAAGTGACTAGTCAAGGTCAGAAGTACGGTCAAAGGTCGGGAAAAGTCAGTTTCTGACCTGACCTTAGATGAGTGTGGGAATCGGAGTTAGTGCCAAATATGGTAGTATTCTGAACCGCGAGCTTTCCCCTTTTCCCCCTGATACGGCACCTCTCCCAACGATTATACCACTACTGTAAGTCATCGAGCCGATATTGTAGGGTTGTAGGACTAATAGAAGCACCATATATACTGCTCATCATCCCCCAGATATAAATAAATAAGGTACAATAATTCATGGTAAGAATTATAATTGATAGTTCCAACTATCAGTCCATCCATGCCTCCCAATCATTCCTGGTAGCGAGATCTCTTCATCGACCATCCTCAAGCGAAGTTGAAGCACGCTGATACATTTCAGGGTGATAAACCCAAGGCAATAGTCCTCCAAACATTGGATATCTAGCTATCAGCGCAGCTCTTCCCGCAGCTTTGATGAGGAGCTCGAGTTGTATGACATGCTCAATTCGGATGCAGATGGCGAGTTCAACAACTAGGTACTTGATACTACGTTAGATTCAACTTTATTATCATGATAATTACTGTTTAAACTACCCCCCTGAAATCCCTGACCTCCCTGATCCCCTAACTAAGCTGCCTCCGACCGTGGAAAAGGTCAGGTCAAGGTTAGGTCGTAAAGTCACTGACCTTTCCGACCTTGCGACTTTTCCTGACTTTACCCTGACCTGCACACGTTGAGTCGTTGAGAAGTATGTGTTCCGGTGGGTCCGTCTTACTTGACGCATGGGTGATACCACTCAGTCTGCCGGTGACTGGCCCGGCCAAAACAATTCAGCCTACAAAAGGATGATGCACCTGCGATACAATCCTCGACGACGCTGCGTGGCTCAAAGTGTGCCTCGTGTAAGTAACCGATCACCTCGTCGTAGTCCGCTGTCTCCGTCTCCTGTGCTACTAGATACAACTGTCGTCAGCGTCTCAGGGATATTCACTTACGGAGGAGGGGGGAAATTGTCTTTCCGTTCGATCCTTGCACATAGTTCGCTCCTTTAGAAAGGTGATCCGCAACGAGACTACAGGGATCAGATGCCCTAGGCTTCTGACACTCAAGTGTTGTCCTCGCTGTCGAATTGAATATTCAATCCGGTCTTCGGTGACTGATTCAGTTGAGACTCAGCGAACAGGCCACGTAGTCACGTGACACGGTCCCTCCCAGTAGTATTAAGTATAGGTGCTGCTTCGAGGCTTCTTCAGCAACGCCCACCAGCACGACGACTTCTACACGAATATGCCCTCAAAGTTCAAGATCCAACAAACACCGCTAGAAAAGCACACTGCCTTCTTTGATACAGACGGAGACGGTATCATTTGGCCCCTGGACACGTACGTTCAACCGTCTCGCTGCGAGTCAGTGGGGTCATAACTGGGTGCTGTCATGGTAGCTTCGCCGGCTGTCGTGCCATTGGCTTCAACCTCTTAACTGCTGCACTATCTGCAATAATCATTCATTCTGGGCTGTCGTACGTCGTGTCGAAATTCATTTGAGAAGTGCGAGGTTTAATGAATTGGTATATTGGCACAGGTGGGCCACCATGCGGTTCCCTGACCCATTGTTCAGGCTCCGTGTCGACAAGATGGAAAAGGTAAGGGATTCGTCGTCTAATTGATACTTAGGACGGGAGCTAACGACGCCCCTAGGCTATGCACGGCTCCGACTCCACGAGCTACACCGCCCAAGGCGACTTCGACGAAACCCGTTTCGACCACACCTTCGAATTGTACACCCAGCCGCCGCACACCAGCATGTCGTTTGGCGAGGTCATTACCATGTTAAACGGCCAGCGAAATGCTTATGATTTCGTAAGTGAATACGTGCATATATATGCGTACTGACCTTGGTCTTGGTGTAGTTCGGGTCGTTCGCGGCGCTGTTTGAGTGGCTCGCGATGTATCTGCTCCTGTGGCCTGCTGATGGGCTCATGAAGAAAGAAGACATCCGCGCTATCTACGATGTTCGTCGTCTTTTCTGTGAATGAACAGGGTGAATACTGATCATCCGCATCGACGCAGGGGTCCCTGTTCTACACCCTTGCCCAGTCACAGAATGGCTCCAAGAGCAAGAACAATGAATAGAATCTTTGGCCCAGGAACTTTCGCTCAGGACAAATCAACACTCTCGAACCAAACGCATATGCATAAGGACATTCTCTCCCTTCGCTGCTTGCCTGTAATATTCCGATTCTAACAGGCTTCACATACACACACACGCACGCTTTCTCTCTCTCTCTCTCTCTCTCGCTTGCAATTTGACATTCAGCCGCATAAACACAACTGTGATTGTAGATACAAGGATTCGTGTATGTACACGACGGACGACGGACTTTTATGCTCTTGTGTAGATTAATGAACGGTGTACAGTTGCACCCATTCTGGTGGACATCCGGTCAAACTGACTTTCTGTCGGATTAGCTCGTGGCCAGGGTCTTCTGAGTGATTCTTGAAGTTGAACGTTATTGGATGTTGTTGAACTGGCTGAACTCCGTGGTTCGTGGTATGTCTTGCTGGAATGCATATCCTGCCTGTATGCGCGTACATCGCGTCTCCTCTTCGACATCGTCTCGCCCGAACCTCTCATCATTTATGCAACATATGCTACAAGTTTGAGCGTGTATGGTGCCGAATACTAGGCTTGACTGATTGATTCCTGAAGGCAAGGTTGGGGGAGGTTGGCCGTGGGCGAGTCCATCGGACGTTCTATACAGAATGATATTGTAGTTCTCCATTTCAAAATGCACACTAGTTTCGCGCACGAAATCGAGTCTCTAGCAATAGCACAAGGACACGCGGCTACAAACATGCCACAAACACATAGATATAGATTACCATCACAGCTATAGTCGCTGGAAAGAGGTTGAACTCAATCGCACAGTAACACCATGGCGGCGTCTGAGCTTGATCAGCTATCATGACACTATTACTTAGCTGCACCACCCTGTTGGTGTCAAGGAAGGCTGCGTGCTTGCTTGCGGCGTTCACTGCATTTTGGATTTCGGAGGCATGTGTGATCCCGCACTCTGTTTATACTGAGGGAGGTGATATCAAAGGGGTGAACTGATGAACTAGATGTCGTGAAACTTAAAAATGCAAGTCTGTATCGTCCTCAGACTGGCCGAGAATTTCCTGAGCGTATGAAAGTTTGATCACAGTGGTTTGTGGCAGGAGGTACAATAGGCTACCTGCAACAGCGACATAATCAACAAATACGAGGTATAGTCCAAACGTCGAGGCCTACTTTTCATATACAGACTTGATAGGAATATCGGGAAGCGCGGCACATTTATCCAGGCCAACAGAAGTGAAAGCTTTATACGCATCATGGTACAGTTGGGTGAACTCGTTTTCGTCGCACTGCTTGCGAAGGAATTGTCTGTGGGCTGCAGCGAATCTGCTGGACTGGAGGAACCACGCGTGAAGTAAAGGCTGAAATATAGCAAGGATTCCGGAGAGATCGTCCTCGATGTCTGCCATCCGCGATCCCCAATCGATCTCTAGAAGCCTCACTTTGAAATCCGCGAGTGAACCCAGATCTTCGCCGTTTATATTTTTCCACCAATCATCTTCGTCCACTGTCCTTTCGCTCGCAGGTGTCCATGCAAGGGCGTCGTACAAGAGAACCCAAGCGAATGACTCTAGGTCATCGATTGGAGTATGTACAACTGCTTTGTTCTTCGTCCAGGAGTCTACCAGGTTCGCCGATGTGAACGGCAGGGTCCCCTGTGATGCAAGGATAAACCATGGCCTGTGGAAGATTCTGAAAACTCACAGGTCGATCTGAAGCCTGCGGAGGAGTGCCCCACTTCTTGGCGACATCCCCATCGATGAGGACCGCGCTGCATTCATTGCTCGTAACTATTCCGTGTAAGCTGGGGACAATTGAGCACGTCAGACGCGCTTAGAAAACGGAAGGTACCCACATAGGCGGAATTTTCCAATCAGACCGAGAGATCTCATCGAGGAAAAGTATGTTTCCGATACTGATGTCACGATGGAGGTACCCCCCTTCCGTGAATAGCGCACAATGTCCTAAGAGCAATGTCAGAATGGGTGAAGTTGCAAGCGAGTTGGCACCCACCTCACCTATCATTGCATGGAGCAGCGCACATCCAACTTGCTGGAAGGTCATCTCCGGAGTAAGACGTGCACCAACAGACCCCATAACGATGTGTTTGTGGACCCGAGACTCGTACGGCAGCATATCATCCTTCGTGTCAATGAGCACCCTCCATGGCGCGGGCATTTTGTCGGCGGGGATTGTAAAACACAGGGCATCATATTCTGCGATGATATAGGGGATACCAATGAATCCTTGCACGGCGCTGAACACTTCAAGCTCCGTTATCCGGCCAAGAGGTTGGTGGGAACATTTGACAATGAAGCATTCGGGGAGTGGCTCAGCCAGGATGAGCTCTTGTGTGGACACTACATCTTCCTGACTTCCACCTTCCCTCATTCCGCCTTCCTCGTCGCCTTCTTGGTACACTTGAATATCATCAGGTTGCCGATCATCATAATCGAACGGATTCAGGCATCTCCACTCTAGACCGCCGCAATCTTCTTGAGGCACCACAAAGTACCGGGTTATGTCCTCAGCGGGCTCCTCGCACTCCACATAATACACTGTGGTCACTCGCCCACGAATAGCCTGACGACGGCAGCAGATGTAGTGGATGAAATACTTGATATTGTTGAAGGAGAGGTAGGCGGGCAACTGCGTAGGCACATATCCAGCCTGTGAGGGCTCTCGCCAGAGCCACATCCCGACGATGGTGGAGACGAAGTCTTTGAAGCCGGACACTGTCTGGAGTTGCATAGCATGCGTGGCGAGCACTCCGCTACGATGATAGAATAACAGGCGGAACGTAGAAGTTGAGTGATCCAGAGCCAAGATAGGAATGAAGATGCGATGATCTGACGCTGCGAATAGGCAGCGCGCATACGCTCCAGCCTGCAGGACGAGCCTCTTCCAACAAGAATTGACTTCTCCTGCGAATACGGTGGAATACCAGGACGCTCTTCCCTTGTTCAGAAGCAGCTTTGTGAGAGCGATAATACTCGGCCTCAATGCACATTCGCCTGTCTCCTGCATTGTTTTTGCATAATGTTTGAATCTAACGTCTCTGAGATATGATCGTTTGAACTCCTTTGGATAGCATGCTGCGAACGCCTCGACAGTCTTATTGAGAAGGGTAGTAAACGGTCCGCAAGAAGCAGTTGCAGCTGAGGTTTCGCCAGGCCAGTCCTGCATGTCGCTGATATTCAGAGTCTCTGGGGTCGAACACTTCCAGATATCTGCCTTCCCTAAATGCTCAATTACTTGTTCGACCGTCTCTGCGTGAGCAGGACAGAAGTGGTCGGCAACCCAGTCGCCTTCGTAGGTGACATGTTGCAGTTCATGAGATAGAATATTGCCGACTGCTTCCTGGGCGTTACGCTTTTGTATCACTTGGCTGGTGGTCATGGTTTGCGTATGGGGGGAGCGCACGTTGGATCTGAGATTGTACGGTGTATGTTGCATGGAAATGAAGCGGCGGCCAGCATTGAGACGCTTCTGTGAGGTGGCCATGAGAGCGAGAGTAGGAAGGGATGTTGAACAGAATTCGACCAAAACGCGATCACGGGACACACTCGCTTAAAAATTTGGATTCATTGCGAAAGTAGGCCTCCGAGGCTCAGCTCGGCTGGCCATTGGGCTAGGCTGTCATGAAGTGCACGTCGGACAAGAATCTTACCGTCGAGGGTAGAACACAGAAAAATTTGCTTTTGCTGGTGGGACCGACAGAGCTGGTAACTACAGTTTGGTCTACTGTTTGTGTACAGATTTGATAGGAATATCGGGAAGCGCGGCGCATTTCTCCAGGCCAACAGAAGTGAAAGCTTTATACGCATCATCGTACAGTTGGGTGAACTTGTTTTCGTCGCTCTGCTCGCGAAGCAATTGTCTGTGGGCTGCGGCGAATCTGGTGGACTGGAGGAACCACGCGTGAAGTAAAGGCTGAAATAGAGCGAGGATTCCGGAGAGATCGTCCTCGATGTCTGCCATCCGCGATCCCCAGTCGACTTCTAAGAGAAGCCTTTTAAAATCCGCGAGGGAGCTCAAAGTGTCCTGGTTAATCTTTCCCCACCAATCATTCTCGGTTGTCGTCCTTTCGTTCGCAGGGGTCCATGCAAGGCTGTCGTAGAGGAGTACCCAGACAAACGACTCTAGGTCATCGATTGGTGTCTGAACAATTGCTCGTCTTTTTGCCCAGGCGTCCGTTAGCCCCGCCGATATGAATGGCAGAGTCCCCTGGGATTTCGGAATAAATCCATAGCCCACGGCGTATTCTAGGAACTCACAGATCGGTCCGAAGCTTGCGCAGGGCTACCCCACTTCTTGGCGACATCCCCATCAATGAGGACCGCGCTGCATTCATTGCTCGTAACTAATCCGTGTAAGCTGGAAACAATTGAGCACGTCGTGCTTAGAAAACGGAAGATACTCACATAGGCGGAATTTTCCAATCAGACCGAGAAGACTCAACGAGGCGAACTATGTTTCCGTTACTGATGTCACGATGGAGGTATCCCCCTTCGGTGAATAGCGCACAATGCCCTAATCGCAACGAGAATGAATATAGGGGAATTCAGCAAGCGAGTAGACAGCTGCCTCACCGATCATCGCATGGAGCAATGCATAGCCAACTTGCCTGAAAGTCAGATCCGCAGTGAGACGTTGACCAATGGACGCGATAAGGGTGTGTTTATGAACCCGAGACTCGTATGGGAGGATGTCACTCTCCGTGTCAGTAAGAACGCTCCATGGCGAGGGCGTTTTGTCCGCGGGAATCACAAAGCATAGTGCATCGTATTCGGCTATGACATCGGGGATGCCGATGAATCCTTGCACGGCGCTGAACACTTCGAGCTCCGTTGTCCGACCAGGAAGCTGATGAGAGCATTTGACAATAAAGGATTCAGGGATGCCGCCATGAAGAAGCAGCTCTTGCGTAGTCACCACACCATCGTCATCCTGACTTTCAGCCCCCCCGCCCTCTTTGTCGCTCTCCTCTTTGTCGCTCTCCTCTTTGTCACTGTCCTCTTTGTCGCTCTCCTCTTTGTCACTGTCCTCTTCGTCGCTGTCCTCTTCGTCACTGTCCTCTTCGTCACTGTCCTCTTCGTCACTGCCTTCATCGAACTCGAGGGCCTCGTGTTGCTCGTCATGATAGTCGAACGGATTCAGGCATTTCCACTCTCGACCACCACATTCCGCTTGAGCCACCGCAAGGTACCGGGTCGCACCCGGGGGCGGTTCCTCACGGTCCACAACATACACAGTAGTCACCCTCCCACGAATAGCCTGACGACGACAGACGACATTGTGAATGAAGTATTTGATATTGTTGAATGAGAGGTAGGTGGGCAGCTGCGTGGGTACATATCCAACCTGAGAGGGCTCTCGCCAAAGCCACATCCCGACGATAGTGGAGACGAAGTCTTTGAAGCCGGACGCCGTGCGGAGGGCCATATCGTGCGTGGCGAGCACTCCGCTACGATGATAGAATAACAGGCGGAATGTAGAAGTTGAGTGATCCAGAGCCAGGATAGGAATGAAGATGCGATGATCCGAGGCCGCGAACAGGCAGCGCGCATAAGTTCCAGCCTGAGGGACGAGTTCCTTCCAAGAAGATTTGACTTCGCCCGCCAAAACGGTTGAATACCATGACGCTCTTCCCTTGTTGAGAAGCCACTTTGTGACGCCAACGATGTCCGGCTTCAACACAAATTCTCCTGAGACCGACTCCTGCATAGTTTTTGCGTATCCTTTGAATCTCACATATCTGAGATACGAATGTTTATACTCGCTTGGATAGCACGCCGCCAATGACTCGACGATCTTGTTGAGAAGGGTAGTGAACGGTTCGTAGAATTTGGTTTCACCAGAGCGTTTGCGAGGCCAGGTCTTCATACGAGCGACATTCAGGACATCTTTAGTTGAAGGTTTCCAAAGATCCACCTTCCCCAGATGTGCAATTACCTGTTCGACCATCTGCGCAGGAGCAGGACAGAAGTGATTGGAAACCCAGGTGCCTTCGTACGTAACATATTGTAGTTCTTGCAAAAGGATGTTCTCGAGTTCTTTCTGAGTGCGTTGCTTTTGAAGCACTTGGTTTGTGGACATGCTTTGCGTGTGTGGCGAGTGCACGTTGGACTTTAGATTGTACGGTGTGTGTTGCTCGACAAAGAACTGACGAGCACGCTTGGGCGGCGTCGACGGAGGGGTATCAGGATTGCGACGCTTCTTTGAGCCGGTCATGAGGACGACCTTCGAAAATGATACTCTTGATTGAAGTAGTCGAAAGTAGTGGTCTTAGTTGAAGTCGTCGAAAGTGGTGGTCTTAGTTGAAGCGACGAACCTGAAACAACCGCGTGACTTGCGCCACAAACGCGTCGAAACGCGGCGTCTAAGAGTTCCCTCTCTCTCATCCCCGTCGAAGGTCGTCACCAACATCTTGCCATGAAAGTGAAGATCAAGCAATGGAATGCAGTGGCGCAATGGCGATGGGACACTGGGAACAAGGATGCTGCAGACGACGAAGAAGGGGACGTCTGTGGCATCTGCCGCGTCCCCTTCGAAGGCTGCTGCCCCTCGTGCAGGGTGCCTGGCGACGATTGTCCGCTCAGTTGAGTGTCCCATCTACGAGAGCGCCGGCGCCCAGCGGCAACTGACACGAGAAGCGATGTTTGTAGTATGGGGAGAGTGTAGTCATGTCTTCCATATGCACTGCTTATTGAAGTGGATCGGGACCGCAGCATCGAAGCAGCAATGTCCGATGGACAGAAGACCGTGGGGTGCGTTCTTCATACTCTGATGATGCTTGACTTCTTACAATAGGTATTAGCTACGGCAGAACGAAGGGTTGACAACGCTCCTCCTCCGACTACATAACACCCATGAACGCCAACGGAATGTGAATCAATTTTACAGTAGTAATACATTGTACGTTACGCAACCTGTAGCCTGGGGATTTTAGATATCGTACGCAACATCAGATCTTGTCATGATATTAGGACCACGAATAACACAACAGAACACGAGCATGAATGGGTTGAAAGAAGTTAAACGGGGCGAGGAGGGCTTCTGTTGGTACAAGAATTCGAGTGAGCGAAGGGGTGATTAGGATGTCAACGAGGGCATGAAAGTTCGAGAAGAAGGTACACGTGGATAGATAGCAAAGAGTAGGGTGGGCACATATAAGGTTTGTAAACAGAGACGGCGACGCCAGCCACTAGGGGACGAAGGGGTGCCGACGTTGGTATAAGTTCCGATAGGTAAGCAAATCTAGACAGGATATATCAGTCCAAGATATGTATACATCATTAGGAATCTCGGGGGATCTTGACGGTGAGCAACATCAGGTTTCTTTTAGGTTGTAAATCGATCACGTTTATTGCTCGACACTGGGGCCGCCTTGGAGAGAGGCCATCCATATCCTCGTCTTGTATAATCTGAGCACGACAGGTTAGGAGTTGCTGGGAGGGGACGTCGTGCCTGGACACACCTGAAAAGTTCCCTGACAAGCTCTCTGAAATCGATTCTTTTCTCGGCAACAAAGTAGAAAGTCAGCTTGCGCCGATCCCTGAGTCCATGATCAGGAAAGCATTCGCGATGAAGCACTAGCCATGTCACGCACCACTGATATTCAGCATCTACCACTTCCATAGGCAATTTCTTGGCGCGGACCTTGCTCTGACAGAGCTGTAGCGCTTTCATTTCATCTTGGAGTTTCGTGACGAGCAGACTAGTAACGAGTTAGCTTGAGCTGGCATTTACGCGATCGTGCGACTCACTGAGCGTCCTGTTGTTGTGCCTTCGCATAGATCATCTTTGGATTAATCTCTTTCTTCCCTACAGGCTGGCCGCCGCCAGGGCTAGTCGGCTGTCCATCTGAGAAACTCATCGCCATCTGCTGCTTCTGGAACGCCTCCACCTCCGCCAGCGTGATACTATCATTGATAACCTTACCCAAATCCTTTCCACGATCAGCTTCGACGATGACCAGGTCCCCAACGCGGACGTCCAGGGAAAGGTCGGTCAAGTAGTATAGATCCGTTCTGCCAGCTTTGAACTCCACGATGTAGAGCGGCCAGGAGGCGGGGACGGCATGCAGAGGAAGACCCTTCCCGAGTTCGTTGAGAGGAGATTGTGCGTCCGAGGGACGACGCTGGATCGGCTGAGGGTAGAATCCACTTTGGTGTTGAGCATGCATGGCGCGCGCACTTGAAGGAGACACGGGGGAGGTGACTGAACCGGTGTACGACGGAGCGCGTTCACGGGTATACACGCCACCATTATGTTGTCCGACGTTATGGTTCTGCATGGCGATAGTGTGCTGCGGGAGATACTGGATCCCCTGCCCTGGGATATAGCGAGCCGTCAACTCTGATTGTTGAGTAGGAGTCTGCCCCTGCTGTTGTGTGGACCTGGAACCGGAAAGGAACTGGTTCTCAGCTAACTGCTGGTCGAATTGCGTCCGCGGTGGGCTGCCTCCGCCGGTTCCGCCGTCAGACGGGGTGTGCATCTGTTGGCGAGAATAAGAGGCGCTCGTCTGGATGCTAAGCTGGTTCATCGGGAGATACGAGGCCAGACGATCGGCTGAGGGAGGGCTGCGAGACAGCGGGGCATAGATGGGGAGCGAGGACGGCTGGCTGGTAGGCTGCTGTGACGACGGAGATCGAGGCTCTGGGTTGATGTTGAGCAGGCCCAAGTCGCTAGCTAATTCATCGTCGGATATCATGAGACCCCCGCGTCCGAACCCAGCCTGCGTGAAAGCGGGACGGCTGGGCTCGTCGTTACCTTCAGCGCCTGGCGCGTTGAAGCCGACTACATTGCCTCTCCTGGGCTGAACGACACTGACGCTGTGCCTGCGACTCGTCGTCCCGCTACCCCCTCCGCCGTTTTCATCGCGAGGGGGGTTCATCCCCGACCACAACTCTCGGAAGGGGCTGTCGTCGACGAGGATCTGCCCGACATCCCGAACGAACGGAGACATGTTTGAAGGATCAATGGTTTGTCTGTGTGAGTAGCCGTTACCGACGACGGAGCCGCCAGTGACGGGGGAAGAAGGTACGTGAATATTGGTAGGGGATCTACCCAATGTTCCAAGGGAACCGTACCGGCTTGTGCCTGGTGGTTTGATCTCCCCGTAGCGCGACCCCGGGATGTTCAGAGGGTGCGAGAAGCTTGATTCGTTCCAGCTGGCCATGGCAGAGGAATTGAGATACGGACTACCTACCGCCCCTGCCCTAGTATTAGCGAGTGACTGGGAACGACTTCGAGTGATGTCCTGTGTGTACGTCCGCCCCCGTCCGACATTGAGAGAAGATGGGAAGAATCGCTCATCGTAGGTGTCCGATATTTCCGACTCGTCGTCCTCGAACGTGGATGGAAATGCCCTGTCGCGCATCGCCGAAGAGAATTGGGATTGTGGGTGGGCAGAAAACGACGAGCTCCGCATCGGAATGGGCTGGGGCAGGCCGCCTGAACCTCCTCGCGTGGGGCTCAACAACCGCTGACCAGACCACGGCGAAGTCCCCCCACTACCAAAGCTCGAGGGCGTCACATTCGGCTGGGACGGCGAGGACTGGATGTTTTGCTCTGACCTCCGAGGGGGCTGGCTGGCCGCACGCTCCCTCAAAGTCGCGGTTCCGTTCTCAGCTAAACTTGAGCCCAGAAAACGATTCTGTCGATCCTCCTCGTCTTCATCCAAAGCCGGCTGTGGGCTGCGATTCTGCTGCATCGTGCCCAATCAACAGAATGTGCTCGTGAGCAAGGGAAAACGCGGGGTAAGAAGACAGCGTCTGGAGATGAAAATCGAATTTCCAATTGAAAACTGGGGAATTGGAATTCGACCAACTACAGAACTCCTATGTCTCAGACCCTCAAAATTGAAGTTTTCAATACGTCGGCAACGCACCACGGCCCACTTCGTGAACTGAAATTATCCCTCCCTTTCTCCGTTGAGCCTCGTGCAGTACTGTCGGATCTAGGAGACGAAATGTATGAGTTTTGAAGCCGGGAGGTTCGTCAACGTAAATTCTAGGTAAAAATGTGGAAAAGAGAAGGAGAAAAGAGACGAGTATGGAATGTCTATGAAGAGAGCAGCAAGGAACGGCTGAGGACCTTTCTACGTTGTGGTGAAGTCCTGGGAGCGCTCTATGTCCAGCTGATCCCTTACACCCTTTGGGCCTTATAGGGGTCACATGAACCCGCAAACTTGAAGTGCCGCCTAACTCGAGAGGGCTAAACTGAATTGACACGTTGATTCGTATTCCGTTTGAATGGACGTCCACATCCCATGGGTACACTGCCCGGCGTCCTGGGTGGAGAATGCATCTATTGCGGAGCATCTTCCCGACAACTGTCGCCCATGAGAGAATAGTATTGTATACAGAGAGCACTTGTGCCCAGCTTGAATCGGCAGAAGTGTGCCAGTATCCTCAAATTCACAGCGCGCAGAATGGAATAATGTAGCATGCACAAGTGAACTGAGCTACCTTGATCATTAACGAAAGAATGAGTAGGCAATATTCTCACGGTCAATTTGTGAATCCTTGTCCTCGAAATATTTGATCCGGTAATCGTGTTGGTGAATATACGAAGAATGCTATTTTATTAGTATCGAATATTCCAAAACGATGTGCTGAACAAAATATGTTCTTGGATATCGAGAAAGAATTAGTTGGTGTTTGTGGATAAGCTCTAAGCCCCTGTCAGGGGCTCTTAGGAGCACGATCACTAGAACATACGTTCCGTAGCACTCAGATTTTTTTTCACCGGACATTGTACCTATTTGTATATACTGTACTTGGTATAACTGAAGGACTTCTCAGATCTCAGTGCTCAAGTTCAAGGGCTTAACAGGGCATGATAGAGTGTGGAAGGTCATCCACACTCCCATACTTGTTGCATCCTGCTCAAGTCGTGTAGAAGTTCACAGACCCCAGGTTTCTGTTGTAATCTACAAGCGACAGCAGTCTTATATGACAGAGTTCCTCATAGGGCAGGCCCAAAATGACCGACCGTTCCCCACTCCTAAGGATCCCCTATTCCTTTGTTCAAAGCGTTAGAAACTCCTCGCAATACGGCTCCCCCGATTATGGTTTCCCATATACATATATACATTGGCGACTATACTATAGCTATAAGCCCAATATTCAGTTGGGAAATCACTGGCTACTCACTGCCAAGCCGCTATTTCATCTTTTTTCTGGTGTAGCTTTTGTCGTTTGCGACGGCCCTTGGTTTGCAACGTTGCTTGCCGTGCATCCACCTAGTTTCATCTATGGGACCGTTCGTGATATTATTCTTCACTTTATCTCGTATTAGCCTAAAGTTGAATAAGGTCTGCATCGATGCTCGCTACTGAATAGGCAATGCGGGATATCCTGAACAACCTTGATACGTAGTCAATATCTCAATCACACCATTATGGGTCCAATGGTCTCAGGATGAGGATTACTTCCTGTCTGCCATTGAGTCTGAGACTGTTGCTTACTTACAAACCCAGTGTACAACGCACAACTTCTTCAAGGGATGGTTCACACGCAGTACTGGCATATTTACACACTACATATCCCATGATCATCCTGCACGTTGGGATCGGAGCCCTCGTCAGCAACTGTCAGCCGAGGGTCGCAAGCGAATGTACACGTGCTGAGTGCAAAGTGAGTGCAGGAGCCCCCGTGAGGGCGGCGCAACTGGTGACGAGGCCGAGAACGAGAGAAGCAGCACGCGACTAAACGTCGAATACTACGTCCACGGCCTTGAACGCTGTATTTCCCGGCCACACGCTAATCGGCACTTCGCACTCAACCATCTCGATGGCCACGTCCTGCCACCCTTCCTCCCCGCCATCATACACAACACCAACACCAACACCACCCTCTTTATCGGCCCTAACGCCGTCATATTCCCCATTATCTTCCTCGTCCTCCCCACCCTCATCCCCGTCATGATATTCCCGCTCACCTGAGCCCAGAAGCGACGCGACGATAGAAGCAGCCCACGATCGCGAGACTCTGTTGCTGGCAGCCGCGGATTTATTCCCACCGGATCGATGCTGCGACTGAGCAGCAAGCTTCAGAAGGTCAGGTTTCTCCATGGGTGCCAAGCTCGCAGGGGCTCGCCAGGACGATCCCCATACCCCCCGGGGTCCATCACGAACTAGAGCCTTCGTCCGCACGCCCTCAGTGCCCGGTCGTGACGTCTCAGAGGCAATAGCAACAAGGAGACACAGCCGGACTTTCCACTCAAGCCCACCCAGCTTCTGCTGTGAGGAATCTGGACCTAGGCATACTTGGAACGCAGGGCTAGCATCAGACGGGATGTCCAGTGCGAATGTCGTCCTGAGAGTCGAAGCAACAAACGCCGAATATTGCTCGGCTTGAACTCGGCGAAGATGTCGCGAAGTCGACGGCGGTGATATGGAGGAAGGAAGAGACTCTCGTGCCTCAAGGATAGCGCTTAACTGTAGATCACTTGGTCAGTAGGGCAGAAACTGCAACATGCGTTGCTTCGAACCTTCAAGACACGGGATCTACCCGTCCTGTCATTAAGTTCTACCACACCAAATACGGTCTCGCCCAGTCGGTACGACGATTTGGGGAACGTCAAAACGGCGACCTTTACACCGTCCTTGCCCACGTCATAACAAACTACAGCGTTTCGTGAGTAAAGACTATATATGGCGAGCGAAATTCACATTGCCTTTCTTTGGATTTCGAGTCAAGATCTCCACAGCCTCTCTACAGCCAGACAAACCAGTGTCATTCTCTGTAGAAAGGCCCCTTCTTACGTCGTCCTCCGGGCTGCTAGTGATACGCCGTACGGAATCAGGATTGGAGCTTTTATAATGAAAAGATTGAAGCAGCGACCGGGAATACCGCTGGAGATCTTCAAATGTTCCCATCTCACCTGAGCATAATCCACATAATTAACCTACCGTTATATCGGGCGGTATAAGCGTACCTGTATGGGAAAGGGGGAGTTTCTGCTTGTGCCTCCCCGTCTCCTCCACAACCTTCGCATTTGCTTCAGCAGGCGACTTTATCCGTCTGGCAACAGGCCACAACAAATCATAATGCCGAGGAAGCCGACCAACTACAAAACCGTATAAGTCAGTAAGAAAGTGCAATGAACACGCATGGCAAACCTGCAACGTGGTTGTATATTCGTATTGGAACCTTCATTACCCTGCTAATGCTACCCGGGCCAGAAGATTTCGCAGACCCCCCTGCACGACATGTTCCAATCACTAGCTCATATGAGAACCTCAACGTCCGACCCTTAAACGTCGGAGGAAGGTTATCTGGTAAAGCAATTTTGTACGTGTCTATAGAGACGATTTTAGTAAAAGGATGGGCGCTAGGTCAGGAAGGCAAGCTTACAACTTCTGGACTCTCCGGGTAACAGAGCCAAATCCACGGCTAGCATAGTCGGCTGTTCCTCGAACATAGGCACAGGGGCTTCGGGATCAATTTCCTCTTCCGAAGTATCCCCAACACCGATACCCAGACCAACAGCTTGGGGAAACGCAGTCGTCTCAGGCGGGGCAGAGCCAGGAATACCTGTCACAGAAAGAGTCCGCCCTTTATGTGTTGGCGCAAAAGGGGACTTTATGCTAGGTGATGATGCAGATGGTGAAAACAGTGACATGATTCCGGACGATATGGAGGCCGACCGACTATGTGTCCGTCGATTTGGGGGACGCGAACTTGGTGTGGGATAGCGAAGCGATGAAGTGATATCCATACTCCCACCGCCTACGACTGTCCGCTTAGACAAAGCCGAGCGCATGTACTTTAGCGCATGGGCCTGGTCTGGGGTTGGGGTCGTGCCTGGGAGAGGTGTAGCGTGGAGAGTGCCAGAGAGCTGGGCATATGAATAGAGAATAAGTTCGGTGTTGGTTTGAGGGAATGAAGACGAAGTGGTAGTGCGCGGCGGCACTTGAAGGTCGTGTCTCGGCGGTTTCCCTAGACCTATTTGTGGAGGCCGTCGAGGTGGGTAAGAATGTGTACCTGAGGCCGCCGGGTTTGTGAATGGGAAGTTGAGCGATGCACTTGGAACTAATGGGGAAGCTGCCAGCGGCGTCTGTGCTAATGGCGAAGGTGAAGTGGATTCGGATATTGGATCAAGAGAGAGGGAGAAGGTGGAGGCAGCAGCGCTGGGTGATAGAGGAGTGGCAATTTTTTGACCATCAAACACGGATTGTTTACGAGCATGGGGATGGTTTGGTCCCAGCGGAAGTGATGATGATCTAGCCAGAGCGTGCGGAGTCGCTACTCCGATGCAATCAGGTTGCCACTTCTCACAATATAGAGCAGTACTCACAGGCGGTGCGCTTTAGCTGCTCCTCTAGTTCATATGGAGCTATGGCTACAGACAATGATCGCGACTGACCCTTTGAAACGCTATCCTTCTCGCCCGATGTCGACTTTCCGATTAAATTTCGCCTCGAAGGTGGGCCGTCACCCATGCCCATTTGAGACGGTATGGATGGAATCATGGCTCGCGGCGTGCCTGGTGATGTTGGCGGTCTTGCCAGCGGTGCAGAGCTAATGGAATGTGCTGCCCGCTTGTGCGTATGCGATGAGGCAGTTCGGGGAGGCGGGGCGTCTGGTGATCGTGTATTCGTGAATGTAATCCGCACAGTGAACGGTTCGCCAGCAAAGTAACATGACTGCGAGGGTGTCACCACCACTTGTATGGCGGCGTCCGTGGCCGTTGTAGATGCCATTGCTGCTAGCGCGACGCACTGTTATCTGATATGCTCAGTCGTGTCCATTCCTTGTATTTAGCCCACCCAGGTTGCCGAATCTCTCACCGTTGTCCTTCGAGCTCAGTCGGAGCCGCTTGAGTGCCTGGGAAGTGGGGACGTGGAGGGGGCGGGGATATTGAAACCGCAAGCCGGTTGGGGTCGGGAAGCAAAGTATTTTCTATGTGCCGGGCCTACGTGAGTTCAACGAGTTTCAAATGCTTCAAATCATGATGAATGAGGGACGAGAAGAAGTACCTTCAACAAGTTCTATTAGTAACTCATCGGTGTAAGAACCATCTTGCTGACTGTGGGAGGGCGCAGTACTTTACTCACAATTGGCTCTGATTGTGGGAACAATGGCTGGGGTTAAGTCATCCCGACGAGCTGACAGAATTCATATTTTCTTTTCCGCTCACTTCGGGCCCACAGCAACTCAATTGATGATCTGGCGGAGGCCTCTGGACCTCTGGTGATTCTTTGCCTTAAACAATCTGATCGAATACCCTCTACTGCGCTACTGCGCAAGTAAAGGCAAAGTGAAGGTGTTACGATCAGAATATAGGCGCTTAGATCAGGTTCGTGGTCTACTTGATAAAGTCAGTTTCTTCCTCCTCTTTCGCCGAAGGCCGAGCTGCATGGATCTCGCAGGAGGTCGTAGCGTGAAAGGAATGAGAGAAGATATTAGATTTGGATTGGATAGCTCAGGTTAGTGTCCCATTCCAACCTAAATCATGTACGAATTTTCGCTTGATTGATATCTCTTAACAGCTTTATATCCTCCTGATAGTAACACACGGCACATAGGTCCTAAATGGGATGCTCAGTGATGTGTTATCTGTATCCGCAGCGCTCCCTGTCCCAGTACATAATGTACTGGGAGATGGCCATGGTCACCTCCAGCCGATTGTCAAAACACCCCCAATTTGTATCGTTGAAACCTGACGACCACGGGCACCACTGTATCACTTCGTCAGTGACTCGTTGCTATTTCCCGCGCTGCTGCATCACAGGCGGCGCGTGCTCGATCGAGTTAGTACCGTCTTGAGTGGTCTGGGACTCCTTGCTGCAACGTCCGCTTCACTTCCGAGGCTGTGGTATGGACGGGAGCAGCTCATTGGAATATAAAATGTGAGGTCCTTATCTACTCACAGTAACCATTGTCTCACCCAGAAACCCTTCAGTCACCCCATCGTTAAGTATGAACACCCCCCGACTCCGAGCGTTCGTGGATTACCACCGTTACTTCACATCCATCGAACCCCGAGCTATCCATACCGCGAGCCCTTCCAAGTTGCTGTACTTCTCTGCCGACTCCGTCCTGAACTCTACGTTGAGCTACAGGACGGATGTCAGCTACGTAGTCGAAAGTCATTCCGACGCGACTCACGTCACCACCACTGAGATTCAAAAGGGGATGGATACAGCGCCCTACGTCGTTGTAACCACCGGAAGCCTTTTCTCCGACAAAGTGTCCATTAACGGGGAAACCGCTGTACGAATCAACAAATGGTTGTCACCGTTGAAAACTTTTGCCATGTTGTACGTCAACTCCACTCCATCGCCGCGCAACTCCAATATTGACCCATATAATCGTAGTCCCGTTAAATTTGAACAAGATGGAGGTGTGTACATTTGGAGGTGTCAAGGAGATGGTCAACTCATAGTGAGTTCTCCTGTATTGTGCGACGTCAGAATCTCATTCTGATTTCCTTAGTTGTACGAAGGTGTCGACTCCCATACGCCCATTGCATGGTTTCAACGCAGTCGTCGACGATTAGTGAATAATTTGCCGACCGTCCATCCTGCGTCTCTCGCACTCCAACCCGCCGCCGTGAAGATTCAAGACATAGTGGTGGCGTCCTTCTTGATTCTAGAACACAAGCGAAGAACGACACTCCAAAAGCGTTCAAACTCCAAAATTCTGCCTCGGTGAAGAGATTACCTTCATAAACTTGATGTGAAGTAGGTGCCAAACCCTGCACAGGTTTTCGTCAGGTTGCTAAATGTTGTTCAGGTAGATATCTGATCGTGATCGTGACATTGAGGATTACATCCGTCTATTGTGGACTATGTCCCCTGGATTTTCGGACTTTCAAGCTCGTTCAATCAATTACAATTGCACCTGCTGCACCACAGACACTGTAGCTTCCCGGAGAAGACTGAAAAAGTAGTCAAACCCGTAGACTTACGTTTATCTACGTAGATATATAGATGGCGAGGCGATAGTTCTGATTTCTGTGTAGTCAATCAGTTGATTGACCAGAATGTAGATGGTACATTGATAGCGCATTCACCTTCCCACCGGAAGACTGCTCATACAGCATTGTCTCTGTATTTTAGCGTGGACGCGTCGCTCCCTTGACTGCGTCAAGTCTGCGTGTCAAGCGGATTCGTACCCCAATAGTTGTACGATATTGCTCCAACTAGCTAAATTACTAAGTGGCACTACCATTTGAATGACAAAGTACGTAGATACTCCGCTGCTATGTAAGTACATCCTGCAGTAATTACTAGCACTTCGTAGCGAGCCGCCGCCGGCGCGTCCCGGCGCGGATCCATATTTAATCTTGCTTCAAGTTCCACACCTCAAGTGGCAAGGCAGCACCATGCCAGCAGGGCGGGAGGTCTTACTCGCGGGACACGCCCCAGTATATATGACTCTCTCAACTCCCTCCTGTGGGTGAAATTGGCATCCATTCAGGCGACCCATAGTCACCAATTCTCCATTACGATTATCACCAACGGGAGTTCATTCGGAAGTAAATTCGCAAAGCACGAAGGACACCTCGCGCAGCGCGTCAGTACTAACGCCATTCATCCCCTCGGCTCACGTAGAGGTGGGCGGGTTGGTGCAATGTCTACGTTATCGTAATTCTCTGCCCGCGACAAGTGGTGGAATCTTGTGGAATCTCAATATAGCTCGGGGCACGAGTCGATATTTACAGCAGACGGCACACACACGCTTCGTGGATATTGATATTGAGTACGCGCCAATGTACAACGTCTGCTGTTGATACAATCCGCGCAGACAGCAGAGATCTGGTAATACACCAATCCACGAACTGGAGTTACTGGACTACGTACCCCAGAACGACCCGTCCACCATTCCAGAATTCATCGATCAACCTCACATTTTTTGGCAGAAATCGGAAGCCAGAGTCAGCGAGAGTCCGAAAGATCTATCACACTGTAGATAAACCAGAGAAAATCGAGGGAAAGAAACATTCGGACGGCCCAAGTTTCGCTTATTGCTTGTTCGTGTTTGCACGGGCGTGGCCACCCTTTTAGAGCAAGATGCTACGCTCGCAACAACATCTTAAATTCAAACTTCACCTCGCCGGCGATTCCGAGGGCAAGACTATACAAAAACATATATCCCCAGGCGTCTGGCGTCTCTGCATATGATATGAAATCGAATTCATGCCCTTAGGCACTCAAACATTCTTAATATTCACACTGCACTTGACCAGTACCTAGTACGGTTACGTCCAGGGTGAATGGGAATCCTCGCCCGATGGCAGTTGCCTGCGAAATATCTGGCACCGTATCATGCTTATCTTTTTGTGATAAACCGAAAGACTCACCTCGAATATCTCGTTCCTTTGCCTCCCTCCTCTTGTGGCCCTATCTCACCCCTCGCCGCTTATCGCCCATCTACTCGCGACGGTAAAGACCTTCAAGTCTTCTCCACGAACAGGTGACTGATGTGTAATGAACTTATTAGCACTTCAAAGCGAACTACCCCCAGCACGTCCCGGATCCATATTTAATCCGGGGTCCTGCTTCCAGCACACCTCAACCTAAACGCCCTCGCGGCATACACGTGTCCGAGTCCTCGAACTTTCCTTTGCAATACGGCCATTCGCACTTATTCTGTTGCTGTTGAAAGCTTCAATGACATCCCGTCGTGCTAGGACTCTTTCGAAGATATGGTGGAGTAACTTCGGATGGATTCGGAAGAATCTCCAAAGTCATTGTGTCTGTGGCACATCAACGAACGGACAGCGTGGTCTCTGAGACTTCCAAATAACAACTTCCAGCTCTCACACAGCCCTTCGCATCGCCTCAAGGCGTGCGTGCTATTAACGAAAGGCTCACACACCGTTTTGACTTGACCCCAACTTGACCCCACTCGTCGTTCACTTCACCGCAACTTATGACCCACCAAGGTGAGCAAACTTGTTTTTATTGTCTATACAACACCCCGTACTCACGTCGAATCATATAGAAATGGCATCTAATCTTGGTGGCACTGTCACTGATGGCATAAAGGATGTATCTGCCCTTCTTCCACTTCTGGGCACCGAACAGTGCGAGGAACACGTAGGCTCGGCTCTCGTTGGTGGCTTCCTCTATGCCGCCGTCGCTCCACTCTCCCTCTTTGGTAGCCTGGGGATCGCCCGCGCCGGGGGGAAGGCCCTCATGGCTTGCATCCGCATCAGGACGTTCATGGGTGCAAAATTGCTGCGAGACGCGGGGTTTGCGCCGGTTGGGAAGGCACTGTCACAGATTATGTGGGATGGCGAGCGCCATGTTGCTGAGAAACAGCTGACCGAAATGCTCGAGAAGCTGCACATCACCGACATGGAGAAGCTGTCCGTGGAGGAAAACAGAAGGAATTGGAATCTGCGGTTGCTGTGTTGTTTACTTCCCGTGGCCGTTGCAAGTACAATGCCTTACATCTACTTCATCAGGAACGACCATACCGACGCGAAGTACGCGCGATGGTTATACCCGCTTGTGAGGTCCATTGGTGGTTGCCTCACAGCCACTATGGTCCAACTCATCATACAGACGCGTCTTTTGGAGATCATCAAAAATCGACTTGTTTTTCTCAGGCTTGATGCTATCGTCAAACGCGACAACATTAATCCGCCCGATTGGTGGGACGCTAAAAATTCGTCAGAGGTCACCCTATATCAGCTCTTTGCGAAGGTCAGTACAAGTTATCTTTGCCGCACCGAAAGGCAGGCTAATTCTAGTAGAAATATCGCGGCGTCCCAGGCTCAGAGGCCGAGAAACTGTGGAAGGCGTTAGAGCACAGTCTGACGAAGGCAGACAAAACCCTGAAGGCCCAGCCCAATGTTTCTCAACAGAACCAGGACCCAGAGGCGGGCACACCGGCGCTACCGAACCACCCAGTTGTCCAAGAAAAATACAGGCCCTTCACAACCCCAAGCTATTTCCACTGTATGTACATATTCCTCGTCATCTGTGGCATAGGGCTCTCGATTGTGGGATACATCGGATCCTTCACCATTGTCTCGAACGACGGCAAGACCAACACGAATTCGAAAGGGCCCCTAATCTGGCTCGGGGCTGAGATTGCACTCTCCCTTTTGCGCATGTTGATATGGTCCTTGAACCCGCCGTTCGACGAGAATACCGGCCTCACCTTCAAACTCAAACTCCAAAAAAATAACCCCTTGCCAACATGTAATAAATTCAGTGAAGAACTAGAGGCGAATGGTGTTATCCCGCTGGCTCGATCAGCCGAATTCCTTGGTCAGATCACATCATTCGTGGGCTTGCTAGAGCTGTTCGAAAGCGTTGATGATGGGGTCGCTCTGTACTACACGATGTCAGCCCAACGAGAGCCGATGCCAACCGAGCAAGAGCCGGCGCCAACCGAACATCAGCGGGTTCTTTATATCACAATTTACGAATACACGGAAAATATTACGCACTCATTCACACTCGTCTACTTGCCTTCCTCTAACCAGGCAAAGACTTGTTACAATTCCACAATAGAGGTGCAAGACAGCGGCGACAACGTCAAAAGCAATAGTGAAGACAATGTTGGCCGGTTATGCGCACGGTTGCGCGGGAAGGTGTCGATGGCAAGCAACCACATAACCAATAATAAGGCATTCGTCAAGAAGCTCGACGACCACTGCGCCTCCATCTTCAGTCAGCTGCAAAACAGGGCGGGACGTGACACCCCGGAGACTCAGATCACAATGACATGGGCGCTGACGGAACCACCTAAAGGCGGGGTCAAGTCTGATACTCGCGGTGGGAGTCCACCGTCGGTGGATGAACTGGCGTATCTTCGCGTGGGTGAGCTCGAGCGGTCTAAACGGAACTTCTGCTCAAGCAGGAGGACGTGGATGGATGCGCGCATTGCTTTCTTAAAAAAGCAAAAATACACAGTGAGATCAAGGATCTTTTGCCCAAATTTTGCCTGACTAGCTATTAATTTGTTCCTTTAGCACCCAATGGGCACGCCAGAACACGCGGCTGCAAAGTACCTTATGTTGTACGAGTGGCAATTCCTAGAGCAGATGCTCGTATACGAAAGCAGGGAACTCGAAATCATACTGCTGTCAAGCAGCAAGACGATGATCTTACGGCTGCAACAACGTCCAGAAGGTCGAAACCTAGATGCAGTGGCAAAGGAACAGATATCCGAGGCTATGCGCAGGGTTAAAGACGAACAGGCGCACGCGAATGAAAGGCTCAAACAGCTTGACGGGGAGATGGGAAGCTGGATTACCGACTATTGGGGCCTCACGGATGATTCGCTGGAAGCATGTATGCCGATGTTCTCAAACCCCATCCGGCGACTATGGAAGCAGTTCATTGACGATATGGAGGGTCACAAAGAAAATGCTCTAGAAGAAAATAGCCCTCCGGCCCTCCCTGAATCTGAATACAACCCTTTCCTGACAAAGACCTTGGCTGCACTTTTCGGCGTCTTCGCATCGTCGAACTCGCCGACTGAAAAATGGGACGCGAAACAGAGTAAGTTCGGGAGCGCTGAACAGGCCAATGCGGCCCAACGGGACACTATGATCGGACAGCTGGGCGTGGACGTTCAAACGATGGAGGAATGGCTGGAGCTGTTCATCCCGGCTGTGCATGTTGCTCTTGAACACCGCGACCTCCTCTGCGCGTATGATGATGTTCTCCGTGGATGCACTAATTTAGGGTCTGGCACTCAGCAGGTACGTCAAACCTCCTCCTAATTCAGTAGTGGAAGTTCACGACTACGTTGGAAGGGCAAAAGTTGAGCAACGTGCAAGTATATCTTGTAGTTGCGTTATGGGGGAAAACTTCGGAGGGTGTTGTCTGACACATCCAAGTCTAATGCCGGGCTCAGTTTCTGCAAAATAATCCTTGATCGCGCGGCCGCATTCAACATTCAAGTTGTTGACTTGGGTTGTCCGCGACTGTAATATTATTAACTATTGTAGTAGTAAATATATGTAGTGATCTGTAAGTAGATCAACCTATGTGCAATGCGAGGGTCCGCCTCCGGCAGGACAAGTCTGTGTGACACCTAAGTGGTATACATGTGAATGTGTGAATCCAGTACAAGAAATGTGTGATGTGCTGTCGGAATGACTCCGGAACGCTCGGGCTCAATGTGCTCGCTTCGGAACGACGAGGAAGGCAGGAGAATGATAAGGACGGCAGGAGAAATACAACAGCATAGTTCAACTTGATCTCGGAATGCGGAAAGCTCTGATAACGGAGGGAAGACGACTTCGGACGGACTTGGGCTTCAGGCTGCAAGTGGGGGAAATCAAATCTGGTTCTTCTAGCTACGAGTACATGAGTATTTTGTAGGTAAAAGATAATCATATGTAATGAAGTTCCAAAACGCAAATCGATGAAAGTAGGGATAATGGGGATATGGAAATCAGAGTATTAGAGTATGAAACAAAAGCAATGAAGAGATATGTCATTCCGAATGCGGCGGTCGTAAACACGTGCTTCCGCCATGTGCAATCGAGTCCGAGGGGACGGAAAGGGGTGGATAGGGGATAGGAGTGCTTCGGCATACACAAACCGGAAGGGTGCAACCCTTACACTATACACGTCGTAATAAGATCAAAAATATACTATCCACACAATCTCCAAGCCGGACAAGTAGGTGTGTGTCACGAATGAGCCAGGTATAGACACGGCAGAATGCGGAAATAGCAGGTTACGGGTACCACATACGCATCTATGCATCCGACTCAATCGCAAATGAAGTTGTTACAGCTGATGTCAAAATCGTAGATACTGCCCGAAAAATCAGACGTCCGCCACCTGCCATTTTGGGCCATTTGGCATGGAGTGCCGAGCCTCCGATCGTCAAGCTGCCGCCTTGGCCTTTGGCTCGAGAGTGTCGTAGAAATTCTAGGAAATTCACAGAAAATTAACGATGAGCTTCTTCTGCTCGGGGTGAATGAAGCGATAATTCCCCGTGACAGCAAGAGAATGTTGTTGCACATTGTGCAGCGCGTTGTGCTTGGACGTGTTCAATCGGAGTTCAAGTTTGCTTATGTCATTTGCCCAAGATGGCAAGTGGCTGAATGTCCGGTTTTCTGGGCAGTGTCTACGATTTTGACATCAGCTGTAACAACTTCATTTGCGATTGAGTCGGATGCATAGATGCGTATGTGGTACCCGTAACCTGCTATTTCCGCATTCCGCCGTGTCTATACCTGGCTCATTCGTGACACACACCTACTTGTCCGGCTTGGAGATTGTGTGGATAGTATATTTTTGATCTCATTACGACATGTATAGTGTAAGGGTTGCACCCTTCCGGTTTGGCCAAATATAAAGATAGGTGAATCCCCCTTGGGATAGTGATGATTTAGCTGAGTCGATAACGGCGGAGCAGGAGGCAAAGATGTCTGAGTTAGGCAATTAGGAGCAGAGAAGGATGTATACCCAGCTATTCTACTTGTGTAGCTCGTATACTCATGGGGTGGGTGGGTCCTAGATGCAATGAACACATATGTGTGTATGGATGCCATCATTGGGCCGTTTGTAGCAAGCACGCACATTGGGAACACTTGTACACGAACGGTAACACATACATGTGTAACAGAACGGTCTGGTATACCAATACTTCCCACTACCTAATGCCTAGCACCTATAGCTTATCCACTGAAACACGGTCTATTTCTATTTAGCTTATATCTAATCCATGCTATTTAGTACAGCTAGCATGCTCACATAGTATATAAAGCCTTGTATTTCTCTCTATTTCTCTAGTATCTCTGAATAGACAGTTTACCCCTGTCTGTTCGTGTGATCTCCATCTTTCCGTGTGCCGTGACAATTTCCTTTTAGGATTGACACACGTCACAACATGGAACAAAGTATGAACAGTGCTGGTGTCCATGGGACGAGGGGGGGGAGATGGGGGACGAAATTGAGACGAAACGAGGGGAGTGGCAGACGAGTAAGCATTTAATGGGAACACGACCACACACCAGGAGCAAAAAGTAGAGCGGGAGCCTAGGGTAGTCTGGGGCCGCTCTCAGCATAATTTATAGGTGGCGAATTTGAGAAATTCAGGAGTAAGGTGTCTGAAACTAGACCCGTTTGTGCTTGCGCTCCGTAAGCTGAACCTCTATGATTTCAATAGGATGGTGCGTTCAACGAGGTGAAGGAAGGGGGGGGCCTTGAGGTGAAGTAATAAGAGGGCAGGCGTCACATCTCAAGGTTAGTTCATGCGGGCACGCAAGGGGGGCGTAGTGACATCGGTTCTTGGGGATGGAAGATGGAAAGGAAATCTGCGACTCCGACTTGGGCCCGCCTGACGACCACCGTCCACCGTTTGTTGCAATTGGGTCGACAGTGACATTTCTAAGCCCTTCCTCCCCTCGACACTTTGCCTGTACCAAAACCTACAGCCAGAGCCCACACACCGAGTCCTAGGATCTCCATTCCTTGTCCTTCCTCCCTCCTCTCTCATTTTCCCTTCGTCCGCTTGCCTTCTACGTGTAGCTTCGGGGGAGGCCAGAATGTCAAAGAGCTCTAGCAAGCTTTCAGAATTCACCGCTGGCACTACTACTCATCGGACCTTTTAATGCAGAGTGTCCTGAAGCTGAGTCCTACGCACACGTTGTGAGGGATTGGCTTTCAAACCTTCAAAGGCAACTCGATATCTGCGCCGAATACCGTTAATGCGGAATATCTATCTCTAATCGATATGGATATAATAATATCGAGCTCGCCGGGAGTTGAAGCAGCTATTATCGTGGGTCCTTGAAGCAGTTTGAAGCTGAAGCTTGAGCTTCACGTGAGCGGCAGCCCGGCACGCAAGTTGCCGAGGCTCCATCAATCCATCGATGATCCCTTGATCCCTTGTTGCATTGGCACCGTTGCATCCAAGAACAACCTGCATAACGTAAAGCAACGCGTCGGGCAGGGCGACACGATCACTCTTTTGCAGTGGGCACCGTGCTGCGTCGAGTTTGCCGACACAAGGTCAGTCGAGGCAGATCTTGGCAAATTCAAATTCACTCTTTTGTTACGCCGCCAGTAACTTGGCTTGCGTTGGATAGCGAGCTGATGGCAAAGACGAGATCTTAAATAAACCCAAATCGGTATCAGCGCCGACATAGATGAGGTCGCCGAGAGGCAAGTTATACTCCAAGCACACCGAAAATTTGATGTCCCAAGTTGGTAAGCCTTCCGTGAAGCGTCCTCTGCGACGATGCGGTTTGTACTTTCCACAATCATCTTCTTCCTGTTGCTTGGCATCATGAAGCATCCTCTTCACCACCATTTTTCGATGTTTCAACGATGAATTCCATCTCCATCTCCATTTCCCGCGCTGCGTACGTATCCAATCGCGCCGACCTTGAATCGAGTCTGCACTATATCTGAGGCTCGTCACTCTAAGTTGGTACCCGTGCAAACCATACGCGAACCGTAGACTCCGAGGATTCGATTCGAGGGCTGGAGCAGTTCCCGATAGTGCAGTCCAAGTGCATTCTTGTGATAATCCGACGAAACGCCGCCCCTACAGCTTCTATGGCTACAATGGTACTACGATTCACAGCGAATTAGCGGCTTGGGCGACCACTCCGAACGGCTGGCGGGATGGAAGATCTTGTGGGTGCTCGCAATGTTAGTGACTGTCAGTGAGGCTCATTATCAAATACCCTGCACCATCCGCTAGCCCTCACCTCGGACAGTGGTCCACCTGCATCCCCTATCGATCATCCCTCGATCCCAGGGGGATGGCTGCAATCGCACGTCCACCACGTCAACGCGTAGAGGGCGGGCATCCCCTGCGAACGGGCAGAGGAGAACGAGTTCGTGCGTCAGAGGGAGGGGAGGAAGAGGATGCGAGCGCCAGCATAAAATGACAAAACGGGTGGGCGCCGCACTCACCGCAGCTCCGCATGCACACGCTCCAGCGCAGATGCATACGCAGACGCCACCGCCCCTCTCTTCGTTCGCAGAGGGGGATGGGATCTGCGGACGGCTTGGAAGTGTGTTGGGCGGTGGTAAGTACAATGTCACGATAGGATGTGGATGTACGAGGGCTCACCTGTGCTACAGACGAGCGGCGGGCTATGAGCTAGGCTCGATGTGCACGCCCACGGCTCCGGAATTCAGCTTAGGTGACGAAACGGGATCAGGTATGAATTTGACAAAAGAAAGAAGAAAATGAAGGCACAGAGGCAAAGAGTAAAGGATCCATTACCTGATAAAGTTTCAGCTCATTCCTAAGGTAAAGTAGCAAACAAGTACCTCTTCCTGCGAACAAAGAATACTCTTTGATGTGCACGGTTCCCAGAATGCGCGCGAGCACGATTACGAATGACAGTCCGCCGATCAAACGAGCTCTCGTCAACAAATAGCGTCGGGTCGGGGGTATACCTGATGCCATGTTCGCATCTGAATGCCGTGCGCTTGGGCTCATTTCTTTCAGCAGCAACCTTTCTTAGCGGATGAAGCTGGTAAGTGTACAATATAGCTGCTTGCAGAGGATAATGTGCGGCTTTTTCATAGTGAAGCCCAACATGGCGCGCCAAAATGTCATATTGGAAAAGGAAGGACCACAGTGTTCTTCCAGGCCACGGAGTGCATCGAGATCGAGGTCGTCTTTGCGTTTCATTGGGCCTTCAAGAAACGATCTCGCGATAAGCTTCATTACTAACCAAGACATTCTCCATTCCTAAACGGCGTCGTGGCTCTACGGGACGGTAGCTTTAGCCCGTTCAGC